CCTAAGCTAAGCCTAAGCCTAAGCCTAAGCCTAAGCCTAAGCCTAAGCCTAAGCCTAAGCCTAAGCCTAAGCTAAGCCTAAGCCTAAGCCTAAGCTAAGCCTAAGCCTAAGCCTAAGCCTAAGCCTAAGCCTAAGCCTAAGCTAAGCCTAAGCCTAAGCCTAAGCCTAAGCTATCAGCCTAAGCTAAGCCTAAGCTAAGCCTAAGCCTAAGCCTAAGCCTAAGCTAAGCCTAAGCCTAAGCCTAAGCCTAAGCCTAAGCACAAGCCTAAGCCTAAGCCTAAGCTAAGCCTAAGCCTAAGCTAAGCCTAAGCCTAAGCTAAGCCTAAGCCTAAGCCTAAGCCTAAGCCTAAGCCTAAGCCTAAGCCTAAGCTAAGCCTAAGCCAAGCCTAAGCCTAAGCCTAAGCCCCAAGCACAGGCTAAGCCTAAGCCTAAGCCTAAGCCTAAGCCTAAGCCTAAGCCTAAGCCTAAGACTAAGCCTAAGCCTAAGCCTAAGCCTAAGCCTAAGCCTAAGCCTAAGCCTAAGCCTAAGCCTAAGCTAAGCCTAAGCTAAGCTAAGCCTAAGCTAAGCCTAAGCCTAAGCTAAGCCTAAGCCTAAGCCTAAGCCTAAGCCTAAGCCTAAGCTACACAAGCCCAAGCCTAAGCTCAAGCCTAAGCCTAAGCCTAAAGCTACAAGCCTAAGCCTAAGCCTAAGCCTAAGCCTAAGCCTAAGCCTAAGCTCAAGCCTAAGCCTAAGCCTAAGCCTAAGCCTAAGCCTAAGCTAAGCCTAAGCCTAAGCCCAAGCCTAAGCCTAAGCTAAGCCTAAGCCTAAGCCTAAGCCTAAGCCTAAGCCTAAGCCTAAGCTAAGCTAAGCCTAAGCTTACCAAGCCTAAGCCTAAGCCTAAGCCTAAGCCTAAGCTAAGCCTAAGCCTAAGCTAAGCCTAAGCCCAAGCCTAAGCCTAAGCCTAAGCCTAAGCCTAAGCCTAAGCCTAAGCCTAAGCCTAAGCCTAAGCTAGCTAAGCCTAAGCCTAAGCCTAAGCCTAAGCCTAAGCCTAAGCCTAAGCCTAAGCCTAAGCCTAAGCCTAAGCACAAGCCTAAGCCTAAGCCTAAGCCTAAGCACAAGCCTAAGCTAAGCCTAAGCCTAAGCCTAAGCCCAAACAAGCCTAAGCCTAAGCCTAAGCTAAGCCTAAGCCTAAGCTAAGCCTAAGCCTAAGCCTAAGCCTAAGCCTAAGCCTAAGCCTAAGCCTAAGCCTAAGCCAAGCCTAAGCTAGCTAAGCCTAAGCCTAAGCCTAGGCTAAGCCTAAGCCTAAGCTAAGCCTAAGCCTAAGCCTAACTAAGCCTAAGCCTAAGCCTAAGCCTAAGCCTAAGCCTAAGCCTAAGCCTAAGCTAAGCCTAAGCCTAAGCCTAAGCCTAAGCCTAAGCCTAAGCCTAAGCTAAGCCTAAGCCTAAGCCTAAGCCTAAAGCTAAGCCTAAGCCTAAGCCTAAGCCTAAGCCTAAGCCTAAGCCTAAGCCTAAGCTAAGCCTAAGCTAAGCCTAAGCCCAAGCCTAGGCTACCAAGCTAAGCCTAAGCCTAAGCCTAAGCCTAAGCTCGGCTAAGCCTAAGCCTAAGCTAAGCCTAAGCCTAAGCCTAAGCCTAAGCCCAAGCTAAGCCTAAAAGCCTAAGCCTAAGCCTAAGCCTAAGCTAGCCTAAGCCCCAAGCCTAAGCCTAAGCTAAGCCTAAGCCTAAGCCTAAGCTAAGCCTAAGCCTAAGCTAAGCCTAAGCCTAAGCCTAAGCCTAAGCCTAAGCCTAAGCCTAAGCCCAAGCCCAAGCCTAAGCCTAAGCCTAAGCTAAGCCTAAGCCTAAGCCTAAGCCTAAGCCTAAGCCTAAGCCTAAGCTAAGCCTAAGCCTAAGCCTAAGCTAAGCCTAAGCCTAAGCCTAAGCCTAAGCCTAAGCCTAAGCCTAAGCCTAAGCTAGCCTAAGCCTAAGCCTAAGCCTAAGCCTAAGCCTAAGCCTAAGCTCAAGCCTAAGCCTAAGCCTAAGCCCAAGCCTAAGCCCAGCTAAGCCTAAGCTAAGCCTAAGCCTAAGCCTAAGCCTAAGCCTAAGCCTAAGCCTAAGCCCAAGCCTAAGCCTAAGCCAAGCCTAAGCCTAGCCTAAGCCTAAGCTAAGCCTAAGCCTAAGCCTAAGCCTAAGCCTAAGCCTAAGCTAAGCTAAGCCTAAGCCTAAGCCTAAGCCTAAGCCTAAGCCTAAGCCTAAGCCTAAGCCTAAGCCTAAGCCTAAGCCTAAGCCTAAGCCCAAGCCTAAGCCTAAGCCTAAGCCTAAGCCTAAGCCTAAGCCTAAGCCTAAGCCTAAGCCTAAGCCTAAGCTAAGCCTAAGCCTAAGCCTAAGCCTAAGCCTAAGCCTAAGCCTAAGCCTAAGCCTAAGCCTAAGCCGAGATTTAGGAGGAGTCAAGACGATGAGTTATGGCATTAATGCCCTGCTCTATCGCGTTATCCGGGATCGCTTTTAGAACCGTGAGCCAACATTCATCTAATGTTGTCGTCGCCAGAGTTTGTTAATCCTGATTAGGAAATCACATCCCAACTACTTTCCTACATCAATTTACATTTTTAGGGCGGGCCACCCCTGCGTGCAAAAATTGCAAATTTTCAAAAGTTCTTTTTACCGTTCTAAAACCTTCCTGGAGGTTCCCCGACGTTGTCTGGGCCCTCAGAATCCAAAAAGAACGTTAGGGCAAAAGCGCAAATAGAAAATTCGTGCACGGGGCCGAACCCCGTTATATTCCGCGGACGTCACCCACCACCCCCACTAGCCCACGCGGCCAAGGTGAAGCGGATGTCAGACTTGAGGCTTAGCAGGGTTTATGAACTTAGGTCAAAACATTAAAGAGTTTGAACTTTGCGGAATTACAGTATAACAGTAGCATCAATCGACTCTCGTCCCGTAGATATCTACTGGCGCGTACGCCCTCTGACAGCGGGGGGGTGTTGGATGAGAAATCTGCAAATTCGGTTCCCAAGCTCGGTGGCATGCAGGCCCGTACGGGAGCCGAGATTTCGGGGGGGGTCGCACCCAAACAAATTTGGCGACCTCCCTCCCCCCGGTCGCCGATTTGAAAACATTCGAAAATGGCGACAATAACAGCCTCGAAGTAAAGTCTAGAAGTAAAAATCGTCTCGAAACAGTGAAGAACAGCGCCGCAGGCGGAAAAATTTTTAGGAAAAAATCATAAGGGGCCCCCTTATGAACTTTTCGGACCTCGACCGGTTTCGGGAGGGGGGGGGCGGTGGGTTGGGGGGGGGCACCGTGCCCCCGATGCCCCCCTCGTACGGGCCTGGTGGCATGTGTTGTTAAAGTTTCGAGTGTGTATGATTTCAATCAAGCAGGCTGTTGGGCCCGGTACTTTAGCGACCATTTAGTCGCAATCCGCAAACATCTACTATAATAATTTTGCTGTGGTGCCTGTCTGTGTGTGTGTGTGTCTGGAGCCGAAGTCAACTCGAAGGGGAAATAAGCTAGAGCTCAGGTCTGTTCGGATTCGGATAGAGCGTGATCAGAACCCCCAAATTGATGAAAAATTATGAAAAAGTTTTCGTTTAAATTATTAAAATTAACTTTGAAAGTGGCGCCTTCATAAAACGAGTGGGGCCCTCTCCCGACAGGCCACGCCCCTTTTCCCCGCGTAGTTTTTAAGGGGATTTCGGCTAGGGGAAGTATCTAAAGCCATCAGGGAGGTATCGAAGTAGTGTTGCATGAAGGGTAGCCCGAAGGCCAGATGGTTACAGTCGCGAAGCGACTGGAACCATCTGGTTTGCAAAAAATTTTGCAAGACGCGGCCGTTATTTTATGTGGTTCCGAGCAAAGGTGGCCACTGACGAGGAAAGACGAGGAAAGACGAGACGAAAGACTAAAGAAATTGAGGCCTTCTTGTTGGCTAATATAATAGGACCTCGGTAGCGCATCTCATCTTTTTTCGTCATGAGAATTCGGGAATAGCATGAGATCAGAAGAGGCCCGTAAGAGGGGGGCGAGGGGGGCGAGCCGCCCCCCTCCCGCCGAAATCGGCCGAAGGCCCAAAAGTTCATAAGGACCCTTATGATTTTATTTTTCCATAAATTTTTTCCCTACGGCGCTGTTTTTGGTTATTTTTAACACTCGTTTCAGTGTTATAAACCTTATGTTTTCAATTATTTTGCCTGCCGCGCTACAGATTTCGTCATAGTACTGAAAAATTTTTGGTACCGCCCCCACCCCAAAATTTCGGGTTTGATACGGCCCTGGATCAGACGTATCCGGGTCAAAAATCGAGAAGCGGCTTTTCAACCCTGGTTTTAGTCTCAAAAGATTGATTGAAAGTCGCGAACGAAAGCTTGGGCCGCTTCGCCGAGCCGGAAACCTTTAACCCCTCCAAAGCTGAACAGTTTGAAAGTTTCTGAAGAGTCGTTTTGGGGTCATTTGATGGGCAGGGTCGCGGATGGAGGACGACTGATTGCACAACCTATCGGACTTGATCGTTGAAGCGAACCGCATACTAGGTCAAGGGTACTGTGCTAGCCGCTCTCGGAGGTTTTCTTCATTCTTCCCCCACTTTCATTTCCTTGCCCCGGCCCTTCACGACCCTGCATGGGACATCTAACATTGTATTTAACCATCGTTTCTCTATGCATTCCTGCTCGAGCCCATCGGTGGCCATAAAGCTGCGAAATAAGCTCATGTTTTGCCTTTACGTGCTCGAATCTACCGAGCTGAATTTTTTCTAGGTCATTTCCTAGGTCCCCCGCTCTTTTTCGATGCTCACTCGTTGATGATTGATGCAGATTTTTTTAAATTGGCTCATCACCTGATCATTTTAAGCTAATTAATTCAGAAACACCGAGGCAATGAGACGCTGGGAATCGTACCAGCGTCCTTTGGGGACTATAGAGATACATGGTTATGGTAAGTTGACCCCTGGTCAATGAAAAAAGGAGGTTTAGTTCGCCGGCTGCTTTTTCTAGCGCTTCTCGCCCCCGCGATGCCTATCTCTTTGCCTTTCACAAACTTCTCAATGCCGGAACTTCGTCCGACTTTCGTGGTCAACTTCGACATGTCCACCGTCATCTGTCAGCACAGCCAAGGTAATCTTAAGAGGGTGCCGGCTGATAAAAGCAAAGGACATGGAATCCAAGAACTTCCGGGAGTTTTTTTGTGTCTCCATATAGTTTTCCAGGGCACTGCAGAGAACAAATACTCGTTGCCAAAAATCGTCTTACAGCAGAGTTTTTTACAACGGGGGCTTTGAAATGAGGCCCAGTCAATCGTGTGAAAGATTTGTCCCTGCCACTAAAAAAAGGCTCTGTATTCTAGTTCCCGTAGAAATAGCAAGCAATACATTCCGTATGTAACCACCGGCAGGGTTTTGTGTGTATGTTTTTGTTCTAATTCCTCTCTGATGGAAAATTTTGTACTGTTCTGTTTCGAGCGAAGGCAAACTGTGCGTGGGGGGGGGCGTTAAAGCGACATTCCGCTCTTGTCGATAATTTCAAGATCTTGGAATTGTCTCAATCTCTAAATTAAAATAATAAAAAATACGGAAAAGCTCGCAAACTAGCATTCCAACCTCAGCTTCAAAAGTCATTTTTGTGTTTGCTCTAACTTTGTTATATCACATTACTGCGAGCTACAACAAAACTCTTAGTATATTTTTCGAGTATAAGGAAGCTGGAAATTCCAGGAAAATAGCGAAAATATGGCAGTTCTCCCGAAGCAACCTCCACCCGCATAGTTTTCCCCCGCTCGAAATAGGACAGGACAGAAAATTTTGCTGCTTTGAATAGATGATACTGAATTTACAGGTACCTGTACTTTACAAGTACTGATATTCACAGATTTTTGCCAAAAACTTTAGAAAAACTGCAGTCCATATCGGTATCGACAGTCTGCCTCTCAAGAATATTTTATTTGTGTTATTCGATAGCGAAACATCTTCCGATACGATGGTTATATTGATTTTTGGCAAAACTTTCGGAAAGGCGCAAATAAACAACCGCGTTTGAAAACAACTTTGAAATCCGCACAACTTTTCATCCAGGACTATTTTTTTGCGGTTGATTCGCAACGAGCTCCGCAGTCAGGAAATCCTGTATCTAAGGGGTCCCTTGTTAATATCATTTTAAGGTACCACTCTGGTTAAAACCCTTGTTAAATTTGCATTTCCGGGGTGTGCCTTTAAGGGCAAGACAAGATTTTGCCGCCTTTCCGGGGACATCGATGAACTGTATATTTACCAAACCAGTGGAAAAAGTCCGCTTCGCGGCCCTTTTCCACTGGACCCCGTCTAGGACCCATGAATTCTCTTTCCTTTGTTTGAAGCCTGCGGAGCAAGAGCCTGAGTCAAGGAACCATTCTTTGGCCTGCGGCGCAAGAGCCAGCGTTGCGCTCCAATCTTTCAGCCTGCGGCGCCAGCTACTACGTTCCCCCCCCCCCGGATTTAGCTGATCTGGGGCAAGGAACCATCCATGGCCTGCGGCGCCAGAGCCAACGTAGCCAGAATCTTTGAGCCTGCGGCGCTATTTACTGGTTTCCTCCAGGGTTTGGCCTGCGGCGGGAGAGCCCGAGCCAAGGACCTTTCCTTTGGCCTGCGGCGCTAGAGCGAGGGCCAGACCTAAATCTCGTATACGGAGAGCTAAGCAATATGTTTGTTTGAAGAATTACCAAAAAGCAAAAAGTAGTCATCGCGCCGGATCCGAACCCTTGACCCCTAGCGCCGTGGACCTGGTGCGCTTCCTTTACACCACAGGGAGTTGGGGGTGCGATCCGGGACAGACCTCTTCATCCCCTGGGGACCCGGCCGGGCGCCGTCTAGTAACTTTACAAAAGTCGATTTTTGAGGTGGAAGATGATCGAATTTGTAAAATCTAATAAGTTGCGCCTAAGAAGCACCATCGATTACATAAGTGGCCCAAATTTCAGCCCGGAATTCCATCAGGGCTTCGAGTTATGCCCCGGACACCACGGCTCTTGGCCCATTTTGTTAAGGACTTTTTAGAAAAATGCTCATAAAAACTTTAACGCAAAACGCAAAATTATATATCGGGAGAATTCGTTTTTCAATCTACCCTCCAAAAATTAGCGGCTAATTCCATTTGGCTCGGGAGATATCCTCTGAACAAACCTTTTTTCGGCCAAGATGTTAAGGATTTTTCACTATTTTGCTTGTAAAACCGTTAATTGAAGGAATTTCGAAAAACAAAAAAATGCGTCACTGACAAATGTGTTTCTCCACCTCCATGCCAAAAATCAGCTCAAAATTCGGCCTGGCGGCCGAGAAATCGGCTGTACAGAAAACAGACATACTTTTCTCGCTTATAGGATAGGATACCAAATACAGTATGACCGAGTGACATCATGTGCTAGGCAACGAAGAAGGTAGATCCCATGCGGATGCTACAATCTGCGCGTTCTTGTAAAATGGGGCGAGGTGAGCAAACCAGGAATGGAGAAATCATTGCTGAAAAGGAGCCGGCGGCTTTCCAGGTGAAGGTCAGCCGGGGTACGTGGGGATTGGTTTATGATTCACCGAGATAAACAGCCAATGATAACCTACATCCAGGTGTCCCGTGTTAAAAATTACTCTACACAAGCTGCGTTATCACATAATTTTTGTTTTTGGGCTTGGAATGGCAAACTTTTTCTAGATCCCCATGACCTACATCTACACGAGATTTCCGTGCTCTGCGATGGAAGGACAGATTGCTATCAGAATCCCGCCATGCATGATGAGAGTTTTCCCTATTGTGGTTAGTTTCTCAAAAAAGGCATCGAGAGCAGGGGAGGAGAGCGAAATTTTGTTAAGACACCCCAGCTGAAACTCATCAAAAGTTCATCAAATTTTCTTTTTTCATCAAATTCCTTGGGTTGAAAAGCCGCTTCGCGACTTTTCAACCCTGGCCCCGTCCGATCCCCATAAAATTCTTCATTCTGCATACGGCCAGGGAATCCCGATTAGTAAAAATGAAAAACGACACGCTCTAGATGACTATATAAGTACCGCCACTTTCGATGGCTGCTGATTTTTTCGTAACAAAGATGGTCCGGATTTTTTTAACAAAAAAATTAATATTAATCCCAAAAATAGGCAATTTTGATATATATGATATGCGTGCAGTCATCCCAGAGCCATTACGCACCTAATCAGGTATCATACGTATCTTAAAATTCATAAATAAAATTATAATTATAATAAAATCCCCTATGGAGTTGTCCTTCGGGCATGCTGACCGAAGTCGCATGCAAATGCACACACACTGACACAAGATTCAAGACTCAAGATTCTTAATAATTTACAGAAAGGAAATGCGATTCCACTTGCAACGGTCGGGGAGCCTGCCTTTTCGACGGTACCCACGCACAATGCTTTTGTAATCAAGGATATTCCGGCCCCGCATGCGAAATAATTGGTAAGAAATTAGGCTCTTCGAATATTACTGCAAACTGAGTCACCACTCAATTTAGATACAAACGAATGTGCAGCGAATCCTTGCCACTGGCTGGCTCACTGCCAAAACACAGTCGGGTCTTTTGAGTGCCGATGCTTTCCTGGATTCCAAGGGGATGGATTTGAGTGTACAGGTAGTATTTTCCTCTTCAAGCGGCTCGGACGGCCCGTGTCGAGGAGGTTATGGGGGAGCTCGTCGACAGATTTCTTGTAATAATCTGCTATTTTTGATGCCCCAGAGCATAATTAGCCCAGTTGCGGCACCGTTGCTGCACTGACTGCAGTACTTCAAACGCCAGACCTGGACTATGCCCTGGGGCGGCAAAAATAGAGGATTACGTGGCGTAAGCTGTCGACGAGCCTTCCCTCCAAACCCCCTGGATACGGGCCGTCGAACCCCGTTAATTCAAACGATTGGTTCAACGCTCGTTGGGACTACATGAAGCGTATTTTCCGTACAGATATCGATGAATGTCAATTGCATGGAGCGGACTGTCCCTCGAACTCAAATTGTGTAAACCTACCGGGCACGCATTTTTGCAATTGCACAGAAGGTTACGTCCCAGTGGTGAGTGTCACATCCAGAAAAAAACCCCTCGAATTTAGGGAAATCCGTTGGAAATTTGCCAAGACGTTGATGAATGCGCCCGTGGTTCGTACACATGTGACGAAAAAAACCTATGCCAAAACACGGTTAGCACCAGGATTTACCTTGAAATGAGTTTTCAGGCCGGCAGCTACGTTTGTGTTAATCAGTGCCATGATGGTTTTATCGGAAATGGCAGTATCTGCATTGTGAGTTACATGATTCCTTCATCCATAATTGATAACTTGTATACGTCGGCTAAATTTAAGTATGCTGTGACCTAGCCAAAGTCTAACTTTTTATACATAAAAATCGAGAAATCGAGAAACATTCCTGTGACGGGGTTTCGGGGTCCAAAGTTTGAGCGCAAGTTTCTTTCGATATTCAACTATAATCCGCTCAATTTTTCCGTCAAAAATAAGGTTTTCGTGCCACCCGAAGCGACAGCCGACCCTGTCCGACAATTGGCTAAGCCAGACCGGTATCCCTATTTTAAATTATTATCGTTTAAAAGACCGAACGAGCTACACACAAAACGTCTCTTTTGGTAGAATTCATCTCGGCTTTTACAGTTCCTTGACTCCGCTTAAAACAAGCTATGGCATTGGGCGCGTCCGGTCACTACCCCGAAAGTCACTACCCCGAAAGTACTCACTACCTCGAAAAGGGATTATCCCGAAAAGTCCCTACCCCGACACTACCCCGAAATCGTTTACCCCGACCCCGCTGCGCGACTTATCAACCCTGGCCCCGTCTATGATGTTATTCTTCAATTTGCATAGGTCTTCTAAATGGACCGATGACAAAAAATGGAAAACACCCCCTGCAGCCCCTTTTTATAGGCGGCCCCCACTTCCGGTCTATGCTACTTATATCCTAACAAAACTAAAACTTTTCGGGGTAGTGACTGTCGGGGTAGTGACTTTCGGGGTAGTGACTTTTCGGGGTAGTGACTTTACCCCGCATTGGGGTGTTATTTTATGTCAGTAGATTGGTAGTACTGAAGTATAACGGAAGGCCTAGCAAAGCCTGGGAAGGCACGCAGCCAAGTAATTTTTTAAAGTTTTGCTTTAAAACATTAGTGGTAAACAAATTATCATGATTGTCAAACGTACAGGATCGCGACGAGTGCTCCGAAGGTTACATTTGTGGTCCACGAGCCACCTGTATGAACACTTATGGTTCCCATAAATGTATCTGCGACCCGGGATTCAGCCTTCAAGATAATTTATGCCAGCGTAAGTGCCTGGTTTTTGTTTTCCAATGCGTATGAAATCAATGACGAAAAAATTAAAGAGCAGCTAAACATTTGTTCTAGTGCAATCAGTTTGCTGAGCGTCGGGGACTATCCTGTATTTTGTTGCTGTTTTAGCTATTAACCGAGACTGCAGTGTGGATGACAGTATCTGCGACCGCCATGCTTTCTGTGTCAAATCATTGAAGATGTGTGTCTGCCAGGCCGGATACCAGGGCGATGGAATATTTTGCGAAGGTCAGCATACGGTAAACAGCTGAAGCATACCCAACCGATAGCCAGGCGATCATACCCAGCCTAAACCTCTATACTATTTTGCAAAAACTACCTAAATACATAGCCATAGCAATTTCTTCTGGCTTGACTGGACAGCGAAATCTGAGCACTAATAGGTGCGTAAGGGGTGAGCAGAAGCTGAGCAAAGGTGCTTGAAAGGCGCAGATGTTATAATGCATACCCACTGGTTATATTTTTGTGCTTGGAATGACTTGATAGGTGCGGCGCGATCATTACATACCAAGCTTCGTCAACTTTTTTCTACGGGAAACGGGCTGTTGGTTCGCTTTAAGCGATTTTGAAATAAAAGATATTCAAATTTTGGTTTGAATGGCAATACGTCCATCGGGGTTTTGTTCATATTTGCCGTTTATTATTGGAAATGCTAGGTAACTTCGTAAAAATTAAGGTAATACCTCAGAATCGTTTGATTTCTCCTCATATTTTCGCAATTTTGGTCGATCTAAAAACAGGCCGTTAGCTTCATTGGAAAATAGGAAGCTTACCCCTATCCTAAGCTGAAATTTCCTACGACTATGCGATTTGAGGATTGGCCACTGTAATTTTTACAGACGTGGATGATTGTGAAACCGGAGCGGCCAAGTGCCTCGCTGACGATGGACAACGATGCCTAAATGTTATCGGAGGCTATTTGTGCTGCAACAAAAATACAGATGATGACCGCTGCATTAAAGGTATGAACCACGTTGCTTTTGTGTGTTTTTCTAAAAAGGTCTGGGGTGTCTGCTCTGTCTAAGGGTCAAAAAGTTAATTCAGAAGAGGCAATTGGCTCCTTAAGCATTCAGACAAGTGCAGGCTGGTAAACTAGCTGATGGAATAAAGGCATGTAGGCAGACACCGCCAAGCCTAACTAGGGAAGTGTAAATAAAAAATCCAGCAAACCGCTTAGCAAAAATATGGGTCTGATAGAGTCGGCGACGGGGATTCCGAAACTGCAATCAGAATTTGCAAAACGCTTAATACAAAAAAGTTATGAGCCTTTTAAGTTTTGTACCACTTTGTCCGCCCTCCCTTATGAGCCCCTCCCAAAGAACCTGTCGAGTGGTGTAGTGGCTAACTAGCCTGCCTCTGGGGCGGAGGGTCTCTGGTTCGACTCCCCGGTCATGCAACTCCCCGGACTTCGAAACTTTGAAGAAGTGTGAAGTTGTTGACTTTGACGAAAAAGCAAAAAGTTTTGCATGACCGGGGAGTCGAACCAGTGAGTCTATCACAGAACCGACTCTATCAGACCCATATTTTTGCTAAGCGGTTTGCTGGCTTTTTTTTCACTTCCCTAGTAAGTAGTAGCCTAAGTAGTAGTAGTAGACTAGCAAAAGCTCGCATCGCAAAGCTCTCAGTCTGGAAGGGAGAAGACTTTCACTGAGTCCTTTGAGGAGCCTAGTTATTTTTAGAACAAGGAGCGTTCTGTGCCGGAGGTTGCGGACACAATGCTGTTTGCCGAAACGAAACCTGCGAATGTGTGCCTGGCTTCCACGGCGAGCCAGTTCATCATTGCTATGGTAGGCAACCCGCTCATTTGGCTGTACCTTGGTTGCGCAAAATTAAAAGGCTGCCGAAGACATGTGTTGGGAAAATTTTTGAAAACTTAGGATTTATAACACTAAAACTAGTGTTAAAAATAGCTAAAAACAGCGCCGCAGGCAAAAAAAAATTTTGGAAAATTAAATCATAAGGGAAGGAAAATCCTTATGAACTTTTCGGCCTTCGGCCGATTTCGGGGGAGGGGGGGCGGCTCGCCACCCTGGCTCCCCCTCCCTCTTACGGGCCTGCATCTAGACATGCAACGTTACGTATTTACTACCCGATAATAACACATCAAGCATCAAGAATTTTGTGGTCTTTGGGCCGCCTCAAAGCATGCAAGCCACAGAGGTGTCGCGCTTCGTCTGAGACATTAGGGAAACGATAAATGATCCAACGCGGTGTTACAAAGTGTGCATTTAAGAAGCAACTGAATTTCCAGATATCAATGAATGTGAGCTTCCTAACCAATGCAAGGGAGTTGGAGAATCCTGTGTCAATCTTGAGGGCGGCCACGTTTGCTGCAAACCAGATGAGCAAAGTCCTCTATGCCAACCGGTACAGAACCCATCCTATATAATTTTCACTGGTGTGTGTGAGTCCGCCTGCCTAATGCCATATCATACTATATAAAAAAAGTTTTTGTGTGTGTCAGCGTGTGCATTTGCATGAAACCTCCGTTCGTATGTTCCAGTCGTAGCTCAATATAGGCATAAGCTACGGGTATGTATAATACGTCATTAGGTGCGTAATGGGCTTGACACGACCGCAGCTCTATCAAGTCTTCTAAGAAAATCAGCCGTGTGCTATCTTAAAGTTCGGTTTTGTGAAAATATCGCTCAAGCTCTTTGTTACGAATCAATTAGCATAAAGCGGAAGTTGGCAGAGCCTATCAAAGGGTGGCAGGGCAAGCGCTTTTCATTTTTCTATGGGTGCAGGCGGGTGAAGTTAAGTAACGTGGGGGTCACCATGAGGCCTAGACAGGGCTGGTTGGTTCAGAGTAGTAACGGACCCGATTCGGTCGTTGCAGAGCACTTAGCCAAGCCAAAAGTGAAAGATCGTCGTTTAGGCATTGAGGCTATCGGAATCAAATGATGGAACACACGAAGAAACGTTCATGAGAAACCAGGCTGCGTCTTCCGGAGGATTTCGTCAGTCATCCAGCGGTGGAGAATCGAATTTCGAAAGCGGAGGTTTTATTTTTCAAAACAAGTTTGGATTGGACTTCCCGACCGTGACGCTCAGCCCAGAAAACGGTAATTTGTTGTTTTTCAATGTTAAGAATGGTTTAGAACTATCGTGTGTCTCTTACTGCCCAGCCAATTCAGAGTGTCTGAGCGGCGTATGCAAATGTTCTGCCGGATATGAAGGAAATCCGATTTTAGGATGTGCCGGTATATTTTGCAAATAACCATTATAAATCAACATTCGAGCAAATTTCATTTCTGAATAAGCGCTCCCGCACAAGCGCCTTCTTGAGTTTTGTTCAATCAAAAATTGCAGCTAGACCACCGCACTTTTTTCAGATATAAATGAATGTGATAATGGCTCCGATCCTTGTGGTACCGCGCAAAATTCGTCAATCTGGTGCACAAATACGGAAGGCAGCTATTATTGCTGCGACAATAGCAAGCCTGTGAGTGAGTGCCGAGGATTGGAATTGACGGCTGCTGGATTTACGGTACCTGCTATTAAGTTCTTCTGAAGATGTTCTAGGAACCTGGTGGTAACCCGGATCGATCCGATGTGAAACGAACACTCATTAAAGCCGCAGGTGGAACTAGCGGCAGATTGACCAACCTCACCGGATCTGGAAATCTCTCACATCTGGAAAGAGGAGCTACTGAAAGTATCGCCCAAAGGGTATGCGGAATTTAACTAAAATAAATCGCTTAATTCAGGGCGAGGTCGCAAGTCAGGGCCAGAAATTCACAGATGTTGATGTCCACGACGGCGATTTATTGGTACCAGCTGACGGAGAATTTGGATTGGTCATTACTGCTGATGGTAGAGCTTCCTTTCCTTTCCGAATCCATACAGGTTTCCATACAAAAGAACCGAATGAAGCATCTCTGTCGTCACCAACAGCTACTACACATGCTACGACGAAAATTTTGCGGCCCGTTTCAGAAACTTTTTCCACCACCGGACGGTATGCTCGAATACATTATCGGAGATCGTTCTAGGGTATTCCATTTCCCTGCTACAATCGCATCCGCCCAACATGGCTCGGAAAAGGTAAGGACCGTCTCAAAACCATCAACCTGGTTTAGGTGGCAGACGCAGGCATCAGTCGTAACTTGGAACACATCACTGGTGAAAAAGGTTCCCATTGGATTAAATTGGTGAAATTGATCTTAGGTGAATTTACCGAAACAGGCGGAACGATCAAGACTCTGGCCGGGGGCACTATCATCGGCACCCCGATCCACGTTGGACGGAACGAAACCGCGAAGGTACAGGCTCTCTTTTTGCAGAATTATTCTGCTGTCCCCATATAACAGGCTTCTACATTTTTTGCAATTAAGGAGAAATCGATCGAAGAACTTGACCTTTTGCCGCAACCGGGAGAACTTGGCCTAGAAATATCCGTAACGAAAAGGCCCAATGCTTCGGGTAGGTTACCAAATTTTTCCTGCCGATGCCGTGATCCTCAATAATCGTTTACGCAAAACATAAGAATTTTTGCAGAATCTACAACAGGGGGAAGCAAGACTCCTCATATCCAATCCTTATCAACGACGGTTGGCCACGCTGCTACAAACGCTATGTCGACCGTCTCCCCTAACGTCATCATTGACTCAGGGGAGATCGGTGAAGAAGCTGGAACGGACAACAAACTACCGAATCGACTCACTGCGGGGTCTACCACCTCGAAAATAACAACAACACGAGCAGCCTCCACGCTTGGGCCCGAAGAGACCACCCGTTCACCGTTAGGAACCGCTGCCCCCACAAGCTCGGCAATTACGCCACAAGCAACGGTAGCTGCTCATGGTTTAACCACCTCACCGAAGAACGCCGACACAACGCCCATTCCGAAGCCAGAAATAACAGCTGAAAAGCCTACAGCTACCACCATTGAATCCCCGTTAGCAACTGATTCATGGAAAGAGCCGATCACGAAAATGAAATCTACGACGAAGCTAGTCGATCACTCTGTGGAAACGTCCATAACCAATACAGCTGCACCATCCGCTTCAAGCATCCAGACCACAACCGAAGCAGGCTTGGAGATCTCCCGGAACGAAACAGACCCCCGGAAAAATACTAAGCCAGCAACCACGGGTGCAAACCGAACTGACCCAACTGTTACGTCGACGACGGTCAGCATCATAGCGTTTTCTCCAGGCTTGACCGCTAAGGAAATTGCAACGACGAGCTTTGGTTTGGAAATTATAAATGAGACGAAGCAGCCGATCCCTTCTGATGCTTCCACACGCAGGCCAGAAACTGCAAGCCGCCGAATTACTGTTAAACCAGATGGTACGGGTACTCCAAAGCAAGCAACGACCTTCGCAACTATGGAAAACAGCCCAAGGATTCTCACAAAGCCGACAGTCGTTCCAAACAATACTCCAGTCTTCCTTCGGACCAGTTCTATCCTTAATCGATCGTCCACCTCTACCCACACTGCGTCGGTTCCGATTACATCAACCTTCTCCACCATCATGACGACGCCAACATTTACTAAAGCCCCTGCAGTGCCGCAATCGCAGACGACGAAAGAAATGGGGAAAGTCACGACGACAAATATAGCGAGCGCGAATTTCGAAACGTCTGGAAGCCCACCAATAGCCCCCGTGACCCACGCAAGTTTCGAGCCGGCGACCCCCGCTTCTGCTGTGCAGGCGTCCACCGGAGCTATGGGACACAAAACCAATAGCACCGATGTGAAGAACTCAACCCCAACCTCTACCACTATTCACACAGGTTTGATTCATTTCCTGGAAATACCGTGTTCGCAGGCAATACGACGTACCCGGACGCGGTAACGACGAAAAGCCAAACCGTCCTTCCAGCAAAAGAACAGCTGACATCGACGGTAATTGTCTAAAGCCCACAATCAAAACGCTAAACCGACTGGTCGATTTTCACTTCCCACATACAACTTGAATCTAATGCATTTAGACCTCCACTCCTGCGATGTCCCCTAGTACGAGAGTGACCGCGAAGGCTACAATGTATGTTCTATTTAAAGGGCTGCCGACGGCATGTGTCGATCCCCCCCAATTGGCAAGTGCCAACAGGGCAGAGGCGCGCGTGGGGGGGGCGCAGAGACATTTTCTTTCCAGCGCGTAACCGAATGCCTATGCCGTCGGCATCCCTTTAATGATCCATCGGGTACCTGGAAGGCAACCTAATTAGGACATAGGTTATCATGTTTTTTTGTGAGATGAGGGCCACCATTGCAAGGATCCTTAAGAATACCTCCATCGGGAAACAAGTGTACGAGCAGTGACAATTGTGGAATAGACGCATATTGTGAGAGAAGCAGTGGCGCATGTCGCTGTCATCCAGGCTATCAAGAAAGCCCGATCTATCGAAAGTGTGTGGGTATGTAGCCACAGTTCGGATGTTGAGGATCAATATCCAATTTAGATATTGATGAATGTTCCGATGGCACCCACGATTGCGACCCTAGCGCGAAATGCCACAACTTTATTGGAGGCTTCAAATGCTTCTGTGGTGTCGGTTTCCGCCAAAAGCCGAACGGATCTTGTGAAGGCAAGCTATATGCAACAGTTTAATAATTTTTGTTTTGCAAGTTGTCTTAAGCTTAAGCATTGTGTTCGGGGAGGGGGGCTGAAGATAAAACGCACGCCAAAATACAAATTCAATCTTTTTAGACATCGACGAATGTAGTGGATCGGCGGGTGGCTGTTGCAGCGGCAATGCTACTTGTATCAATCTGCCTGGAAGCTATGATTGCAAATGCAACAGCGGTTTTACAGGCGACGGGTATCTACTATAATAATTTTCTTGAGGTGTCTGTCTGTCTGTCCGTCCGGTCCCGAATTCAACTCGAAGGGGAAAAGAGCTAGCGCTTAGGATTAGGATAGAGCGTGGTCAGAAACCTACAGTCGCGAAGCGACTGGAACCGTCTGGTACCTTACAGAATATCTAACTGCATTTCATAGGACATTATGTTGTCCCTTCCGGATCGGGTCATAAGGATAATTTTGTGGCGTGAGATAGGCGTCGGATGCCAAATATATTTACCAGCTATTTGACTTTCCCGTTGGAACGGGATTTGTAGCCAAAAGTCAGCATGTGGGATTGCCGGCTACGTCCGATTTTAAGTCTCATTTTGAGGCAATACGGCGCTACTTTTAAGTAGCTTATCCAAGAATTTCTATTAGAAATTAGAAAGAATCTTTGATATTTGACCGCGTCCGAACGAACGAACCCCTATAACGACACCGTTTGTAGGTACAAATGTATGGAAGTTGAAAAGCGTCTTTGCAATGATGAAGAATTCCGGCTATCGAATTGCGGAAAAAACCACATCTGCACCAAGGATTCAAAGGGTTTGTATTTTTTCGTTGTTTAAAAGGTTGCAGCTTCGGAAGGGAGGGCTCCTCTTGGGTAGTCATCCTGTGGGGTCGGTACCAGTTGTTAGTAATTCAGGTGTCCATGACTGTCGTGAATGCAGCGTCGGTTTTGAAATGCACGGGTCAGAATGTGTCGATGTCAACGAATGCGAAGATAAAAACCTGAATCTGTGCGATCCCGAAGCGCAATGTGAAAATCGCGCCGGTAGCTACAACTGCCAATGCAAAGGCGGCTACATGGGAGACGGGTGAGCCTAATGCAGCATATTAATATTACGGCCAATATCTTTTGATGCTGAACAAAACTGATTTAGTTTCAAATGCGAAGACATTGATGAATGTCGACTTAATCCTTGTCACCAAAACGCACAGTGCCAGAACACAATGGGTTCTTTTGAATGCATCTGTCCAGCCGGATGGCTTGGTGATGGCAAGGTACTGTGATTGCCTCGCTGATCCAAAAATGTTATCAGAAATCGTGTGTGGATCCTACAAAGAATGAATGCGAAGATTTGGCGGCAACCTGTGGAACAACCGAACATATCTCGTGCGTCAGAGCGCGTCTGCACAATGGAAGTGTTGAGGTTTGCATGACACATCAATTGACCTTTAAAACTGCGAACCAAAATTATGATTTTCTTGCTAGATAGCTTCCCTAGGAAGATGCCGTTTTGAACGAGAAAGCGGTTCAAATTTACTAAATATCGCTATTACAAAAGTCATGACGCCACTTTTTCAGAACATTTGCGAGTGTGAGCCGAACTTTCGTTGGAATACGGTGACTAAAAAGTGCGAAGATATTGATGAATGTGCGGAAAATCGGTATGTCTGGCTTTGTTGTCCAACTACATCACATACATCAAGGGCATGCCAATCGATAATCATCATTTAAGGCACGATTGCGACCCTTCAAACTCTCATTGCATAAACTACGAAGGTGGCTTTGAATGCCGTTGCATGGAAGGTTACGCAGGACATGGTGGCATTTGCGTTGGTACGACCAGCCCTTATTCATGAGTTATTGGCCTCGGGGATCCGAACCCTCGACCCCCAGCTCCGTAGATTGCGCCCCGATCCACTACACCACGGGATAGATGCGAAGACGTGCCGGGAAAGGGATTTTCTGTGCGGGGGAGGCAAAGAAAAGAGCGACCCTTGTTCCCGGGAGGAAGGCTTTCTGGAAATTTTATAAAATTCCATTTTTGGATCAGAATACGCTGAAAATCCTACCTTATATAATTTTGGCGTGTATCTTTGTGTGTGTGTGTGTGTATGTCAGTTTCGGGGCCCGATTTGAGGGCATTCCCGTGCCCAAAATGCCCTAATTCTCCGTCACCCGGAGGAATCGGCCTTCCTCTTTCCGATGACGTTTTCAGAATTTCGATCAAATACAAGTTGACAAAGTTAAAGCCGGTTTTATTCATTCTTGGGGGTCCAGCAGGGCTAATTTGCATAATGCGGAAAAATACAAATTTCCTTATTCTTGCCAGTTGCACTCGCCAGTGTGGCCGGGGCAGGGGGGGTCCGCAGGACCCGAACTATCGGAAAGTCAAATTCCTTATGGAAAATCCGCATTCCAGCGTATATAGTCCATATAAGTTCGTTACTATAATAATTTTGCTGTGGTGTCCGTCTGTGCGTCGTGTCCAAGATCCAACTCAAAGGGGAAAGGAGCTAGAGCTTAGGTCTCTTCGGATTCGGATAGAGCGTGGTCAGGAACCCCAAAACTGATCAAAAAAATTATGAAAAAATTTTAGTTTAAATTATTAAAATTAACTAGGAAAGTGGCCCCTTTCCCGGCAGGCCACGTCCCCTTTCCCCAGCCCCTTTTGACTAGGCTCCCCGCGCCCAGATGGTTTTTTTAAGTTGCTTTGATACTTTTTAATACGTTTTAATTAGAATTCGTTATTTAAATCATTTAAAGTATCTGAAGCCATCAGGAAGGTATTTAGGTAGTTTTTGAAGGGTGTTTCGGCTATGGGTGGTATCTGAAGCCATTGGAAGGTATCTGAGCAGTTTAAGTATCTTTTTGGGGGGGGGAGGGGATGGCTAGAGGAGGTATCAGAAGCGATCAGCGTGGGCATTGAAGGTAGAGATGTATTGTGGTGATGTAGAACATGGAGGGTAGCCCGAGGGCCAGTCGATTACAGTCGCGAAGCAGCTGTAATCGGCTGGTAGGATAGGATTATGATATATCCTTGTTTTTACAGATGTTGACGAGTGTAAGCTAGGCACTGCGGGATGTCATCGAATGGCTATGTGCATCAATCGTGTTGGCAGCTGCGGTTGTAAATGCATGACTGGAATGACTGGAGATGGAACTCACTGCGAAGGTATTACAATGTACTGATTTTTGTGACCCGCGATGATGCCTTAAAATTCGAGCGAATGACCCTTTTTGCACCAGGCTTGCAAGGTCTGGCATGTAAAGCGTGTAGCATTGAGGGCGACCCATTAGCTGTTTGGTGGAGTGTCAGTTTTCATGATTTAGGTTTCAATCGAAAGCTCTTGATGCGGAGAGGCGCTATTTTTGATTTTTAAAATTTTAAAATTAAAATTTTTGTTAGACTTGCTATATTTTTTTTCAAACAGACCGAGATTCCGATGCTTTTCCAATCCAAGGGTTTTTGAAATAGCCCACCATTTCTGAACTTTTTGAATTTTTTTGAAAATTTTGCGAGTAAAAACAGTCTGGATGTCGTTTGCATATAAATTAAGCATAAATTTTTGCATAGAAAGCCAAAAATCAACGAAAATGTCGGGAACTACGAAACCCGGAAAATTTTTGGTCTATCCGATTTTTTCCTCCTCTTTTTTTGTCAAACTCTGTATTTGCATCGCTTTCGCCAGACAACTTTCAATTTTCCATTATTCCACAAAACTTCCAGAAATTCCTGGCAACACAACGACTGTAATTCCGGAATCAGTTTTATCGACATCAACATATGCCAGTGCCACGAGTACATTTGCACGCTTGAATAGCGTCACATCCACCGCGTTATCTACGGAAACGTCACGAATGGCGTACACGACTTTCCCAGACAACATTACTTCCACGGTTATGGCCACAATCGCCTCAGTTACTTCAAAAACGACTGTAACCGAATCGGTCGGACCTACCACCGATGCGAACCATATCGAACCCAGGACAAATCTGAAAGACACGACCACTACAGTGCCAGGAAACAATGCGGAAACACTTGAATGCTCAGAGAATTGGGTTAGTCTTCAACTATAATACAATTTACAAAAATACGCAAACACACTTTGGTGCTTTTTAGGTACGGAACTGTCGCTTGGAGAACAAAAAATGTCATGTCGATGATGAAGAAATGCCACAGTGTGGCTCTTGCATCAATGGTTATCAGCCAATTAACGGACTATGCAAACGTAAATTCCACCATAGATGCTTTGAATATTTCCTTCGTCCCGTTTAGCCATATACAGCGAAGGCGGATGCCAACCAAATTCATGCGATCCACACGCCGATTGTACCGAGGTTTCACCAGGGCATCACTGGTGCCAATGCCAGATTGGATATATTGGGGATGGGCGAAAGTGTGATGGTGAGCTTTTAAAATCCGGAAACAGGCCGAGTTGAAAGCCTAAGTTGAAAAGTCGCTTCGCGTAATTAAAAATTTTGTGAGGGCATTTTTTAATTTAATGATTCTCGCCAGAAAAAATGATGGGGTATAATCACGACAGAATATCACCATGGATTGATATAGCACCCACTATTGTAGACGCTTTGAATCAATCGCTTTTGGCAGGAGAATTTCATAACCCATCCAATCGAATTCTATAAAAACAAGTTGACGAATTCCTTCAGATGTCGATGAATGTAGTGTACCAAATGTCTGCTCACCCCTGGCACATTGTTTGAACAAGAAGGGTTCCTTTGATTGCATTTGTCCGGTCGGGTTCACGGGAAATGGCTTCGTCTGCACGCCAATTGTTTCAACTGAGGATAAAGTGATCTTACCGCGTAGGTTAAGTAGTGGAAAAATGACCCCGGGATTAGGTCCGAGTTGCTTTGTTGATACAAATCTCTGTCATCCATACGGGCGGTGTGGGAACGACGGTTTTTGCGTGTGCATGGAAGGATTTGCCGGAGACGGCATCAAAGTTTGCCGATGTGGGTTTTGCACATGATTGTTTATCACTGAACTACAGCCACAGGAAATCGCCCCCGCACTACACATGCTCCGGTCACACCCACGCAGATTTCCCATAAAGGTATAATTGCTTTAGCATGCGACGCACTGAAGGGGCGTTGAAATGTCGTATCTCCTCCTGCGTTTCCGTCTATCCCCGCTCGATAGGCTTTTTAACCATTAGAGGTTCAGGAGTGACTGTTTCGCCCAAGATCACTTCAACTTTTAGTGTATAAATTCTTCTTTGAAACAATTCGCTGAGAAATGATTTTCGGCTTTTAGAAGTCACTGTGACTCGACCTGAAAGCGGAAGCACCCGACAGGGCTCGGCCACCTCCGCGAGACCAAGCAACGAGCATCTACCGCCACAACAAGTTACCCCAGCGACCCCTATTCGATCTCCAACAACGACAAGTAAGTCTACTAGGCGCCGCCTACAAAATCCGCAACGTCCACATGTGTGTAGTAGTCAACTTTCTCGCCCCCAAAATGGCTGAACTTTCAGCAGCTCCCGGAAATTACGAATATGGATGCGTTACCCCGACCCTAAGACAAGGCAATAACGGTATCAGAAAAAACTAACTTTCCAAGGAGCTTATTAATAATTAACTAAAAAACCTGCTACCGATCCGAAAGCTTGCTCGTTTTTATTAGTCGCCCATTATCGCAAAGGACCTTCATTTTCAGGGCACAACGAAAGGCCAACAGCACTAGGAGTCATTTCTGGTGCGAAGCGGTGCACGGCAGATGATCGCTCGGCATGCCATTCATTGGCCTTATGCGAAACCGAAGGAATTTGCCGGTGCAAAGATGGATATGAAGGAGACGGATACAACAGCTGCACGTGAGCGACAGCGGTTTATCATCACAAGTCGCGTTTTTAGAAAGATTCCAACAAACGATTGTGTTGATGACCCTACAATCTGTGATTTCCGCGGAGAATGCAATCCGACGAAGCGGCGCTGCGAATGCCAACTAGGCTATATTGGTGACGGCCTAATTTGCGCCCCGGATCCGCTGGTTTTTAAGCTTATTCATATGGATTATTGTCGTATAGGATTGTCATGTTCGCCATGAACTCTGCAGTCTCGAGGCCGAATGCCGGGGCCGAAGATGTCAATGCCTGCACGGTTATACGGGAGATGGCATTACATGCGTTTCCTTAAGCAATAGGGTCTCCAACGCTTCCGAGTGCGCCGAAAACGCTCATTTTAATGGAGCTTACTGTCAGTGCAATGTGGGTTTTCGCATATCGTGCACAATAGAACATATATACATATATAGGTTGGGTATCTTGGGAACGGTGAATGTTGTGTCGCTGACCCTAGGGATTGCCAACACTTCCCTGGTACATGTCATGCGGATGCTTTTTGTAACAAGGATGAGCGGACATGCAAATGCAACCATGGATTCCTCGGAAATGGTTAGTGGGTTTCATTTCGTGGCAATTTGAGTCATCCCTGGCGTTGCACAGAGGTCCGGCAACGGAACCTAATTTCAAAACATTCGTGTAAATCTTTGTGATACAACGCATAGTGCTGATCTTATTCTTTAGGCTTATCATGCTACCCGATGCGCTCGTGTCGTTCAAATCGAAACATCTGCCATCGTGAAGCAATCTGTCTCCCGGACGGGCGATGCATGTGTAAGGATGGCTATGATGGTGACGGTCATGAATGCGTGCGGCGTGGTTTCACCGGGCTGCGGGACAATACGGTGAGGTGCTCAGCGGCTGATCACCAACCTGAATTTCAGCTCCCGGATGTGCCGACGGCCTGTGGCAACAAATGCAATGCTCATTCAGAACTTTGCATTAATGCAAAATGCGAATGCAAACACGGCTTTGAAATGATCGGCAGCACTTGCCAAGGTTGGTCCATCGGGCTCCCAGGCAGCCATATCAGCGGGTGGACTATCATATCAAACTTTTAGATATGGACGAATGCGTGCTGGACAGGCCATGTCATCAATTAGCAACCTGCAAAAACGTGGAGGGATCCTACGAATGCATGTGTCCCGATGGTTATCATGGAGATGGAAAACATTGCGTGGAAAATGTCAAGCTCGGGCAGCTACAAGGTGAGCATTCTTGAAAAGGTTTTGGAGGACCGTGACAAGTAAGCTTGTTACGATCTTAAGATATAAACTTGCTTACGAACATTTGCCGTTTAGTTCTCTGCGAGCGGGGGCAGATGACGTTGCTCCTCGAGAACCGTACGGAGCTCAATGATGGCCGAATCTTTGTCCGTGGCCAAGCAGAGAATCCTCATTGCACCAAGCAGTTTACGGCTTTCAAGGTGAATCAAATCTTTACAACACCATTTTACGCCATTCAGAGCGAGTCAAAGCCTTATCGCTTTTCTATCCCATTTGAGCATTGCAATGTTCGACTGGAACAGCAGGTAAAGTCCAGGAACATTTCCGAAAACTTTGCATAGAATACTGTGGCTGCAACTGTAGTCGTGCAAAAACATCCTATGTTTATCACGGCGGCATCAGATGCATACGATTTGCGATGTACCTATCCTCTTGGTATATTTTTCATTGAATTGCGGCAAAATGGCATCGTAGAAGCGAAAGAGGTTGAATCACATGTAAACATCTCGGACCTGGCCCCAACGCTCACACTCAGTGATCAAGCTTCCGGCCCGATTTGCAGTCTTATTGTCACAAATGAACAACAGGAGGCAGTAAACAGTGCCATGGTGAGATAGGTGGCAACACCATTTACGCTTCATTTGCAGGTCGGCCAAAGTTTGAAGCTGACGCTCAAAGTGGAACCGAGTGAAAATTACGCCATTTTACCAAAGAACTGCTTTGCAATTAACATCGAAACCGGTGATCGCTATTCTCTGACGGATAGCATGGGCTGCGCCATCGACGAAGAATTATTCCCGGAATGGTCGCATATCTCCAGCGCTCAAACCTACGCATTTTTCCGTACTTTCAAATGGCCAGATAGTTCCATGATCCGATTCCAGGTAGGGTTTTAGGCTGCAAATATCTGAGGGCTAACGCTCATCTGTAGCACCTCTAGTCAAGTCTTTTATCAGACGCTCGTATAAAAAATAGTGTTTGTGTATGTGCATTTGCATGCAACTTGGGTCCGTATGTTCCAGACGTGTCTCAATAAGGGAAGAATTTAAGGGCACGTATAATATGCCATTAGGTGATAATGGTCATGGCACAACTGTACGTCTAGCAGATTTTTTAAATTCAGCTGTGTTCGATATTAAAATCAAGTTTTTGGCAGAGGAATTTAGGGGTTTATGCAATGTGATAAAGCATTGGGGTCAAACGCTAAAAACCTCTGGTCAAAATTTAGTGTGACTGTTCGGCATGTGTTGGTAAATGCCCGTCGATTAACTGCGCGAGGAGAAGGACGCTAGCACAAAAGTTATTCCGATTCAGAAGGGCTCCATCACATGACCAGGTGCGTTCTATTTCGTTCAAAATGTAATAGTTTTGCTATCCTGGCGGAAATTGATGCGATTAAATAAGCGATTCTTTTAGCAAGATGTCATCGAGGAAAACGCTCTACTGGTACAGACGGCCTTGGAAAATAGCGAGGAGCGCGATTTGTCCCAAAAACTTATCATTTCACCTATGGTCGCCTTTTCTAAGCTTGTAGCCGTTCATGAGGATGTTGCCCCACTACCAACCAGCCAAAATGGTTTGTTGAAAGCTACGTCAAGAATTTCTTCTTCTAGGGTCCCAACCTCAAGGACCGCCAGATGTTCTCACCGAGCAGATGTGGTCGATCTGCTTTGATGACCGCGGTGTGGCATTGGTCTCTCTTTGTGTTTTAGTTTTTTCAATCCTAATGATTTTCATCCTTCTTAGGCAGACTTTATCCGAAAAATTTATGACATCAGTAAGTAAAAAACCTGCTAAATAGACACCATTATCAAGAACTGTTTCACAACGATCTTTACAGCGCATTTGATCTTCCTTTTTTTGTTACTTTAACCGAAAACGATAGTCAACCTTTATGAAATCTCATATTGACATTCCAAAAGCCGTTTCGCCATCTCAACAATTTTTTTGTGATTGATTTTGATAAGATCAGGTTTTTTCATGGCCGTTTCCCATTAATATTTCTTTCCCGTTATAATTTGTTATTGCTTCGGGTCCATTCGATGACGGCATGCGCTTAACGTTCATCTTAAATAAATTTATTTCAAGTCGCCGGACAAAAACACGTTTATGCACATGCAAAGCTGAAAAAACTCAGGACACGAAGATGACATTTTCTCATCTGTCCTCACCCAAGAAGTGAGGGTATTATGCAAGGAGAGCAGGGGCACATATCGATTTGCGCAGCCAAGAGATTACTAAAAGAGCTCTTCTAAGGTATAATTTCTACTGAAACTGAAGAATCGTTGCCCTCGGATGCAAATGTTGTTCATTCAGTCAGTATCTTAGCTCAAAACTAAGAAGAAACCGATAGTCTCGCTAGCGATCGCCCGTATGCTATGTGGAGATAGAGGTGGTGCTGAGGTTGCGTGCCATGCATTCGCCAATCGATCGGGTGCGCAATGTGATGGTTCCACTCAGCCCCCAACGGGCCTCCCTTTCCATCTTGTCCTTCCTACTCAGATAATATCTTTTGGCACCGCGTTTTGCATATCTTATCTTATATATACGCACGGGTATGGTCATCGACACATACATATATATATATATATATACCAGTGTTGAAAAGCCGCTTCGCGACTATTCAACCCTGGCCACGTCTGATCCCATGATATTCTGCCCTTTGCATAACGCACGCGATTTTCGATAACAAAAAAATGAGAAACGCTCCCTCTTTACCTTTATATAGGCTACCGCAACTTCCGGCGTATGCTAATTGTTTCCAAACAAAGAGGGTTCTCGGGTTTTCAACAAAAAACTTAATTTTAACCTCGTAAACACCAACTTTTTGCATCCCACGGCCATTACGCACCTAATGATTTATAAACACCAGGGTTGCAAAGCCGCATCGCGACTTTTCAACCCTGGCCCCGTCTAAACCAATAATATTTTTCACTTTGCATTCTTGCCTACGGTTCTCCATTCCTATGTGAATAATGAAAAATGTCACTCTCTAGCTCTTCATCTAGGCTCCCGCCATTTCCGGTTTATGCAAATTGTTTCCTACCAAAGAGGGTTCCCGATTTTACAACAAAAACATAATTTTAATATCGAAAACTAATGATTTTTAAAAATCTGATATGCGTGCAGTCATCTCGTGGTCATTACGCACCTAATGGCGTATCATACGTAAACTATTACCCTTCCCTTCTTGAGATATCCTCCGGACAGCCTGACGGAAGTTGCATGCAAAGTGGCACACACAGACACTATTTTTTTATGGATAGCAATATATACATATATGTCCAAACCCGTCCGCTTTTTTCCATTGGCATTTTCATTGATCTTGACGAAAAATTATCCTGAAGTAAATTCAGAACCGAACCGCAAAAAGATTCAGCCGACCTGGTTAACCACAGATGAATGGATTAGACGGAACTTCCAATGCTTCCGGCTTTGATCGGAATATGGCCATATGGACACAACGGGCCGAGGAGGTACAAATTCACATGCTGATAACTTTTATTTTTGCTTTCAGGCCAAAACAAGGAATTTGGAAAAAATGAAAAGACAACGCGATAAGGAGAAAGAAGAAATTAAAGCTTTGCATAAGAGGTATTTCGTTGCATTTACAACTTGTTGCATGGTGCCTTAGATACGTCGAGGAGCGTTTAAGGAAAGAGGCTGAAAAACCAGCACCTGTGGCGGTCGGCCAAAAAAGCGTCCAAGTAAAACCATGACCTGGAAGGCTCCTATCAAATTTTAGCCGTCTACAAAAAACAGTCGAGTTGATGATTTGTCGAGCACCGATTGGAGACAGCCGATGACTCGCATGGGTGGTATATTCGTCTTAATTTACCGGAAATTGGTCATTAGCCCTAGTTTCCAACGCACCAACCAATAATGGTCCATATCTCAATCAACCGAGTCCATATCCTCCCTTTATTCAGGTCATACATTATTTTAGTTCCAAACAGCTGGTTTTAGGCTTACCCACCTACATACCAACAAAATGTTTGCTTTAACGATGCATACCCGCAACACGGATTTGCTTCTATGCCTGGTGCGCAGAACAGCAATTGGTAATTTATGGCCACATTTCTAACATTTCTTAGGACTATGTCTTGTATCGAACCGAAAAAAGGGTTCAGCCAAGTATCGGAAATGGAAATGCCGACAACGTCTTCACGTCAGCAACCTACTGTAAACCAAGGGATAAATAAAATGGTGCGTGCAGCCGGAATGATTGATATGCGTTCCAGAACGATTCGGCGCGGCCTATGAATAACCATTTTGGTTCAAGTGTTAATTTCATAAACGAAGATTTGAATCAAGGCCGGCTTCTTGATATGGTTTGTATTATTTCTCACTGGCAAATAACCTGATTTAGGGTGCTGCTGATCCTGAAGGAGCTCATGTCGCCCGCTTTCCTTGCCCATTACAACCTACACAAACGATCCCCTATGCTCAACGCCACGACAACGCAACGATGACTGATTATGAAAATGGTTAGTATATCTGAATCTCATTCTTTATCAATTTGGATCTTAAATCTCAGTGACGCGTGCCATAAATAAGTTAAACATTTTAGTAGGAGCCAATGCATTGCCTGCACATCCCAATTGCATCAACCCCGTTCCCGTCCATCCATTTTATCCCGCCCCTCGCGCATTTGTGCCTCCAGGGTAAGTATGTATTTTTCATAAGCCGAGGGATTAGTGGATTTACATTCATTTTATTTTCAGCTACCCGCAGATGGGAGAAGCAACAATGGTTCGCTCTGCATATCCTTGCGGAATTTATCAAATGCCATAATATATAACTGGTCAAGGAGCAACTGTCCGTCGTCATTTCCATAATAGCGCTCTTGTCACGCCAAAGTATACGGGTAGCTAATAAAATTTTTGCCTGGTGACTGTTTTACCCACAAGAAAATCACGAACGATCCAATTTTTTACTTGTTTTTTTTGCGGGTTCACATCTAAGGAATTTATTTCATTAAAAGCTAAAGTTCACGTATTAAGGTTTTTATCCAAGGAGATGGTCCATTCCGACCTAAACAGCTTAGCAGCAATTTGATTTAACAAACCTTGCTTTCCCAGATGAGGTCGACTGCGGTGAAGTTCCAGACATCAGGTTGGCCATAGTGCGGTGCAACAACTTTCGTAGTCCGCCAGCTATAAAATTTTATTTAGGAATTGAGAAACGGATTGAGAATTGTTTGTAGCCAACAATTCTGGCTGGAAAACTTTATCCTTACTCGAAAGTCGGCTGTTGATCGTTGGTTGGCCCTCCCCAAGCGCGGAAGGTCAACTTCGATGCCATCTCATAGTTGCAACCCTAACAAATAGTTTGTATCATGTGATAAATATACCTTATAATCGAGACCAGCATGATTGCGGAAACTCATCGAGTCGACTTCCCAGGTATTATTCAGGGGGTTAAGATCACCTCTAGCCGAAATCCCACCTATATTATAAAAGTATAATAAAAGTCGAAAAATAATATGTAACCTTCCGCTGTATAAGGTGTCGGGTTGCATTTGCATTTTGCAAACTCATCATGTTCGTAATCATTGTACCTATAAGCAAGAATGAGAGAGAAGATGGATAATCGGGTTACCTCATCAATTTCGTCAAACTGTCAATATCCTGGACCTTGTGGTGATCCCGCTCAAACATATGAGCACGAGGTGAGCTACCCCAACGATACCAGTCGAATTGGTTTCCCTAAAAATATTTTATCAAGTATTTGGATAGAGAATTAGAAAAATTAGAATTAGAAAGATTTGCTTTTGGATTATTAGCCGCATCAAGGCCGTTAATGAGCTGGAACGGGGTCAATATGAGCCTGTTCAGGGCTGAAACTTTTGGATAGGCACTAATATTCAAAACCTTTAACCTTCCGACTTCAATTTTTCAAATTCTAAACAGAATTATGTTAAATCTCCGCTATTGTAACCTTCGTGAAGCTTCCATGTGTTGAATGCGCACGTTTCCTGATGAAATTTTAATGCTACCTTGTTGCTGAAGCCACTGATGATGTTTATATCGGTGAGGTAGGGGATGTTGTATGACGGCCAGTACGACCATTTTTTCAGGAACCAAGTCACATCCGCAATTGACGTGAAGCCTCTGATATCAAAATTACCAGGGAAATTCATAGTACATACGGTGCCTGTTCGAGGACCCACAATACATCGCTATCCGGGAGCTCTTTTCCAGGAGTAAATTTTTTCCAGTCAAGGACCTGCAAAACATTCAACTCCGTCATGTTTAATTCAATTTATACCGTCCATTGATTGTTGTAAGTGCCGGAATTATACTGTTGGAAGATCTCGACCCATTGCTTGGATGTGCTGTAACAAACAGGATTTTTTTTTGTTGAAATCAGAATGACTTGATCTACCTGGCCAGTGCATTACTGATGAAAGACCGGACCCAGCAGTGAAGCTGTCCAGAAGAATTGACGAATTGATCATAGAGCGTTTGATTGAAGATCGCGATTGTGGTTTCGATGGAGGACTATGGAGAAATGGTTAGTCAAAATCTCTTCGGTCACTCATCCTGGTATATTTTTCAATGCTCTAACGAAATACAAAAACACAAAAGAACAAACGATAACTTTTCCAAAAGCAGATACTCCCTCGGGTTTCAACAAAAACTAGGTATTACCAGGCCTGAGCTCATGATAGAATAATCATCTGCGGAAGCCAAGGCAGCAGGATAGCCAGAAAATGAGACGGTGTGACCGGGAACCTCCTTCTTATCTGAATAAGGCTTTTGGCGTATTTCGGGGTCTTACCGTAAGCGAATTTGTAAAGCTTCAAAATGCGATTCATCGTATTGAGGCCGCTCATTGCGACGTGCGAAAAAAACATATCCTTGTTGTTGTCAGCAATTTTGACCAATCCAGAACATCGGCCGGCTTCCGGGTATTCTTGCGGATCAGGAGTTTTATTGAACTTCTTATTCAGGTCGAAAAGCTCGCCGGAAAGCTGGATCATGCTGAAAAAAATGAATTCGTGGCTGATTCTTACAAAAACCAATTCGGACAGAGCCGAAAACTCACTAGATCGCATGAAGATCAAAGCCGATCTCCGGATTGAGGGTGCGGTTCACATATGCGTCATAAATCCCAGTCATTTGCGCAAAGGTGAGGTTGACCTACAACTGTCCCTGAATCAATTTACATAGGCGTTACATGTCTCCAATATGGATCACTGGCTGGCTGAGCAATCACTTCTTTCCGGATCCAATCCAGATGCTCCGTCAAGTAATTGTACAGTGTCTTACAGTAATTTTTATAGCTAAAAAAGCTTCCGGTCAATGTAGCGGGCGCTTCCGCTTACCCCGTGCAGAGATCTTCAATTGTGTTGCGATAATGATAGTAGATTTGAAGCTTTGTGAGATAGCCTAATAAAATGGAAATTTTGTTTAAGCATTTCTCTCACCTTCTGCTACGCCGGCTGCGTAAGCCTGCACATCATATTCGTACCCGGGAAAAGTCTCAATTTCTAATATTCCCCACCTAGATTCAAGATGATTGTTTTCCGTTGGTTCAAAAGCCACTTACCCGGTTTGATTAACTTGATTACTGTAGCGGCCTACCGCCACTTGAAGGCTTTGCACCGCACATTTGGATGTATCAATTTCAAGCTGAAGCGTAGAGTAATGGAACTTCGGGGAAAGTAATATTCTCACCAATAGTTGTCCGGGATCGGTTTCATTCACACATACGGATACATATTTGTATGGGAAGGGCTTTGGAGGAGGGGGTGGATCGTTTGGTATACGCTGAAAATAAAAATTTCTCAAATGAAACCTTGTTTAGCATCCTATTCATGACCAACTAACATTTGTTTCCAGATGTTCCGTTTTTTTCCGGACTCCAATGCCAGCCGCCAACCCAGCGAGCAGCAATAGCAAGGCCGCCCTCATTTTTACCTAAAAATCATTTTTAAGGGCCTGGCCGTTGAGGAAAACCTGAAATGACAGTTATTCTTTCCGAAATCATAAACAGTCGTTAAGAGTTAGTTACTGAAATCGAATATTGGGTACCGTAATTCCTTCAAAATAAACCAAGACATATATCGCTAGGTTTTCTCTCTTTTGGGGGAGGGTCTAATAAATCCCGTTTGGAGCCACAAAAATAACTTGAACTCGAGTATTTTTACTGCTTAGCTTTTACTGCGAAAGCCCGATTTGACGGTCCTAATGGAGTTTGACCAATTAAATTCTTAAGGACAGCTGGCATGTCAGGGCAAAGCATAGACAAGACTTTATCGATTATCTTGGTACCTGAAGTACAATTTTGAAAGGTTTGATCGAGAACGGGGACTTCTATTGGAGAAAGGTATATTTTGACTTAAAAATGAAAACGGTATATTTTGCCAAAGTATGAATTTCGAAATGTTTAGGGGCTATGGATCTTGGCGGCCTTATCAACTAGACAGGGTCTAGCCCCAAGATTAAGTATATTGGGGTTGGATCAATTTGTGGAGGGGGGTGGTGCCCTTTGGCGGGATTATCAAGTGCGATTGGCACTGATACGGCTCGATCGAAAGTTCTAAGGTACCTTAGGTGCCAAATCAAGGCGGGGGATCAATATGTCAATATGTATAATTCCATCAAAAGGGTGGTAACACTCGACGGCTGCTCAAGTACAGGCATCAAAATGCTTCCCTCTGTTCAAACCCCATCTTTTTTAGGTATAACCCTTAGAACCTGAAAAGTGAAATGTTTTTTTCTCAAACACTTTGTGACATCCTGAAATCATCCCATAACGTGTAGCTAATGTGCTTAGAGATGTTAAGAATCAATTAACAATCAAGATTATTTGCATTCAATGGCACAATATTACTTGATTTGGATGGAGCCGAGCGCATGACCAAGTAAAATAATATTATTTGACTCCGCTCGAGAAAGAGCCAAGTAAGATTACTTGATTTACTTGATTTACTTGATCAAACAATAGCTTTCTGGAATTCTGGCATTTTTCGGATGGTAATGAACTTTATGACATGATCGCATGCTAATTTACTGGGTTCGCGGGACGATTGCCTGATTTGCATTTCGAATTTGCACAAAATCAAGTAATTTCGCTGAAAATCAAGTAATTCTCCCAAATCAATCAAGATCACGTAAATCAAGTAATTTTATTTTACTTGATGCTTATTTAAGCAAACGGAGTAAAATAATGTTATAATTACTTGAAGATTTCGGATGCAAATAAAGTTGTTCGAGCAAATTTACTTGGTCATTATATCATTTGATTCGTAACATCTCTAAATGTGCTTAGTAATTGAGCGCCCCAACCAAAAAAAAGATGAAACGGAATTGTAGAGTTTTAACCCTACAATTTCGTCCCGCAACCCGCCCAAGAATTGTTCTAGGTAAAAAAAATGGTTGTTGAAAGTCCGGCTACCAAGATAACTCCGAGACCACACTCAATGGCCTGACGAATTGATAACTAGGCGTTTATCACCAGTTGTCTGGTCTCACCGATCGCTGCCAGCCACTGAAAAAGGACTGTTTATAAAACTCTGAAATATAAACAAAAAAGGCCCTTGGTTTTAAATAAACCATTCTGAAAAATTTTAAATAAACCATTCTGGTAAAACGGGCGTTCGAGGATCTAAACCCGCGAATTGTCCCAGGATGGCCAAATTTACAGTACTCCTGGCGGGTCGATTGTTTGGCAGGCGCAAACGGGCTTCGAAATCAGTGACCATCGACGAAATGAAATATCATCGCAAATTGCGTTGCGCCTGGACGTACAAATGGGGAAACACTTTCAAAGTTAATTATTTTTATTTAAACAAAAAATTTTTCATAATGTTTTCATCATGTGGGGGTTTCTGACCGTGCACTAACCGAATCCGAAGAGACCTAAGCTCAAGCTCCTTTCCCCTTCGAGTTATAGTTGGCTTGGGACGGACGGACGGACACACAGACATTTTTATAGTTGATAGCGTCTGTGCGCGCGTGCATTTGCATGCAGCTTCCGTCCGTATGTTCCAGTCGTATCTCAATAAAGGAAGAAGTTAAGGGTTTGGATGATACGTCATTAGGTGCGTAATGGCTATGACATGGCTGCACGCATTTTTTTAAAAAAATCAGGTGTTTTTGATATTAAAATTAGGTTTTTGTAATAACCTCTCGCCCGACCTCTTTGTTAGGAATCAATTTGCATGCACCGGAAGTAGGAAAAGCCTATATAATGGGCCAGAGGACGCGTTTTCCATTTTCTGTACAAAAGTTCAGGAGTTTATGCAAAGTGATGAAGTATCGCGTCAGACGAGGACAGGGTTGAAAAGTCGCGAAGCGGCTTTTCAACCCTGGTATGAAATGAATTATTTTTGGCAACCAGGATGACAGGTCCAAGTACAAAAAGTGATGGCTGTAAGGTGCTTTTTAAGGTAAATTCGGAATCGCCCCTCTTGGAAGGGTCTCGATTTTCCGAACGCTCGCTAGTTAAACCGATCGAAATTCTTTACCACGAGTTTGCTAGCGCATTCTGAGAGCTTCGTTTTGATACCCTACATGTCTCCCTAACTCTTCAAAAGTACCATCATTTCGGCTTAAAAGTTTTATACTTTTTCAGAAAACTTCAAAAATCTTTGATGAGTAAAGGTCGTCAAAAATCGAAAAAATCAGCTTGATTTCTATTTACTCTCCAGGCCAAGCACGGCATTTTCAGCCATTAATGTACCATGAATCCATTTCCCTTCACGAAATATTTAGACCCAAACCCCTCTCTTTGTAGATTTCGTCCACCTGTTCTTGCATATTTCAAGAATTCTATTATTCGCGATTTTCTTCAGAGTTTGAAGTGTTGCTAAGTCAAGAAGCGGTGACTTGAACAAACATCAATCGACCACCGACGATCGGGTGAATCCGAAGTCAAAGACCGCTACCTTGCTGCAGCTTGGGCCTTCAAGGGCTCGTACACGCTGCCGTCTACGGCGAAATATAGCCTGAGGGGCACGCGTTATCACACATGCGTTTAGCAGAAATGGCTCATGCTCACATTGGTGCGTATATGCTGACAAGCACTGACTCGCCTACAAAAGCGTCAGCTACCACGGCTATAGTTTTCCAAGGTACCAGCCCATGCTCCCATACCTGAACGTGTCTTGTAAGGATGAATGCCGATTCCAATAAATTTGAAGGCCGTGCAGCCGATAGTTCGAATGGGGAACCCCTGTGATTTTTTTAAAAACATTTTTCTGTCTTTGCATAAGTTTTTTAAAACAATTTGAGTTGCAACGAAATTTGGAATCACGCGCTGTGTTTTAGTCATCTGTCATAGAATTTGCTCATTTGAAGGTTCTTTTTGCTGCGATTTTTATTTAAGTTGAAGCTTCTGATACCTTTTTAACCTTTTTGTTACAAATTCCAGTATTTATTTCATTTACTTAAATATTATGTGCTGCTTTCGAGATTGGAACTCGTGCGACAACGGGGGGGGGCAGGGGGTCAGCGTCAGGTGCGTCAGCTTTGCGTGTTGCCCGGGGAGCTATTTTCACAAGCAGGGGGACCTAAGGGTGGATGGGGAGGATTGGCCTGGGGCGGGGATGAGCGCTCGAATCGGTTTTCTCCAACTGCCGTGGGGAGGGCCAGGGTAATGAGGATTGCAAGTGATTGGATATGCGGGAGGGCAGGGGAGAGCCCAGGCAAGTGCCAACGGAAAGGGCCCAATGGGGCAGACGGCCAGACAACTCGATCGATCGGCCGGAGACAGCCTTGCCGTGTCCGTCCCACCTGATCCGCCCTCCCCATCCTCTTTCCAAACTCCGTTCCCCCACCTATATTGCTTATTCTTCTCCTTCGCATGAATTTCGCGGACCCATATCCCTTCACTGAAAAAACTCGGGCGGCTTTGATAGGCTAAAACAGAACAATCTTAAATATCGAGCTGTTGGCATCACCGTGTTATTGTAAAACTTCGCTCTTACCACCACACCTAAAAATTCATATATAGCTCTTCAAGTCCCGGTCTTCCCGAAGTAAAAAGACAGCTCATCGCTAACACCCGGTTTGCGACTAGGTCGTTGCGCATCAATTATTAATTAGCAAGGAAAGCATTAAACCTTCTGTGCTGATCAATATTGCTGACGATACATGATGTACTGTGCCCTCCACAAACTTTTTATGGTTTCGACGCTTTGTTGAGTGCATTTTCGCCCGACAAGAATTTTTTTATCGAGCATGCTTAAAAAATTACCCACTCACTTCATTTCAGAGCATTCGAGGGTGAGTGTTTCAAGCGCAGACGACTGGTGATTTGAATTGGCCGACCCCGCATGGAGTCGTCGCGCACCGGCTGATCAACATCGGCCTGATAGAAGAAGTGTAGCGAGCACCGCCTGACCACTCGCCAGCCTCGACATGGCCGACCTGGAAGCCGTGCTGGCTGATGTCAGCTATTTAATGGCCATGGAAAAGAGTCGAAGCCAGCCAGCTGCACGCGCATCAAAACGCATCGTTCTCCCTGATCCAAGGTTGGTTCGATCAACAATCGACGGCATCTTCCTCCAGTCACCAAAAATGTACCCTAAATTTTACGTATATACTTTTGCGAATATTCTCACTCCACGATCTCACGAAATTCTCCGCCAGTTCCCAGGGTTCCGCAGCTCCCTTAGATCATTCCCCCCCCTCTCCAATCCCAAAAAAAACAAAAAGCGGTTTACCTCATGCCCGCAACTGCTTTCTTAGATAGCCTGATTTCTGATTGCCGGATTGCGATTTGAGGATCGATTCCCTACTAATAGACCCAGATTTGTAGCTGCTGGCGTTGGCGTGGGCAAGAGGGTGAAAGCGGGGGGGTTGGGTAAGGCTGGCAATCGCAAGCTTTTGCCGCCTTTTCGGACCATTATGCCAAGCAGGTCCTCACGAACATAGCTTGTTCGAGGAGCGGCAGGCCTCAGGCGAAAACATCATTCGCCGGGCATCTTTCGCCGGGCGGGAGCGCATCTACATCTTTTGAATTTGGAAGCGTCACGCAAATGCCCGGCTTTTGCACCCCGTCCCCCATTTATATTCACACATTGGCTCAGAAATTGCTTTCCACTAAAGAAATGTTTGGTTGGAGCATCGTAAAAAAGGGGGGGGGCGTCCGTTCAGCTTTCCGGGGAGGGGGAATGAAAGTGAGAGGCCATAAGACGGCAGATAGGATACGCCTTCGGATTGGGAAATGAGAAGCGCATGGGCAATCGCGAAGGGCGTTAGGGGCAGAATTCGAATTTGAGCGTTTGGTCTAGAGGGGGCAGTATACGGTTAGAATGTTTGCATTGCTCGGTTAAATGTGCCGAAGTCGTGGCCCGTTTTTATTCACGATACGCAACTGCAGACGTATTAATCAATTTAGTGTACGCAGTATTATGCAGAAATATCTGGAGAAGACTGGCGAGATCAAATTCGAGAAGATCTTCAACCAACGCTTAGGATTCCTGCTCCTGAAAGATTTTGCGGAAAACATTTCGGAAAACGCGTGCCCACAGATCAAATTTTATGAGGCGGTACGTCTAAAGGATTCACGCATTTCATTTCAATTCAGATCAAAGATTTTGAAAAAATGGAGACGCCGGAGGAGCGGCTCGCGAAGGCACGAGAGATTTACGATCATCATATAATGGTTGAAATGCTCGCACATGCACATGTTTGCGTCAATTCTATAAAGAGATGGGCCCCTTTTAGAACTATACCAAGGAGTCGTTGCAGCATGTGCAGTATCATTTGCTTCGGGGCAGCGTCCCGCCCGACCTCTTTCAGGTGATTTTCCAACATAGAGAGATGGATGATATTACTTTTCCCGTCGAATCGGGTTTCGTTTGTTGGTCCGAATGGACCTGGGCACTTGCAAATCCTAAATGAAAACTGAAACCATTTAACCTAAATTCAAGGTCTTGGAATTTTATAAACGCGTGGTAGGGCATTAATTGTAGATTTGAAGTACATTTTAGTTGGTATTATACCCTTTGTAATGTTACCGCAAATACCCCTTTTAGCGCTATGTTGTTGAAATCTGCGAACAGCTCAAGGGAGATATCTTTCAACGGTTTTTGGAAAGGTTCGGGTAATAATCACGTAGTTAATGCCGTGGTTTAGTGACAAATTTACACGATATTGTCAGTGGAAGAATCTTGAGTTGAACATGAATCTAACAATGAATGATTTTTCCGTCCATCGCATTATTGGGCGTGGCGGATTTGGTGAAGTCTACGGGTGCCGGAAGGCCGATACTGGCAAAATGTAACGTTATCATTCCAAAATCCCCAATGTTAATCTAGGTATGCCATGAAGTGTCTGGACAAAAAGCGTATCAAGCTAAAACAGGGTGAAACACTCGCGCTTAATGAACGTATCATGCTGTCACTAGTTTCCACTGGGGTGAGTTTTGTATGCGTTGGGTTGGGTTTATTTAGGACCGTGGGCTTCCAAAGCCAACTTTTCTATATTTTAATAAACAAATGTAATTTAGCAAGATTGCCCTTTTATTGTTTGTATGACATACGCTTTTCAAACACCAGACAAACTATGCTTCATACTGGATCTGATGAACGGAGGTGAGGCTTGTATAGTGGCATTAATTTTTAGAATTTAGGAGATCTACACTACCATCTCTCTCAACATGGCGTATTTACCGAGCAGGAAATGTTATTTTATGCGGCGGAGGTTTCTTATTGCCAAGCCAAGGAGAAAATTGTTTTAGGTTATCCTGGGCCTCGAGCATATGCACAATCGCTTCGTTGTTTATCGCGACCTTAAGCCCGCGAATATTTTGCTTGATGAAAATGGCCATGTTCGGGTTTCTGATCTAGGATTGGCCTGTGATTTTTCAAAGAAAAAACCTCATGCGTCCGTGTAAGAGATTGTGCCACGGGCCTATCCTATCCTTTTTCTTTAGCGGCACTCATGGTTATATGGCACCTGAAGTCTTGGCGAAGGGTGTTGCTTATGATTCTTGTGCCGACTGGTTCTCATTTGGTTGCATGCTCTACAAATTGCTCAAGGTAGATATTTGCCGAGTTTATCCACCGGAGTCCTTGTTAGGGTCATTCGCCGTTTCGACAGCACAAGTCAAAGGATAAAACCGAGATCGATAAGATGACGTTGACGCATGATATTGAATTGCCGGATTCGGGATTCACGTGAGTGGAAAACTGTATTAGAGAACCCTACATGTTTCACAAATACGCATACAACGCCGAACATTATCCCTCTTTTAGAACAGAATGCCGTGATCTACTTGAGGGCCTCTTGAAAAGAGATGTGCCTGAACGCCTTGGATGTCGAGGCAAAGGGTGAATCACTAAGATCCAATGATTATGCGTGCTATTTAGTCCAACAGAAGTGAAGGAACATCCATTCTTTTCGGGAGTTGATTGGCAAACTGTATATTTACGGAGGTTAACGCCCCCGTTAATACCTCCTCGAGGTGAGGTTAATGCTGCCGATGCGTTTGATATCGGAAATTTCGACGATGATGAAGTCAAAGGTGTAAAGGTTGGTAATTTCAAAACGCTTAGTCAGTCAAAATGATCAACCTGGCCTTCAGATCGGTACCATAAGCAAAAAACTGCTATTGTTTCTATTGTTAGGGTCAACGTAGAGCTTTGACTAGCAAATCAAAAATTGATTCTGTGTGGAAACGAGGTGTTCCTTATAGTTGGCAGAAAGCGACAATGAACTCTACAAGAACTTCAACATTACGATCTCGGAGCGCTGGCAAAATGAAATAGCTGAAACGATATTTGAAGTCGTCAACCAGGACGCTGATAAGGCTGAGCAGAAGAAAAAAGCTAAGCACAAGGCAAAGATGAGCGTTGACGAGAAAGGTGGTACTCCCAGCAATTCGCTGTTATTTGATTTAGACTCTGATGTCATTGTCCATGGCTATATAAAAAAATTGGGAGGCCCATTTACATCAGCTTGGCAAACCCGGTATGGAAAACTATACCCAAGCCGCTTGGAACTTTATCCGGAATCGTTGTCCGGAAAACCCGAGGTGCGTTAAAACGACTTCAGCCTCAGCCAATTGAATTTTCAGTTAGTATTCATGGACCAGATTGAAGATGTCATATCGGATCTTCAAACAGTTAAAGGAGAAAATGCTATCATCGTCAAGCTTAAAGAAGGCCTGAAAGAGAGCAAAGTCATATTGACCAACCAGGTAGGTAGATGGTTTGAATTATATAAGCCAAATGCACAGGACGAGATTTCACTCAAAGAATGGCATACATCCCTTCGCACAGCTCACCGCGTTTCTTCTGAGTTGCTGCAGAGGATGGGCCGAAAAGCCATTAAGGTATATTTGGTGAAAACTTAAATGTTTAAACCCATGCTACGGCAATCTTCCGAGCTGTCTTTAATTTGCCATTTCTGTAGATACTGACGAGTTGAAGTCGGTAAATGCCTGAAAATGCACGCGCGTGATCCGTTGTAGTCAAATCTCCATAGATTACCGATTATTATGTGCCTCTCGGAAATGAAGACCCCCGATTTAATGAAACAGCATGTCATGTTATGAAATTCGAATTTGTATGCTGTCGAGGGTCAGACACCGCAGCCGAGTGTAAAAGATCTATAAAATATAGGCCATTCAGGGGGCACCAACCATACCCCGTTTACTATTACATCCTGGTTTCCATCTTAATTTTATAGATATATGGTGTCAATCATGACCCGATGCTATCGGAGGCCGAACGTCCATCATCAGTCACAAGAGCCTTTTTGAATCGAGCATCATCGCTTGATTCTGGTATATGACACGACGGCGATCTCACTCCCTTTTACGCCATATCCTTCGTATGGTAATAGTACCCTGTTTATATGGGAGTTTCTTGCTCAAACCATGCCATCAACAACATATTCCCTATTCCCTTTCCCAATTAAGTGGTTGTCATGAAATCGGGTTTTTTTTGTTACAAACACGTCACAAGAATGGTCGTCACGAGTTTTAATTAGGACAAAGCAAAAGTGAATTGTGAGTGAACGTCCATATGACTGCACCCAACAATAGTAAGGACCTGCGCATCTAGATAAAAAAACCATGTGTACTGACCCGGTTTGTATGACTACCTAAATTGGCATGCCATTGATTTTTTTCGTTCTTCATGTATTCAGTGGAGGCCATTGCACATAACTTGACCCGATTTTAATTGCGTTTCGTTGTGATTGCATTTCGTAATCTAAGGGGCAGCCCTGCGCCAAAAATTTTGAAATGCGAGGTGTGTGGCGCAACAGGCCAGGTTTTAGTGCCGTAACATTGCTTTTGGTTGTGTTATAGAAGACCGGAAAAACTGTACCAACCCGTTGCGCCTACATTTTCTACATTTTCTTCCTATTAATGTCCACTGAATCTCTTACCCCTCCCCCCACGCGTGACTCCAACAATTGGATATCTGCGCTGCACCAACGTCACATTATCGTTCAAGGCATTTATCGCTAAGCCGCTAGGCCCTCTCCATTGGAAACATATCAGCCTTTGTTTTGGTTTTTAAGCCCCTATCCGTCAGTCCATCTAAAGATTTTCACAGGCCTGCCATTTTTGTCAGCCAGTTTTTTCCGGTGATTTCATAATAGTCCTTCAATCACTCAAGCGAACCTGGTCCCAGCCATGATCTCTCGTATTTTTATCGAATTTGTCGCAGTTGCCGGCCAATAAAAGTTTTGACATTTTTCTACACCCATAATGGTTTTTCGGCTAATGTTCGCTGCGACGGGGTTCAGTGATTAACATCGACTGGTGTGTATCTAAGAAATAACACATTGAAAGCAAAAAGAAAACACAAAACAACTACAAAGAAGGCGCTAAGTTATGGTTTTTCTTCTTGACGTCTGTTGCACCATGGTTACGAAAAAAGAACTAAAGCTGCGAGCCGTTGAAAGTGTCAATAGGGCCCTTCCTTGCCGACAAAGGTGACTCATTCCAGCGAAATATTGCACAACTGCAGAGGAAAGGGCCTGTTATAAAGCCCGACTGTTTCCATTTCTCCCAGTCAACGACAAGATTTTCCCTATCTATGTCCGATTTGGATACCATTCCCATCCGCGGCAAATGTGCAAAATGGAAAAAAAGCCGGGCCGTCGACTATTACCTCCGTCAGGTACAATATTACTTACGGTGCACAATTCATTTATTTAGCGCCAGTCCTTAGAAGTCATTACAAAATATCTGATTGACCCCCAAGGACTTCTCAGCAAAAATCAACGCGAACAAATCCACGCAAACTCGGATTTAAAAATTGGATGCAAATATTCCCTGAACAAGCAGCGACGATGGGAGGTCTAAATTTTTATTAAATAGTCTTAGTTAATCAGGCTTTTTTCTGCTCTACTGAAATCGCCGTTGCTTTATGTAATGTCGATTCCAGCACGCTAGCCCGGCCGTTCTTGCCGAAATGCATCCGGTCACATGGTCGATGGGCAAAGACCTGGACACATATTTGGCGCGGAATGAAGCGTATCGCTATCGCGATAATATCACAGACATGCATCGCATCTGTAGTGATGGATGCATTACGTCTGTCCACAACACTGGAAGGATGACAACTGTAAATTGATTTAGCTTCATCGTTGACGAACCGATCTAAAAATCCAATTTAGAGAGCAGCAATGGAATTCAATTTAAATGGAAATCCACAATGGCCGCCCCGAAAAAAAGTGGGTTTAATTGCAAGGCCGGGCTGACGATTTTAGAATCCGAAATGGAAGGACGTAATTATCCAACCGCAATTGCTATATATGATCGATGGGTTGTTCGATAACAAGGGACTCTACTATAATAATTTCCGGACCGGAGTGGATCGTAGGCATAAAAATGGAGACGGCAACTGTTTATTTGCAGATTGGTGGAGGCACTGGCTCAAAAAAGAAAATCCTTTTGCCGAAATTGACGCATACAGAACCGAGAATTGCGATGGGTGAGCATACACTTGGATTTTGTACATGGCTTTTCAAATGGCACTTCGTGCTTCCCAAAGAACATTATTTAGTGCTCGGCATGTCACGGATGAATTGATTCTGGCGGAAACTACAGCTGCTCTTCTGGATGAGCTCCATTTGGAATGTGATCCTGAGGCCAAAGCTTATATGAGCGAATGTTTGAAACTGTATGTAAATGTGACCATGAACTCCTACTTTTGTTCAGTCCTACCCTGGGCGACTTCGTTGTTCCCAATCGACGATCGCAGCGTCGTCATGATGCAAGCCACAGAAAAGAAAACGTGGAGAAGTCTTCGGAACTTCTTGACGCAGAGGACAAGCCCGGCGAAAGCTATAGGCATCCGATACCTAGTGGGATTACTGCGACAATTGAACCTATTGTTATTTCGTATCTTGGAACTCTCTATGATTTTCGTCTGGAGGTAAAAACTTCTTTAAAATCTCCCACAACCAACGGTCTAGGTTCGTCATCTCTCGGGGGTCGCTCCCAAGTGGTTGAACACGACGGTTGTAATGTTTGATTTGAAAGATTGTCGCAATATCGCGTCTGCGAGCTCATTTTCCGCCTTTGTATTTATCGAATTCATCTTGGATGAGCTGAGGTTACCCGCGAAAAAGAGTTTCCACCGTATTCTAGAATCACCGTGAACAGTTGTACGCAAGTTCCTTGGCCTGAAATACCTTTTTTCCTAAAATATTCATTGCGCAAGGATATGCGTGGATTGCTCAGTAAAATGCTCGAAGACATCATTCTGCACTTGGACAAATTGGATGCTGACAGGTTTCTTAAACTAAGTGAGGCTGAAATGTTTAGGCGTCCTGACAAACTCACGGGGAAGGCACGATTCCGCAAATATCCGCAGCTTTTTGGCCGACAACACAATTCGATGCTTACCGGTTCGCTTGCTATGGCGCCGACCTATTACGAAATTCTTGATGGCGTAGTTGAGGCAAGTTTATAATTTGGGTCTCAATTAACAGCGCAGAATTTCTTTTCAAACGAAAATGGCGTGGCTGCCAGGAATGACCCAACCGGTGATTGTGTATGGTGTCATGTAGCACTCCGTGGATTTGAATATTTGGACCTGAATTTGAACGTGCGGGTGTGCCATACCTGCCTGCGTCAAACTTTTTACCGGCAAATCGAGTTCCGCATTCCGCTGCAGGTACCGACAATGATTCTGATATCTGAATCATTTAGTTGCCTGCTTCCCAATACTCTATACATGATTTGGCTATATTCATGCTTCCACTTCCGATCCTCAAGGATTATCTAGATGACATGGCTCCAACGGTAGGAAAATATGTTTATATCGGTCATCTATTTAGGCACTACCTGACGGATTTTGGACAAGTTGTCCGCATTGTAGACGTGCATTATCTATTCCAGAAGAAGATCCTTCACAAGGAAAACCAGGTTTGCTTGAAGTCCGACGGAAACAATAAGCTCTGCAATCGAAAGCCAGGGGAATTTTGAGCAATTTTGTGCTTTGCTTGGAAGTCAACTGTAGTTTTTTGCAGCTTTTCATCCTGCACAAAATTGCACAACCCGCGGCTGTGATTTTCAGGCGCAATTATAGTATGAAAAATCTAACGATGGAACTTAATTCGCCTCAATTTTTGGACCTGTAAACTATCAATCTGATGACTATTTCCATTAGAGTTCGCATCACCAAGTTTTGAGCAATTGATACTCCCAAAATCAGCGGCTTTGTCTAAGCCAATATTCCTATTCACACTATTCCAAAAAAAGATGCACCATTTAGCAATTGTTTGTTCCGAATGTGGAATTTATTTTTGCCCGAACTGCATGTCCGAACCTCATTTTCTAATGGACTGCGACGAATATCGAAAGTGGACGGCTGTTTTGGATGATTGTTGTAGGCATTCAAGGTACAAAATAGTAAATGAATTAGATGCATTGGCTAAATTTCCGACTGCTGCAGCAATCTGGCGAGTTAATTGCGTGTGTGGCGCACTTGTGGAGGTACATTTCGTATTCAAAAAGAAAAAAATGAAGGATAGTTATGCGGAGACTCGCCCACCGCCCAATGCAACCATTGTCGAATTGCATTTTCGCCGAGGAATATCCAGTTACGTGCTAGCGCTAAGAATATATTGCTCGAAGATGGGCGTTGCACTGAGGAGCAGGTGGCGGTTTAGGGCAACACTTATGTTCTGCTTTTAGCGCAATTATTCCTTTGAAGATGGCAAGTTTACCGTCAAGTTATTAAATAGAAGCCGAGTTGCTTTGGCAACGCGATATCGAGAGGTAGGAAATAAAACAGGGCATGAACATAATTTATTTATGATATAGAAAGCCATCAAGTCACGGAACTGGCTGCTTGATCCCGTGGAACAGAGAAATCTGTTGGTGAAGCTCAGGGCACGAAATAGTCGTGAAACATCCATGATGGCTCTAGAAATCTGCAAATTGGTATATATTTGGTACATGCTTCGCCAACGTTGTTATTGTAGGGTTTTGTTCTGGTCATCAACGGGCTTGGATATTTATATTTACGGAAACAGGAAAAGCGCAGAGTTCAGATGAAACGAATTACAGCGCTTTGGGTAAGTACGGCTAGGCAATCACAACTACTGCTACTGGAATTGCAGGAAAGGCTGCAACGATTCATTGAAAATGGCGATGCGGGCGACTACAAGGTACTCCGGCTGCAGATAATGGCTTTATTCAAGCACGGCCTATGAAACATTTCGTCAAAGTTATTACTTCAATTGGGTAAAGACTCGATCTGAATCTGGCAGAATCTGGCATCGTGGCGCACAGATTGAACCACGTACAACAAGCATGGCACTAACATGTGCATAGGTTGCAATTGCGTAAAAAATTCTAAGACTGAAAAGCGTTTTGATGACTTTTTGTTGATAATCGCGTAGCGCCAAACCAGCTCAGCGGTGCTACACTCATAGAGGAGTAGCCTTCATAAAATAATGTAGTCAGGTTAAGTTTAGGCTCGGCAAATACATATCATTAGTTCCATAATTGCATCTATTCACACCTATTAGGTTGGGACCAAAGTTCGTGCAATATTCTTCATTCTTTGTAACCTTCGTACCGGAAAACGGGTAAGAACTAGTGATGGGGTTATTCAAATCAAATCTTGAGTGAAATCTGAGAGCTCAAATCTGAATATTTGAAGGCAAAAATTTCAATTTCAAATCGGCGGATTTGATTTGAAATCCCGTGGACGGGTTCAAATCAGATCTCGAGGATTTGATTAAGCTTCCGGTCCTTAATCAAACCTTATGGAGATTCCGGCATGCAAAACACAATAAAATCGCTATGGCCCGCTGTCGCGAACCGGAAATGACCTTGATTATGCATGCCATCATACAATTAGCATCCGCGTAATGAGCTATTGATTTTTTCGACTCCTTTCAAATCCTCGTTCAAATCTTCAGATTTGAACTCAAACCCCGAAAGTCCAAATCAAATCGATTTGATTTGAAGTGCTGAAACCTTATTCAAATCAAACCGGCAGATTTGATTAGGCGGATGCAAATTGGATTTGAGATTTGAATAATACCATCACTAGTAAGAACCAAAATATTTTTTGAAGGAGCGATGTGCCATAAAATGCTTTATTCGATGTGTTGGATCGAACCGCGTTGCTTCCCTATCAAAAATTTTTAAAGCTTGTTCTATGCGAAACTGAAAATATGCTTTGGTCCGTCGTTACAAATAAATTTGGTTTTTTGGCTATGTAGGTAGGCAGCGAGTGAATATCCTACTATACAGGGTGTCCCAATAAACAAGGTCATGCTGGCATTTTGTCATTTCAAATCCGATCGACCTGAAATTTGGAACAGAGCTGCGGAAGGCATTTAAAATGTTCACAAAAACTTTCAGCCGGATCGGTACAGTAGTTTTCGAGTTATAGCAAAAGTAAACTTTATTTTACGTTTTTAACTTGGATTTCGCCGGAATTGAGCCTTGGAATGTATGGCACAAATGATGCGCCGACCCTTTTTTACCCCAGAAAATTTTTTATTTCGTAAAATTGGTCTTGGATCGACATCTTGGATAGTCTTTTCAAAATATCGAAAATCTCAAAAATTTGGCTTCCCCCCGTTATCCTAGGTGCTGCCCATAGATTTTGATCAATTTTTGTTTATTCGATAAAAAATTTCATTAACATTATTTCGAGCTGAAATTAATTCTCCTAGAGCAGTTTTCGACGCTTTATTGAATGACGTTTTCAAAACACCGAAAATTTCGAAAATTTGACTTCCGTTATCCTATGTGCTGCCCATAGATTTTCCTTAATTTTTGTTTATTCAATAAAAAATTTCCATTACATTATTTCGGGCTGAAATTAATTCTCTTAGTATATTTTTCGACGCTCTATCGAGTGGCACATGCAAAATCCCACAGTAATTGCAATTTCATAATAATGAGTGCCCCCCCCGTTATTTTATTCCCCCCCCCCGTTATCCTATGTGTACCGTTCGATTGTACGAACTTTAGTTCCAACCTAATATTTTCCTGGAAGTTGGTCAAAAAGTAGCCGATACGTGGCGCTATTGGCGAAAATTGTAGTTGAAACATCGGGTAGGGGTGGCATAGGCCGGGTTTACAAGGATTCGGCAGCCTTGCGCAAGGACCACCCACGTCGGCCCACCACAAGGGTCGACCACACCGCGTGCACTACAGGGGTGGTCCTTATGGCTTTCCGTGGTTTGGATTACTGAAATTTTAGCGATCAATTTTCGCTATTCAAAACACAATCTATCGCGCGATCAAAAATTGGCATCAAGCTTATCCGAAGCATCAAGCCAACCAGCAACGGCTTAGCAAGTTTCCTGAAACTTACGGCGGAAATGGTGAATTAACAGACTAATAAGGCAAATAAAAGGTAACATTTCAAATATCAGACAAATTTTTGAGTGTGTTCTCAATGAGTCACATAATCGTTTTTTTTAATTTCGTTGGGGGAAACTACAGAAATCTGGGGTTCCCCGCATAACAGGAAAATAGCGATGAATGTCGATCCGAATCTAATGCTCTACTTTCGGCTCGCATAGATGGCGATGTATATCCAAGACTTTCAGCCAAATCTGAAGGCACCTAAATGTGTCGCTTCGTTTGCCTCGTCTGTAAGCAGCTATACCTCAACTACCAACAGATGCAATTTTTCGAAATGTATTTGAACCCCGAATTCTTAAAACGACCCCTTTTCAAAAACCCAGTATGTTTGTAGTAACGTGTTTTCCTTTAAGCAAGTAGTAATAAGTAAAAAAATATAAAAAAATTGCTTTTTCCGCCTTCCTATATAGAGATATAATACTACCGCACCATCTACAGGGTATCAAACTAAAAAAACCCTGTCAAACTCGGCAAAGCAGATCCCCATCGAAATGATAGTTGCGCCATTTAAAAGCTTTTAAGACGGCGAGTCTGCATCAATCTTTATAACCATGTTTTTATTTAAACGCGCCAGTTTATCGCGCTTAGGAGGGCATTATGGAAAGGCCTGTTCAGCTAATTACCGTCTATTACTGACCATTTTACTTGAGAAGCTCGAAACTTACTTACTTAACTTGCTCGACCTCGAAGATTGCCAAAATTTTACAAAACTGCTTGTAAAATATAGTATTTAAGTAAAACAAGGGTTTGAATTCGGTAGTTGGGAGACAACGTGTATAATGGCGGAAATGTGGGCGAGAGAGGCTAGATGGCTAGCAGAGATTGTGGTTGTGCGCCAGCGCAGCAGTCGGTCATTTCCAGTGAAAACTCCCCAAAAGCTAATTTCTGTTCACAACGATACTTCTTACCTAGCCAGCGGGCTGATGATGCTTGAAACAAAGTATTACCTAACGGTAAGCAAGCACTGTTCATACCTTGCAACTTCCTGCTTTTTCATTTCGAACGATAAAATCTTTGCACGCGACAATCCATGATATTGTAGAGGGAACTGTATTAGGCGGATGCAGCCCAGGAAAGCCTTTAACCACACTGTTGCTTTGTTGCTGGCGGCCACCATAATCCGGTACGGTCATGATCAATTTTCCTGATCCTACTTAGATATTTTTACGTGGCAAGCACCTACGAGATTCTCCTTCACGAATCGACCGCAGCCGCGTCTGCCACTTACCCTTCATTCTTCACGTCACTAAGCATGACAGATATTCAGAAGGTTTCCTTTTTTTCTGCGGTTCCATTTCTTATAAGTTTCGACATTCCCCGAACAAAAATTACATTTGTCTCATCTTATATTGCTCATGCTTGCAGTTTTGCGGAATTGTACTTGGAGAAGTTCGGTCAAAAAACCGGATCTCCATCTTTCAAAATGGTTTTCGCGTCAGTACGCTTTTTCAGACAAAGGCTGTATCTGGTAGTTGGCTCCTTCAAAGTGACTATTCCCTGGTTTTTGCAAGAAATCCCCCTTCCGAGGGCCTCTACAAATATTTGGCGATTGGGTACAGGCAATCAGAAGTTTGGCCTGCGTTGAGGTATAAAGTCGTTCCGAAAAGATGTCCTCTTCAGGGCTCAAGTCGTGTTGCTTTCGAAATATGCACCACAATATGCCGATTGGTTCATATTCGCACACGATGACGCTTTTCTGCTGATCGATTCGATTAAATATGCGCTAGAGGTGAGCTCCAACTATTGTGATTCGCTTTAGCTATTTTTAGGGGTGCACTCACTACCCCAAAAAATCATTACCCCGAAAGCCACCAGCCCGATATCCTTTACCCCGAAAAAAATTGTTTTTCACCCGGCAAATGACAGTTTGCTTTCTGCTTTCGGTACTCTTCAAATAGGCGGGGGGGATTTACGCGGAGGGCAGTCTGCGTCTCTGCGCCCGCCGCACTCTCTTTATGCAAATTATCTCTGGCTAGTGATTTTTCGGGGTAGTGACCGGACGCTCTATTTTTATTAGTATTAGAACTCAATTGGTAAGAGAATCTCGAAATACATACCACCGAAAAATATAAAAAGTTTGACTGCAAAAGGCCGAAAGCTAGATGGCCACCCAAACCGGAGGAGTAGTAAAGGGTAGCTAAACGTAAGGATTTCAGCTATTTGATCCCGATAAGCGATATATGGCAGTGCTTGGCAGTGACTTCGGGGTACGTTCTAAATTTTTATCCTTAGCACTCAGCCGCCCAGGCACCCTCGATTGATTTCCTAGCAAGTTCTTGTTCAGGATGCCTAACTAGAACTAGTCATGTTGCTACCACAACCTAATGCCCGTTTTGGCGATCACTTGAAAATTGCTTAAAACCAGGGGCTGCAAGTTCCGGTGCTCCGTATAAAATTTAGTCATTGCATAGCTCCGCTTAACTGATACAGGAAGGAGAGACGGAGCAGCAAACGCGCGAAACCAAGAAACTGCGTAGCACCCACATCCTCTCACATGCAGCACTTGAGCATCTACAGAATCGAATCGGAACGGGAACTATGGGCTGCTCACTTACACAGGCAAGCGATCGCTCAATTACATGAAAACTGACTCAGTCTTTGTCTCAGGGTACACTTCATAAATGTCTAGATGCGACGGTGGAATTGGACTTGACGCGGGATGTTCTTGGCAACACTCGGTAGGTCAGACACGCTGATTATCATTTATGGTGCTAAAAAATGCATTGACCCACACTAACTCGTTCAAGAGTTAAACAGAGTGTAAGGCGGCCTCGCATATGAACTTCTATCACAATAGCCTAGGTCTCCACTCATCGCTCGGCATCTTACGCCATTCGAAATAAAGGATTACCGGTATTACAACGGGGGATACAACGATGGCAGCGATGTAAGTAGTTTGGCAACCACATACAAAAACGACATCCAAATTTCTATTGCAAATCAGTCATCCTGAGCAATTTTGATGCCCCAATCTGGCGCTAAGTCTCTATATCAAATAATGCATGCTATTCATACCGCTTTTCTAACGTAACTTTAGATCATCAACAACTTCTCTCCGGATTTGCTTTCATTACACGGATTGGAGGCGCAAGATATTAAGATATTCGACGTGCTCTTCAATCGAATCCGTAAATACTCGGCAATTGATCGAAAATATCACCTTTAAAGATATAAAACATAAAAGCTTATCTATTGTAGTAAATGTTCAATTATTTTTATCTAGCAGTTTATCTGCGTCAGATTCTATCCCCTCAATCATATGTAGGGGCTTGTGTGAGCGAAATTGCGACTATAGAGCGACTAGTTTTTATTGACCAGGAAGTCGTAAAGCTTTTCAAATTCTCAATAGAAATTCGGCGGCAAGTCGGCCAGATATTCGCGAAGTCACACATTTCATTGATATGAAGATGACCAGAAGAGATCAGGGTTATTTACACTTGGATATGACGAGAGAGCTCACACTTCTGAACGTCAACGGCCAGTTTTGCCAGCACCTAAACACCATTTACCAAAATGCTCATTTCCCACCGTTGTCAATGTTTTGAGGCGTGCCGCTGTCGAATCGAGTCGTGCCGTAATGTGTGAATTCACGATGCTTAGATCATACCGCGTCAACTAAAATACCATTAAGCACTTGGGCTACGAGCCAATCGAAGCGGATTTGGCGCAACTTACTTCATGGTCGTAGATGCTCACTTCGGCTGTAATGGCGTTGGAGTGTATATCATGTGCATCGTCGGAATCAGGGGAAGAATTACACGGCAGCCGTTCCTAAAAAGTCAATTCGAGCGACTGCAAACTATAGACCTCCGTTTCGTCATTCTGGAAGCCCATCATGCTTGATGTTCGCTTCAAAGTTCTAGATAACGGAGTCAACGTAGCAAATTTTCAAAGCTTACTTGTTGTTAATTTTTCTACGAAAAGAAGAAGGATGCGCACAGTGTGTGAAGCAGTAAACCGTCTCAAAGGATCTAAATATTGCGATTTTTTTTATGTATGCTGCGTACGGATAATTTACCCGTCGACTCTTTCGTACACGTGGATAAATGCTGTGCATCTTACTGACGGTGAGGGCGCCATATCGAGTTCCGAATCTAAAAGCTATAGGTCTTCAAAAGGAATTTGGTCTGACCAGAATTGCTGTCTAAGCCATCCAGCTTTCTTTTTTTTTGGGCGCCGATTGCAGAATGTCCACACAATAGATAGTATTCCTAAATATAACAACCTTGAGTTCGCGTTTTATCACTACCGTATCAACTGCCGAAATGTGGGGTGCAATGTCAAGCATGCCGGCATATTCGGTTCGATCTCCGTCTACCCGATCTAGCCATCCCTAATTCACCGGTACCGAATAAAATCACAAAATTACCTGGAACTCATATTTTGACGCGAAAATTCGGCGCCCACATGGCGTATCGTGTCCGTGTGCTTCATAGACATGGCTGCATAACGCCTGATAAAGCGCTCATTCTCAAGCGGATAATCAATAAATTAATATCCTATCTTAAGTAATTTGGAAATTTCTGTAGGTTCCCCCGCCAGGGCCATGGAAGCGGGTTGACCCTGTTTAATCGAATAAGAAAGATCAATCAAATCTTTGGTAGCCATGATAGGCCATCAGAAATACTCAATTTCTTTGGCTGGGTTGAATAGAAAGGTTGCATACCTCGGGTGTCGCAAGTCGACAACGGCAGATGGCGCACTCAACCAGTATACAGCCCTCCTCCCCGTCGCATTCCATTCACCAGCTAAAGTAACCGTTTATTCAAGAAAATTGGAGTTTTGTCCCATATAGCGGTGGAAGAAACGAAAGGAGCGTTGGAATCGCCTCCCTGGAAATATGGTTAAAACTGTTCTTAACACTGAATCACGGCTGCCCCTGCCGCTGAGCTAGAAGAAATTTCATTGTTGCATGGATCAGATCTCGGCATACAGCTTGGGATCGCTATTTAGGGCCCTTTAAGCACATATGCCGGCTTTTTTCATTGCGGAAAGGGGGGGTAAAAAGGGTAAATGGGAGCAACAAAGCATAAGGGAAAGATGGGAGAAAGCGGAGGGATGACAGGAAAGAGGGAAGCTTGGCGCCGAATTGCAAAAGGGAATCGGGTGCAGACGGCTGCAAAGGCAGCCGTCAATCGATTCGACTGCCAAAAGGACATCTGCAAGTCTTGCCAACACAACATAACCACGGCCCCCCAGCACCTCTTGCCGGTCACACAGCTCAACAGCAAATGCCGTCAACAATGTTTACAGGATGCCCGGGAAAAAAACAGTGTCTGGTTTGGGTCATATACCTCGCTAGGGGAAACGAATCGGACCAGCGTTACCATGCCAGAATCCTATCCTATAAGCGAGAAAAGTATGTCTGTTTTCTGTACAGCCGATTTCTCGGCCGTCAGGCCGAATTTTCGGCTGATTTTTGGCATGGAGGTGGAAAAACACATTTGTCAGTGATGCATTTTTTTGTTTTACGAAATTCCTTCATTTAACAATTTTATGAGCAAAAAAGTGAAAAATCCTTAACAAAATGGGTTTTTGCCGCGTTGTCCGGAAGTTTTCTCAGCGCCTAGAGGGAATTGAGGCCGCATTTTTGGAAGGTAGATGGGAAAAGTAATTCCCCAGATAAATTTTTTTGGACGTTGCAAAATTTTTGAAAATAAAGTTTTTATAAGGATTTTTCTGGAAGGTCCTTAATAAATCGTGCCACGGGCGGTGGTGTCCAGGCCATATCTCAATACACATAGCGATTTTGGACCTGTATTTTTGACCACTCATGCATTCAATGACGAGGATCACGCGCATCTTATTATTTTCACAAAATTCGACCAGCTTCCACCTCAAAAGTTGAATTTGTAAAGTGGCCTGAAGGCCTGCCTGTCGGAGGTGCTGGGGCCCATTCCTTTTAGCACAGCCCGGTTCTGCCCCCAGGGTATGAAGAGGCCTTTACCGCCGCCCGCTACAAGCTCCCCCAGTTGTGTAGTGGTTCAAGGCGTTGAGGGTCGCGGGTTCGGATCCGCGAGAAATTTAACTTTTTGCTTTTTGGTCGCTCAGCAACAAAACATATTCCTAGGCTTTCCTTGTGCGCGATTTAGGCCTGGACTTCGCTCTAGCGCCGCAGGCCCAAGAAAAGTTTCTTGGCCCAGGATCTCGCGCCGCAGGCCAAGGATTGGTCCTTTACCGAGGCTCTAGCGCCGCAGGCCAAAGAAAAGGTCTGACTAAGGTACTTGCGCCGCAGGCTAAAAAGAAGCTATTCAAATTCATGGTTCCTGGACGGGGTCCAGTGGAATAGGGCCGCGAAGCGGTCTTTTTCCACTGGTGCTTAAATATGTCAGGTATGCAGAATAAACACACATTTTTGGATTTTTGATTTTTTGACCTTCAATCGACTCGTTAGAAAGTATTGAACTTTTTTTGAAAAAGTCGAAAAGGGAGAAGAGGCAAATCATGGAATTTTAAATGTTATAATAAAGTGAAAGATATCAAAATGAAGCTCCTGGCGTCCGCTATAGTATGTATGGTCCCTATTATTGTCCGGATCAAGCAGCCGTTAAAAGCAGTTCGGAAAAACACCGCCGTTTTTCCGAAGTGATAATTCCCACCGGGCCAACAAGCCTACGCCTGCCCTAACTATTCATGCTCGCTAGATGTGTGCCAAAGACAACCATGGAATAAATTAGTGAGAATTTACGTCGACAGAAGAATGAAACGTTGCAAGAACTCAAAAAGAGTTTTGATCAAGAATATTAGCATTGTTATGCAAAGTTCGTACCTAAATTATTTTCGTATAATAATTTATGCTAGCTGCAAAATATTACGACGATCGGAAGGTCAGAAAATTTTGTCTCTAATGTTTTCTTCAAAACGGATACAATTAGCTTTCTTATAACTCCCTAAAAATCCCATGATTTTGCTCTTCAAAGTTTTATTTTTAAATGTTTAAAAATTCTTAACGAACAATGGGGTCATCAAATATCACAAAAATCAATTTTTGTTATTCTTCTTGCCCAGTATATTTAATCAAGTCAAAATGGTTAAAACAGGCATAGCCGGCACAAGGCTGGTTACGCCGGATATGTCTATTCAGCGCGGGGATGCAGGAGTGTAATACTTAGTAATCACGCCATTTAAACCTTAAATGATACAAAATGGAAAATGCGTAAAGAAGTACAATGCGTTAGCAGTTTTACCCTCCGTATAAGGCGTAAGAATTCATTTTAACGGGCACAACAAGCGATAGGATTACTGGGGGTGCATTTGATACATGGTCCCAAATTTGAGTGTTTCAAATTACTATCCAATGGGACCGGGTTTCTGACGTGGGAGCCGATTAGTACAAGATACGATGGGTATTTAAACTGGAGCTGATGGCTCAGTATATAGTCCTATATTAGCATGTTGCGCCCTTTATTACTGCTAGGTCTTCTCACATTTTGCCGAACAGATCACGGTTATTTGCCTCGACCTGTCGACTGGGTATACAGGTAAATTCCGCAGAGCATGAACATGAAACTGGTGTTGAATTACCTTCTAATTATCCAGCGGTATCCTCAAGTTTGAAAAACATCTTTCCAAAATGAATTTTTGTTTTCTTCGACGAAGCTCATTTGACGCCCGTTTAGGGGCAATGAGATCGATGCCGGACTAGATGAGGAAAAGGAGAAAGCGATCGCTAGGCGCCCGGGGATATTTTACTCTGGTCTTCTTGATCCGGTATCATCGTATACTATCGGTGGAAAGCTCCAGTAAACAATAATATCCGTTTGTAGAAAGCCGAAGACTCCTCGAAAAAAGAAGCGGCCCAAATTTTGTTGTAAGAGGGATTGATGCGGATGATTTCAGGTATCCCTTTGAACTGATTAGCTACAAATGTCATCTTTTAGTAAATGGCAAGTCAGCAACATTATTAATCCCGTTCGACCTGGCAAATAGCCGTCATCCTTCATTTGGAAAATAGCCAAGCTTCCACTGTTTTTATACGTTTTTGCAGCAGTACTCAATGTGATAAAGCTTTATCAATGTAAATACTCGTTATATGCTATACAATACCCGTGAAAAAAATGAAAGCAACGTTGATCAAAGGCTTGCTACGAAATCAATCCAAACCTATTCGAAAATGCCGAGCTGGCGCTGATACAGAATGACAAACGATGCAGATGCGGTTCCAATAACAAAGACGACAAGGAGGAATCGATCCAGTACCATTGACACCTAAACGATCGATTTCGTACTGCGATTGTATGATTTTTATACTTGTTGCCACTCTAATTTTGCGGCATCACGTCTGTCCTTTTCGGCTTGTCGCATTTCGTTTCGTTCAATAGTGGCGTGTATCATCTGCATGACGCGAAGAAATTCAAGTTCAAATGGATCCAATTCTTCTTGCTATAAATGATCGGTCATTCAACTGCAAAAAAATGGATAGTAGTCAAAATATATCTTGGTGTACCGTGCAAGTTGGATAGAAATAAACGCACCTGGGCCTCGGCCTTTTCCTTTACAGTCGATTCCGTGTTCGATAAATTAGGGGGCTGGGTACGAAAGTTTGCATCCGGCGGCGGACAGACATCAGTAAAAGAGACCTAAAAGAACCAGCTATTGTGTTGGGGTATCCAGTCGTCGGAAAGCGCGGGTTTTGCACGATTAAGGCTGCCTATGTATTAGGAACTCGGCACCTACTGGATCGCCATCATCGAGTAGGTTATATGATGAAAAGGTGTTCTGCAGGGGGTAAGATGTCGGGAAAGCTAAGCTACTTACCTTCTTACTAGTCTTCCTCGCAGGACTACTCTGCTCATGTGTCATCGGCTCGCTCAGGAGATCTAAATAAGCAAACAGAATATTGCGAATTTGGATACGGAGTGAATCAAAAACTGATAGTTCCCTGATTTAAATGCAACATTTGAAATTCGTCGATTCGGGATTCGAAGTCCCTTTCCACCCACCGTTTTAGGTGATACGAACTGTGGCGTCTTAGAGCAACGCGGCAATTTTTTTTTCATAACTGTAAGAATATTTTCCGACTAGGGTTTTTCTAACTAGAATTTCGCTGCATTTTTGATATACGGAATGTCGCAAAAAACCTCTACCTCGAGGTCTGCAATGGTTACCGATTTTTACGATTTAAGTATCTATCGAAAGCTCTCGACGGGCTGAGGATATATGTCCGTTGCGATTTTCGGAATTCTGGACTGTTCTTACAATTACTTATCTTTTTGCAAAACAGACCAAAAGCCTGAATTCTCCTACGAAGCGGGTTTTTTACAAAGTCACAAATTATTAATTTTCACGCTTTTTGTGACAGTCCAACGACAGTTTTTCAAAGCCATGTAAGAAAACAGAGCTGGGATGGCGCCCAAGACCATTAAATTGAGTATTTTTAAAAACGTATAACTTTGGCATAACAAATGCCAAAAAATCGAGCGAAAAATATTCCGGAAATGCGCAAATCGGGATGGTATTTCCTCTGCGGCCGATTGATACCTAAATCACAAAAATCGGACACCTCGGTGAACCTCTAGATAGGGTGTTTTTTGAGAGACCCTGGCCCTTGGGCTTATTTGGGTTGACACAATGAGAATTTCTTTGTGAGAGCAAAAAAGTAACAAAATCCGGCTATGTGTGTCTGGCAAACCCTCACGATTTGCGACTGTAGGTGGTTGGGCATGTAGCAACGGTATCCGCTCCTTCTTGGCGAGAAATGGCAGATTCAAGCGAGCAAAAAATTTGCTTTCCGACGGATATTCGCGCTGAAAGTGCGCAAATGAGAACGTTTGTTTAATATATGAGATGCCGAAGGGGAGAATTATGCGCAAGAATAGGGAAAGCAAAGGGTGAATTGACCAGGGTGACTATCACTGGACAGGACTCAATATACCTTGATTTCTTCATCACCATAACGCTGAAACGGGTTTTAATCTGCTTGAACGACCGCTTTAAATTACTCACGTCATAAATATAGCGGACGTGTTGGGTTATCGAATGATAAGGCTGGAGTTTGATCCACAGCATCTTGGCTAACAGACGAAATGCTATGATCTAAAGCAAAAATCCCCTTCCAAGAAAGAAATTTTCCTATTCAATGCAACTTATTTGATATTGAATCTGGTAGGTGCGACATACCTGTACGACTGCGGGAACAGGATGGCCATGAACTCCTTTGTGGTGTATATTCAACTAAAAAGAAAAAATCCCCCGACGGCATGAATTTTTCGCAAGCGGAAGCCCCCTCCTCCCCGACGCATCTTGTAGGTCGATAAATAAATTTGTGATCGCGAGCGATTCAAATATGCTTAGGATGCTACAGAATTAGATACCGTCAAGACTGTCATCGCCGTGGCCAATGAAACAAGGAAGATCGTGACGCCATAATAAATTCCTTAAGCTGATTAGCCTTATATTAAAATTCTGCACCTATCAATGGAAGTGCTTCAGCTGTCGGCGGCATACCTTCGGCAACCAGCATTAAAAAAACGGTAGTCGATAACAATGATGTGATTCCTAAAATTTGCTTAAGTCCCGTATTTGTATTTACCTAATGTGACTTTTTCTCCGCTATCACTCGGCATGTAGAAACCGAGAAGGGCGATCCCCGATATTAAGACACATGGCAGAATCAAATTAAACACCTGGATACCAGTCCATCAAAAAGTCTTTTGGCCCTACATAAAACATTGGTCTTCTTTCGATCGTGATATGGACGTCAACAAAAGGATACGGTTCCGGACAGCACGAATAGACCATATTATCTTTTTCCGCCCTGAGGTTACGTCAAGTGGCGAATAAGGGACTGCATTTACCATATCTCCTTCAACTCCCATTCCGTGCTAATCATATAATTGCTTTTATCACCTAAAGAGTTTGATCCTACTACCATGTATCCTACTATATATAAAAAATAGTATCTGTGTGGGTGTGTGTGCGTTTGCATGCAACTTCCGTCAGCGTGTCCGGCAGATATCTCAAAAGGGGAGGGGATGGGGGTGTATGATACGTCATTAGATGCGTAATGGCCTGTAGATGCATGCACGAATATCAGATTTTTCAAAATCTATTGTTTTCAACATTAAAATTAAGTTTTTCCTTAAAAATCGGACACCCTCTTTGTTAGGATAAAATTAGCATATGCCGGAAGTTGCAGTAGCCTATATAAAAGCCCGAAGGGAGGGTTTTTCATCTTTTTTTTCATCAGAATTGGGCACAATTATGCAAACGAATAACATCATAGGGTTAGACGGGGCCAGAGTTGAAAAGTCGTGAAGCGGCTTTCCAACTCTGGTAAAAATATAAAAAATTCATGTGTGTCCGTGTGCGCCTTTGAATGCAACGTCCATTAGCGTGCCCAGCCAGGAAATACTGTTAAACTATGTATGAACGGCCATTAGGTGCGTGATTGCCCGAAGTGGACTACACATCTATTGCCTTTTCCAAAAGAGCTGCTCGCAAACTTAAAATTAAATTTTTGTGAAAAGCGAATACCCGTTTTGTTAGGGGACGACTAACTTGCGCGGTGGTGGCGGTAGCCTATAGAATGGGAGAGAAGGAGCGCTTTTCCTTTTTCGTCATCGGAATACAGGAGTATAATGCAGAGTCAAGGATACCATGGAAACAAAATCCACCAGGGTTGATAAGTCGCGAAGCGGAGCTTCAACTCCGGTGTATTGAAAATAGTATTTGTGTGTGTACATTTGCATGGAACTTCCGTCAGTGTGTTCCGGGAATATCTCGGGAGGGATAGCCTTCTAAGTTCTGTTTTATACAAAACTGGGAGCCTAATGGCTAGTGATGTACGCAGTATAGTATACGAATAAGTACAAACTTATCAGGTTTTTACAAATTGTCGGTTTACGATATTGACTGAGAATTTCGTGGGGCTGTCGCACACGACTTTGTTAAATTCGGATTTTCAGCCCTATAGACTAGAAAATGTACCGATTCGGGTTGGTAGATGAAGGTCGATTTTAGTCCCGTCGTACGCCCAAGATGCAAACTTCAAGGTACAATTTTGGTGATCAAAGGGATAGAATCTAAAATTACAGGTGACCGAGAATTATAATGGAGTGACATCCCTGAAAATTCGTTCATCAATAGAAATTCTTGCCTGACATCCAAGGGACAACTAGACTTGAAAATACCAGCAGTTGCATAAGTGACGTTTCCCATAAAATTTACGACCACGTCGGTGCTCATCACCGATTTTGTGTATTGTGAATCCGCACTAAAACAGGAATGGTAAGTTTTTCAGAACATACTTATTGTATAAAATAATGTCTGGTCTCCAAATCCTTTCATATGGAATATGAATCTTTGTCACATTGCCAAACCTAAAAATAGTTATAAATGAGGGGTCGTAAGGGAATCGTTGACCTTCGCGGATCCCAAACCAGTTGGTAATCCATCCAATGCTGTCGTACCCATGCATTGGTGGTGAGGATTTGATTTCTTTCGTCCTACAACCGTGATTACCGAATTTTGCTTTCCTGTAACCTACCACATCAATAATTTGTGTCAACGAAAAAACGAATGCAACATCAATTGGCTGATCATGTTGCAAAGATGGTCGCACCTAGAAAGTGAATCTTTGCCGAGCTAGAATATAGCATGTATTTTGGCCAAAGCACACCTCGCGTTCATAGCCAGCCATTAAGTGGTTGTATAAGCGGACGACATGTTCTTCACACGCTGGAATTGAGCGCTTTGTTTCAATAACTGCTACAACTGAAGCATTTGGACCTGTAGCAATTGTCATTTTGCATACCTCTTTACGAAATTCGACGGCAAAAATATCAAAAGCGCCCGTATATCCCCTTATCTAGTCCAGCTAACTGAATCTAACAAAGAAAGTGCCAAAACTTTCACAATAACTTAACCTTTTTATCAAAAAGATCTGATTTTGAAAACGTGCTATATGTGCAGTCCTTTTGAGAGGATTTTGCAACATAATTAATGCCTCCCCTGGTCTCGATTGCCCGGGAACGGCCTAACAAACACACAGACACTTTAACCATGCATTGAATTTTACTAATAGTAGGGAATCTACTCTCTTTCAGACTTCATAAGAAAAAATTGGTCGATCCCCAACGCATGCAAAAGCCGCCGGAGGTATATATGGTAATATATGCAGCCGATAACGCCTTGAGACCATCCCTAACAAGCGCTAGCTGCTCAAAATGGTAAGTGAAGCCGTTACTGGGTGGATGATGGATGGGCATAGATGTCTAGGGTGCGACCCAGCCTTCGCTAACCCTCATCACCATACTGCAGCTCCCACCCTCCCCCCCCCCCACCGCTCTTTCGGCTTCCATTTCCCATTTCGGGCGTCTGAATGGCACCCGTCAAAAGCGCGCGCGTCAAAACAACAGCCACCACAACCAGTGGAAAGCACTAAACTCGCGTGGGTGCAAAGATTCATTAGCTATTCTGATAACATAATTAGGCTGCTAACACGAACCGTCTAGCAATCGTGCAACTCCACGCTTGGCAGGCATACTTTTTCCCGAAAACTGCTGAGAACAAAAAGGAAAATCACCCTTCTGCCCTTTTGTATCGCTAATTCCTGAATATCAAGACTCAATGTTCAAAAATAGCCGTGTTTCGCAGAACTGATAAGTGCCCAGCAACCTCGCGCACATGACCCCTATCATGGTCTTTTAAAGATGCCCTAAAATTCCTTCCCATGCTTGTTATATATGGAACATCTGTATGGATGCAATTCTGCATCGAAACTTTATATGCGTGGCATATACAAAGCTAGTATGCTTAGGTGTAGGCTTCGCCGGTCCCTGTCTCGAGTACCCCCATACAGTTCGAAAATTCCGGGGCGCTGAGGATTGATTGAACATCTTCGAAAGGTAGAAATCCTTATGGCCCCCCTGCCCATCATGGCGCTAGAAAGATGCACAAAGTTCCGTGGGAGCGAAGGGAAACGCCGCGCTAATGAGCTGAAGGGGCGGCTGCTTCACACATTTTCGGAAACAGCACAAAACCACGAGCTAGCTACTTATTTAGACCAGTATTCAAACGTTTTTTTCCCGCAAAAAGCGTCAGCTTTTGACGGCACTGCCGTTGGGGTGCGGCTTCTTAGATTTTTGAGTTTTTGCCAACATTCCCGAGACTCATCAATATTCAAGATGCGCCCCGAAGGGAACGTCCCAAGGGGTTGGTAAGCCCCGGGTTGAAGGCCGATAGAAAAATAGTGATATTATATAGACATCTGCGATGCGATTATCAAAGTATTTGCCCCAAAAAAATTTTTGAAAAACCGCTTCCTACCACAAGAAACAAGGCTTTGAATTAACACGACGCCAGCAAACAGCATTCAATTGCCACTCTCGTCTCAGCAGTCGTCGTCGGAAACTGAGCCTAACTACAAAGTGCTTTAATTACCAAATAAACAAAGAAAACCGAGCAAAATTAGGGCCGAAAGGGGGAAATTATGAACAATGTTAAAGTATATTGTAGGTGTATATTTGAGAGCCCTATTTGCGTGAAAGTTGATCGGTGTAATAACTTCCTAAAAATCTGAACGCCGAAACGTAAGTGACTTAACCAAATATAGACCAGGCTAGCCCCATTGCTATGCTAGAACATTGCTATTGCTATCCTATCGGCACCCAGATTATGCTAACGAGGCGTATAACTAAACCCTTAAAAGAAGTGCCGTACAAAATTGATCCATAAGTTCTCTAAAGAACGCGATTCGCGAAGGCATTGGCATTGCCTGCTTCTGTACCTGCTGATTGGACAACATAGATGTTTGGCGACTTGAGCACAGCAGGAAGGGAAGCCTTACTACTGGGTTGGGCAAATATCGGTAAAGAAGGCCACGCTTTTTGAATGGTCACTATGAAAGGATGTTAACGATGATGAAGCAGCAAGTTTTTTCTTTGAAGGAGGGCCCCTGAGGCCAGGGCCAGGGCCGGGAAGGACAAAATGGACGGGCCTGGAGAAAAGGGGTGGGCCTAGGAGAAGGGGAGGAGGGCACAATCCAATTGCCGAATCAACACACGACGCTTTGAACAGACAACCTGGTGGCTGCGGGGCCTTCTATGCTTCACTATGCGTGAGCCGTCGGGTAAGGTCCTAAGTGGAATAGATGGATGGGCCTGATGGACGGATGAATATATACATGGGCCATAGGACTGTGAATAGATGACTGAATAAATGGGGGACATGGCCCACCACTCGCAACTTAGCTAAGGGCCTGATGTTGAGGCGTTGAATTGAAGTTTTATATACAACGAGACCAAGTCCGCAAACGATTACAACCAGAAAACGTGAAGGAAACGGGGAAAAGCTTGCCAAAATTTCGGCGTTGTGCACACTGTGCTCGTGTTGTATTGAAAAACCTACTGCCTTCCATGGTCGTTTGATTGATCACCATTGAACGCGCCGAAACCTCAGGGTGAAAGTGCGGACAACCAAATAGCTCAAAAAAAGGTTTAAACAGTTTTTTCGAAAATGCATGATTTTGCAATAAATGAAGTCCGTTTACAGGGTGGCGATTAAGTATTTGCGCCTGTTTCAAGCACGTTTTTAGGAGCTAAATCGTAGTCGGCAGAAAAAACAAATAAGTCCATTTTGTAGAGAATTTTTTGCTATATCAGATGCAAGGTAAAAACAGGAAACCGCTTCACCACACAATTTAAATTTGTCTAAACATGTAAAACGGCGTTTTTTTGTATGGATTTTCTTCATTTTTGAGGAGCTCAGAAATTTTTTTGAAGAAGCTGGATATATTTCCCGATGTTTGATCGTGGAAAGAGCTATCTGAACTTGCTAGAAAAAATGGGTATGGGTAATAGGGAGTCCTGAGTAGGGCACGGAAGCGAAAGTAAATTTTCGCAAAGCACGTGGGCCGCGCATCCTGTCTCAGAGCGACTTATCGCAGAAGAATGCATTCTAAAAAACCAGCCGCTTACAGCGGCTTTGCCGCTGCAAGCGGCTGGATTTCGGGCTACCCCTTCCGCTCCCTCCCCCTCCCTTTGTGATGGCTTTCGATACTTTAAAGGGTTTAAATAATGAATTAAAATGATTTAAAAGTATTAAAACAACTGAAAAAAAGCGATTTGGGCGCGGGAAAGGGCTTGGGGACGGGGGCAGGGAAAGGGGGCGTGGCCTCCCCGGAGAGAGGGCCCCCACTCGTTTTATTAAGGCGCCACTTTCAAAGTTAATTATTTTTATTTAAACAAAAACTTTTTTATAATCTTTTGATCATTTAAGGGGTTTCTGACTACGCTCTATCCAAATCCGAAGAGACCTAAGCTCTACCTCCTTTCCCCTTCGAGTTATAGTTGGCTTCTGACAGACAGACAGACAGACACCACTACTGAATTCTTATAGTTGATCGCACCTTTGAGGTATCTTCTTCGTTTTGCTATCAAAATGTAGGTAATTTTTGCGTCTCTTTACTAGCCACTTTAGCTAGAGCGAGAAAAGCTAAATTCTCCAGTCCATGATTTTTTAAGAGTGGAGCAAACGGGTCGCATAACCATGCATTTCATTCCATCGTTTTGTGCAAACATTTTGAGCTTTTTGGACGCCCTCAAGCTTTTCCGGACCGTTTGGGTCGCTTAACCAAGTCCCCATCATGGCAAACATCTTCGACAAGTGATTGTAGAAATTTGAGACATTTTGTGTTTTTCGTGAAAAAGCCTCACGCGCGGCTCAATTTTGGTGGTCGAGAAAACTACAAATAAATCTAGGATCCGATTAGAAATAATTTTTCTGTCTACTACGTTCGCTAAAGGGCATTGCAAAGAATATAAAGACCACTTGTTGTTTTGGCCAACTGAGATACTTAGGCTGAAAAGCTTAAACAAAGGGACGAGATACGCGCGGCCCTCGCTGATGTTTGGGCGCTTCTCTCAAAGGTCATATCTTGAAAATTTAAGAATTAGGGCCATAGATTTTTTGGTATCCGTAATTAAGTTATATTAGCTACGTTATGGTCGTAAAATAATTTCCGAGACACGCTTCGGTCATTTTTTACGCTGCCTTTCCTGGCGCAAATACTTAATCGCCACCCTGTAAATTCTGCGTTTTTGCATTATTTAGGAAAACAGATTAGAAAACGCAGGTTGTGCTGATTAGTTCACACAACATAAGATTTGATTTGCCCGAGCAGGCGAGAGCATATCATCCACAGGCTTATATCGAGGGCGATGGGTTCTTAACTGCTTCAAGGGGCACAGCCACATACGTTCATTCCTGGCAAATTGCCAAATTCTACCGCAACGCGACCGTGCCGCATGATAGTTTGCCCTTGTTTGGACCGGAAAACGCTGAATTTTAAAATTCTGGCGTTGTTTCTGGAATCATCAACGAAATTTGGCCATTCTAGACTTTTTAATTATGCACATTGACCACAGAATCACCGAGTTCGAGAGATTGGGCGCCTTACAAGGCATTACGACCTATAATAGCAGCGCACACAAAGAGTAGTTTTCGCACGAAGAACTTTTCGGCTATACTCAAATATTTTAGATTTTTTCGCAAGGAAATCAATTTTCTGGGGCTTCTCCGCAATAACCCTTTCATTGGGTCAAAATCCCCGCATGCGCGAATTTTGATTTCCGAGCCCCTTTAATGTGGCAATGTGTGGCCACTCACTTTGACCGTGACTGGAAAGCTATTTATCTTCGAATTTGCGCAATCTGCTGGGAAAACTCTTCAAAGACACGCGGACTCTACGGATTTCGATGTCCTAAAAATTAGCAACGCATGAGTGTACATTACCTGGCAAAACGTCATTTCCCATCTCATAGGCTCCTGCAACTGAGCCTTTGAGTTCACTATTGTTGAGACCGATGCGCCAAGGGGTGCCGCCATGCGCCTAGTCGTAACGCGTGGCTCCTATGAACGTTCGGATAATACATCCGAAAGACGCTGAGCGCGCTCAGTAAGCGTCGAACCAGGTGGATAGGCTGTGATAAGCTTTGACGATGATCTTCTTTATTAAGGTTTATCCTAAATGTTGTCCGAAATTTTCTGAGATATGCAAAACTGAATATTATACAGGCACCATGAACCTAAGGTTTTTTTGCAATGAAGCAGCCCAGGGCGGCTTTTTAAGCAGTAACCATCTTTATCTGACTTTCTCTATGAATAGCTGACGTTCACTTTCTGTTTAAGCCTCGAAACAAAGAGTTTGCGCATTGATTCTCGGATTTACGATTATTGATTACCTGGAACCCTCTCTGATCCCCCCAAAATCAACAAGCTCTTTTGCGACCTCTTCATACATATAAAGTTGCTCCCGGTAGCTATAGGCATTTTCGGACTGGATTAAATTGGCCTAATAATAATGCGATAGTAATTGCAATTGGAACCCAAAATGTCGATGAATCTAAAATGATATCTGATCTTATCCACCCTGTTTATGTCTTTATTCACGTACCACTTTTCCCAACTGATGCCATTGACCCTTTAATAACTGCATATAGGAGATTTCTCTAGATGTCAATGCCTTGGCCACCAGCCTGGGGCCCGGGATTTCTCGGCGAAATTTCTTCGGCATCAACGAGCAAGGATGTGAGTTTTTTGCTAGATGTATGTGCTTGTGCTGGTGCTCAGTGTTTTGAATACGGCTTAACCGTGAACGTTCAAACTAATTAATCCGTTTTTAGCATCGACTAGCCGCACAAGTGCTATCCTCGCTTGGCGGGCAGATGTCCCAACCATTTCAACAAGGCAACCAACCGCAAAAGAAAAAGTATTTATTTTTGGTGGAAGGAACATGTAAAAAATACTTTAGTAACTCCCGGCCTCAAGCAGCAAGGGCGGATCCTTGCCAGATTAATTTTGGTAGTATGCAGATGGTAAATGCAACCAAATTAACTAAAACTTTTATGTTGTTTTAGACACCCGAAAACATGATGGCAATGGTCTCACAAAACATGCCAAATGGTGGCTCCATGGGTAACGGACATGGGAGAAAAGATAAAGGGAATGATTATCACTGCCCGGTGTAAGTGTTCTGCCCCAGACATCCATCGTGTTTTCAGGCAATTATGTTCGAAGTCGTTCAACTCACAGGATAAACTCCAGAGACACTTAGTGATACATAGCGCAGACCGGCCACATGAGGTTGGTTTGAGGCGGCATCGGTTCAAGGTGCTCTTTCAGTGCCAATATTGTCAGCGGCGGTTTCGACGCGTTGACCATTTGAAAAAGCACGAACGGACACATACTGGTGAGAAGCCGTTTATCTGCGATTTTTGTGGCCGTGCTTTCGCTCGTTCTGACAAGCTGTACACCCACAAAAAAGTGCATCTCACTGATGTTCCCACTTCCCTAACTAATCTCAATACGATGTACCCTAACATACCGGCCTCTCTGGTATGTGTGCGGCCCAGTTCCCCGGGGTAATCCGCTTTTTCGCTCTTCTTTCCTTAAAAAGACGCACTAAACTTTCGAGGAAAAAATGTCGTCCTAGAAAAATTGGCCGAACCTTGATTCGATGGCTCAAACAGGCCACAAATAGCGTGCCTTTTGAGTGTTCTGTATTTCGGGCCAAGCATTATACTCTTGTTTTGAAAAATCAGATAAATACCATTTCCAACCGGTTCATTTAGCTGGCTACCTTCCATTACTTCTGAGAGCATTATTTTTACAAGTCCTAGCGTCTATTTGCGAATAAATATTGCCAAGTTTAGCGAAAAGCTTTATATTCCGAGGTAATGACTTTGAGAAGTAGTGGTCGTCCCCTCATTTAGCTTATAACTTGAGGCTCTACATATATTAGTAACAACAAAAGTCGACTTGACCGTTCGACCGCCAATCGTAATTCGGCACTTATTTTCTCGAAACTTTAGATGTTGTCTTTATAGCTCTCGATTCTTTTGTGTTCGTTTCTGCGCCTCTGCCAAATATACGGTAATTGCCTTCCTGGGTCCCGCACTTACTCTTATTTCATGAATTATTGCCTTACTGTCCTAGCATTGCCGAGCTACTACCACCTTTTCCTCTTCCATACTTGGTGCTTTCAATAATAAACGCTACCTACCCTGTGGCTGCCTGCAGCTTTGAGTCCATGTATTCATTTATATTCTTGTGTAGCTGTGTTGGTCTCATTAAACACGCGTTCGCCCACCATTCATTTGTCTAGATGCCTTCTAACATTTGCGCCAACATTTATCTGTTCGTCATTAATAAATTTTAAAACTATTTAAAATTATAACAAGTGCATTGGTTAATCGCTAGATATTGGAGGGGCCGTATAGCAAGTATCAAGATAGGTATATGCGAATTCGTGTACAATTGAGCGATCCGGAATCTTTTGAGCCATTCCATAAAGTGCTGCCTGAAAATTTGTTTCACCAATTCGATTTAAGACTAACGGTTGAGCCTTCTTCAATAGCTTGCTTCGAATTTCGCATTGATTCGACTGTGAGCTTTATATCCCGTACAAGAGCTTCAATTACTCCAGGTTGCGTATGTAGCATCGTCACCATAAGGTGCACGCTGTCGAAAAATATTACTCATGGGGGAAGCTTTACCCTGACGGAAATTGCAGGGCAGCTAGACCCCATTTCTTCTTTTCCATCAACGAATGAAAGTGATCAATGTTGATCCCTATATTAAAAAATATGGATAGATGAGAACAATGATCCAGATTAGGTTAGTTATAACAGGATGTATCAAAATATCGTAGATGACCAACCTTTATCGCCTGTCCATCCTACGACGCATACATCGCAGTCTCCCATCAGCTTTAAACCTGAGATTTCTGCAATACTAAAATAATTTTTGATGTTGTTAACGTGCAATATACGCATTTCGTAATTTAATTGTCGCAGTAACAACTGCGTTGGCTGTCTTGCGGTAGCCGGCAACACCATGATACCGTAATGATGCCCAGCAAAGGGCAATATTGAGTCCGGCCCGTGACCCTATGAATCCTTGAGACAACTTTGAAAGTGACTGACCTTCAAGTGTCGAGCTTGCATATATTCCGCCCTGCCAATCAGGGTCACAAAAATATTGGTGATGAAGATACTCTTTTGACCGATACAGTACCACCGAGGACCCTTTTGGTGTCAGGCCATACTAAACAATTATTTGACTAGAGTAACCTATTCCTGAAATGGAAATCTATTTAGAAAAGTCGATCGATATCAAACTAGCTAGCAGTGTACCTTGTGCGTATCGGCGCTCATTGATGTCACACCATCGACTCGGAAATCAAACGGCCGTGCGTTCTTAGGGGAAAAATTCATATGGTTTCGGGAATACATTACCACGACAAATGGCAATAGGAATCCGCCCAAGCAAGCATCTACATGAACTGGTATGTCATATTTAAGACCAAGCCGAGCAATGGCGTCGATTTCGTCGTGCGCACCCGTCGGAAAGTTCACCGCCGAGCCAACAAGCTAGAATTTTGTTTGTTGAAATTTGTCGTAGCTACTTTATGTTGTTGTAACTTACCATGCAAGTTCGGCTGCTGATGGCATTTTTCATTTTTTGCACATCTACCCTATAAGTCGTCCTATCAACGGGGATGCGGATCTAGAATTTGGTTAGAATGAAACAAGCTAGGAAATAAAGGATTTAAAAGGGTCATCAAATCAAATCGAGTGCCACTACAACCCTCGAGACAACCAGCACCACACTCACCAATTTAATTCTAAATATTTCCGCCGCTTTGATGAATGCAGCATGGGCGCTCTCCGGGATGATCCTGTGCATAAATCGAATGCGACATTTGTTTAGCATCTTACATTTCCGGAAATTGGATTCCCTTTTTCAACGCTCGATTACGATGTGCCAGGCAGGCCAAAAGTATAGAAGATGTGCCACCGGTAGACATCTATTTTTAAGCTGATCGTGGCTTTTTGTGAGATACCGTTCCGCAGGTATCTTTATCTCCACCTAGTAGCGATGCACACATTTTTACGATCTTAAAATGGCGGTATCACCGGGATTTCCGTAGACTCACCTCAGCCTCCATTTTTCTAACACCCGGGAACAGTTTCGGCCAAAGTGGGTTGGTCCACGCAAAATGTGTACAGACCTGAATGAAGTGTAAGCGTTCAGGGTAGTTTTATTCGAGAGTATAACACGGATCTTCATCAGAACTTAAGTTAAGCGTCCACGATCAGTTTGCTGATCTATGTCCTGCTTTGCACCTACAGCCACAACGGCGATAAAAGGCTTTGGCACGGATACAAAAACAGCAGAGGTAAACGCCTACCTCACGATAAATCTGCATTTCATTACTCTCGGCATCCTCGACATGGAATACCGCTCCAGAACAACGCCCACCCATCCAATCCGAACCTTCTGCAAGTCCCAAGTGTGATGAAATATGTTCCCGTACATATTATTCTTTTTGGAATTGTTTGAAAGCCAGCCATACCCAAAATTCGGACCATTTCTGAGTTTAAAGTTCACCAAGGGTCAGGTGGATAATTTTATTGGCATTTTCCATCAGGCCTTGCTCTGGCCTACCGACTTGCATTTAGCTTGATCTCGGACCTCAATTGGACCAAAAACAAGGCTCACCCATCTCGGAATATTTTCGTATTTCATTGATCGTTTCTTCGACCGACAAGCCTTCTTCTGGTAAATTTGCCAAAAAAGTGCCGTCCTCGTCCCCATGATGAATAGCTGCCGTTAGTCCCGCTTGTGCCGATGAAATGTGCTTCTACAAAAAAATCAGAACCAATTATCAACTTGCCGCTATTTCGCGGCGGACAAATGGTAGCTTCCGCACGTACCAAAATACAAACGATTTGAGGTGTTGCCGTATCCCTAGATCCAAATATAACGCCCATCTCGAATGGATACCTTTATCATCTGTATGCAGTGCCCAGAGTTTCGCTGATATGTAGCCACTTATGAATGATGTCGCCAAAATGACTGCCGGATCACGGCGATTCAAAAACATTTTCACCTCATCAAAAACAGCATGCAATGGTGCCGGCACAGATAGAACCACCATAATCTGCACGGAATTTTAATTGAAGACGGTTAGTTAGGAATTTTGCGCGATGAGCATAAATTTACGTGTATTAACGGCAGAGGAGGGCCCGATAGGATAGACATTATTCACGATTGGCAAAAAAACTACCGAAAAACGCTATGTAAAAATCGGGTAAGGGAGTCGGCCCAGGAAAGAGGAGCTAGAGAGAGAGAAAGAGAGCGAGAGAGAGTGAGAGAGAGAGAAAGAGACGGGTTTATGCTAACTAAAAACTAATACCGGTTGACTAGCATGTGACTTCCCGTGCGGTTTACGAAGCACTGACGATGATGCTCTATTTTTAGATTTAGACAAGGTGATTTCGGAGAAGACCGCTAGCGTTAGAAACTAAAAACCATCCCCGGGATTGATAAATTTGGCCGGGGACGTCTCTAAAACCTTTTTGAGGACAGTAAAACTTTGGGAAGCAACAGTTAAGCCCAGGATATTTCACTATTTTGAACAACAAGATGCTAAAGCTTATCACCAGTGAAAAGAATGTCGGTCATCCAGGTGGCTTACGAGGGGGTAGAAGTTTTAGAGAGAGGACAGACGGTCGGATGGGAAGAATCAGCGGAAAAAGGGGCGCTTCCGGCCGCTTGCGCGTCTCTAGTTTGATCAAAAGGGTGCGGGCCTCTGCATCGGGATTCAGATTTCGCCGAGCTGCAACACCGGAAAACCGGCGCAAAAGGACGGGGCGAAATCAAGATCAGCACTACTAGGTCCGCAAAATAACGCTCTAACCACGGCAATAATTGGCCCAAAGATATGTAGTTGCAGCTGTCCACAGCAATAGGCTGATCTCGTTTCCCGCCGAGCCTTTCATTTGACGCCTGGATTGGTGGCAGACTAACCGTCCGGTGTGCTGGCCAAATTTTGGAGATAGTGCTGGGCCGAGATAAGAGGCCATTCTACAAACAATATAGAGCGAATTCGCATTGTATCAAGATATAAATATATAGTTTGCGCATAGATGCTAATGCTTGACAAATTATATCAAAAGCTTTATGGCAAATTTCGGTCGGCCTGGCCCTAAGTTTTCCATAGAATGATATGATTGATGGAATCGGTAATTGGGTCATGATGGTTGCCTTTCGAATCGTCCAGCCCATCTCCGCATGAAAGAAGAAACATCTAAATGCGCATCTAACCGTATTTTCAATCCAAGTTATTGTGATTGTAAGCCGGACGGACCTGCGAGTTTTGATGTGAGGGTAGGCTCAGCGACATCTTTTTGCTTTTCTTTGACGGTTGCACTGGTATTGGCAGTAATACGCGACAGGGACCAATGTGGCCCATTTCAAGTACTAAATATTTTCTTAACTGTATGTTTTATTGTCTTGTATTAGCATTATTGAAGTGAGAGGGAGAGAGATTTTCGTGTATGCTAAAAATTGGCAACTACCGTTGAGGAAAGGGGTAGTCTGCGAACGAGCAGCCGTAGTTGCCGTCGACAGAATGAAACCTGCAGAAGTGCCGATCCAAAGAGCAGATCGGAAGGCAACCAATGCGGTTACACGTAGGCTCCCGAGCTTGTGCTCGCGTAATATATCTTCGCGCCCTAAAGCATCAAGGTTTGTGAGATTGTGAGAGCACTGCTAAAAAGACATATGAAAATCAATGATTCTGAAATACCTGAAAGTTGTCCTTGGATAGCGGAAACTATTGAAAATTGGTTAAGAGGTGCCAGAGAGAATGCATCGATCGCGTAAATCGACGAAGAACGTCCAGCAGTAGCGAACAGGAGCGCTCCGGTCACACAAAGACAAGTAATGGTTTCTCCTGCGGGCAAAATTGATGATGAACGCTGAAAAGGGAAGAATATCCCGTGCTATCGATGCATATTCAATTCAATTTCCAAATATCTGGGGGTCGTAAGCACAATAACAGCCGGCGGAGGCAAACACATGTATTTTTAAATTGTAACAAAAGTACTGGCCGTCAATCCTTACCACGATTCTTTGAATTTGGGTTACGAGCATGCGTTTTCAAAGCTAATTTTGCCAAGTCCCAAATTTTCTTGTGTAAACAGCTCTCTGGCTTCTGTTTGCCTAAAGCTTGAAAGGATTCAAACGCTAAATATAATCCTTTTTGCTGATAACTTTCAGAACATGTCCTGAAAATGCAGATGTGTCTCTAAATAGACTCAGCAGTTATTTTGCTACACTATTCCAAGGAAATGATAGATATAAGGATACACCATTCACCTCAATGCCATGTGTATCGGGGTCGAGAATGTGAAGTTGGTGCGCCGTCGCTAAACATAGACCGCGTGCCACAGCGACGATTGGATTGGGCAAAGTGGCAAAAGGCAAGGCGATCGTAATTGGATGCTCCATGTCCCAGCATTCTATTCAGCATTCCTTGTAGTCGGATTAAGAAAAACTAACCATTCATATTCCTAAAGGACACAAGTGTCGAGTTATTCTGCGTCCCTGCCGCCACAAATACCTAAAAACGAAATGGTATGCCGCCGCAGACCCCCTGTAAACCTGGGAATGAGTCGAGCAGATCGCTTTAATTGGATATTGCAGTGCGGCAACCCTTTCTCGTACTCGATTGCGGACACGCTCGCACGAATTCAGAACAAATATTCTGGAAACAGGGATAACCCGCTAGATGATGCACCAACTCTCCATCCTCATTTCCGATCCAAATCGTCGTTGGTCCTTCTTCCTCGGTGTCTGAAGATGAAGATTCAGAGCTAAACTGACAGCTGCTCAATAAAAAGTGCATCTACCTATCCAAATTTAGCACCGATTCATCTCTCGATAACTGATCGACCGATCTTTCCGCACGAAATAGCGATCGTTTTCTTCCACGACTGGGATTTGCTTTTTGCTTAACATGCCATCAGGATGAACCTACCTGGCTGGTGGGACGGTTGCTATCGCAGAAACAGCCGCATTGCCTATCCCGGCGCAACTTTCCACTGCCGATTCCCCTTCGATTGAAATGACTACCACCTGGAAAGTAACACATATAGCATCTCTCAATATTAGAATAGATAATATTCATCTCTTAGTCAAAGTTTAGGTCAAAACCAACAACTACGGAACATACCTGTCCAGAGTATTTGTCCGAGGTGCAAGCCCAAACAACTGGAAATCCATCGGCCCGCTTTCCGGGAAGTACCGTTGCTGCACAAAACTGAAAAAAGGCCGAGCTGAGCATTTTTTAAAGGTACCTGAAGCCCCGGGCGTGATTGGTGAGCAACGATCGAATGAAGGCTAACCGTCGCCCCATCTTGCGGTTGATTTGCTAATCGGCGACGTTTAGCGTTCAAAATAGTTTTTACCTAACGCCGCCTTGGCTTCTTTAAAAGCTGTTTCCCATTGCGTACGCCGGTCAGCAGACGCGAACTCTATTGGTACAGTCTCCACACCATTACTAGAAAATACATTTTCAGGGTGATGGTAAGGAACGCACGATGTAGTAACATTTAGTACCACGGTAGTCAGGTCGGGATTAGATGAAAGCTGTTCACTAAGCGAACGCATTCTCCTTGCAAGAGACGTCTCCAAGTCAGCTAACGTTGTTGCCAATACCTGAACGAAGATTTGAAGGCGTTGTGGACCTTGCCTCGTGGGGCGAGCGTAATAAATTACACAATTCGATGACTTTCTTTAAAATCTTAAGGTCTTCTTTTAAGACTTCGATCGCCTGTTCCGTCTCCTGCAGTTTCGCTAATGTATCTAAATAAAAGGCAAAGTAAGCGATTCGATTCTCGACCTTTTCCTATCTCGACATCATCCATTGAAATTTTGATCAGCAATTTAAAGCGATTTGAATCCAGGAAGTCCGTGGTTTGAAGGCTGAAATCGAGTTGATGGGGTTCACATACCTTATTTCCTCTAATATAGTGTCCCTTTCTGTCATGCTCTCCCCTATCTAATGTAAGCAGTCCGATCCCCCCGATTGACTGAAACCAGAACCCATCTCCGTCCCCGAAAGTCGCCAGATTTGCTTTGCATCCATGAAGGGGATAAGAACGAAGTCATATTCTTCTGTGGGCCTTCTACTATGCATTTAAAGGGGCTCCGAAATCTGGTCCACGGCCCCCTGCTGTGATTCCTGGCAAATAGCCAGATGCGGCCGCAACGCGACCGCGCCGCATTATCTTTTGCCTCTGTTTGGACGCGAAAACGCTTGAATTTCAAAATTCTGATACTATTTTTGGAATTCTCAACTAATTTTGATCATTCCCGACTTTTAAATTATGAAAATTGATCAGAGAATCGCCGAGATCGAGAGATGGGTGCCTGACGAGGCATTACGACATGTAATCGCCGCCCACTCAAAAGTTCGTTTTCGCCCCAAAAAGAATTCAGTTTTTCTCAAATATTTTACGTTTTTTCGCAATCAAATCACTTTTCTGGCACTCCTCGGCAGCGACCCTTTCGTGTTTTGACCAGTAGGTTCAATCCCCGCACGCACGAATTTTGACTTCCGAGCCCCTTTAAGGGGCTTTAACCGAGAAAAACCCGTGTAATCAAGGGTCAGAATCGAACACTTTAATCCCCGAGTTTCAGAAATTGGGGCAGCCAAAAATACATGAAACAGATACCTGGGCTCGGTAAAATAACTAAATGCTCGGTAAACCATTCCTTGGAAAAATTAAAAGGGTTACATCGGACGTCGTCCCAGTCGGTGGTCTTTCCTTCGTACAGACGTCATGATCAGCTGATCACTGCACATAAAGACGCAACGCTGTCTAAATTCTCGGCGTGTAATCTATAAAAAACCGTACCGATGTCCTTCGCGACTTTTCATGGTTACCATGTCGTAGCGCAGCAACGCACGCCCTGTAGAAACAAGCTAAACAATATTTTCTACACGACATTTTTGCTCCTACATCCTCCAAGCCATCAACAATAGCCTCAATCTCTCTAAGCCGTTGTTCCGCCTGTTCATTATGTTGCTGCTGACGATTGATGGCCAATGCTAATTGATGAATATGCTGTTGAGCCCTCATCATCCTGAAGAAATAGTTGGTGCACGAGAAGGACACTTCCGTACCTCTCGTGATCAGCGTGTTCAATCGAAGTATGTTTCAACAGTTGGTTCAATATTAATTCATATCTAAATTTAGTATATACAACCGCTCAAAACGGCCACCTCGGAACGCGTTGTATTGGAGAAATAAGTAATGAATCGAGATCGAGTTTGTTTCGGTGGTCTCGATAGCAGCGCTACGGAACGTTTAAGTTAGAAATAAAAATTACCTGATAATACTTCTCAAACGAAGGTTTTTGTCTTGCTTGCGCGATGGCTGTCTTTGCATATTTAAAATTGTCGACAAAATATATGTAGGTTTCAACCATTGATTGCTTTGAGAACTAGAAATTCTTTGGTGTTTTCAAAGAATTGTTCCCACATGTGCCAGCAATACATCGCCAACAGCAGATTCAGGATGCCAATCCTCCAGTCGATTTGATAATGATGAGAGAAGAACCTTTCAAATGTATTTGAATAGCAATATTCCACATACCTGGTGATGCGCCAAGATTTCCGGAATTTTATAGAAAATCTTGTCCACCAATTCCGCCTCAATCAACGTAATTTCTAAAGGTTGCCGCAGGGGGCGCATATATTTCTGAGCGATTTATCATCCATTTTTCCAAACACACCTGCACCAAGTATTCCAATCCCTCCACGAATGATTTTTCGGTATCATATAGTTCGCGGGCAGCGAGGGTTCGCATGCTATTGTGCCTGCAACAAGAAATTTATTTTAGCCTTGGAAAAAACCTTCTTAAAGACGCCCTGCTTCTTTTCTTCCATAACATGATGTCAGCTTCCATCATGGATTCTTCCGGCTTTGGGCTTCGTTCAATTGATAATTCGGGTGGCGGTGCAAGTAGGTAGGGTTTCGGCTTCCTAAGCAAGGTCTAGGTCAAGCAGTCCATTTTACCAAGAAACGGAGGGTGTTTCTGATTCCACCGTTTCTGTATTTTGCTGCATTCGACGATCCATACGAAGACTATCCAGTAATTTGCTAAATCTAAATTGAAACTTTCATTTTCACAATAATAGGCTGCTATACCGACTGACTTCTGCAAGCGCTACAGAGCCTTTATCGAGCAATTCACCCGCTGGATATAATTCTTCACAAACGGCACGCCTTCTAGTCGACCGAGGAGATTTGTCTCCTTTTCTGATGGGACGCAAGACATCAATTGTCGGAAATATCTCCGGTGCGCTACCTTTCCGATTAAAGCCGATCCGATTTTCCACGGCGTCATTCCTGAAAAGGCTAGTATACCGTAGTGAAAAATATTACTTTTGCGGAATTCAAGAACTGCATAACCCCTCGTGGATGGCCGGGCCTGGTGGAAATTCCCGACATCCTTGCTTCAGAAGCTGATTCCGTTAATGAAGTTTGATCATTTTCGGATCCAAGATCTAAACTAGTAGCAAAAAAACTGAAAAATCTACCAATGTCTACTGCCTTTGTGTTTCCTTTAAGGACCCTCTGCAAACTTTGGATGCTTTTGGCCGCATCTCTGAACAAACGCGATGATTTGTCAGTGAGCAGTATTCTACCGTAATTCCTCAATTTCTGTATTAATCTCCTCGGCATCCGATCCATAATTGGAGAAAGTCTTGAGATACGTTATAATAGGGAAGGTCAACTACATACATTAGAATTCGCAGTGCTAAATTTGGGAAGGGTAAGCAACAACTGCCGGATAGCTTCTAAGTCAATCTAAAATATAAGGCGTTTACGCTTTCCTCAGATACCTGAGTAGAATGTTCGACACTCGGCTCGCTGTTCGTTTTGCGTAAATTTCCGCGTTTCCTTTCGCCGCTCCGCCTGAAAAACGTCTTTAGATGGAATACATGTAAAATATTTACCGGGCGGTGCTATTCCTACGCTCCCTTTCCTTACGTCGTTCCGTAACCTCTGCAGCTAAGTTGAAATCCGATCGGCGCCTAGGTCTTATTACTTTGAATAAAGAATCTGAAGTACCTGGCAAAGCGGCGGAAGCTTCCTTGGCGCGTACTTGGTGAAACCGTGGAGGCTCGTTGAGGAAATCTGGTGCGATTTTAGAAAAATCCTTAATTACCTGACAGGAGAAACCGATTCTGAGCTATCCGAATCGTCCGCATCATCAGCATTTAGGGGTAGATGCCGTAAGGACATCGTCGCACTTTTTGCCAGTGGAGGGAGCTGGTATACAAAATTAAGATGAATGATGAATGAAATTAGATGTGAGGTATGAAATTTATCAGATAAACGTTTTTGGCTAACGCTACCATACAAATAGCCACTCTGAATGAATGAGGAGCGCTGCGTAGGTTTAGCCAAAACAAATAGGCAATAAAGAAAAGAAAAGGTTAATCGGGCGTATGTGTCGATAGGGAAATGAAGGAGGATGATAGGGATTGAGAAGGGCCACTAACAGCAGCTGACACTTCCGAGCCACGACAGTTGTGGCAAGGGGTCAACACGAGACATTGCCGTTCACAATGCCCCAACGTCCATTTTGCGCTTAAATAGCATCCACAAAGCGTCATACGAGAAGTATTGCAAATGTTGGTAATTACACCGAAGTTTGGGTCGGCGACGTTACTTATCGTTCGGGACAAAACGCTAGCAATAACGAACGGAATCACACAAATAAAATCCACGGCAACCTCCAAATCATATTCAAATGAAATGACAATGGTCGTAGTTTTTATATGCTGGTAACGATAGTTTCCATTCAAAAACGTAGGGTTTTCTAATTAAGATGAGCGTGAATCAAATCCTAGAGGAGATGTGTCCGACTAGAGTCAATGCATCAGCGCTGTATGAGATGTTTATGTCATTTAAAATCAAAAGATTTAGAGAAGGTTTATTGAATTTAACGGCTACGACTTCTGCGCGAATATCTTTCACGGCTCCGATTACGCCGATTCCGATCATCATAGCGGTCATCTCGACGTTCCCTCGTCCGTTTCGGCTCTTCACGACGACGCGTCGGTTCATCAGTTTTACGGCGCTCCCTAGAAACGATTTCAATGAAAGATTTGTAACTGTAGAGGCATTAGTCCCTTCCGAAGTAAAGCAAATATTAGAGCGACAGCCAATCTCTAATGCTGTTTGTGCTTCTAATGATGATGGCCTTATACCCCGCACTCCATTAGAAATATAGAATCTCCCAGTAATCTTTTGACTTACATTGCTCGTATGCGGCGCGCCTCTTCTTCCATCCATAATTCTTCATCGCGTAATCTTTTCCGTTGCTCGTCATCCTTCTTTTTTTGTTCCCCATCGACTTTCATTATTTCCACAGTCTTCTTGATCTTCTTCTGCATCAATAAACGTAGTTTACGCGCTTCCTCTCTCTAAAATGTAAGCTGTTGATCCTTACGCGTAATCTTACTTTTTCATCGTCCGAATCCGTCCCGTCTTTCTTCTCTAATCCTTTCTTTTTTACCAATCTCTTTGTCTTTTTGACACGACGCTTTCTGTTCTCGATCTCGATCTTTTCTTTCTCAGAGTCCGACATCGATGATCTGATTTCCAGCAGGCTTTCTGAACCTGACCCGGAATCTGTATCTGAACCAAAATTAATTGATACCAAAAATCAAAGACCTGATGGTTTTGTTGGGGATATGCTTCTTGTCCGTTTTAGGGGCGGAGATATGGCTTGACTTAACGGAAGATTTCTCTTAAACTTAGGTTTACTACTTTTTCTTTTCCCAAAGCCCGCGACTGTTTGATCTTGAACGGCTTCTTCTTCGTGTACGGGATCGAGAACGCGAGCGACGACGGCGTGGCGAGCGACTACGTTGGCGGGATCGAGAGCGGCTAAACATTCGATGTGTTTTTTTAGATTATTTCCAGAAATGTATAACTAAAAATATATGTTTACCAGCCGATTACAGTCGCGTCGCGACTGTAATCGGCTGGCGTTTGGGCTACCATCCACGTCCTACACCATCACATTACTCTCTACCTTCATCTCCCCACGCTGACCGCTTCAGATCCTTTCTCAGGCCAAACCCCTGCAAAAACTTAGATACCTGAACTACCGGGTCCTTTGGTTTTTTTTCGACAACCTCCGGATTTTTGTATAAATTGCGGATGCGTTTCTAAATTTTTTTATAATATTCCTGTTTTTAACAAAAAGTAAAAAATTAAAAAAAAATAGACCCAAAATGACCAAATTTTGACTTTTCTTTCCAAATATTTTCTGAAAGTTATTCCGCTCTAAATATAGTTAAAACCTACAAAAACAACTTCAAACACCAGTGTACCGGGGCCCCGGGGACACCGGAAAAAAATGGTTTCCCCGGGAATCCCCCCCCGAACCTAAATCATACTTTCCTGATGGCCATAGAGACCTCCCGTAGCCGAAATCCCCTCAAAAACTACCTAAATACCATCCTGACGGCTTCAGATACCCCCCCATAGCCGAAACGCCCTTCAAAAACTACTTTGATACCTTCCTGATGGCTTTAGATACCGCCCCTAGGCGAAACGCCCTTAAAAACGAAGATAACGACAGACCGAATATGCGGGAGAAATAAAAGAAATGAAACGACTCCCGTGAAAATTTTCATCCACGAAACGCACGCGATCTGGCTCACTAACTAGGGAAGTGCAAATAAAGAATCCAGCAAACCGCTTAGCAAAAATATGGGTCTGATAGAGTCGGCGACGGGGGTTCCGAAACAGCAATCAGAATTTGCAAAACGCTTAATACAAAAAAGATATGGACATTTTAAGTTTTGCAGCACTTTTTCCGCCCTCCCTTATGTGCCCCTCCCAAAGAGTGGTGTCCACCTGTCGACTGGTGTAGTGGCTAACTAGCCTGCGTCTGTGGCGTAGGGTCTCTGGTTCGACACCCGGGTCATGCAAAACTTTTTGCTTTTTGGTCAAAGTCAACAACTTTAGACTTTTTCAAAGTTTCAAAGTCGAAAAGGCCGTTCTCTTAATTTTTAAATTCATCAACCGATTACAAAGTGCTGGCGGGAGTGCAGGTACTTTTGCGGGTAGGGCACTAAAAAAATTCACCTCTGTGTTTTCGTAAGGTAAGCCTACACGCAGTCAATAATAAAGAAAATGCCCAAAAATCTAAATTTCGGACTTCGAAACATTGAAAAAGTCTAAAGTTGTTGACTTTGACCAAAAAGCAAAAAGTTTTGCATCACCCGGGAGTCGAACCAGGGACCCTCCGACCCAGACGCAGGCTAGTTACCCACTACACCACTCGACAGGCGGACACCCCTCTTTTGGAGGGGCTCATAAGGGAGGGCGGACAAAGTGGTACAAAACTTAAAAGGCTCATAACTTTTTTGTATTAAGCGTTTTACAAATTCTGATTGCAGTTTCGGAATCCCCGTCGCCGACTCTATCAGACCCATATTTTTGCTAAGTGGTTTGCTAGATTTTTTTGTTGCACTTCCCTAGTAAGTCCAAAATCAGCCCAACCTCCTCCCCCCCCTTTTACTAAGGAAAAAACTTTCAAAGTTAAATTTAATAATTTAAGCGAAAATTTTCTCATAATTTTTTGATCAGTTTGGTGGTTTCTGACCACGCTCTATCCGAATCCGAAGAGACCTAAGCTCTAGCTCCTTGCCCCTTCGAGTTCAATTCGGCGTCGGACGGACACACTGGCGCCTCTAGCGAATTATTAAGTTGATTACCTCTTCCATCGACGACCCTGGCGCTCTTGCGACTTGCTCCGAGCTCTAGGCGCTCTAAAAACAATCACAAATCATTGCAAGCACCAACCTGGAGCTCGAGGCTTGCCGCTCTTCTGAAGGCAAAATTTCTGGGCTATCTTCGCGATGGCGCATTTCCCTAAGAAAAATAGCTAAATCTGGGTATCTTGACTCACAATATTTTCCGGAACTGCTCGCTTGGCAATTCCGGACCCTGAACGTATTTTTTTAAGGGCTCATCTTCCTCGAATCTAAAGAAACAAGATCAAAATTAGCGAAGCCGCATTTACTTGATGTCCACATTGCCAAAAGAACTGATAAAAATGGGTCGTGATTCATCTTCAGAGGATGATGAGCTAAAAATAAATTGATGAAATTTAATGCAGTTAACCTCGTTTCCTCCACTTTGGCTAGAAGCTGCTTTGCCCTCTCGTCTTCTTGATCTTTTGCTTGGACAAAGCTAAAAAGGGCCGAGTGGTTTACGTGGCTCTTGGCTGGCTACAACCTTAATAAACTTGTTGTGGCCGCATCCTCCTTGAGATTTTTTCCTCCCAATAATTGGTGCTTCCTTTTCCTGAGCGCAATCCTCTCGTGCTTGCTTTCCCTTCCCTATATGCAACTCAAATAATTATTTCATTTTACCTACAGTTAATGCAAGCTTTTGCCTCTCGATACTACGAAGTTCGGCAGCATTCCGCGCAGCCAATTGATCCGCTTGGAGCATATTGACAAACAAGGATCGCTTGATCCCGTAAGCTTCACCACATTTATTAGCCCGACGAATCGATTCGGCATCTAGTCTCTCTACATCAAAGTCTGCGTCTAAATTTGTATGGTTGTTTAAGGCGCACGCGCAGCGCCTACCTAAGTCCTCCATTGCCTGAAAATCTTGCTCTGGCTCGTCATCATGATTTCCTTCATCATTGGTGTCCTTTCCGGGTACTACCTCGGAATCACCATAGTTGAAGTGATACGATGCTTTCGTTTCGGAAATTTGCCTAAAAGGATATTATTCAATATCATAGGAAACCAATAAAATAGTGAAATACGCAGAATGCTACTATCGCCGCTATCCAAATGCGATTTTGCATTGCCTCAGGTATCAATTAGAGCTCGCCCACTTTTTCCTCTCCCTCTCCTCTTTTTGAATATTCATTGCCTTTGTTTCGCGTTCCGTCCAATATTCTGCTTGCGCAATTTTCTGCAGGTATGTAGTTTCATCGACTAAAGCAAAAAAAATATTATGGATCGAATATGGCCAAACCGTGGCGGCAGGTGTTGATTATAGGAATGCGAAAGCGCTCAAAATCGCATACGATTTCTTCTTTTTCCTCGGTGCTGCAAAGTCATTATCCTCAAACTCATTATCCTAGTGATGCTCAGTTTTTACGGTGACTCTATCGCGGTTCTAATGATGTCCCAATCTAAAATTTTTGATGCCCGCAGAGAAAAGCAAAAATTTTAAAAACCGGTTAATATTATAAATATATATATATATATATATATATATATATATATATATATATATATATAAAGATCAAAATAGGGAGGTGAGAAAGATACCTCTCCTCCTCCAATTTTGTTCGTTTAGCTTCGGTAAAATAGTCCAAATTGGCTCGTACATCAAAACGATCAATCATTATTGATCGGTCAACCGTCCAAGGGCGCCTAAATTTAAATTTCGGCCTTACAAATAGTTGCATAACCGACATGATATTTTTCTCTTCAGCAGCACGTGCAATCGCTTTATCGGTGTGTATTTTATACGCTCGCCCATGAATCTGCATGAACTGTGCGGGATCTTTTCGCTGAAACAAAGCTCATTTGGGAAGCATAGACCTACAATGCTATCGTAAAAAGTTTTCCTTTTTTCTGCACGCCGGTTGCCATCAATTTGCATCCGACGGATCTGGCGCTCATTGCGGCGTGCTTCCAACCAAATCGACATCTAGAAATCTGTAGTCGTATCTTTTAGGTAAGAAAAACACAACAACTTATTTCGATTATCCTTAGATAAGAGTAAAACGTTTACAAAATTGCAGTTAAACATGTTTGATCCTCGGTTTTATTCAAAAGTTTATCAACAAAATACATTCGAATTCGGAAAAGACAGATGTGCATATTGATCCTTCCCCCCAATAGGTCGAGCAGATGTTCAGGTTGAGTTCGAACTTGCGACAAAACCCCAAATTTTGCAATGGATATCAACGACAAGCTCTAAATCCTCGCCTACCTTGACGATTCTTTGGCACATTTGGCGTTGCGCAAAGTAGTGCCTCGTAAAGTCAAATAAACATTTATTTCAATTGCTGATCTTGTTCATTTTCAACAGTTAATTAATTGAATAATCCCATTGACAGAAGTATGCTGACACTCGGGGACGATTCGATTACTTTTGAGCCAAGCAGCTCTTTGTCCGATATATTTTACGATAGCGCCAATTTTAAGGTGAGTTAATGCTCAGCACAAACAAGCAGAATTCCAGGTGTGTACAGTGCGTGGTAATGGTGCAATGGGGGTATCATTTAAAGGTTTAAGAGAAGGACAGGTTCGCAATGCGAGGTAACGGTTATCCCATGATTTTATGTTTGTTTTAGAATCAAAGATCTGGGCAAGATTAAGATTGCCAAAATTTCACCAAACGGACGAATTGCAAGCATGCAGAGGAATGATAATTCATTAGTGCGCCAATATCAAATATGTCAATAACGGTTTACAGGACTTTGTTTATCTCGACAACTCTGAAAGAGAGACGTGCTTGGAGTTTACTCAAGTTGTAAGGTCGAAAAGTGGAATTATACGGCAAGTAGAATGGATTGGATCAAATCAGGTATGTCGTGACTATATTATCGAAAATAAAATAGGTCGTTTTTGTGACCAACAATGGCTTGGAGCTCTATGAAATAAATGAATCAAAAAAATCTTCAAAACTCTTGAAAACGCTGAATGTTGCTTCAGATTGGTCGACCTGTTACGTAGGTTAAAATCAGCAGTTACATCGGAATCAATCATATTGTCCCTTCAGACCTTTATTTAGCACACATCAAATTTGCTCCTTTTGGCTACCGGAATGAATGCAGCGATACTACAGCCATTTATTATCCAGGGAAAGGAAATAATTAGGCTAAAGCCCTTTACGGTAAGAATTGCGGCTGCCTTCAGTTTTCGTCATATTCAGGTCGATTTTGGTTGCTCCAATTCAAAGAACAAGCTATTGGAACGTGATGTGGCCGTAGCGTCGATGTGAGTTTTGTCCTGTATGCTACTAATAAAAATGTTATTTTGTAGCTACGGAGCCGTATATGTACTCGCGTTGCGGTACTCGACACGCGATTCGACGGCCTCTGATTTACTAATGTACAGATTGCCCACCGACCTAAATGCAGTTCCTCAATTGCGGTACACACTTTCATTAGGTAGGTCATGTGAAGCAAAGCATTTTATTCCGCGTATTCAGAGCTCTTCATTCAAATTAGGTTTCGAAGATCAGTTCGATCAGCAGGTTTTCGCCATTTTTACCTAGCCATTTCTACATTATGCTTTTATCTAAAAAAAACTAAAAGAGCAATTATCAATAATGATGTTTTATTTCAGGTCTGACAGGGATGTTCGGTATTCATGTAATAGATAATATGGTAATAGTCCATCATCAAGTGAGTAAAATTATACCTTAACCACCCCCCATCTATTTAGCTTTCAAAGAGCTCGCTAGTCTTTGACGTGGGGATGCAACCAAATAGCACATCCCACCAACCATTCCTCAGTAAGGGTTCAACGCGAAGGCTTCTTCAGTAGAATTCACCTGTTAATCTAATTTCCAGAGACCTCGCTGATAGCTGCCCCGCGTTTGTGCACGGTGTCGGGACAACCACCTGCACTCTACACACCTTCTTGGGTGATGTTTGCGCCAAATATTGTCATCGATCCAACGCTTGGAATATTCGCTTCTCTGGCGGTTAAACCCGAACTTGCGGAAATCGACGACACCGTTGGTTATTAATTTGAGGCTCAGAACAGCTGATTTCAGGTGTCACGTTTCCGTTTCTTAATGAATCGTTCGAATCAGAAGAAGACGATCCTGAGTGAGCTAACGGTTGCAATCAAAGAAAATAAATTGACCGTCAGGTATTTCACCATTAGAATGCACCTTTATTAATTTAGGCAACTCAAGTCCATTCTGGAAACGATTACGGAAAAGTTCGTGGTGGCACAGATTCCGGTGTTGAAGCCGTCAGGTAACTGATTTGAAATGCGATCGAAGTTTTTTAGAACCGGTCAAAGGGCAATTATTAGTGGAAGACGTACAACTATTGTGCATTAACCAAGAGGAAATGATGAACGTATTTGTGGCATTAAGGTATATTTCCCTAAAAATACATTTCCTGGCTATCAGAGAAGAGGCTACTGTATCCGACACGCGATTGGCATCCACTCTCCTCGCTTACGTCTCCATCCTACAATCACATGGACTGAACATTAACGTGAAATTTCCTTTTCATACATTTATTTTGGTTTAGCCATACCTGCTTGAAATACTAGTTAACACTCTAATTGGAGCAAACGAATATGCCAAACTTCATCAATTACTGTCCTACAAGGTAGAACAAAATATTTAAGATATGACTTTATTTTGACAGGTCATCGAAGACAGCAAACCCATGGCATTTTTATTGTTAGGTTTTGAGGCCAAATATCCACCACTGTTTCAATCAGGAGTAGATATGTTGGCACGCGAAGGTTTGAAATCATCCACTCTGCTTATCAAATTATCTAGGCGCTCACGATGAGATTATCGAAGTGTTGTTGTCGAAGGGGAACGCTACCGATGCTCTGAGGTCGTTTAAGTTTATATATCTTAGCTAGATTCTCGACTTTGAGTACTGAAAACATATCTGATATTTTTGCTCAACACTAGTCCAATAATACTGTGTAATAAGGATAACTATTGACAGATCGTAAAAATGACAGAGCAAAGCGAATTTTTGCATCCAAAAACATAAGATTTAGATATCTCGAAAACAATTCGGCTCTGGACAAATCCAATGCTCTAAAGGCTTTGGACAGCGCCTGGAGCAGCGGCGACCGCATCCAACAGCATGTCATCTTTCAATACTGCTTGGAAAAGAAAGGCCGGCAAAGTAAGATTTCCTGGACGAGGAAAATTTTTTTTTAGACTGGGGCGAGTCATTCGAAAAATTCTCTCGTGACTTTCGAAAGCTCTATCGAGACGATGAATTGCAAGAAGGCGTGTCGACACTTGCTTTTTCGCGTGACGTCATGTGACACGATAGCCAAGAAATATCTCTCATACGCCACCTAAGAGAAAAGATTTTTATTATCTTGTCGACTTTTTGCATTAACTCCGCAGAACGTTCCAGATGCTACAAAAAAAGGAGAAAAAGGTCCATGGACCGAGCAAATGTGTGAAAAAATCGTCAACATAAAAAGTCGGCACTTACAAAACGCTATAAGTAAAAGAACAATTAATATAATTTTCAAATGACACGCTGTGGAGTATCTATTGTGGGATGCTCCCTGCCGGCGCCGGATTCAGTAGTAATCTTTGTTCCGCGCCGATCGACCAGTCCATTTCTACAGCTTCTTTCAAAATCCGATTTAATCAATACCTATATTCTGGGAATACAATGAATATCCATGCAAGAATAAGCAACGGAAGCACCTGGAAGCAGTAGATGCTAAAATGGTTAAATTTTTAAGCACATAGGAAGCCGACCTATGATCGCGATCTGGTGAATCAAACTCTTTGAGCAACATTCCTTTCTGCCTGAAATTTTTTGAATACGGGGTGCAAATGGAACATGACTCACTCATAGATTTGGTCACGATTGCTACGTCCTTCTGGCATAAATTCGTTGCTTGTCGAGTATTCATTGAAAACCCAACGCTTACAGGCATCCCAAGCAACCGCTGAAAAGAATATGATGAAACCTCCTCAATAGACAATTTGGGGCACCAGACTTACCGAAAGACAGAGGACTTTTCATAATGGACATGATCGCATTACCTATTAGACTAAAATGCAGGATAAAGAGTGGGGGAAAGAAAATCAATAGTTCTTTGCCAGTCGGGATTCTTCGAAAGGGAGTCAAAGGCAAGGTGGCAGCGCATAGATTCTGAATTCGGTAAATAATAAAGCTTGTATTTACCAAAACAAAGAAGGACACGGCTGCTACGGCATCGATGGCCAACGGTACATTATAAAAAAGATCATTGGCCAGTAATTTGTCTTCTATTTGCACTATGAGCACCAAGAACACATTCAATGCAAAAGGTACCCCCAGAAAAAAGCTGCAAAGTGGCTAGTAATTGATCATGTTACGGAACGAACTAGACTGTCTTGTTAGCATAATATGTGCATAGAGACAGCAACAAAAACATCGCCGTTGTGGAAAAGAAGCACAGACGATCGACTTTGAAGCTAGCAATGAGCAGAAATTCGGTAGCTTCCGTGTATTCTTTCCTGAAATTGTTGTGAACAAGGCTCTTGAGCTCTCTACATCCGTCCGTGCAGAGGCCTCAAAAATACGTAGGCTTCCACATTGATGTGATTTAGCAGTATAATTAATAGGTAAAACATATAAACCGCCACATGTATTACTGTGTAGATAGATATAACCAGCAAATAAGCCTAAATCAAGAACTATTGAGGATCAAAGGTGAATGACCTGAAATATGTTTTCTTCTAATAGCACCCGGATACGGAAGAACCGGTAGAGAAGAATTAGTTTTATGAGGCATAGTGAAGCATAAAACCAGAAATAAACTAAATCACTTCACTCAGGCGTGCAGCCAAAAAACCTGTTTCAGAAGAAAAAAAGGTTGATTGAGCCAGACGGATGAAGGGCTCTGTGAGCCACTCGATGAACCACGTCATAACGCCCCATCAGCATAAAAGGCACATCAAGAAGCTCCTTTGTTTCTAAATTTGAGCAATAACTCGAACCAATTGAGTAGGGCAGTGAACGAACGTATAGCCGATTGCACATGGCTTTGCTGTAATAATCTAGGCCAATTAATGCGTCCAACGAATCAATTAACGCACTAAAAAACAATTCAAGTACTGTAACGTGGACGCTCAAACACTTGGAAACAGCGGGCGCAGACGCGGGGAGCAATTATTGTGAATTTTCGGCTTTGGCGCGGGTCGCCGTGACCAAGCAACGGCTTTCCCTCGGCCTCCACCACTTATGGAAATCAGCCATCTCACCCCCCCCCCCCCTTACACTCCCATTCCCACCACCATTCTCACCTATCCACCTCAAGCAAAAGCCGATCCGAAAAACCCAGCGGATCAGCGAATATCCCCTTCTTAGTAGCAAATTTCCTCCGGAGAGGCTCGCCCGCAGAAACAAACAAAATGATTTTCCATACGGATTCTGGGATAAGGTTTTCCGGGCTTCACACACTGAATTTTTGGTCGAAAATTGCCCCGTCGCTTTCGATGGCGGTTAGAGGGATGACATGATCCCGCTTGCATGATGACGCATGTCACCAACGGGCCTTAGGCGTCATTTACATTCGCGAGCTGTGGGAGCGGTCACGTATATGTATCCTACTATCTATAAAAAAATAGTGTCTGTGTGTGTGTGTGTGCATTTGCATGCAACTTCCGTCCGTATGTTCCAGTCGTATCTCAATAGGAGTGGAAGTTAAGGGTACGTATGATACGTCATTAGGTGCGTAATGGTCATGACACGACTGCACGCATCTGAGTTTTTTAAAAATCAGCTGTTTTCGATATTAAAATTAAGTTTTTGTGAAAATCTCGCTCGGCCTCTTTGTTAGAAACCAATTAGCATGCACCGGAAGTGGGGGAAGCCTATACAATGGCGGAGAGGACGCGCTTTTCATTTTTCTGCACAGGAATTCAGGTGTTTATGCAATGTGACGAAATATGGGGGGTAAGACGGGGGCCAGGGTTGAAAAGTCGCGAAGCGGCTTTTCAACCCTGGTATGCTGCTAAAAATTGCCAGCGCCCTCGGTCGACGCATTTCATTTTTTCTCCCCCAAGTTTTCCATCGTTATGTGAAATCCAGCAATGCAAGAAAAAGATTTATTAAGACGTTTGTGGAAAGGTACACATCGAGAAGCATCACCAATCACGCAAAATGGAACAAACAAACGGATGCTCAAAGGGGCATTGAAATATTTCATATTTCTTTAATATTTAAACTAACGATGGGATTCACATCGATAAATCCAGAGGCTGGAACGTTAACGGTTTTTAGGCGTTTTAAACTAGCGGCGCGGATGCATATCGATAAATCCAGGTATATCGATAAGAAGATCGGTGTCATCTATGAGCCCATCAGCTTAATTACGTTACCTAATATATCTATGAGCCATTAAAAAAAACTTTGGAAACTCGAAAGCCACCGAGATTTGGCATGCTATCACTTGTGTTAAAATATCGGTAGCAACAATTGGTTTAGCATGACGCCCCTTTCCGCCCCCCCCCTTTTCCCGGACCCCTTCCTTTTTTGGGGGTGGGGCCCCCGGGGGGCCTCTTTTAATTTGGTTGGATTGGAAAATAGGAAAAAAAACCCCAACACGCTACCCGGGGGCCCCCCCCCCCCCCCCCCCCCCCCCCCCAACCACCCCAAACCCCCCCCCCCCCCCCCCCCCCCCCCCCCCCCCCCCCCCCCCCCCCCCCCCCCCCCACCCCCCCCCCCCCCCCCCCCCCTCTTTCTTTTTCCCCCCCCCCTTTCACCCTTCCCCCCCCCCCCCCCCTTCCTCCTTCTTTCTTTCTCTTTTTCCTATCCCTTTTTTCTTTCTTACTCCCTCCCCCCTTTATCTTTTTTTTTTTCCCCTTTTTCTTATCCTTTTATTTTTTTTTTTTTTTCCTTTTTTTTGTTTTTTTGTCGCTTTTTCCCCCCCCCTCCTCCTCCCCCCCCCCCCCCCCCCCCCCCCCCCTATTCTCCCAATCCCCCTTCCCTCCCCGCACCCCCCCCCCCTCCCTCTTTTCCTCCCTTCCTTTGTCGGAAATTTTTATTTATAATTTTTTTTCCCCCCTTTTTTTTTTCTTTGGTGTTCCGATTTTCTTTTTTTAATCTATTTATACATTATTACTCTCCATTTATTCCCCCGTTTCCTCTTTCCCCCCCCGGCCCTCTCCCCCCCCTCCTTTCTTTATAAAATTCGTTTTTCCCAAAGAACCCCCCTTTTCCCTTCTCCCCCCGCCCTCCCTTGTTGGAGTGCTTGGGTTTCTTATTATCTTCCTTCTTCCCCCTCCCCTTTTACTCAAATTATATTCCCCCCTTCGCGATCACGACAGCCTTCCTCCGTTTTTTTTTTTTTTTGGACAAGAAGGTACAACAGCTCTTGGCGAATACGAATTCCGCTATTTTCGATACAATGCCTTTTGGATCCATTTACTACTATTACTACTTTACTCGAGGGATAGGCTGCTTGCATATTTTTCGTTCTTCTAAAATGCCAAAAATAGGGTCAATATAGTGGATTTTGGCTCCAATTCCATAGATTTTTAGCACTTTAAACTAACTGAAAATCTCGATAACAAGAGCGCGAGGACTCTGGTTCTCATTTTTGCGGAGGGGGTTTCTTTTTGCGATCACCAGAGATTGTATTAGAGGGATGCTTATAATAGAAGGGCTTGGAATAAAGGAAATAAAGCTTCTGATTGTCAGCAATTGACGCAATTATTAGGGCAGAGTCGCGTGGAAGGAAAGAAAGCTGCTCAGCACTAAAGGCAGGAGCCGAGAATTAGCCGAATTGTAGGCTCTGCGGCAACGCGACCCATCTCTCAGTCAATGTCTTCGCACTTCCAAAAGCAGAAACCAGTTGAATGGATTTCTTCATTGATCCAGCGCTATCAGGATCAGGTAAGTCGGCTCAATCTGGTATATAAATTAGTGTCTGTCGGTTTATGTTTGCATGCGACTTCCTTAAGTGTTGCCGAGCCTAGAGCCTCAAGTGAAAGATTATAGGGCATTTTTCATACGTGATTTGGTGAGAAATGGTGCTGAAATGAGCGCGCACATATCTGATTAGTAAAATTCTACTTTTTCTCCAATAAAATTGGGGTTTGTGAAATCCGACCCATCCCCTATTGGGGTGAAGCTAGCTCAAACGATGGTGATGTTCATTTTTATGATCAGCAATTCGGGGAGAAATATGCAAATTCAAGATTGTCATGTCAGTCGGAGCAGTCGGGGCCGAAAGGACGCTTAGCGCTTTTGCAACCCTGGTATGGAACTAAACTCATAGTTACCTACGCTCACTGGTCGCACTATCGACCGAGAGACGAGAGAATTACTCAATACAACACATTCTTGCATCATCAACGTCAGGTACCATCAAAAATTTCTCGATTATGAGACCCCCATTTATTTTTGTAGCAAACATCATTTTCATCTGGTTTTGCTAGCTTTGCTACGGGTACTGAAAGCTGTGAACGCGAGCGTAAGCGCTTTTTCAAATTAAATTATTATTTTATCCGCTTAGCGTTGGACTTCTCAGGTTGCACTCTCGCAATCCCGGCTGGTGGTTTTGGAAACACTACTAGCCTGTCTGAAAGAGGTATCAAAGAAATTAATCAATGTTGAAATAAGGATTCACTTTGGGCTCTTCCTCCAACCTCGCGCAATGTAGAACGGGAATGTTGTATGAAGAGCGTATTGGAAGAGATGTGGGCTTTAATGGGGAACAATCCTGTTGGTGAGTTGGTGCTGGAATAACCTAGTATTCGTTATTAGGGAAATAAAAAGTAACCGCAAGAGCTGTAGGGAAGCTTCTAACATACAACGTTGTAAGCAGCGCTTCCAAGCATACGCGATATAAGCTTATGTTATGCGGGAACGGGTCGTCAACCACGAGTTATAGGTGAAAAAGCTATGCTTGTCGTCGGGCGAGTCGGATCGTTGCATCCATCCTTGATGATCTCTCGTTATGAACGCGCCTTATCAGCTTTAAATGACGAAGAAGCAGGGTGGGATAATCATGACAAAATCACACAAAACGCTTGCATTTATTTTGTTTCTTGTGTTATTTTACTATTTCAGCGAAGACACCTTAGACCTGGCGCTTTCACATATAACTTTGATGGGTTATGTGACATATGAAATAGAAGCTCTGATACGGATATTGCAACTGGTGACAACAACTGCCCATTTAGTATCGCTGCCTTTCAGACATTGCAATTCTGGTCCCCAAGAAAAGAGCATCTCGAGCCACTCTGCAGTATGTTGAGCAACATCTTATGGCGGTACCTTGACTTTTTGTTTGGGTTAATCTTTAGATGGATCGAGCGATACCCTGATCTCTTCAGTGCTCTCCAACACAGCCCCCAAAACCAAATTAGCGGTATATTAGCGTGAATTAGATTTACGAAGACTCAGAGGTCTGCGACGGTTTATTCAACATCATGAACACTGCCGAGTTAAAACGGAGGGCCATTTGCTGGCCGGTGCAAATGTTGTTGTTGGCCATCTCTCCGGTACGACAACGTAGAAACCTAGACACGTTTTAGTGCTCATTGGAAGCGATTGCCCATGCTGAGACAGAATCTGTTCACCTGCCCCCCATGGTTGTCGCTAAGGTTTGCAAGACATTTTAATGATTTTGGATTGTCAATGCCTTGATTTAAAGTCTTAATTATTGCTATACATGCACCTAAGCCGCACCAATTTATTAAAAAGTTTTTGGTGGTCAGGATATGTTCATTGCCTTGGGATCTTTAGTTTGCGTAGCAAAAAAGAGGACTTATAGAGGCAATTTGTCGATCAAGTCGTCTCCACAATAGCTGCCTACAATACTGGCCAGCGACCAATTTGGTCCACCCAGCTTCAGGTACGAAGTTATTATTTAGAAAATACCGGATTATCAGGCGGCCTGCCACGCCGGCGTCAACCTATGTAAATGCGCCACATATGTCAATTTATCCGATTTTTTCGTGTTCAACGTCGTACAACAGCTTATAGAACATGTCAAGGTGAGTAGTGCGAGGCGCCTGGACGGATCTAGCCGATGTGCAGTCCATTTAAGGCTTATTGGATGCAAACCGGTTCAGAAAACGTAATGAAATATTACAGGGTGTACTGCTAACTGGATCTCGCCCCAGGGAAATTGAGCGTTCGGTGCTCGTTGACTGCTTTGTAGCTTTGTTTCGGCTAAAATTTGACAACGATATGTTCCGGTAATGACAGTTAGTTCAATTATAATATGCTATTGATAGGGTGTGTCTCACCAGTAATCAACCTATCCTCCAATTAGTATTGATCGAAGCGTTGCACATTATTGCTTCTGAGGTTTGGAATTGTCAGATACGTAACTCTAAATTTTAGCCCATCCCTAGAATGTCGTGGTGGCCCAAGATAGACATGGTTATGTCTCGTTCAGATCAACTGCGCACCCTTCTAATGCAGGTATTAGTATACAGGGTGTCCCACCCCCTCCCCGCCCACTTAGCGGTGCGCAAATTTCTCCGATTTTTACGATTTATCGAATCTATCGAAAGTTCTCGACCAGCTGAGGAGATGTTTGTCTTTCCGATTCTCGAAGTTCCCAAATTTTTTAATCGATTTTCGGCATTTCATGCCAGAGTCAAACGTTTGTTTAAAAAACTCAATTTATTCGGCTTAAGCGCCATCCCAGCGGCATTTAATTCTTTTTTTTAGAAAGCCGTCATTGGGTTGTCGCAAAGGACGTGAGGATCATAATTGTAACAAAAATCCGGGCTTTTCGAAAATCGGAAATAACATATCTCCTCAGATCGTCAGCCTCAAAAGAAAAATATATATGAAAAGAAAGAAAAGAACCCGTTACTGTTTTAGGTTCTGGAGAAGGTGGTAGAAGCGGACCCGGTGCCTTCCGGCCATCTACCTCTTTCCGTTAGCCGGGTTGGTGGTGCTGTTGAGGTGCGGCCATCCTCTTTGCGTTTCTGATTCCCTATATTAATTTATGTTCTGCATCAATACCCTGTCGCTACCAGCTTGCCCCTAATTGCTATCCTGACTGTCTTTTTTTTATTGTTTGGTGGTGGCCGCGCCTTTCGATTTTTATATCGTGGAATGGGAAATGGAGCTGGATTCATCGAAATGTTTTAGTCATGGCATAAAATGTCTGGACGTTGGAGAGTGGAGAGACCGAGTTCCGGATCATTGGGATCATCCCATGGAACTGCCGTACCAGCGGGTGGGTTGCCCCCATTGTTTTAGATATATTTTTCAGATTGTTCCCTACATACAATTTTGCTCGCCATCCTAAGACTGATAGCCACACAGCCGACCCTACTTATCAGAAATCGGGTAGTTATTTAAGTCCGTAGCTAACCCGTTTTAGATCACGGTGGATGAGGTGTGCATTGAGACGGTCGTTTCTGGGTTAGTGCTCCTCATCGATCATCCAAGCCTTCACACTCCTGCAATGCAAGCATTGCTCGCCTTACATACCGTAATCCCGCAGTGGAATACCGCAAGTCCACAGGCAGCCCTCGCGACATTCTTTAGCGTTAGGTATGTCAATCACCTAGCTCACTACAACCACGCCCACAAAATTTCAGCTCGCATATGCTATTTGCCGTTTGCCAAAAATTGATTCATTTCCAAACATCGTCTGCAGAGCACGTAATTTCATGGATGCGAGCACTATTACAATGCAGGTTGGCTTGAGACTTGATACAAGCTTTTAATGGCATGCGCTCTTCAGAATAGATTACCTTCGGGATAACTATCACTTTATTACCGAAGAAATGATGGAGGGAATCACATATCAATCGCTGGTTAAATTTGAGGCACGGTCAATTGCACGTCTCATTTGTCATTTCAGGTGGTGTGTTTTCTCTATATGTGGAATTGCGATCCGGATCTTGTACAATGCTGCTTTGCCCTATTTGGGCTACATTTGGAACAAGGCTCCATGCTGCCAAATTCCCAAATTGATTTATCACTGGCTAGGTATCGTACAATTTCCGTAAACCATTTGTTCAGGCACCTATCTACCGCGCCACATATTGTAACTGCGGGGCGAATCGCTCTTCAGAAAAGTGTTTCCCGCCACCTCCGATCTCTGACACACGCAAATTCTGCAGTCCATGAAGCTTGGCACGAAACCTTGCGGTAAACGAAATGGTTCTTCAAAAAAGCATCTAAAATTTAGCGTTTGGGAGCTTTTTACTGCTCAGCTTGTCACTGGTTCTAAAGATCATGCTGATTTTGTAGATCATGTAACACGGGTACGTCCCATGCAAAAATCGAAAATCACAAATGTAGGTAACGACTGGTGCAGCGGTGACTTCAGCACAGGATGCTGCAGCATCGTTAGTTGATGCATGGTCCTCCATGAGTGGTTTTTTATGTTCCCTCGCACATCTAATCTATGCAAAAGAACCTAATCACGTTGCCAGGTACCTTCTTCAACCGTCCACCGGTTATATGTCCTGTTTTTACAAATTTCCTCTAGGAAGATTGTCTATAAAAAAGCTATATTAGAAAATAAATTATGTAAATTTTTAACGGCGCTGTCAAGCCTACGGCCCTTTCTTGTAGTTTCATCACCCGAATTCTTTCCGTCCTGCGAACAAATGAAGCAAAAGAAGGCAAAGATGGCAAGGAAAGCAAGGAAAGCAAAGAAAAATCAGAGAAGAACGATGCGACCAAGGGATTGATGTGTAAATGTGTTAAGGTTAGTTAAGTCACACTATAAAAAAAGAAAATTCAGGAGCTTCTTTCATATGAACTTTCCTCATCATTGGATCATTTCCTATTCCATTCCGTTTCGTCGGCACTTTCCCAACATACAATGTATCACAATTTCGTCGAGCACTGTATTTACATCATCAAGTGAGTTATCAATCGGCACCTAAATAGAATATAATTAGAAACCTATTGTCGCGACGTCAAGTGGTCGTTCTACGCGTCGACTCTACTCAACAAATGCTGCATGCTCTCCTCCTTCATTCGCAACAAACAAACGACCGCTCGATTATCAACAGAATGGTATCTCAATTTTCCTATAATCTTTCATTCGATTTAGCAATTCATGAAGAAGATGGGTGGTCTTTTACAGCTGATTCTGGCCAACGGGGCGACTCGTCGAATCCCACCATCACTTCAGTCAAAGTATTTAAGATTTTCATTCAAACAACAGAAAGCAGACTGGTTGAATACCTGTCGTGCTGCCTTGGATCATTGCCGCCCATTCATCCATGGACGCAGAACCGAATTGAAACGCTTCATACGGTTTTCTTAGCATTGGCCAAACTTCTGATGAACATTGGGATTTCGATCCCGGCAAAAACCTTCATATTGTAAGTGAGATAGCATTACTTCAGTTGTTTTTAGGCTTTATGCACAAATTCTCGAAGCTATGCAAGAGCCGTCCCTTTCACAAGCATCGCCGGTATTGAGCCGAACACCACTTGAGGTCAATAAAGAAGACAAAAGCTAAAAATTTTCGATATTAGGAGCCCTTGATGCATCCCGGAGCCGTTGAAATGACGCGTAAAACGAATGAAGCTGGGCTAGCTGCATTAGCAGGGCTGATCCATGCTAACCCAGAACAAGGTCAATACAACCATTGTATTCAAAACAGTCTATTAGGAGTGCTAAGTGTCATCGAAACGACTAGCGATTCGAGCCGCCGAATGAGAGGATGGGCTTTGGATGCGCTGAGTCGTGTATTGCGGACGGATGGGCATGGCCAGTAAGTTCCGTGTATTGCCTAGAAATACAGGGTGTCTCCGGATTATCCGGACACATTTTTAAACCGATCGTTCATTTGATTTTTGATGACTTCCGGGCCAGTAGTGGAAGTTTCCATATTATTTCAGGTGCCATTAAGATAAATTCTTAGAAAAACCTGGCAGAAGTAGCCACAAATTTTTGTAATTAACAGAATAGAGTTAAACTTGATTTTTCAACACTTACAAGCAGCAAGAACACCGAATTTCCTAAGGGTCGCAGCAAATTTTCCCTAATTGGACCAGCCTGTCGTTTTCTTCCACTATGCTGTAGACAAATATCTGTAGCATGTCACATCCCTTACATGAGCGTCTAATTATGCTCCTTAAAAAATTATGGGCACGATTTTGGAAAAAGAGACACGAGAAACGGCTATTTTATTTGTCGAAACGGTTCAAGTTTTCTATCCATTAAAATCGTGGTGATCAGGATCAAAAACTAAGATTGTTTAGTTTATTTGTTATTTTCAATAAAATTAGGTGCTGGTGACCCAATTTTTTATTCAAAGTTAGCCATTAAAAACGTTTTGTCCGGATAATCTTGAGACACCCTGTAGAATCAATCTAAAGATCTATCCCCCTGCCGCAAATCATGTGTCTCTAACGTGGCTTAGACTTAGGCTTTGGATTTTTGAGCATCAGCGGCAAAACCTTACGAGGCCCACCTCCAGAAGTTACAGTACTTAACATTGAAAAATCAAAAGAAATTGCGCTTAGAGGCACCGACCCTACGAAAAATGCAAGATCAAGTTCTTTACGCATTGCGCCATGACCAAGGCGATGGGGCCAAACGTGTCTTGCTTCTTAAGGTTATAAAATATTGGAAAGCCGTTTTACAAGAAAAGACCGACGGTGCGTTGGGAATCCAATTTGATGGAATGAGCTAAGCCTCGGAAGCTTTTGCTGGGGACACCAAACCCACCCCTTGTATGCTATTGCCGGCACCTATCCCGCGGAGTGAATCGTCGGAATATCGTATCACAAATTTTTCAGAAGAACGATTAGCGGTGGCATGGAACGCGAAGGTCGACATGGTGAATTGCTACGTCTCCTTACCGTTACCAGTGAAGACGGCTCGTTACCGCTCGTAGAAGTGTTAGCAAACTCAGCGCCGGACACTTCTGTAAGGAGGATCCTAGCTTATTGAATTTTGCGCTAGGATCGCATTTTCCGAGTCATCGTGACGACATTTTCTGAAAGAGGTCGTCTTTGTGATCTGCTATGGGCAATACTGACAGCCGAGGCGGAGGCAGCAATTAGCCCAAGTACTCTCTACAGGTAAACAGAATCTGTAATGAACCAATTGTATGGAGATGCCAACAACTTGTCCTTTTACTTTCTAGTTTCTGGGCGGGCTTAGGTTTATGCTTAGGTGTGCGGACGTGACTAGCTTATGGAATTTAGAGGCTCGTCATTTGCTGCCAAATTGATCGGATATTGTTTCCGCGTGTTCGGACACGCTTATCTCGTTACCACTCTTCGACCGTTGATTCAAGAAATGATGCACGGTGATCAGGGAAGCTTTGAGAGCGAGAGCGAACGGTGGGCAATTCGCCTTAAAAATTAAGACATTTCAGGCTTAGTCAACAAGGGTCTCCCTCATCATCATCATCCTCTGCGGTTTGTAGTGTTGCACAAAGTCAAAAGGCCGCGCAGAAGGCATTTAGCCAAATATTTGACTCGTTAGAGCAATTCCCTCCAAAGGTTTTTCATTGTGGGTGAAGTTCATAAAATTCTAGCTACGAATCTTGTGCCGGCAACTATACATCGTCATCAACACCCGCTTTCCAAATAGCGGACTTTCGGCGCTTGGCAAAATCTTATTCTTGCGTCTTTTTAACCCGGCTATAGGTATTGGCAACAAGGATTTCCATCGAGTTTTAGTCACCCCGTATGAAATGCAACTATGTACCAAGCGACCCTCAAAGCAGTTAGCGAGAAGTTTGATGGTTGTTTCAAAGATTCTCCAAACGACGGTATGAAACGCTTGCCCAATTAAAGGGATAGCGCAAGCAGCAGTCCACGTGTTACGTGGATTCCTGGAACTTTGCCAGATTTGGCTGGACTTGCGCTTATCAGCAAATCAGCGCACTAATGAGAGGACATCTACCTTCCTTCTCGCAACATCTGTTCCATTCCAGGAGTCCAAATAATGCCTAGATTTCTGCTTGCGCGATCCCTTTAAAATTCTATATAGGTGAACCAACCAACAAGTTCCCGCGACAGTTCTATGAGACATTTTGCTGAGTTTATAGCCTCAAAGGTCCAACCCGTCAACTGGTAAGGGAGGGAAACGGCAATAGGCAAATGGGATTTAGGTTTTTATCGGAGGTCATCGGTAAAGAGGTGATCGAGTCGGAACTTAGATCCTCACCCCCATCTCTTAATGCTCATCTCATGTTTAATGTACATTCACTCTTTCTAAATGACAAGCAAGAGGTAGTAGTCTTCCAAACGCTCTTTCATGAATGTGGTGACCTCCAAAAGGTAATAATCATTGGGCTTTTGAGATTGTCCGGTTGCTGCGCTACACAAATGCATCGTCAAACTTGTGTTCAAGAGTTGATGCACTACTGCAAAGCCTTCCTGATGAGCCTCCGCTACCGCCCGTAAACCCTGAGGGTAAGTTTTAACCATAACTTGCCAATAATGTTCCTAAATAATTTTTTTGTTTTTATGATTTCTTGCTAACGCTGTCGTTGGGTCTCGATTTAATCCGTCTTTAGCACTAAGCCGACTTCAACTTGGGTTAATACTAGAAAGACTTGCCGGAAATAGACCAATTTTAGGGCTGGATCCGACACTGCCTTATTTTTTCCAAGTGGCTTCAAGTTCAACAGGAATCCCAATTTACGCGCTGATCTTGCGGTAGGTCCTTAACTATGACCATTTTCACTTCGAATCCTTGACAATGACGGTTCTGAGCAGGCGATTACAAAATGTGGAGGCCGAAACCGCAGTAAAGCTGATTTCCGATCGATGTGGTCGTAGCAAATGGGTAAGCGAGATTAGATCGAGGGGTCAATTATGCTGCAGATTTGTCTACTGGACGGGATGTGTTGCTACGATCCACCACACCTGCAAAAATTAATGTCGGCCGATTCGTTTGCCCATATTGATTCCGGTTGGGGTCAAGAAACTGGCACTAACTTTTATTTAGTACTGGTTTTGCACTGCTCCACTCCGCTATTTGCACGTCTACATGATCATTTTGCCTTGTTTAATACACTGCACATATCTTTCGATCCGGTTGGAGCAAGAATACCACTCGACGCATTGCCAGTTCTCTCCAGACTGGTTGGTATAGCGCATTCGAATGTATAGGCCATTCTATTATCCCATGTAAAGTCACTTCTAGTTTTCAAGGTGCCGAGTTAAGAGAACTCGAAGACAAAAGCTGTAAGATATCTTCCCTTTTTCTTCTCCTCCCTTAGACCACCAGCCGCCTGTTGTAGGTTATGTCTGAAGAGGAATTCTCACTGGAGGCAGAGTTGATAGCTGCTGAACAAGTGCAAGTAGGGTACGCTAGATGAATGCTTTTAACTGTTTTAGGTAACGGTAAAACTCGTTGAAGGCTTGTTATGCATCTCCGGCACTCCGGAAATGGAATGAGCAGCCGGCAGTCGTGTCCGATTTCTATCAATGTTCAGATTTTGAACAGGTAGCGTTCTCAAAAAAAGATCTTGACCCCTTGTTTAGGTTGAATGGATCGACGATCACACAATTGCATTGGTACACAATGAAACAGTTGTATCGATAAGATTGGAGGACCCTATGCGGTTACTCGAAAAGATTGCCGCCGTCAGAGATCGGCAAGGGGATGCTGAGCGAGCGATTAGTTAGCTAACTGAATTAACCAGCCAAAAAAAATATTTAGAAGCGCCCTTTCGGGCTCATTCGACGCAGCTCGTTTGTCTAGCTCTAGTGCATCTTGTGGATATTGATGCCGGTGTTAGAGCGACAGCATATAGTCTTCTCTATTCATTAGCTGCTACCCTTCCATTGCCCATCTCCGAATTACTCCAGGTTTGGCAAGCAAAATGCTAAGATTTTTACTTAGGAGACACCGTGTGTTCTTGTTCCTTCGGGATGCACGCGTCTTGTTCGCCCCATTGTTACAGCTTTAATCGAAGCCAATCCAGCGTTGATAGGATCATTGCTTCCACGAATTCTTGAGAATCCAAATATCACGTTGATTGATTCTCTCCAGGTATCCTACAATCCCCATGTGTGCATGCGTGGATGTTAGTTTCAAAGCCTGATTCAGGGCCTTCCCGTGCATAAAATTCCCTAGATGTTTTGGCACTCGGGGGAATCGAATCTCTTGTTTCCGAATGTCCATACAATTAAGCTTAGAACGTTCAATCCGGGTTTGCTCATTTTCGGGGTCCGGGATTATAGGTATATGAATTTTCTCATTATTACCAGTTGCGCTCGCGCTTGTAGTCGGGGAGGGGGTCTACGGGGATTCCGGGACTCCGACCCCACGCATTGTGTCTCGGCTCCCCCTCCCGGATTGTAAATTAGATCAAAATCCTCGCATGAGGAAGGCGGAGATTTTGGGATAGCTTTCGCACCTCTGGATTAAAAGGAAGCCTAGAGACAAAAGTTAGGGGCCGGAGGGGCAGGGGGAGGAGCAAACTGCGCCTTACCTGTTTTTTTTGTTAGAACGGATGGTCGGCACTAACCGATGTCTCCGAAGAAATCCGCACCGATTGCATTGCAAGGCTTGTGACGGCCTGTCTTGAGGGAGGAACAATCGCGGCATTGATTTGTAGTGTCGTAAGCTTTTACTCCGCTTGGTAACTCGACACTACTAGGTATGGCCAAAAATCGGCGAGTTGGATGAACGCGTCCTACAGACTGTCATTGATCGGCTTCTAATCGTAAAGCCCTTATCGGCTACGTTAGATATTGTACAATCTATATCGTCTTCGTCCTCCCTGCTGCCATCTTTGTTAATCAAGAGGTGTATTGAACAGTTGACTCAACCGACACCTGCACAGGTAGCGCCCTGAATCTATAAACTATACTTAAAACCTTTAGTCAAACCAGCCTAACAATCTGCCACGACTCTTAGCATTTCTCTTAGTGTTGACATTTGATTCAGCTGCACTAAAATGTAGGTTTGGCAGCTTATCGAGCATCTTCTTACAGTGGACGCCCATTTGCCAGCAATCCTACATGTTGTTGCATGCGTCGCCGGTAGTGGATCTCCATTTGTCCGTTATGCAACGTTTGCCATCGTCAACAACATTTTCCACAGTTTTGGCACTAATAATGAGTATCATCTAAATGGTAGGCTTTCAAGAAAACAGTAAAAAAACTATTCTTTTAGATGAGGGGCATGGCTCGCTTGGCTTATTTCTACGTCAATTATCATCTTCGGAGTCTATGAGGTTGTTTCGGGTGACTGATTGCGACACAGGGCAAGCTGTTGTGAATGCCGCGATGCAATTGGTAGATCAAGCTGAAGGAACGTAAGTTGTTACACGTCGTTAAACATGCTATTGAATTTAAATAGTTCAGAATTTGGTAATAAGAATATTCGTTCACTACAGTTTTCAGACCGGACGTCGATGAACTGCGGGTCCCCGAAGATGATCTGCCAGCGCTTCAGCCTGTTGGACTCGGCGATATCCATCAACTATTGACCCTGGTCATTAGTGTGCTTAAGGTCAGCACTTCATGATATATGAATTACTGCTTGTTAGGATCTGGAAGCTGCGATGGATGGAGGCCAACCATGGCTCTGTGAATGGCGCAATCTAGCAAGACATTGGGCGTTCAAGGGATGTGGAGAAATGCAGATTCGATCATTGATAGCATTTTCTTGTTTGGCCGAAACGATCTCTGACCAGGAAATGCGAAATGTTTTTCAAATACTTGTCCAGGTCGCTGGCTACATCTTATTTTGAGCGATCTTGGTATTTAGGTGGTACGAAGGCGTGACTGTCTATCCGCGATGGCCGCTGTTTCGCTTTCAATGATCAGGCTGCATACATTGACCGCTTCCAATTCTCCCATCCACAAATTAATATTTTGGATATCTATTTTGCTCTTCCAGGCAAGCCAACCACTTATATTTAAAAGAGATCGCATGACCTTTGATTTGCTGGGTTTAGCTAGAACACGCTACGATTTATGAATACGCTATTCAACTGCTGTTTGCCAATCTTAGCAACTTAGACCACATGGGGGTCTTTGAACATACGGTAAAACCAATTCGTAGCGTACAGATAACAATGTTTAGTCGCTTGAAAAATACGTAATGGATGCTCGGCTGCCATTGGAATGGGATCTGAAGGCAGTCGACCAATGCGCTGGCCTCTCTTTCAAGGCCAATTTTAACTTCGCCCTCGTCGGCTATTTGCTCAAAGGCATTTTTATAATATAAAACCGCCCTATGAGTATAGGTCTTCGACAGCCATATCTTTCTGCAAAGGTTGTGCAACTACTTCAACTGCTTTTGCGAATTACGGCTAAGAGCAACCATCAGTAATTGCAAAATACGGTCAAAACAAAACTTTTAGGGATCAATACGTTCTGACGATGGATAATATTTCTTATTTATTGGCTCTATTACCATTCGATGAAAAGGTTTTTGCGTCTTGCTTGTTGTAGCAACACGGTTTAGGTACAACAGCGGTTCCGTGGCTTTTCAGTACGTCGAGATCCGCAGGTGGTGTCGAGGCAAGTACTGGATGCACCTTGGGACAAAAATCGGTAAACAAAGTTAGTTGAAATAAACCTCGTAGTTTCTTCAGTTTATCGGCACGTCCGATGGCCGTCTCCCCTTCAACGCCGCTTCTACCGACAAATTCCCCTTCAACCGCAACTTCTTGGAATGAAGAGGTGGTCGTTTTGCAAATGTTACTCATCTTTTTTGCCCCATAGGAAGCCGAAGAAGATGTTGGATTGCTTCTTGACCCGGGAATAATTTGCGGGGAACAAGCACAAGCATTAGCCGTAACGGTTTTAGTAAGTGACGAAAATTTGGCATAATTTTTGCTGCTTTCAGGCTATTCTGGCACGATCCTGTCCAAACGTACATTTAATCCTTGACACTCTCCTTGAGGCGGTTACGGTATTTCCTACCGTAGTGCCGGTGATGTGAGTTTAGGGCTTCATTGGCGTGACGCTGAGATTTTGACATTTCCAATCCGATCGACTTGAAATTTTGAACAGAGGTGCGGGAGGGAATTTAAAATGTTCACAGAAAGTCAGCCCGTTCAGTAGAGTAGCTTTCGAGTTATGGCAAGAACAGGAATGAGGGATTTACAGGGGAAATTGATTCAAAGTTCAAAAAGATAGCCGAAAAATGAAGCGAAGGCATTGAAAAACAGTATTTTTGCAATAAATCGACAACTACCGTACCGATCGGGCTGAAAGTTTTCGTAAATATTTTAAATTACCTTCCACACCTCGGTTCAAATGTCATGTCGACCGGATCTGAAATGGCAAAATGCCAGCGTGACCTTTTTGATGGAACATCCTGTATATATCTTCGTGTTTTCAGCGAATGTTTGCTGGACCAACGTATCGTCGGTTTAGTTCAGTCATGCCAGTCGGCACCAATGTTATCAACAGTCGTTAGATTGATAGGTAATACTCCCGTCCTAACTTATTTTTGCCGCAGAGACCTCTGCGCTCGGAGAATCGGTTTCTGGGCCACAGCAAGCTTGTTCTTTTCTACAGCAATGTGGCTTTGCAGGACTATGGAGATATGCCGGCGCATTCCTTTCACCGGTTCGTTCAAAAAATCCTAGAATTATCGATAAATTTCAGCGTGCCTCACTGCAAGCCATCAACGCTAATCTTTGTTCTTGTTTGGAATGTGTTCTGGCATCTATTTGAGTCTGTTTATTGTACGTATAGGCTGAGGCTTAATTTTGTCGTTTTTATGGCCTTTCGAAAACATAATCAAAACAATGCCTGGGTACGCCGATCTCATTAGCCAATTTTTGCTGTTTTTCTTGCGTTCTATCAATTGCTGATAAATGGTTAATTTGCAAGAAAACTTATTACTTAGCAAGAAATAAGACTTGAGCTGCTCAGGAGGGCATCTATTATTCGTAACGGATTTTGGGGGCATTGATTTCGTCAGCTTCTGAGCTGCGCCCGTATATTTCTGGAATGGTCCTTTCGCAAGGCATTTCATCATTGCAAGTTGTCTGTCACCTCCACAAAGTCGGGCATCTCTCGCCAGGTATTGATTGGGTGGTTGGAAAGAAGGGGAGGGACATTGGAAAGCTGACGTGGCTATACAGCTGGTCGACCCCTTCCACAAGTCGACGTGTACATCTCTGAGGTGGTCCCCCTACCGGGGATTCCTCATTTTAAAATGGAATCGTCCAACTACCCCAAACAAGGCACATATGTAAGTCATTAATCTGCGAACCCCCTTATACGCTACGCAATATAATGACTCCATTAAATCAAGGTGTTTCTTTCAGGTGCCGCAAAGAACCATCTACCTCGTTCCAAAAATCAAGACAAACCCAGTACAACCACAACCAAAACGCTTGCTCGGTGAGTATTATCTTTTCAAGACCATTTTATAATACGTCAGTACCTTTGAAAAAACATGTCCGAAATGTCATTGTCCGTAGCTAAATTTCATCATCCTGAGAATGACACCATTCAAAGCCTATTTCTTGAATCCAATTTGATTAAGCTCCCCGTCCAACCATGATGATGCCGCGTCCGGTTGCCCCAATTGCGATGACACGTCCTCGTGATTGTCTTCAAGCGCCACAGGACCGAGCTGTTGTACGGAACGCTCCACAGAAACGACCTTCGGCCAACGCAATTGAAGATATTCTAAATGATAATTTGGGACCCTGCCTACCGCGCAAGCGGGAACGGCTCACCCATCTGACCGCCGAGGAAAAAATGGACCGCCGAAAGCTGAAGAACCGCGTGGCTGCGCAGACAGCACGTGACCGGAAGAAGGAGCGTACATATAAGCTCGAAGATGCTGTCGAGCGTCTCTTCAAAGAGAACGAGCGGCTAAGAAGCGAAAATGCGGAATTGCGAGTCAGGTTGGACCGGCTTGAAGAGAAGAGTCAGGCGGAAGATAGACAAGCAGTAGTTTGCCAGGTGGGTTTCTCTTTTTTTGATTCGTGTTAAAAATAGGGCATCGTAAGCCACAATATTTGAATTAATTTGATTTAATCTAACATGCGCTTGGAGCGGCGTTGGAAAGCAAAGTTTACTTTGTATAAAAGTTTTCACATAAAAGAAAAAATGAGTTTTTACTGAACATATGTAAAAAATATTAGATACTGTCTGCTAAACCCTATGTTTTTTCAGGCAAAGACCTTTGGATCAGCAGCATCCATTAATGCGCCCCAGCCGAGGGATCAGGTCAAGCCGAGCACGTTGCCGCTAATCTATCTGATGACACTCCTCTCCTTAATGCCCAAGAGCTCCAAGCCATCTTGTGCGATCTCAAAGAGATCGACCTCGACACGCTTTGCGCGGACGTCTTCCAGGACGATGAGTCTGACACCGGTAAAATAACTCTAACGAAACTGACATCTTGATTTTACAGACTCAACGCCGTGTACGAGTCGGACTCACGATTCGTCTGGTCCGTGCTCCTCGAATATGGAGCCGCGTCAGCTGATGTATGAGGAAATTGACGAATCATACATTGATGAGTCCACGACATTCTATGCCGAATTCGATGAGGTTTTTGGAATTGAAGAAGAAGGAAAAGATTCCCTTTTATACAGTGATCCATTATTGTCGTCCCCAACCGCTAGCCAATGTGATTTCTTAGCGCCACTCTCACCACTTCCACAGGAATTCCAGTCTTCTTACTATCCCCTAGTCAACGATTTCACCACTGCATTTTCTTGAAAATTTCAAGGTGGAGAATTTTTAAAAAATCCCTCAAGTACCGTATTAATGTATATTTCTTTTGTGCAGGGCGCTGCGGGGTTTTACGGTAGTATCAATAAACTAATAAATCATTTGCAACGTACATCGTGATTCTATAATGCGATCAATGCATGCTTAGATGCCGAAAAAATGAAACAGGAAGGAGCGGTTTCTGTCATCTCAAGTTATGAAAGGTGAAAACACGCGCAAAATTTTTCAAACTAACGAAAGGCTTCAATGGTGATACAAAATTGAAAGCGTAAATTGCGACCACCAGAACCTTTAGCTTAAGCAAGACTGTCAAGGTAAGGCGCTGGACTTTGGATTGGCGAGTCGTCCCCATCGAGCACAAGTGTTTGATCAATTCCCCCACTTATGTGGTTTGCGATTTCCGCTTCTTCTTCTAAGGAAGTGTCGGATCCCCAGACTGAGCCTTCCTAAACAATGCCAAATCAGATCTGAGCCAAATCAAATGCCTTGAAATGATCTTCTTCGATCAGGTCCTCCGGAAATTTGATAAGCATTGGCTCCTTGTTTTTGTTTTGCACGGGAAATACCAGGTATTGCGTACTCAAAAAGTTGGAAAAATCATCCAAGCTGCTTGTACTAAAGTTTGGTTAGATATAATAAAAAGAATCGGATAACCTTCTATCAAAAGACATCGAATATGAATCGGTCGACGAGAGTGGCGGGCCCTTAGCAAATACATAGCGACTCTTTTGGCAACCTTCCAACAACACAGGGCTTTTCCTTATCTAAATATCATATTATTATTCCGAAGGACGTTTCAAAGGACCTGTATTGGATCTGGGAGACGTTTGCCGGAATTAATCGTGGATTCCGCCATTTTAGACAAATTTCCGGTGCTTTTGGTTTGACGAATAGCTTCGGTAGGCTTTAATGTGGGCTGGGGAAATTCTTTAGAAAATCGCATAAGCGTGATAGGTTTATACTACTTGTGATAACAGAAGCTCGGCTTGTGGCACTCGTACTGCGATTTGTAGTAAGATTAATATCCCAAGTCGGTGTCGTCCTCATAGTGGTCCTGGATCTAAAGGTATAAATGATTTCATTAAATATGTTTCTGTGAATTTTTTTTTGGGTAATAGACGCCTTCTTGACTCACCCCCGGCGGTAGGGTGTAGGAGCCTTTCTTGGCACGGTACGGGCCGATGGAATAATTTTCTCGAGTCGCTCCTTGATTTGACTCATAGATTTTTTATGATCCAACCGATCATATACCGTTGAGCTACGGTACCCCTAAGCCGGCTTAAAAGAATTTCGAGTGGTTCTTGCCTCGTGTAGTATATCTTGTAAGAGCGGGTAATCGACGACGTATTCCTCAAATGCATCAAAATGCTTCAACCCATCACCATCTTTGCTCATAACTCCTCCATCGTTCAGACTGAGAGATATATTTTCTGGATAACCCACGTACATCATATCCTTTCGCCTCGCATCACGTGCGCATATCACCAATTTTGTTCGTGGGGGGCGTAGCATTATTATTGGGATCATCAGATGCCAAGCATTTTGTAGCGCCAACAAGCATGTCGACTCGGCCAGTGTAAATTCATTCACGAAGAAAATGAAAGCCTAACCCAGAATGATTGTAGAATCTCGAATGCTCACCTCCGAACTGAGCAACAATTCCCTGGTATTCGAATGGCGCTGCCATGTTTTTGCATTGCAGCAAATGAAGTATTCGGGAAATAAATCCTGGGCTATTTGATGCAACGAACTAGGCAACTTTATTTGAGAAAATCACGTTCCTAACCTGTTGTGCCAACGTTTTTCAACAAATCCACACAGGAAGACGGTTCGAGTCTGGCCAGAAGCCGTTAGAAGATTGTGCTCATCGCTACTGTGCTCGCTGCTACTCATCTTGTAGGATCTTTATCGTTGTGAGAAGATATGAAGCTCCCTTTCGCGAGAGTGCCAAATGTGGATGAGTACGAGTGAGTTATGGGCATCGGACCCACCCCTTCCAATATTGCCACGCCCACAGGACTTCTGGCAGATGAGCCCCTTTAGATAGATTAGCCTCAACCCCCGCCCCAGGGTTGTCATGGTATCACAAATACCCTCCGGATTATTCTTAAATTAAATATCTAAGAGATTTTTATCACAAGACGAATGGTAATGTGGTCAAAGCTCGAATATACATGTTTTCTAGTAGTGATAAACTTTCGTTAGTTTCCGTAAGTAGTAATCGTAGTAAACGTAAGTTTCCCAAACGAACCAGGCCATTCGAAACTCTACGTTCAGTCAAATAAATTTATCTGGAATTCGTGAAACACAAAATACTCGTATCATGTTGCGGCTAGTCATGGCAGAGCTTAGATCGAATGATGCGCGACAGCTTCGAACTGCCGGAGTTCCGTTAAATCCTTCATCCCCACGTGGTTATTTCGGTCGGAAATCCATCTGAAATTTGAGATGTAGAATTCTCGCATCTCTGTGTGGAGTCGAGGGCAGAATGACTACCTTCCGTTCATTCCAGGAATCCTCGCTGTTGGTTTGCCCCAGGTCATCCCTCGGAAGAGCAGCACCTCATCCACTAAATCCGGACATGATCAAAAATTTTCCATTAGCGACCCTTAGCGGAAATCCGCCTTTACAGTAGGCGCCGCTAAGCCAGAAATTGTCAGCTAGCTTTGGATTATCTATGGGAGACGGACACAATCCGTCTGGATTGCGTGGAGGTGAGGTAAACATCACAGGTAAATCAAAGGATACCGTCGCTCCACATTGAATATACGTGCTCCGCTTCGCGATGTGGATCATTGTTAAGCTTCTCCAGGAAGGCCGAGTAGTTTTCCTGTTTGCATGAGCCAGATGGGTAACCACACAGTAACTGTAAATCCTAAAAAGGGTTTCAAATTGTTGTACCTGGTCTTGGCAAGTATATCCTGGATATAATCCGTCCAAGGCATTACACCAAGCTGGCACTGTCTGGGCAAGCTGGCAGACGCAGAGCCCTATAATTAAATGCAAATACTTTCACAAAAGTCCCAACCATAATTCGGGCCGGCGATACCGAGGAAGGTATCGACCTTAGCGGACAATGGTGGGCCTAAGGAACAGTTTCCATCCGTGCCAATCAGCGAGCCACCCTTTAGGACACGCCTAAATTCCCGTGGAATGTTAAAAAGATAGAGCAAACAAACCCTTCGTTGCCAAAATTAAAAGTTACCTTGTAAGTGGAACTCCAACTGAATGTGCTATAATATCGACTTTTGCAGCTTTCGTATAGGCCAGAACAGCCTCGATAAACCTAAAGAATACAAGAATATTATTGCCGTAAACGTTATGCGACCTCCTAAGATAAATGAGGTTTTGACACGTATGGATAGTGGAGTATGAGTCCAACAAGGAACCACTTCCCCATGTATCGCCCCAAGTAGTCGCATAAAGCTCTGCTTCTGAAATGAAACGTGTAACTTTCCGTTGGCAGATAATCACGCCATATACAGTGGTGTGCATAATTATAAAGGCAGTCAAATTGTCAAAAATCTCGTTTTCTAGCGAGAATCAGGAAATGCTCTATTGAAGAAAGCTACCGCATTCCATAGCAAAATGGAACACTAGCACCGTTTGGCCATTCCTTTGCGGGAATTGTTTTCAGAAGGTTTTCGTCAAAAAGTCACTTTTGAAAACGTGGATAATTATAAAGGCACTCCGGGAAAGAATTTCTGAAAATTCGATATTGATCGTAATTGGCTAAAAGCGAGATTTTTTGAAAATTTGCCTGCCTTTATAATTATGCACACCACTGTAGTAGGAACCGCTTACTATACGGATCATAAATCAATACTTACCAGTATAATTTTGCTCAAGGAAGTATTGGATCGAGCGGCTCCATCCGGTCGCTAGAGGGGCCTAAAATTCGTTAAGCCCCATTTGCTAACTCTGCGATTGCCTGTGTGTGGAGAGCAGCATCACCATTAGCATGGATGAATATAACCGGTTCTTTAGTGATCTTAACCTGCGTTTCCCACTAAATACTTGGAAATTACCTTATCGGATCCTCTCTTTTTGCCTCCAAATGATCCATTTGGTCCAACATCCGGGCGATCAAAGGCGTCTTGCTCATACCTTTAATTGATTATTATTAGAAAGTTCGACGTGGGGTCGCTTTGTTCAGCTTGGATACCCGTGAGCAATTAGCCAGTCCAGGAAATGAGACGAAATGGGGCCCGGCGGTCCGCTCTTCTGTGCCTCGGTAACGGAAATTAAGATGGCGACGAGCAGGAGAAGCCTAAGCAGGGATTTCGTGCGGTCGCTTATCGATAAATCCAACTGACCACATTAATTTCCTTCGTAAATAGATTTACAAGAATTGTCAGAAAAGAGGGTGTGCCGTAAGGAGGCAGATATCGGGGCGGGTTTGTTCTGCCAAGGATGATGGTCTGAGAAGGGGAAAGCTGCCGCCAACCAACGATTCTGCCAACCCTCCCTCCCTCCTCCCCTCCCCCTTCAGGCGGGCCGATCCGAAAGCGAATTTGATAGCGAAAACGTCAGACAGTGGATCGGCTTGCCAATGGGATTGGATTAGCCAGAGAACTTCCTCAAGCAGCAACATCGCAAGATGCTATCTTTTTCAAGTCCTCTCGCATTCCCTGTTTTTCTGAAGGCGAGCATCGAATTGGAGAGGAGCAAATAATTTACCATACCGCATAATTCCTACCGCAAAAAAATTAAAGAAATACAGAGGTTAGAAAGCAACTCTGGCCCAGCCAGACCCCACGATATCCTTTACTTTGCAGCAGTCTCCTGAATTCCGATGACAAAAATGAAAATGGCTCCTTCTCGCCCAGTATTTAGGCTGCCGCCACCTGGAGTGCATGCTAACTTTTTCCTAGCAAACAGGGCTAATGATTTTTCAATAAAAACCTGAATTTCAAGTCGCAAATAGAGAATTTATCAATCTAATATGCGTGCGGGATCTCAGGGCCGTTACACACCCAATACCGTGTAATCCAGAGCTACCGAGATATCCTCCGGAAATGGTAACGGAACTTGGGTGCAAAATGTTACACACACACTCACGCATACACACAAATACTGTTTATTTATATAAAGTAGGACTGCTTATGCTGATTTATTTTTAGCTCCAAAAATTAATCATGATGGGCGCCTGCTCTATTCATAAGAAATTGTGACTAAGAAATTAAGTATTTTATTGCGGCGGCACATGTATAAATAAAAAAAACAATGAGAATAAGTACTTCAATGCAAAGATTTTATTTTCTAAAAGCGTCGCCACTTGAACGCAATTGTTGATGGCACGCCCCTTCTCTTTTTTCCAAGAGCCGCATAGAAACTGGCAATCGCTTCACCATCATGTACATAACTTGTTTCAAAATGGGAGATTACGCCCTCGAGCATCTATAAACAAAATGTATGATGCCGATCGCTAGGCAAAGAATATCGACGTAAAAAACTTACCGCGTGCTTTGTTGCGCTCGATTTGGTTGGTATATCAAAATATTTGCGATACTTTCGTAGAGCTGCCGCGTTTAGGACAGATAAACCATGCTAAAAAAGATGTTTTGAACCCATTCGACGAATACCGTTTCATCCTCTTCCTCATCAAGTTTCAAATCCCGTGAAACCTTGTCAAAACGCTTCTTGTCTTCTAAATTTCGGATATGTCCGAGGGATTGCCACTTCGAACCTGCTAACGCCTCTTCGGAATTGACAGCAGGAATTCGATTGATCAACTCAGGACCATAACACACACCATCTGGATCCTGGCCACAGTCAAGGCAACCATCATACTTTAGAGATTCCTAAAGAAGATATGAAATTGATGAAAACACACTGTTTGCTTTCTAATCTCGATCATTCTATCGATCCACTGACGTGCGATGGCATTGTCGAATTCCGGCTCAACTTCCGGTTCGTCTTCCTCTTCTGAGTCACTATCATACTAATCCGGAAATATAGCAAATGTTAAAAGGAAACTTCGTCGTCATCACTATTTTCTTCTGGAAGTACCGCTGGCGGCGCATTTATTGGCTTCTCATGGATATCACGAGGGTTTCTGATTTCCTGAATTATTCATGGTGATTTTGGCTGTTAGGCCTACGAGAAAAGATTCTTCGATGCCGTCGTCGGGATCACGTTTCGGCTGGAAATCGAGAGCCAAATGCTCGCAAGCCATTCGCAAATGGTGTTTACAAATTTGAGGGCAATGCATCTAGGATCGATTGATAATAGCCAAAATCAAACCTACGTAATTGATGTTGACCACAAGCAAAAGATGTGCATCATTAATCATTTGTTGTATGTTGACACTTAGTGGACAGACAGATTGCCGGGTACAAGACTGCCATTCACCATCGATTGCTTCTAAGAGGCCACAGACGGGCGCATTTTTCTGAAAGCTGTATTTTACAAGCGCGTGAGCAGTATCAGCCTAAGCCTAAACCTATACTCTATGCCCAAGCAAAAACTAAACCATTCTATCGCCCCAAGAATAATATTTTGTTCCTAGAAGTCGTTAACAAACGCAGTGTTGGCCAGCCCGTTTTTCGATAAGCCCTATCCATGTCTATCCACTTTGTTGAGGAAATTCGGGACAGATGATCAGATGGCCGGAAACTACTACACGCCCATGATCCTGACCTGGCGTTGAAACGCAAATTGATTACTGGTAGATGGCCTGGCATCTACAATCCGTTCCATATATTCCGCATCCTCAAGACGGGCTCGATTGAAGCGAACTAGCCATGCTCGCTTTTTCTGTTCAGCCTCATATGCTTGCAATAGGTTTCTAAAAGCAAATCCGTTTCTCCAAAAGGCTTATTGGTTTTTAGATCTCGTCAACTTTCATAAAAGCTGAAAAAAATCGAAGGTTTGGTATGCTTTACATATATTCAGGTTCTTGCTAACAATACCGGCCCAGTTTTTGTGGTTTTGCGTTACCTCGTTTCCATTTGTCAGGCGTATTAAGTTTCCGGCCCGAATGATTTGATGGTTCGTTGGGAGTAGGGTATGCTCGCTAGCAAGCAGGAAATAACTTGAAGCAGTTTGAATAATAGATGAACTAACCAAACCTACTACCCTTGTCGAGAGCACAGCTGATGGTTAGACGTCCCGGGGCTCCCTGCCGAAAGGAACCACTACGGTAGATATCAGCTTAGCCCACAGGACACCAGTGTGATCTCCTAAAACAAATCCAACTGCGTTATGCAAACACAGCTATATTGTATTTTTATTTTTTATGCGTCCGGGTCACGAACTTTTGGTTAAACCCTTCATTGTTCTTAAAGTTTCATCACATTTGAGTACAGAAAATGTATCGCAGAAACAACAAAGCCACCCATATAAGTCTTTGCAAATAAATGTTATCACAGGAAAGAAAAGGTCAAAGAGAATACTTGCGGATTGAAAGGCAGTATTTGGATGCGGCACTTGTATCCTGCAAGAAATTAGAAATGCCGTGAAACCAAATATTGCCATTGAAAAGGCCGTCACTCAGGGTATCACAGTGTATTAGGCGAATTAAAACTGATCACGATGTTCAACGAAAGCCGCTTGACCGAGATATGACTAAATAAGCATGCTGAATAAATAAATAATCATTTAATAAAAAAACCCAGGCCCGTGAAATTGGTCGTGAACCGCAAAACAGATAATTTCGATATTCTAAGACGCATTGGCGGTTGCAAATGGCGGTAATACCCAAGCAGAATAGATAGTGATAAATAGTATAAAGCAAAAGTAGTTTGAGTAAAGTAATTAGAACAGTGCAATTAAACGCGGCTATTGTCTCCCATATTCTTTGGCCTTTGCTTCATTATATTCCTTGAAGCGCCATTTTTGGTAAGCGTCTCCGTCATCACATTTCTGCATCAGCAGCTGTGAGCCATCGTGCGTCATGCCCAGGCATTTTCCCGTTGGAACGTGTAGAAGTTTGGAAGCCTATACAATACAGGATTATTTGTAAAATGCAAGCTCACGTTGTTGTCGTATTTCCATTCTTGATTGCCTTTCATTCCATGACAGGGGAAGATCATTACCTGAGAATAATTGACGTATCACGGTTCAGGTTTAAAAATTCGGCGATCCCGATTAACAAATTTTCAGCGGCTTACCTCGGCTCCAGCAAAATCGATGCAACTTTCATCTCTTCTGATCTCCCCATCCTTTGAATACATCCAGTACTAAAAGATTGCATATCGCAACGCTTGTAATTGTGCGCTTCAATGTTTGGAAACTAATGTAAACTCATTGCGTCGATGTAGCGTATTGAATGAAAAATAGCGGAGTGGGGAGGCACTGGCCGACCTGATTTCCCCCCTGCCCATGGCAAGGGTATAGACCCAATGGTTTTTGTTCCCCTTCCTCGACAAGCCCATCCACGCAATGTGCGCTGTTTCCCTGGTTGCGGATCTGGAATGTACGAATTGATACCTGATTTCCGCCCTGGCCGTGACATGGATACAGCCCTACAGGCTTGTTCTTATCGTGTTTGTTCACCATGCAGTCGAGACATTTGCGCCCGTCGCCGCCCAAGTTACGCACCTCAAAATCCACACACCCAGTCCAGGTTTTAGATGAATAATTTTGCACAAGAGACGGGATAGGAGCATTTGGATGCGGCCATTTCATTACCTTGGGTACGCTAGACTATGTTTACTGTTGAAAACAGGCGATAGTTGAAGTCTACACATGGTCTCTCTCTCTCTCTCTATCTCTCTCTCTCTCTTTCTCACTCTCTCCTTGTTTTGCGAATTAATACGCATCATTTAGTATTTGCGGAACGCGCAGCTTACATTTAGAAAAGTTTTGACCTTTCAAAGTAAAAAAACGGTGAAAATGACTTATTTAGCAGGATTAATTGCTCTTGAAAGCTTCAGAACCTTTTAATCTGGACGTTTCATTGGATTAATAAACGTGCTAGTAAATAGGCTTATTTTTCGTTCTAGCATCGCCAGAGTTAAACTTCCCCAGGCACTACAAAGCCCGTTAGACCTCCAACCAGTATTTTTTCTAAAGAATTAAGCTAATCAAACCCTAAAGCGTAATAATATGGCCGCATCAGGCACAATCGGGTTCCACCAAGTGTGTGCGAGTGGTCTTCACGTTTTCAGGTCATTTTCATCAAAAGAATTAACGACGAAACGGTGAACCAAGGCCTTGACAGAAACCCCGACTGGACTCAGTGTTTTTAATTAATAAGCGTGGGTGGGAATGGATATAGTGTAGAAGGGTAAGGCTTGCCAGGTGAACAAAGATAGGGGCAGAAGGCTGTCTCCAGTCACGACGGGCCATCACGACAATATACGTTTAAAAATATATCAAAATCTTTTAAGTTCATTGTCGTGATTGCATTTTGTTTATCTGTTAGCCGTGTGTCAGTGTTTCAACATCATGGCGGAAAAGGACCCGAAGGGAACTGCTTTGAAACAGAAAAAATCTTCAATACCTCTCCTTTCGCCACACTGTCGCCGGGAACGAATAACTCCGGGAAAATGTTGTCCAAGTACCTTAAGAGCAATTTATAGAAAATAAATAAAAAGTTCACCATTTGAATGACTTGCAGCCTAGGCGATTTCGAAGAGCTTTCCGCTGGCTAATATCACCAATATCGCCCTAAAAAGCTTTAGAAACTAGAAAAAATGAACCAGTTGGTGGTTGATACGTTCATAATAGTATTCCTTGTATTCATCGAGCCAAACTTCGGCCAGTCGTACGGAGTTTCTCTGAAAATGCGATCGGTGTAATTCGCCCGGTTAGCACAATTAGCATAATTCGCACAAAACTAACCTTTAGCACATTGACGCCTGTGCGCCATTTGTAAGGAGATCGCTTTCTGAATATGTGCCCAACATGTGAGCAAGGCACAATTTCAAGTGTACCACCACACATCCAAATCTAAAACGAAGATATACTCTGAAAATCCGAATAACCTTGAAAGACAGCTCCAGATTTTCGCCACCCCAAATGTCAAATCCAGGATCATATGTTCCCAGCTTTTCAAAGTAATCCCGATCAATTGAGAAAAGACCACCAGCCATTGTTGGGGATCTGAAGAGAATTCGGGTCTGTATTTAAAACGAGTAATTGCCTGACAGGGTCGATCGCCCTTCGGCCTTTCCGATCTCTTTCCGGAATGGCGTGCCAATTGAATTGCAATCCCCAGTCAAAACCACCAACATTGGTAAAATACGCCTTGCTGAAATGGAAATACACATTTTTTCGATAATTCGAGCACCTGTAATGATATTCGAAAGTATTGTCGTCGATCACGTCAATGACCGGGCAAACGACGATGGATGGGTCTTTTTTGATCCTGGCAAGTAGAGGCTCAATCCAACCTAAAACAATTGTGGTGAAGCATATAAATTACTCCTACCATCCATGCATTCACAATGCGAGTCGAGATAAGTCAAAACCTTTCCCTTTGCTGCAGATGCTCCACGAAGACGAGCCCTATTAATCTTTACGTTTACGGATCTGAAATATCGAATTCACCTGATCAAACCTTCGCGCTTTTCCATACGAAGTATTTTGACCTTTGGGTATTGTGATACGTAACTTTCAAGCGCTTCTAAAGAACTTGACGTTAAAAATTACATGTTTGGCATACGCTTGGTATGAGCCATATCCGAGAAATCATCGACCAATATGATCTCATTGAGATATTGATCCGGCGTTCTCTCAAGAACCTAGAAAAATATATTTATGATTGAAGGGGAAAAGAATACCGAATGCACTGTGCGTAGAAGCACACTCCATGCTTCATTATGAAAGCATATGATTACAGATGTATCCGGGAGATCTTTGGGATATGGCTCCACTTTGCACCTAGAAAACACAAATAGTAAGAAATCAAGGATAAACTCACTCCTCGTCAACATTTTTGGGAAGTGTTCGATGGATAGAGATCATATCCGATGCGTACTGATTGAAAGCGTTATTTTGGAAGCCTTGATCGTATTTGGCCTTTTCGGATTTGCTCAGTTTCTGAATAAAATTTTCGCTTAAATTGCTTTACAACAAGTGAACCGTTTTATCCACGTTTACGGCCTTTCCTTCCTCACCAGCTTGAGACATATTTCCTCGCTGATAAATTGGTTCAGCCACGTCAACGATAAATTTTGGCATTGGCATGTTGCCCTGTCCCTGAATCTGGGCTAAAGCAATTTAACGGTAATTACCTGATTGCCGTCCTCGTCTCTTTTTGCAGTCGGAACATTTACAACGATGGGTGGCAATTTTTCACGATCTATTCTTGGTGCAACTGGCTCAACCTGACGGTCATATGGCTAAGAGGCAGTTCAGGAGCAGTTTGTTGACAAACTCACTTGATTTTTATCATTAGAGGAGGCAAAGTATATTAGAACGAAAAACCAAACCGCCGGGATTAATAGTAATAGCTTGACCACTAAAGATCTCCTGCGCGCCGGCAGCATATTCAGGCGTTTTTGCTAAAAAAGTCATGATTTAATGAGTTCATCGCTTTGCGCTCTGGAGCGGGTTTCAATAAAACTTACTTTGTCTATAAATGATCCAGAGCTAACTCGCGGGGACAAAATGGAGGTCCCCCAAAAGAGAAGAACCTGGAAAGTTGTAAATTGCACCGGAAAGAAACGACATGAAACAATATGGAAAACAGATTGTTATTGGTTGCCCAAAACCGGAAGAAGGATTGTGCCCGCAAAAAGATGGGGGTGGCCTCTACTTCTCCACGTTGGCGAAAGATAGGCGCTGCTAGCTCATCGATTGCCCGAACCAGACAATCACTTATGCATACTATTCGGGGCATCAGAGAATCAGGGTTTATCGATGATAAGATCCAAGGATGGCGCTCCAGAATCAAAAATCATGGGCTCATTTTTGAACTTGATTGGTTTTTTTGGACCCGCCTTCAAATCTTAACAAAATCCTCCCTTTCCCTGAAATCGTGAAGCTACTGGATTACGAATTGCAGGGTCTATGCCGCGACAAATGGTATCGGCTTTACGATTAAGCGATTAATTGGGCGGTTTGGTGGCTGGTTCGCACGGTTTAGCTATTTGCCACGAATGGAAACAAGAAAACTTCCCTGCCACGTAATGCAAACGGCAAGGCGTGCCAAATAGTCGATTGAATGTAAAACACATGCTCCCTGGGCTGCCGGATGCTTTGGCAATTCACCACTTCAGAGATGCATTCGAATTTCAAATAGAAAAAGGCTAATAGGGCCTTTGGTTGTTGGAATATTACGCGTTACCGCAAAGTATTTTCAAAAACGACCCCATGGATCGGGAAAAGCAAAATGGTCCATCAGGGTCCGTTTAGTGTCAACAATCCTGCATGTTGGTGATTGGATTCGGTTGGGACATATAGTAAAAGGTGCGCGACAGCCGAGTTGGGATCGATCGATGGTTTTCGGGGAAGGGGAACAAAAGGGCCGACCCATCGACAAATATGATCTAATTGGGTGGGCGCACCTAGGGAGTGAGGTGCCCACACCCATTGCCCATTGATCCTACTAGGTGAGTGAAGGCTTATGGGGTAGTTGGTGAAGAGAAGGGACATGGGGGCAGATATGCAATGCTCGAATACGGGGCCATACAGTGCACACATCGGCCACGCTTCCAACCCCCGGGGATCGCGCACAGGCGAGCGCTTTCCACCTCTCCTCCTCTCCGCCCTCCACACCTCTCCACTAGCCCCCTTTATTCAAAACTCCACGGATGGACTACGCGAGACTCCGTTTGTGGACGCGCCCCTCGAAACGATGAATGCAAACGTGGACCCAGGCGCCCCCGCAACTGGTTCGCGCGCATTCGAGCTTCAAACCCCGCGCTAAAGGTGTTGCTATGGAAATCGAATCGCTCGACTGGTGAAGTGATGATCCGAGCGACTCAGCGAGTCATAGAGCTTCAGATGTTAGGTCTTCCCACAAAATATCCAACAAGGGTCGCATTTCTCATTGGTGCAGAAAAATGGGAAAATTTTGGTTGAACTTAGGGAAAAAAGTGTTTCCGACCCAGGACCAAGAAGTGAGCACCAACCAGAACTCCATGCGACATGTGAGTTGTCCGAAATGGGAAATATCGGGAAATAATGGGCAAGTCACGCCTGCTAAAGGGATCGAGGGCGCTGACTTATCGGCGGTTAATAAATGGGTGAGGCTTCTACAGTGTATATTTTGATATTAATTAGATAAACAGTCAGTGTGAATTGGTTTAAATTACAAAAATTCAACATAAAACTTTTCTATGTGCATTCTGATCTTGGTTCGTGACGCACACCAGTGCCAATCCATGCTTTTTTTAAATTTCTCTTAAAAATCGATGTGTTCGGATTTATATCTGACCGTAGTTGAGCGGAACGATGCTTTCTCCCAGGTATAAATCTTGCAAACAGAACGCATCAGCAAAAGCGGCTAACCAGCCCTGAGGGAAGCATCGATGAGATGTTCCCTCTTGAGTGCTGACACACGAGGCGACTCCCTTTCAAATGCAAATAGCATTCTAGCAAAAGCGTCAACCAACCGCCTTCCTTCTTTTCAAAGCCAGTCGATCTTAATATTTGCTGCAGTGGCCGCTATCAAGTCCTGATCGCCGTCCTCGACTTGTTAAATCACTATAATCACTGAAAGGGCTTGCATTTGTTCGAATCCCGCGTCGAAATTGCAATAAAATCTCCGCTTCTTTTCAATTTCAATTATTCCGGTTGTCTAAAAACAAGGGCAAGAAGCTCTTTTTTCATCTGATTGAGAAACACATTGCTTCCGTTTTACAGAAATAATTCAGATCCACATAACTTAAACATGCATACTTCGCTCAATTTCCCCAACTAAATGGCAACATTCTTGTTTGGGCCTTAACTTTGTGGCCAGCTATCTATCGATTCGCATGCAAATTTAAATCGGATTGCTTTGGAAGCGCGGGGTCGATGTGCTAGGGCTTATGATCCATTTCACAGTCCATGCCGCCGCAAAATGTCCCGATCGCCCACTTAGGTCTTGGTGAGCTGATAATTGTCGACGGAGGCTCTCACTGCGCTGCTGCGGCCAGTCACACTTTCAATCCGTCATTCTTCTAACCACTGCTGCTCGTTTCCAAAGAAAGTTCGCCACCTTATACACAGCCACACCGCATTGTTGTGAAAATTGTTCTTCCCTTCCACCTGCATGGGAATTTCTGTTTAGCTGTTAGCCATGTTCTCATTGCCATCGATTGCATTATAGGTCGATCAGTAATAACAAGAAAGAAGTGGAGAGCGAGGCCGATATTCGAAGGTATGCAGCGGCATAAAATGGATTCTGATGAAGCGGAGAATAGCCAGAACTATTATCGGGTCCATGATTATTCACTCCACGCTTTACCTCCATCCTCTACGTTTCACCCGGGCAACTCGAACAAATCCTTCAAAACTTCCAATACAATATTACAATGCGCCAAGTAACACTTTTTCAACTGCAATTATATCAATCTAGCACCTCGGACGTTTCACGATCGCCGACATCAATGCAAGCCAACTTGAAGGTTTTAGTATTTAAATAACGTTATTTTGTTTTCAGAGTAAAATTCCATACGATACTTTTGGAGAGACTGCAATCGAGAGGGTAAGCCAAAGAAGCCATGGCAAAAAATCTGCCATTATTCAGATTTACTCCGAATTTCGGTTTCTCGATGATTGTAATTCGCCTTCCTCGTCGGGACAGGCTATTCTCAAGCCTCGTGCAGGCACCCCGTAGGTTGAATATACGGGCAATTTCACGGCCAATCCTCCTGAAATGGTCATGCAGGCATACACAATGAAAGGGGATCGTGAACCCTGGCAGAGGCCGTGGGTTTTCACAATACGTCGGATCGCAAAGAAATCCAAAATTTTACTCTGTTTACAATCCCTCACAAAAGCCGTAGATTCCATTTTTATTAGTTGATTCGAAAGAGTGCTTTTTGCTGGAATTCTTCTTATTGCGCATGCAGTAGAAAATATATTACGGAAAATGAGGCTGCTTCAGAATTTTTCTTATCCAAAAACAAGCATAAATTTAGCGAAGATCGGCCGCGCTGTGGCTCCTTAATGAAGCGATTCGCTATTGGAACAGGTCCGGTCGTTCAAATCGTAATGGCGCTCGGCTACTTATTCTTTGCGACGCTGCGCTACGCCGATCTCTTCCAGGTTTCGGCTTATGAGTGCGGAAGCGCACAATTTTGTTTTACAATTTGCAGGAACGAGCTATTTCAAATCTGCTACTTGATTTGAATAAGCCAGAGGATTTTGCCGCGACTACGGATGAAGGGGCCACAATAATCAAGGTTGATTATTCAACAATTTCATGGATTCGAGGTTTTAGTTAAGGGCAGGAACTTCATTAGTGGTGCCCTCATTTCTGCAAATAGGATCAGCATTGCTTGGCTTTTGGCCCTTAGCCAGCCGACAAAGACAAGGAATGATGGTGAGATTATAGTGGTTACGAATGTTCAAACATTCTGTTTAGACTTTCGTACTTTTTAGACAATTTTACACCCATTTAGATTGGACACATTGCGTTATCATCACTCGCAATACTATTTTGGTTTGATGCGCTAAATAGTGGCGCTCTGGAGCTAAACATACGATATGTACAGCTCGGACAGACGATCGGTCGCGACGAATCTATCGTATATTTGATCGTTGCTATTCTGCTGTATTTTCAGGTAACTCTGACAACATGTTGGGAATTATAGATACCATATAGATACCATCCCGAAACGACACCATCCCGAACGACGCCGTCTCGAAAAATTTGCATGCGAAAATTTCCTTAGCATAGAAAAATATATTTTCTATAGCGGACCTGACTTTTCGCATGCAAATTTTTCGGGATGGTGTCTTTCTGGATGGTGTCTTTTCGGGATGGTGTCCATCTACCCCTGTTAGCAAGTGCGCATTTAATTACACTTTTTTTTGGTTTTCAGGTCCTTTATATGCCCACAATAACTATGGGATTTACGATGATTAGCTTGTTTACTAAATGGCGTTTCAGAAGGAGTTCGGGTATGTAGGACCGAGTTGCCGACTGCATTGATATCACAAAATTTTGATGCCGATCTGGACAGCCTTTATTGCAATTCAAAATTTCAGGCCCATCATTTGGTGTAGTCGTGACGGGCCTTGTCATCGCCATACTCGCTGCTGCAGCTGTGTCAACGGCTGTATACGCCGCTTCCAGGTCACTGACCAACATTGACGAGTGGTATGTTATAGAAAAAGTCTACAATTCGTCACTGTGAAGTTTTAGCTAGATTTTTCAACAGATAACGGTTTTTACAGGCCTGCTAATACTGCGGGAAATCCTGGAGCACTCTACGCGTTCGGCTTATTGGAGGCAATAGTTGGAGGTTTGCAGATTTTAATTACCGTTAAAGCGAACGATTATAGCGTATATTGTAAGCGCAAGTTGGAGCTCACTATTATGCATCACGATTCATTCAAAACGTCTCTTCCCAATGGCAATCTTGCTCAACGCGTTTGGCATTATGTGGATTAAAATATTTTACGTTTAGGACTTGCTTGCTAGTTCTATTGGTCCACATTTTGACCCCATCACGCCTATTGTCAGTTCCGCATGCTATCCGTGTGCTAATCGGTATTCCAAAAAGCTATCCGGTTAGCCACGCCTGGTGGGTTGTAATTTTTTGTAATACCAAGCTCTCTATCTGTCCTTCCAGCATCTTGATCCTCTACGGAACTGAAGTTGCCTTGGCAATAATGATGATGGTCCAGTTTATCCTATCGTTCGCTCAGATTGAGACAGAAACCGGAGGTGGCTCACGTTCGACCGACGACGCTACTGATTGCTCTCAATTGTGACCTCATCAGATGAGGGAAAGACCCCAACCCCTCAAATAAAAAGCTGACGACTATCAGTCTTCCAAGAAATGACAGAGCGCTGCTGCTCGGCGCCACCGTGTAGTCAGCCGTCGAAAGAGCCGGGTGCAAATTTACGACCTCTAGGCTTGTAAAAGAGTGTTGAGTAAAGAAGCGATAGGGCCTTTGATACTTTGAACCGGACCCGACTCAAGGGGTCACACGTCTGGCTAGATCCGCTGGCTGCAAAAGAAATAACATCCGGTGTATTTTGCGGGTTTGTAAGCAAGTTCTCGATTACAACCACCGGAACCAGTTCCGGGATTTATATGATAGAACAAGTTGGACTTGATCTTAGTCTTAGGCTATAGAAGAAGCGCCTGCTGCGAATAGTTTGTCAAATTTTCGCCGGATCTCGATAGACACCTATGTCGACAGAATGGGGCCCCATCTACAAGCTGGGGTATGGCTAAAGTTATGGGAAAAGAAGCTCGCTGATTCAAATTACAAAATTCCACGGCTACCCTCCCCTATTTGGATGGCCTCATTCGACCAAGAATCACTGGCGCACGTCTGCAAATGGTAGTATCTTTTGATGTTCACTGAACTGCTCGCGTGTCTCTTCTCCAAGCAGGCTGACACGGCCAATGGCCATAAACGGCCCTCAGTCTCACCAAAACCTGCACTCGCATTGAGGCCCCGATGGCTGATAAGTGGATTGTAAGAAAAACTATAAAAATTCCTGTCTAACACGGTAGAGTTGATCAGGAATTAGAGTTTGTCTGTATCTTGATAATTATCTTATTGCTTTTGAGGAATTCGGTTCCGGTCGAGCGATCAAAGCTTTCTTGCTTGAAAACAAGATCTGGCATCGAAATCAACATTTTATGAAACTTTTTAATTAATAAAATGCACGGCATCTACATCAGAGTAGCCGCCTAGCTGGTCGAATTGAGCCTTTCCACACGTTGTTGCCATGACTGGCCTTACTGGACCATAGTTAACGGGCAAGATGGGCGGTGCTTGCCCTGCTTCTACTGTACCTGAGAGGCTTATCTCTTCTTGGATCGAGATGTCAGCACCCATATAAAAGAGCAATCAGGCCAAAGACGGCACCTCTACGCAGCGCTTAGCCCGCAAAAAAAGGTCCGCCATGTGCAACGCAGCCCAAGTGCATCAGCCCACGGAGCCCGAGTTTGTCTCGGTTAACGACGTCGACTTCTGCGACCGCGAATTTGAGGAGAGCAAGCAAATTGAGGAATCTGCTTCGAATAGATTCGTAAGTGCTACAGTCTTTTAAGCAGTTGAAGCCAATGGGATTCTTTTATCCTACGCATTCAAATGATTCCAGCGTCGTCGCGCACCACGTTGGGTGGCGCGGAATGTGCTGATGTTTGGCATACTCCACGCTATGGCCCTGTACGGTCTGTACCACGCCGTCTTCTACGCAAAGTGGTACACCCTCGCCTTCGGTTTTGCTACCTGGATTGGATCGGTGCTCGGCGTCACTGTCGGAGCCCATCGTCTTTGGTATGAAGTTTTCAGGTTTTGATCATGCATTGCGTTAGTTATAGCATAATTCGGATCTTAACGTACCGGCATTTAATTGATGAGGATATTTTCTTCAAGTTTCACAATTTCAACGATATTTTTAGGTCGCATCGATCGTACAAGGCAACCTTCGCTTATCGCGCAATGCTGATGGTCCTTCAAACGATTTCCGGACAGGTATGGCTTACATCATCTTGCCGCTCAACAGAAAATTCGTGAAATACGTGAATTCTGAAAAGCGCCGGTAACGCTTTTTAACGCGACCCCTGCTGCCTGCCCATTTGGGCCCCATAAAATGGGGCCGTAAATTGCCGGAACAATCGAAAAGATAACCCGGGCCCGGGAGTCAATGCAATGCCGATACTTCTTGAAGCTCTGAAAAGGAATTGCTGGAAAGAAAAACCTAACCCTTTTGAATTAATGTGAAATTATGAGAGGCGACAGTCGTAGTGGTAATCGGCTGAGGGAAGAATTTCAGAATTCGATCTACGAATGGGTCCGCGATCATCGTTGTCATCACAAGTGGACTGACACGGATGCCGACCCGCATAATGCTTCGCGGTAAACTACCAATCTTTTCACAAAACGTTCCGTTTTCAGTGGACTCTTCTTCTCGCATATGGGCTGGCTCCTTCAGAAGAAACATGAGGCCGTCATTCAGAAAGGATCTCAAATCGATATGTCTGATCTCCTCCACGACCCCGTAGTGGTCTTCCAAAAAAAGTAATTACTTTCCGGCGTGCCCTTTAAGAATGCATTTAATTAGGTACTACTTCCCGCTGTACATAATCTTCTGCTTCCTGCTTCCGTCGGCCATCCCAGTCTATTTCTGGGGTGAGAGCGCCCTGGTTTCGTACTTCGTCGCCGGAATCCTAAGGTTTTACATATAAACACTATGTTTATGAGGGAATTAGGTACGTTCTGTCGCTTCACGAGACCTGGACCATCAACTCACTCGCCCATACACATGGCCATAAGCCTTACGATGCCCGCATTCGTGCCACCGACCATCACTTGGTATGTATCCTACTATATATAAAAAATAGTGTCTTTGTGTGTGTCTGTGCCACTTTGCATACAATTCCGTCAGCGTGTTCCCGGCGTATCTCAACCAGGGGAGTTGGTAGGAGTATGTTTTATACGTCATTAGGTGCGCAATGACCTTGGGATGACTGCACACTAAACAAATTTTCAAAAATTTGCTGTTTTCGACGTTAAAATTAAGTTTTTGTTGAAAAATCGAGGACCCTCTTTACAGTCAGAAAACGATTAGCATACGCCGGAAGTGGCGGTAGCCTTTATAAGGGAAGAGAGGTAGCGTTTCTCATTTTTTGTCATCTAAAATCGCGAGAATCATGCAAAGTGAAGATTATCATGTGATCCGACGGGGCCAGGGTTGAAAAGTCGCGAAGCGGCTTTTCAACCCTGGTATTTTCTAAAAAAAATATAAGCTACTGTAGATGGCCATGCTGACCGTTGGTGAAGGCGGACACAATTACCATCATACCTTCCCTTCTGATTATCGGACATCCGAGTTCACTTATTGCCTCAACCTCGGCAAGGTATAGTTAAAAGTATAAAATACAACTAGGTATTGCATCGACTGAACCATCAAAAAAGCATGTTTATAAAGCCGCTAGCCTATAATCAAGATTTGCTTTCAGTTGTTGATCGATCTCGGTGCGCACTTCGGCCAAGTACAGGACCGCAAGGTGGTGGGTGAAGAGGTAAATTTTTTATGAAATAAGTGCCTTCAAATGGTTTTCTTTTCTAGTTCATCCAAAAACGCATCGAGGCCAACGAGGCAATCTTCGGGAAAAGCGAATATTACGAACATTTCTCGCAGTCCTGGTTCAAGTCTTCCTAATTGCCGGTCCCTTTGATAGGGGCCTGCGATTGCTCCATTCCAAGCTCGAGCTATTGCTCAACTGGACGCGTATTCATTATATGAATCACCCTTCAATTGCTTCACTTGTCATTATATGCATATAGGTACGAATAAACAAGTTGAGGTCAATTACAAACTTCGATCATATACGCGGGAAGCGCCGTGGGTAAATATGGAATTATGAATGGCAACGTGCATAGGGGTTTCCGATAATAGATTTTATTCAATTAAAATATTGACATTAAAAAGCGAACAAGGCACTTCGAAGATTGTAAAACAAATAAAAAATATTTAGGCAGTGGTCTGAAAGCGCATACATTTGATAGGCAGGAGGATGATGTGACCAGAAAGGCAAAAAACGCCTTGTCGAGTTAAAGTTTGAGACAATACCCGCGCATGGGAGCAAATGGCAATAGGGGAGAATGAGGATGAATTGAGCAGCAAATTATTGAAAAATGGCAAATCATTTAAGGACAACGGAATCCACCGTGATAATTTCGATACAAGCCGGCATTTTGATTTGGTGGCTAGATAATTTGGAATTATCTAGCTAAAGTCGTTTGCCGTGAGTGGAGGGATTGTAGTCACTTTGGGGAGCATATCTAAATGTAACTGTTATTAGGCACATTGCTGGACAAACCACAGACACAAATTTGAAAATGCAAGTTTTGAAAGTCATGCTAAAATAGCCCGGGAAAGTGGAGGTTTGTGCTGCCACTATGAATTAAATCGAAGCCATTGTTTTTCTGATAGATGTAAGGGCCGCTCCACAAAATGTTTGGAACTATAAGGCACGGCATGAAAATTAGTCAGCTTTACTTTCTTTATGAGAACATATATCGGCGCTGTTAGAAGCATTTTAGAGTTTTATGGATCTAACATGAATGGGATTTGGATTAGAGTGGTTCAAGACTAGGCCGGGTTAGGTCGGTTTGAAATGAACCGACATAGGCCAACCTCTCAGCTCTGAACCACCCTAATTTGGATGCAAAGCTTCACTCTAATAAACCATCATCATTATCTGCTTACCCTCCAGGTGGTGCGTTTAATAATTGCTGGAAAGTAAGAGATTCAAGGTGCAGTGTGTACTACGTGAATAGAAAAAAATAGGTCCGACACGACTATGATGTATTCGGCTTAATTTACCATTAGCTTCGTCTCCAATAAGCATTAATAAGACTAAAATTTCGTTTGGGTTTTTGGCAGCCAACGTGTTGATGTTAATGAATGCCGGTGATCGTGAATTTCGGATGTCGCTTTACCTGGTTCGTGTATCAGCGTAGTGACCTCCCCCTGCATCCTCGTTGGCTTTTCTTTGAGCATGCTCAGCTTGAGGACGGTTCCTTTTAAAGAAACCGCACTAAAAATATCGCACATCAGTGTTTCGAAAAGTTGACTGACCCGCCACAGCAAAAGAATCAACAATGCCAGAATGACCAGGCCAATTAGCCCGGCAAGGATATACAGCCACCAGGGTACAGAACCAGCGCCCGCATTTTCGTTGATCGCATTCATATTTGTTTTGATCTGTAAGGCATAGTTGAAAGTTCAGCGGTTATCATATAACGCTCACCGCCAAAGCTAGAGTTGGCTTGTGGGGCCAGTTGAATTTCGTATTTCCGACCCGCGCAATGCCCAGCGAGGAGACCTAAATTTTGTTGTGAACGCTTTATCTAAACGAGCTCCGATCTAGACGAACTAGAGGATTCGGGGTTATCCCTTTTGGTTTGAGGTATTTAAACTATGATGCTTGTTGGTATACCCACCTCTCCGGAAGGTAATATTTCATCAACCAAAGTCCGTGTGTATAGCCGTGAAAACACTTCAACCAGCACGAATTCGCCTTCGCGTAGGTTGAAGATATCGCATTCGATATGGGTACACCGCAACTGATTGCAGTCCTAAAGTTAGCGATGTCAATCTAGTTATTTTAACGAATAAAAGATTCCAATAGGTCTGCGCCTAAGCATCACATACAGGCCCGTAGGAGGGGGCAGGGGCATGCCGCCCCCCGAAATCTGCAGATGGCGAAAAAATGATAAGGGGGGACCCTTATCATTTTTGAAAATTTTTGAAAAAGGGCGGTAAACGGCAGATGTTTTTGAACCGCCGCCCCCCGAAATTTTGGGTTCACATACCACCGAAGCCCTGCTTACGACACCGCTGTAATCCGTGGCCCCTCCAGCTGATTTCGACTTGAGCACCACTTCACGGAGATCAGAAAACCGCGTGCGATCTTGAAATTTATAAAATTTCGTCGATTTTGTAATTTTAAAGTTCACCTCTAGGTGGCTGACCGCTGCTAGCTTCCTTGGCATCTTTTAATGGGGATTTCGTTCCCTTCTTTCTCTTTTGTTGTTTGTTGTCCGATTGCCGCTTTACCCTTCGTCCCTCTTCATCCTCATCTTCGTACTAAAAGGTTATGATAAACAGATATGCTGAAAATCGCTTTTGCACCGCTAGATTGGGCAGCAATCGAACTATCATGACTGAAATTTCACGCTCAATAGAGCCTCAAAATATTGTGGTAAAGTGCATATGAAGCCATTACAAGCTCGAAAGCCATTCTCCGACACCAAAGCACTTGCCACCGGCATGTAATTGGCTCACGATAGGATGACGATCCTCACCTCATCGTCATCATATTCCACTTCACTGAGTTTGTCATCAGCAATATACTCCCATTTGCCATTTGCCGGTTTGTTTTCTTGGTAATGGAATCGAACGGGCTGTGTCGGGTCGGCTTCATATACGTAGGTTTTTCCGTCTTGTTCAAAGTGCACTGATTGCTGGGTGGGGGCTGGTTGTACTGCGGGACGGTTGTTCGGTGGTGAGCGTGGTGCTTCCATATGTACTGGCTAAAGCAGAAGCGGATAGCCCAAAAAAGTGCACACAATACTTGGCAAGGACTGCTACTTAATGATAGGTGAGCCTTACAACGTTCGTTTTTAGGTGCTTTTGGAGTTTGTGATGTGAGATGACTCTTTCGATCGAGCGGAACATTCTGAACAAATTCCATATTCAAAAATTGACGCCACGGCGACCGTCTTTGCGAAAATTTTTTTGAGGCGCTCCGATTTTGGCCCATTTTTGTGAAAAAGGGTAGGGAGGCTGTGTTATCAAAGTCCGTTATCATTCAGCAGTTTTATGAATGATGGGATTTGCTCAGAACTTGAACCTTTATCGAATCAACTATGCCAGATCGCAAAACTCCAAAGCCATCTAAAAACGACTCCACTTTAGTTTTTTTGTTCTGCATATCATGCCGATACTCCCCGAATGCGTTGCTAGCTATGTTGTCCATAGTTCTCACCGGATCCCGTCGATCAATATCGTCGTCTTCTTCGCGCGAATGCGCTCGGGGCTCATCATCGTCTGCATAATCTTCTTCGTTGATAGGGGCTTGTGTTGGGATATGCTCGTTTGTGATCTAAAGACATTTAACCTCGCTGGAACAGCCGTGGTTTGATTTGTCATTCATTCATATCGGGCTATTCACTTACTCGCAAGTTCAATGGATTCACATTCTGAGCTTGCTTGACGCGACAACGGCCTTTGGTTGGATCATTAAGAACCGGTTCAGTTAGGAGGTAGAGCAGGTGGTTGCCCTGCAAAAGCCATTTCTTTTAAATGACCGTTCCGTCAAACGCTAGAATTCTCGAGTGAACCAAACAAATTTAATTACCTGCGTGGAATACGAAGGCCAGAAAATGTCGAGAGTAACGGAGTCGATGGCCGACGGTCCACGATTAGAGACTTGGTACATATGGGAGACAACGGGGCCCAATTGCTTATCATCGAACAGCTCCTCAGTCGAAATGTTGCTTACCGAGAAATCGACCTAAGATTCAGATTTATCACAGCTAAAATTTCCGAACAATTGTGCCCGTTCTCACAACAACTTCAATTCACCTGTTCCGGCTCGGCTCTTCCAACGAGCGTGAGCTGGTTTTTGAAATCCACAGGGATGGTGAATTCGACATTGTTGTCAATATCCGTATGCTCTTCCTCAGTATTTGTACTAAAACAGCGGAATTTCGCGGTTGGCGCAAATGTGTGCGTCTTCCGAATGTCAGCACCGAAAATTTGCATATCCTTACCTGTTTACATGAGCCCGGATAGTGATCGGCTTCAGTGGTGGCTTGTCTTGATTTGCAGTAATTCGAATAGTCGTTGAAACAGATTTGCCCTGCGGCAACGGATTTCCGAGCTCACACGCAAATTTCCAGTTGCCATCCTCACCGGGCTCCGTAGATGTGGGGGAGCAAGAAGGCGCGGTTTGCTAAATAAATTGAAGTTAATCTTATTTTGATCCCCGATCGAATGGTTGCACCGCCCGCGCTAATTCCTTACCTTATCATCTTTTGGTGTTTCGACGCCCGAATATTCAAAGCCTTCCGGCACATCAAAGAAGAGTTTCGTTTCATAAGCATCTTCTCCACGATTAAAAACTGAATGTATTTAGTACGGTCTCGATATGGTGTCCTACCCGACACATTCACAAGCATCGTGTTATCTGTTGTTCCCAGCAAGAACTTTGACCGATCAGCAACGGCAAGTACGTTTAAATCGGGGATGCAAACTCCGTCTTTACCGCAATTGTTCGCAATGTTGAGCTAAAAATGTTTCAAAACCAGGTGCTTCCAACATACCTTGTTTTCAAAAGACAACGGTACGGTAGTATCGATGGCAGGTTCTAATTGACCTCCTCGCAACTTGCCAGTTTTTGACTCTTGATAGGTATAGTTGACGGACCAATGAATTGGGGATAGCTTGTCGCGCATCGTATCCTGAAAACGTGGGTAGGCCGCTGAGATAATTTTACCGAAGCAAAGAACTTCTGTTTCACGCACTTTTGGCGTCCCTTCTCCAGTCGAATGCGCCTGAGCCAAAATATTAAGAAAAGAAATGAGTGTTCACCTCTCAATCACGTTCGGGTGGTCCTTTGTCTTTGAATCGGATGGAATCGTAATATCACGATCGGACTTCTTAATAGTGGAAATCATCATTCTTGCTGGTTATATAAGCGAGTGCAGTTTGGCAACGAAACCACTGCCTTAAGAACCTACCACTTCTCTTCCAAGGAAATATGCTCTTGGCTCCGGTGAGTGATCATCGAGCGCAGTTCTCAGAACAAACTCCAGTTCGTTTGGAGTCTGACCACGCCCTTCATACTTTAAACAAGTATTGATAGTACGGCTGAACCCAACGTAAGTATAGAAAAAAATGGTTTTCGTTACCAAGTCTGCATGCCCATCTTCTTGTCGCCAACATCACAATTCTTTTCTTCAACGTTGAGGGTGACTCCATCGGAATCCGTTTGCCCCGTTACAGTAACCACTGGCTTGGTCAGAAGTACGGCAGCGTGCCCACTCTTCCAGCCACCGACAGCAATATCTTTAGGAAGCCGTGAAGGTTTCAATTTAAGTTAACTTACCGGGAATGCCGTTCGAATCCACATCAACATTGCCAGCCAGTGAAAAACCAAAGGTTGCCATATCCCCACGAACTGTTTTGCCCTCGATTTTTTGGGTCGGCTTTGTTCGTACTCCATCCTACAATGAAAAATGCCACAGAATTGGTTATTCGATGTACCTTTGAACCGTGGATAACGTATACGGCTCCTTTCTTGTCTGCACCTGCATACGGGGCGCCGACCACGAAATCTGGTTTGCATGTGTAATTAGGTTGCAAGAAACAGTACCATTATAGCCATCCTGGTTCAAGTCGCCCGCTGCGGCCAAAGAGAATCCGAATCTTCCCCATTGATCATCGCCAACAATTACGATTTGCTTATCAAAAGTGCCCTAAAATCATCCGCGTATAATTCTTTCGAATAAACGTACGACTTCGTTCTGCAAAAACACGACAACTTTGCCAACATCATACTGTGGCTTCCGCTCCTGAAAATACAGAATTGCGAAAGATATAGACCTCTAACCTGGGTTTTCGCATCCATAACGGAAACGTAATCCGTGTAGAACGGGCATCCCATCACGATGTCATCACGCCTAATAAGCAAATTATTGGAAATTACTATGACATAAAAACACCATAGGTTTTGAAGGGTTATTATTTTGGCTATTCAAGCATATTAGCACCTACCCGTCCTTGTTCAAATCAGTGGCAATGACGGCACTTCCGCAGTATTGACCGGCTTGTGGCGACGTGGTATCGGTCAAGTTGGTGAGATGGCGTAGGGACGGGGTCCACAACACAAGTTTTCCTTGTAAATTGTTGCCCCGCGGGACACCAGCCACAACGTCATCAATACCATCGCCATCAAAGTCCCCGGTCGCCGTGGCATAGCCTAAGATAATTTGGTACTTTCGGTTATTATTCTCTCCTACCCATCATATCGTGATCGAGCGGGGCCGGACCAATTTCCGTGTTTGGTCGATCGGAAATGTTGCGCAGATTTTGACTAAAGTAAAAAGCGGTGAGCTGCTCGATTTAAATGCTGGCCATAGAATTTCCGGAAAATCTCTGGTGGTTTCCTTACCTGAACACCGCTCCTTGCCAATACCAAACACCTGGACCTCCAACAAACAAACGGTCTTCGCCCCTAAAGCTGTTGCTATTACTGATAATTATAAATACCTCTTGTTCTTATCCGGGATTGCCACCGAAAACCCGCATTGGCCATACCCTAATCGATGTCGCCCGTGTCGTGCCGCTGAAAACCAGCAATTGAAAAGAAACTGCTTTTTCAATGATGGGAGTACGTCACGATATCGGGATGGGCTAGCCTAGTGGAGAATCAAATTATGCTGGGGGACACAATACAACAAACTATGCATCAAGTCTCAAGACAACCTCGTGGATCGAAGATATTCGCTAAAAGCCAACGATTACAATAAACAGCTGCGACCAAACTACTTATTTAAGAGACACCCACGTTCTTGTTTGCATGTCGGATATTCTTGCGTTTTGGCAAATCCATCTTCGGCAAAGAAACAAGTACCAATTGGCTCGATCACCTCGAAGCGGGAGAAGAAATATTTATAGTTAGGCGCACACATCTAAAAATGGATAATAATAATTTCGGTTACCTACCATGATCTTATCGTGTTTCTTGTTTGAGCGGACGGTGGCGCCAAACCGCTGGTAGGCTTTATTTTCAATTTCCGCCATGTGTGATCCATTCAGGCGGCGTTCGTTTCCTTCTGAATTATTGTTTGGACCTTATTTGGCAGCTTTCTTCGGAAACGAACTGGGGATCGGTTCACGGTATTTGCGAATTTACACTTTGCACGCTACCAAATTTGATTCTTAGGGGGACGCTTCTTGCTTTGGGGTTGCAAGTCTCGATTCGTTTAAGCGCGTTGCATGTCTTAACTGGAAGGGGGAAGAGTAACCCCAGCGTGAAATTCAATTTGGTACGAACGCCTGATTGGGCTGCCGGTCTATAAGGTGGCGCCACTTTCCTATCATAGCGCAGCTAAATATATTAACCGACATCCGGTTCATGAATCTTTTTATGGTTGTTTTAGAATATTAGTGAAATGAGGTCCCACGGTGTGGCCATTTTCGCTACCGCCGTTGTGAAAAGACACTTCAGGGTCATCCAGTAACATCGATCAACCCGAATTGCCTATTTTGGACGGACACACATTAGGGTCCTGGGTTGGAGCACTATTTTAAGGCACCCCGGGGACCGGCTCCTGCCAGCCAATTGACTCTCATTATGCGACGAACCCGGACGATGAGCAATTAAGCAACCGATCCTTTGCCATATGCCTACCCCCCTCATCCTCATCAATCCCAGTAACCCACGTTTCTTGTCGATGTGCAATTCTTGACATCCCGGCCGGTTGACTGAGCAAGAATAAACCGTTCCTGGGTCACGAATTCCGCGCAGCGCCGGGTTACCGGACGCCGCTTCCGGTGCACCAACCACGAGTCTAAAAACAATCTAATAATACGCTCGTGTCACTTTAAAGTGCTTTTTTCAAAATTTCGGAAAAACGTACACTGGTGTATTCTTCTGCTCGTAATAAAAATCTAGTGAATAACCAAAGCGACCGGTTGCGGCATTTTGATGGATGACGGCGTTCTCAAAAAATTCAATTTCTGAAAAATTTTGGGGGATACCTTGGTGTCGACATTAAAGGCATGTGTGACCGTGAATAGGGTCAGTAACACTGCCCAGCCGAGTGAGGCCCGCATCGAGCCCGACGCAGGTGGAGCTGAAACAAAGTATGATGAAGCAAAAGGCAGATGCTCAGGGCACCGTCAAGTACGCAAAGTATGGAAAGAAGTAGTTAATTTCGAAAAAGCTTCCCGGGCGCTGCTGGCCCAGCCCTTTAAGAGACAGCCAAAGCAGCGAATGATGGGGCCAAAGGGGGGAAGGGAATATAAACGACCCAAATGCTAATTTCATTCGCCGCTTCCGGGCAGTGTCATTTATCAGCCACCCTCTGAATCGGTACCACGGGACCAACATCTTTCCATCCCTGACTCACCAAAAAATTCTTCAGTCGACGAATAGTATTGCACGAACAGGCCTAATATTTTGCATGATTCGCCGGTTGAGACGCTCGATAAACTGACTCAGGATGGTGCCGCCGCACATGACTAACCGAGTTTTTCTCCGAAAATCGAAGCCTTTTTGCCTTCCCCGCTAACCGGGACATGTTTTTTTTTGGTGAGACTAGCAGAGCACTTCTTCGGACGCGCATTTGTAACAACATTTGCGCAAGAATGCTTTATCGACCTTCACCGAACGAAATAATAAACCGAAAATGCTGAAGGTTCAGGAGAAATTGAATGCTATCAAGGGCGTCTTATTGAAACTTTGGTTATTCCATAAATAGTGTTGAAGAATATTGGATCCCCAGGAGCGCCGGATTTAGTTTGGGTGCCACTAGTGGCCAAGCCCCGAGAAGAAAGATCGGGAGGGAGAATGGAGGCGGGACGAGGGCAAGGCAGCCAGCCATAAAACACGCATTGAGCCGAAAGGGGAGCCCGGATCTTGCTAATCCATGCAAATATGATAGAGCTAACGTCGCGGGGATGGGGATGAAAGAGTTCGAAAAGGAAGCGTGAAAAGGCGAGAAGCCCCATGAGAGGGCCCAAGCGGCTGTGTACAAATAGTCGATCGATGCTGCTCATCGGGGGCGGTGGTGCTCAACCAAGGGAGGGCCCTTTGGGGATCTTGGACCATCCGTTGTAATCCTCTACTCCGTCTGCTACTCCCTTCTCCTCCTCCTCCTCCTGCCCATTGGGGAGGTGGGCCGCACCCGAAGAAAAGGTCTGCACCGCTGTTTTTAACGGTGACAAATCGAAGTGAAAATTGCGAAAGATGTCAGTTGAAATATACGGCTAGCCTTCTATGGGTCATCCGCACTTTCGCTAGCCATTTAGCCACCATCCCTTCACAATATAAATTTCATACGAATGCATTATTCGCTTTCAAAATTTCTAGGAAAATTTTCCTTAGTCAGCTAGACAATGAAATTAAGGAATTCACCCAAATAGCTGAATGCTTGCCATACTGAGTCTCCCCTATCATTTTAAAATTTCTAGTTAGTGACCGGGGAACAACAGCACGTATATGGGGTAGGGGAGCAGCTGTTGCCCTTTTTGTCCGGGTCGCCCCGGGAGGACCCGTTGGCCAGAAAGAGGGGGGCTAAGGAAATGCTGACCACTCCCATTTCGGGCTCGATCTCATAGCAGATTCATGGCCAAGGCCAAGACCACCCTTGTCTTCTAGCCCCTAGCTATCATTCTACTAGTGCCCAAGAAAAAAAGGGCTGTGAAGAGCTTGCGGCGATAATGCAAGCTGCGCATAAAGCGTGATACAATCCCCTTAGAAACCAAAAAAACGTTGACATTCCGAAACCGAATTGCATGATTCAGTAAATTAATTGCTCTCCAGCGTAGTGAAATAATATTATTGTACTCGAGCACGTGGTCAACTGTATTCAAATCATAATTTTATGTCATCGTAAAATAATGCATTTTTTTACTTGATTCTCAAAATCAGGAGACATATGGAAATAGGAGTTATCGGGGGAATCCATTGCTGGAGAACGGTGAGGGGCGCCCGTAGGGCCGAGTTGTTTGAAATAGGCGATTATTTGCGGAAATGGAGCGGTGCGGAGGCCCCCCTTCCTTCAATCCTTTCAAGAGGCCCGCCTTCAAAACGCACTACTCACCGACCCTCCATAATCCTCCACCCTCTTTTTGCGCCTAGCAATTAACGTACACACCCGCAAGTGTAGCCTATCCAAAAATTCAACGAGTACTTATACCGTATTTCCTGTAATATGACCCTAATTTTACTCGTTGGTAGGCGGGGGACTGTATTAGAGGGGCGCTTATATTTTTGATTGAGTGAAATCGCGAGATTCGGGGGATAAAATGGCCGGGTTGCGACCAAATAAACAATTTTTTCGCTATAGTCAGCTTACAATCACTGAAAACCACAGTGCCAAGTATAAACTGCACATTTTTTTGCGTTTTTTTTGGCTCGTGAATCCCTCTTTGAAAATACGGTACCTACATAAGAATTGACCCTGGAAAAAAGTTGGCGAGCAATAAGTAACAAATACAGGAATTCTGAGGCAACGCCCAAATTCTAAACCGAAATAACTAACTGAGAACGGCTTGAGGATCGATGAAACGTGAAAAAACGCCGTTTCGGGCTGCCCACACCCCGGCGAGATCCCTTGGGGGACCACATGTTTGTTCTCCACACGACTCTACCAAATATCCTCCAGGGCGCAATGGCTCCCTCACTCCCCAATTTTTACCTACCCCCCATCCAGTACCACCAATGACAATTGTGAAATTGGATCCAGCCTAGCCTTAGGGCAATGAGGGTTGAGTCAAGGCTAACATTCTGTGTTGTGGGATTACACCATCAAGTCCTAGAAAAGATTTAGGGCATTTTGGTTCGGTATTCAATTCAATTGTTTTATAGCTTGACAATAATCTTCATTAGCAAGCATTTAGGATATCATGTTTCAGGGGTAAAAAAAGTTTGCGTATTTCCTGAAGTTGCAATTTTCCCAATTTTGCAAAATAAAAGATCACAGAATCACAGAGGGAGCTCGTAGATTCAAGATTCAAAAGCCGTAAAGATGGGCAGCTAGAGACGAGGGTGAAGGTGCTGGTTCTTCGGTGGTCGATTCTCGGTATATGGGAGCGCCAATCAGGGCATAAAAGCCAGCTGACTCTCTCGAATTGCCCCATTTTTGCCCAATGCACCCTGCGCGATCAGGGGGAAAACTGCTAGCAAGAGCTCCCCGGCACTAGCTAATCCGATAGACGCGTTACGCTTTTCATTAAGGGTCGGGAATCCTTTGCATAAAACACTAGGCGCGGACTGCTGTTTAACACCCGGGAACAAATTATCGGAATGTTGGTGGCAGCGATTGCTAGGCCGTAAGCAATTGTCTGTACTAACAATTGCCCCCCCCCCCGCCCCGAATAGCGTGTATGACCTTGTCCATGTTGCGAAATGTTTTGCCAATGTCTGTCTGCTCTTCACATTGACATCGTGCCCAAGGCTACAACAACTGCAATAAAAACCGTTGCTGTAGCAACATACATGAAATAAAATTTATCAAATAGAATCTACCACGATCGATTATCGCATAGAGCATACGACAACTGGGCGTGAAAGGGAACTCGGACAAATGCGAAATTGCACATGTGAAATTATTGCTGGGCATTGCCAAAATATATCATAGAACGCTGCATTAAAGATGTGAGAATCGGAAAGCTACGAGGCCGAAGTATTAGAATACAAAACATTATAGGCACCGGTGTGAGGGGTAAAATGCCGATTTTAGCGGTGACCGGATTCATGGACGGAGGCTAAAGTTTTGTAGCAATCGAACGACGACGAGAAAGGATGCACAATAGCCCGCTGATCAGGAAGATTAGGACATTGCCCACGGAAACCGCGACGATCAATCGCATATCGATCGGTCTGGCCTATAAAAGAAATCCATCTCCCTATTAAACAATGTTGTTACAAAAAATTATGCCCCCACCACCTCTAGCGGCCCGGATCGTAATGCTTTCTCTTATGGAAAGCAACGGGTCTCCTTTTTTAAATTATTTAGCATTCTTTTGATATCGAGCGTTTTCCAAACCAGTTTTTCTACATAAAAACGACAACCATCCTGCGCGCATTGGGCCCTTGGGTTATAAAAACCATATTGACAGGTCTAGCTGCAGAAAAGGTTCTAACTGCTTGGTTGTTTCTCGCCACCTTAAGAACTTTTGAAGGATAACTAGGCAGTGAAAGTCCAAAGACCCATTCAAAGACCACTAGAAGATGTACTTTTAAGGAAGCCTGTATATTTACTAATTTGGAAATCTTTAGAAGTCTCGTCGAACCATCCGATTTGCATAACAGCAAAAACTAAGAAACAAACAAATGGTAGTATCTAAATTAGAGAATCATGGCCCTCATTCATCTCATTGTTTGGCAAAAAATGGAGCTTTGTTCAAGCAAATACCAGAGTCATGCAGTTCGGAAGCTCCTCCAAGATCGTGACCGCTTCAGTAAAGACGTCAAGGGTACCAACGCCATTGTCTCTTCGTTTTCTAAACCCAAAATTGTTATAGTATGATGTAGAGTTACAGATAATTGCTTTCAACACCGCTCTCCAAAGAACAATCTTACAGAGCTAACATGAACTCACTCAGTTGAAATTTTCAAAATCTCACTACAATGGCAGCACGATGAATTATCTTCTAAGTAACCCCTTCATAACATCTATTATAATAACTATACATCCACTGATAGTTTATATTCATAATAAAATATCGTTTCATAAGTCTAAACCAACCTTCGGACCGAGTGCATATGAGCATGCGCATGATTGTGTAGATGCGCCGTTAAATTCGGACATCCAACGGGGGGAGTGACACCATCACATCCACCACCATATTTAATGCACAATGTTATCTATTCAGTTGTTTTTTTGTAGCTTACCATTTAGTACCTGGCATTGAAACTGGAGGACAGGCCGATCGGCATATTTGAACACATGATATGGCCTGGTTGCCAGTCTCAACGAGCTGTCATAATCCGGGGTCTCCAATATAATCGCGTCGAGTCCGCACCTATCAAACTCCAAAATCGATCGCAAGAACTTTTTACTACCCATTCTCCGTAAGCACATCCACTTTATCGCCATAACCGTTGTCGACATAGCAGGAATGAACCAGCATCCCAAACGTATCTTTCTCTTCGACTTCAAGGCATTCCCAGCTGAAATTGATGGTTCGTTAAAATACGTTAAAGGTTTTTGTCGATTCAAAGCCGATTACCGATGAAAAACCGAGTCTCCAAGGCTAGCGTATCGAACAATCGGTCCGTCCGGGGCTCCTTTCCGCAGAGTATAGGTACAAACCGGCATCTGGTATACTTTTTCCCGGAATTGTGTCGTTAACATGCTGCAACTTTCCATTGAATCTCGGCTAATATATTTCTACCTAACAGACAGCGGAACGTTGACCGTTTTCTCGGATTCCATATAGAAACATTGGATTTTCACCATTTGATCCACCTTTGTCATAAACCTAAAGCCTACTATGCTGGATAGTAAATATACCCACATGCTATGAAACATAAAAACGACTGTCATTTCGACGAAAATGCCTCGTGGATTTAACTGAAAAATTTCGCTACTTAAAAATCCGTGAAACACTGACCGAACGGTACCGATGCACGTTACAAGAAGAAAATGGTACGGTAATCCCAATTGATCGCGGATCCATAAATTTCTCAGGGCCAGCTCTACAGTCTTCCTAAAGATCGCTTTCTTGAAACCGGCATTTTGATGGTACTTCGTGAAAATGATCCATCACAAATACATATCCGTCAAAAGGTTTTTTCGTCGAGGCACGCACGCCAATTCGATCTGGCCCACAAATAATATCCGGCGTTCCCGGTCCTAAATACACCTGTTCTGTGGTCGAGTTGTATATACGGAATTCTGTTTTGCACATATCCCAGGTCAGGGCATCAGCTAACGTCTTGTCCAGCTGTTCAAAAGATTCGACAGTGAAAACACGTTGTGGATTTCCGGCCATCTGAAGGAATGCCAAACAATTGAGGGTAAGATAACCTGATGCAATTGATGGACGTTGACAAGATTGGTCACCCCGACGGCGTAAACTAGCACGTGAGCATCACGAAGCAATTGAGAAGGCGATGCCACATCATCCTTTCGAATGCTTGATTATATCCTTTCCAATTCAACGCGTACCTGACTTTGCCCATCTGTAACTACGACTGCCACCTTCGGAACGCTGCCACCGCGTGCGCCTAAAAACAGACCATATAGCTCGAAATGATTGGCGACTGGATTATTGCATGTAAACAAACTTGCCATCAAATCCTTTTGATAAGGCGAATTTTAACGCTTGTCCTGTGTTGGTTGCCCCAGAAAGAAACGGTATCCGTTGGATCGCCCATTCAAGCTATAAGGACGTTTTCTAGCAAAGATATCCGTTGCCTGTGTCGGGTGTGAATATTGCGATAATGAGAATTCCAGTCTGGGGCTTTCAGCAAATTGGATGACTCCCATCCGACTTCCTACAACCAGGTTTACAAAAGCTTTAAAGAGAATTGATACCGGCTTCCGAGATATTTAGGCGTTGAGCAAGATGCATGGCAAACGCCACCTGATCCAGGCAATCATTGAATATTTTAACGAGATCACCTGGTTTTGGAAAGTCTCGTCCCCAACTGATCCAGATCCATCGAGAATCAGAAGTAGATCAACCGATTTGCTCTAGATCATGCATAATCATATCATAGTTTTTGATTGCCTGTGTGCAGCTGGTAATGAGTTGAGAGTCGACCAGTCCGTTATCTATCGGGTTACCGTAGATGCTAAGTGAATTCCACGTTAACTAAAAATATATTGAAGAGAATGATGCAAAGCTGGAGATGAGAACTTACAATTATCAACGTATTGATGAAAGAAGCGCCTCTGAGGAACATCTCATTATCTAAGATGGGGGGATATTGGATGAACAAGGGATGTCATAAAAAGAAAGGGGAGAGCGAACGAGAGCTCAGAGGAGTTAGGGGCGAACGGGTCGGAAAACATAAAGTGATTGGGTCAACGACGGGGGGATGAATGAGGCGGATCGTAGCGCGATAGGAATGGCGAAACGGCTGACTAGTGGGATTGTGTTCGGCAGCCACCATAACAACAAACTAAATTGCGTGTTTCGCCAAATCACCTTTCAATCAAAATATTAAATTCAGCATTAAACCTTGTATAGTGATACATGCCGTCAAACAAATATTAGCTATGCTTTAGTATCGGAAACCCGGTTTCGCAGCCCTTCTAAGGGAAAAATTAAGCTTTGCCGGGATACAAGAATAGTATGTGTTTTGGGAAATCAAGTAGTGAGTCGGACTCAACAGCTCAGCATGCATGCGCCGCATAATTGGTGTCTGCTGATCGATCGCCTGGGGTGTGATAGGAAAGGGATCGTGTTCCATAATCGGTCGTTCCTCCCCTTTGCCTTCTTCTTCTTCTTCTCCTGTGTTCATTTGATGGGTGAAGATGAGAAGGAGGAGGTGGACAAACTGGTCTCCCCCTATCCGCCCCTAGGCTTCGATGAGCCCCATCAGGGGGCAGCCCATCAAGCCATCAAACACGACGCCCAGAACTTGTTAGCCATAGCCCACACCGCCTTCTCCATCCACAGCAATGAAACGGACAGCTCGCGACATCTTCACATCCACCACCCTCAGTGCCTTTGATTGAATTCAAATTGAAACAGCTCGACTGGTTCACCGCATCGAAAACGCCTTTCAGAGGCAGTTGTCGATGGACACAGCGTTCAACTCTAAAAGAAAAAACTAGCTAATTGGCCATTACATGGAATAAGAAGCCTTGCGGATGAAGCCAGTATCTGTGTCTGAGTGCGTTTGAATGCGCTTAGAGCACCTAGAGCGTCAGGGGAACGCTTTTGAGGTATGTATTTATGATACGCCAATAGGTGCGTAATGGCCCGGAGATGAATGCACACGAGAGATTTATGAAAATTTGGATGCGACGGAAGTATGGAGACCTCATATAAAACGCCGAGGGTGATTCTTTTCATAGATCTTTTGGTATGGGAATTCGGGAGAAACTATGCAAATTCAAGGATACCATGCGTACTAAAGACCAACATCTGCCGTGGAATTAATTTCGTGTCGTTTACCAGGTGCCCTTACAATTGTATATCTCGCGGTTTAAGTCAGATCGGCCCGAGTTAGAAGATATGCCATGTCTGCGAACCCCGCTCTCTCCAAAAACGGGTGCTTATCTCAAAAAAAGCGGACCGATGCCTTAACAAAGATACGCCTTCCCAACCTCTCACAGCCCTCCGAATATATCTCCTTGTTGTAGCGCTTTTCTTAATAATGCCATAATGCTCATCGCTGCATCCATTTTCCGCTTCACTCCTCCGGTTAATCGAAATATTATCGACCGGATCAAATCGAATAAAAGGGTGCCGAAAAAAACAAACTTACTGATAAACCACATTCCTTAATATGATAACCCTTGGGGGATAGCTTTTGTGCAACCACTGTTATTTGTTTAGGTTATCATACTTCACACGCGGGTCTCCATTAATTGGGGGTCAGTCGTTGATTCAAAGTGGCTATGTCAACGGGCACCACCTCATCAATTCGAACTCTACACGAACCTTGTCCAGAAGATCATCCTGTTCATCTTCAAGATGTTTCTTTGCTAGATCGAGTCACCCGTGAAACGGTCCCATTCTTCGACATGCCGCATCGATCTGTGGGTCATCTGCCTCCATACAATTCATTCCTTTGACCTATATATTCAAACTTTTGATGTCGTTTAGTGCGCGTTTGACGATCGAGCGCCAATTTAGACAGTGTATCCCAAACAACATTGGTCATTCTAGCCCATTTCAGGTTTCGAATATTACAATAGTCCCGCAAATGGAAGTGGCGTGGCATGAACTGTCAGCTGAGGTACGTAACCCAGTAAATTTGATAATATTAGTTGCCTTAGATTGGGAATTCCAGCAAAGCAGCGGAAGAAGGATATTCACAAAAGATTCTCGATAATGGTAGGCTCTATACGACAGCGGCATCATTTCTATTTGTTTCAGTTTATGGTGTTGCGCGGCCCGGTGAAATAATGGCAATTTTGGGAAGCAGTGGATCGGGTAAAACGACTCTTCTCAATGCCCTTTCCCAAACAAACACAAAACCATTGGCGCTCAGGGGACAGATTAAGGTTTGAACGTTTATGGGATTAATAAAATTTCATGCTTCAGGTCAACAATCTCCCTGTAGACTCTGATTATATGCGAAAAATCAGCGCTTATATCCAGCAGGATGACCTATTTATTGGTTCACTTACGGTGCGCGAGCACTTATCCTTCGTGGTAAGTTACTTTTTTGGATTGCTGCATCAATGATTTCAGGCCAGGTTGCGGATGGGCAAAAAACATTCTGTCAATGCACAGGATAAACGCGTGCGGACTGTGATCAGAGAAGTAAGTTAGAATGCATATATTTTGGCATCATAATGTTTAGCTCGGATTGGATCCAGTGGCTGACCAAATCATCGGAACCCGAACGAAAAAGGGTCTATCCGGCGGAGAAAAAAAACGACTTGCATTTGCACAAGAAGTATAAATGGGGGATTTTTTTCGTAATATTTCGGATTTAGATTTTGACAAGCCCTCCTATATTGTTTTGTGACGAGCCGACGTCAGGTTTGGACTCGTTTCTCGCACAGCAAGTCTTGAAGGTAATTCAATTAAGCTAAAGAAACAACAGTCCTAATGTTAGGTTCTAAAAGATTTGGCTCAATTGAAAGGAATGACCATCATCATTACCATCCATCAACCGAGCAGTCAAGCCTTTGCACTCTTCGACCGGTTTGTCAAATCAATATATTTCACGGTGTTCCTAGAATTTATGCTTTGGTCGAGGGAAAAGTAGCATTCTGTGGAACGCAAGCTGAAGCTATTGACGCGTGGATAAGGTATCTCGATCATCACTGGTCCAGCTAATTTATTTACAGATTTGGTCGACCCGTGCCCAAAAATTTTAATCCAGCCGACCATATCATACGGACGCTTGCTATTGTGCCGGAGAATGATGAGATGGCTCAACGGGAAGCAGTCAATGTAGCTGCAACTTTTAACAATTCATTGACTTAAATTTAGGAAATGTGCGAAAAATTCGCTGAGAGTCCGCTGGGTAAGCAACTGTTATTGGCCGCAAGTGGCGGTGAAGATGATAAGGTATAAATAAACAATCAACGAATTATGGTGATTTTCGTCTAGGATTCTCCACTAGAGAAGATCCAAAGAAGGAAACGAGAGCGTCGAGCTTTGGGAAAATATGAAAGCAGGTAGACTGCAATTAGGGACTACAAAATTCTTGCAGTTACTTTCAACAGCTTCTTATGCTATGTTGGCGGCATATAGCTACAAGCTTTCGGGAACCAACGCTGATCCGAGTACAACTTATGCATTCCATTGTAAGTAGCCTATAGATGAAGCAAAGCATCAGAAACTTTGATACTCTAAAATTAGAGACAGAAGCAATGTGATTAAGCATTTATGCTAGCCTTTAGGTCATCGCAATTCTTACCGGACTCGTCTTTGTTGGAACGCCACTCATTCAATCTACAGTATTGACCATCAACGGTGCCCTATTTCAGTGCATCACAAACATGAGCTTCATGTTTCAATTCAGTGCCGTTCACGTAAGACCTTTTTTTAACCTAGCATAATAATGGTCAATCAAAACCATAATAGATGCTTCTTTTTCAGCACTTCCAATCAGAAATCCCAGTTTTCTTTCGTGAGCAACGCAATTACCTCTATCGAACGAGCCCATACTTTTTGGCGAAAAATTTGGTTGAGGTGATCTTAGTGTTGTGGCCGTGAGCAACACGTTTTAGTTACCGATTTTCCTGCTACTCTCAACCGTGTTTTGCTCGATTCTATACTGGATGTCTCCATTGGTCATTAAATTCGATGCCTTCTTGGTGTATTGCTTGGTAGCTGCCTTGGTACAACAGTCGGCGATTTCGATTGGTAAACACGCAAACTAATCGCAAGCTTGCTATTTTAGGCTATTTTTTCTCATGTGCTGTCCCAAAGCTGCCGGTAGCAATGGCACTGATGCCAATCTTTGTCGTGCCGATGATGGCGTTTGCCGGATTTTATATAAATCAGGTATTAGCGTGAAAAGTTGCCGCAACAGCTTCTAGGAATCGCTTCCTATCTACTTTTACCCACTCAAGTATTTTTCCTGGTTTAATTACGGGTTTGAAGCGATGGCTGTCAATCAATGGTCCAGAATCGACGAAATTCCTGGTAAGTATTTTTAGTAAGGTTTGGGTGAGGTGTGGCAAAACTCTTGCTCATGCCAGGGTGATTTCAACCTCTAACCATCCTTTCTATATACTGACATGTATAGGTTGCGTGTCTACCAAATGCCGCTACCCGGATGGCGCTGCTGTGCTGAAATCAATGTCGTTTGTTGAATCCAATCTTTGGCGGGATGTCATCCTCTTGGTCGCTTTAATATGTGCCATTCGATTTTTTGCATTTATTGCCCTTTACATTCGTGTTCGTCGCAACAAATAATCTCCGTGCATAAATTCGCATCATAGGCCATTTAACGATTACATTCATTGTAAGAGGTCTCCTTACAAATTATAGCAAATGTGGTATATCTTTTGGCAAGCTCATACAAGACAAGGTAAATTATGCAGATAGAAGATGCGATAAACCATTGGAGCGACAATTCTTTACTATAAAGTCTCGATGAATACGTAAGTGAGTTATTTAATAGTGGCTGTCATATTCACGAGAAAACTATGATATGATTGGGTCGGAATATGGGGGATACTATGGGATTGTACGGAAAAAAAAGATCAAGTATACCCGTTTAGCTGAGCAATCGCATATGAAAAAGCCTATAAATGAGATCTAGTTAGAGTTTTCGAGATCAGTATATCCCATAGTGTTCTTCGAATCGGCCTCAGCAACACATATGCAAGAAAGGAGGGTAGAACTCATTCGGCGCACAACTCTGAAATGAACCCGGGTTTCGGTTACAGGCGCTTATGTTCTACCTATATCCATGCATCGTTATCCGTTGAAATTTCGAAGGAGTATGTATTTTCCTGGGAAGTAACACGGTCTCTGCTGGTCGATGCGATAAGCGGCTCTCGTTGGTTGGTTGAGGCGTATATTCGTTGAAAATAGGCCCGGGAAACACACCGGATGTCTAAATTTATTCTTGTTCTATTATAATAATTGAGAGAAGGTTTGCTTATGCACTAACTAATGCTTGATCGATTGTATTTTGTTGGTTGAAGAACTTACCGCTTTCTTTTCCTCGATCACTTTGGCTAGACGGAGAATTTCTTGGATGTCGACAAACTCCACAGAAGCCCTTTTGGGTCGAGCAGGGGGAAAAGAACAAGGTTGATCTTTTCTCCCATTTTTGCTCATCCGGGGCGGTAAGGCAGGCAGCTTCTCGCTAAACAAAGTTATTTTTCGTTGAACGCTTTTGTTTTCCAAAAGTTACAGATATTCTTTAATGTGGACATGATATATGATCCAATTCAAATTTTTAAATGACTCTTACCATTCTGGAGAGGGGAGCGTGCACATCAATAATGGGGAGAAAAGGCTAAGTCACTCCACAAGCTCGTATTTTTGCAGTGTCTATAAAATCGATCGATAATTGAGGCATATGTTTTTAAGGGAAATGCAGGAATTCATGTGTTGAATGGGGAGAAAGCGATGAATGATAATGGCATAAGTGGAAAGGGCGGACAGCTTGTGGAGGGGGGGAGGAACCGGAAAGACGAGAGGATAAACATTCATACGTACTAGAAAAAGTCTTCATACGTTTCCAACACTCTGAAACTCCACAACCAAGCCTTCCAAAGACAATATTATAAAATTAGCGATTATTTTATCGTAAGCATTTTCGGATACAGTTGGTAAATTCCAAGAAATGTTGACGGCAGTATAAGAAAGGTGCCCCTTCCGAGAGTCTATTTGAGAAAGACGTAATCTGGTCAATAAACCTTATGAAGGGGCAAAGGAGGGCCTGATATCTGAAGCCAATGGAGCCCCCCCCCCTCTCCGGAAGTGAATCAGCAGCAGCCTAGAGGTGTGGGGGTGGAGGGTACAGACAAAGAATGAAAGAATGTGATCCAAGCTGGAATATTAAAAAATAAAATATCTATAAACTAAAGTTTTTATTCAATGCGAGGGTATGTACCGAGGACTATCTGAGCCATAATCTAGTGTCACGATATTGAATGTCCGAAGACTGGAATGATATCAATGGCCAACGGTCTCGCATAAAATTTCACAATATATACAGGGTGTCCCATAAAAAAGCACCCCTCTCGCATTTCGCCATATTCCGCCCGATCAGTCCGAAAATTGGACCAGGAGTGTATTAGACCCTAAATAACCACAATCCTGACTTATAGCCCGCCAGCTACAGTAATATTCGAGATACAGCAAAAATAAACTTTATTTTCAATTTTTCATAGGGTTCCCGTGGAATTAGACCCCCTAAACATTAAGTGAAAAAGATTCGGTAGGTCTTCATTACCTTAAGAAAATTTTTTCTGACTAAAATTAATCAAATAAACATCGATTTCAGCGATTTTTACAACGCAAAATTACCAAAGTTCTTAAGCGAAATTAGGGATTCACAGCCGGAAGTCGATGCAAATCGATGCAAAGTCCAAAAAGATAGCCGAAAAAACTGTTTAGAATTGCGTAAAAAATAGTATTTTGGCGATAACTCGAAAACTACGGTCGCGATCGGTCTATAACTCAGGATTGTGGTTATTTATGGTCCGATACGCCCTTGTGCAAAGTATGGGACCGGCCGGATGTAATACGGCGAAATGCCAGAGGGGTGCTTTTTTTTGGGACACCCTGTATATGTTAACTACATAAGAAAAACAGCATAGCTATTCATGAATAAAAGCGTAATTAGCAACAGTGTTAAACCCAGAGAACTAAGAAGAAATACTAAGCGTGCAATAACGCATGGAAAATACGGCTATAAAAAGGGTTTTAGAGGCGTTGGACTATCTTGAATATATTTCCTTCCGGTACCCGATAAGGCTTTCTATTTGCGGGTCACGAGCGAGGGCGGTGATGTCGAAATCGATGGCGGTCGAAAGGCGCCTATTTGCGTTCGATTCAGACGTTTATTCGCTCGCTTTCCCCGATATTAGTTGTTTCGGGAAGCGGGGAGTGGGGGTACTTTAGTAAACAAGCTCACCCTATGACCGCAGAACGGAAATGAAAGTGCTTGGGGCGGAAGTGATGCTTTAGCGCGCGGTCTGGCAACCGATGCAATTGTTGACTAACCGAGAAAAATCAGACGCAAACGGCCGGTTCTTCACGAACACAAACAAAATACTTTTCATGAATCATTGTTCGCAGGACATGGATAGAGAAATGACGACGAGCTTGCTGAAGAAAATAACAAGATGACGCAGTCTATGCAAGACAAATGATGAGTTCGAATGCCAAAGATTTCGCTAATTTTCAGGGAGGTAGTATTTCGATACAGAGCGAAGGTAAGAAGAAGGGCAAGGGGGACATGTTTCTATTAAATTTACTTATTTTTATGACGTGTAACTCTGGGAGCGTTCAGGTGAATCACATAATCTTTCAGGTTGCAATTTTCTGCCACAATTTTTATCGTATCAATTTTTTGGGGAAAGTGAGTAGCACTTGGCTTGCGCGCCTTTGAACAGCAGGGCTTCAATTGTTACGCCTTCTTTGTGAGCCGCCGTTAGATAGACTCTGAAACATCATTTGCATAAGCATTTGTGATCGAAACTCTGACTGACCACTCGATTATTTCCTTGGCAATTATCCTCTTCCCATTCATGAATCATTGTCCTCAATTGACGTCTCAGTTCACATTCAGGGGATCTTTCACTCAATATATGTTCCTTCAGCGTATGTAGCAATTCTCTGAACCAAATTGAATCGGTTGCTTTTTTGTAGATCACCTTTCCTTTGCATGAAATTGAACTTTGTTCTTCCTCGACTCGGCAACCGAATAGTTGTTTCGCATACGATCAATTACAATTCTAAACAGGTTAAAAAGAAAGTCAATACTGGGACTAACTTTATTTTTTCCTCCTCGGGCTTGTCGGAAAAGCTTGGATCGCTTGCCTTATCTCGCTGGAAATTTGTAAATGAATGGAAGCGGAAGCAACGCTAATACCCAGATGCGATCATATTCCGTTTTCTGAGCCGGCGTTAACCTTTGAGGATCGATTGCATACACAGCGGGGCGGCCTCGGCGCTAAAAGATATATTTGGGAAGTTTAAGGATTTATACCCTGCGACCAGCCGGTTCAGCTATCTCAGGTCGAATTTGTTCATTATCAGTGCTATCATCAGCACTGTAGATGGGAGCGTTCGATGCATTTGCTGGATATGGAGCAAAGCATCCTCCCTCATCATAATATATCCTAAAAGGAGAGTTAGACACAAATACAGGAACCAAAAAACGGTGGTTGTCTCGTTAGTATACTTACATGTACTGATCGCCGTTACTCTGGCTCACGGGCGGAAATGGAACATCTAAAACTCCAGGGCTTTGTGCATTTGAACCTATTTACCGTTTCTTTGAACATACATGCCTCCTTCCATCTTATCGACATACAGTAAATGATCGTTACGATTTCCACCGTAACCGTAACTGGCCGGTTGTAGCTCATGAAAATTTGGTCCATCGGACGCCATGCCTGAATCATAAGGCTCTATAAATTACACCAAGTAATGTCATACCAGTTGTTGGGAATGGATGGTTTGCCCACAGGCTCGTGCCTAAATTTGCGTGTCGTTTTCGGAATTGGCCTACCGTCGATTTGGGCCATCGGAGGGTTCGGTAGTTGGTCAAAGGGAGTTGTACTAAAGCTTCGCTTGTTCAATATGTTTGATTTGGATATGCGCACCCACCACAAATTTAACTTAACCATGCTTGGATCCTACGAACTTAAGTTCAAATGGTCTCCTAAAGTTGCAAATTGTCCTCAATAATTAACGACAACCAGGGCCGCAAAATGATATCTTTTGAGATGTCTAATATGCCGGTGCTCGATTCCGGTCTCGACAATTGCCAAGAATAAGGCGGTTAGATGCAACTAAAATCTCCCTGGTGACTTACGTGGGGATGCCAGAACCATTTCCTTGCGCAGTATTGTTTGTCGACTGTAACCCATGCCCCTCGCTTGCTAAAACAACGGTCAAGATTGCTCTGCAACAATACCGTTAGCGCTCTCCTGGGTCAGTGTACTTTCGATATCAATTTGTTTGCCAGAGTAGTCGTTAATTAAAGCCAGCACTGAATTTGATAATTCAGGAACATATCCCATGTCGAGTACCTGGAATTTGTTATAATATCACAGGCAGAATTAGGGAGAAACCGGAGGCGGCGCAAAGTCGTCAGAATTCGTCGCCCAGTTGTCCATATTAATGCTTAGATCAAAATCTTTCTGGATAAAATGATTTCTCCAAACAGCTCATACCTCCACTGATTTCGCAGAAATTATTGCCTAACGACAGATTTTGTAGGTCTTCGCACGAAGCAGCAGATTCAGAGTAGCTGCTGGTGGAATAAACATCCTCATCACCATCACCTCGTCGGGACTTTGTTGAGCTGACTGATGACTGTAAAAACTCTTAAAACACAAAGAACAGATTGCATGCAAGGTATAAATGTTCCTTAACTTATCGTACTTCAAAACAATGCGCAGAAGGCCTAATGAACAGAACTTCAGGATTTGGGGTAACAATGTCCTACATTACTGGTCTTAACCTACATCACGACGAACTCGCCGCTTGACAGACCCGCGGCGGCTGTTGGCAGCTTGATTGTTTTCCATAAGAACGATTGCCCGAAGGTAGCTTCGTGGAACTGACGCCGCTTACAATTTTTTGGCTATTTGCTGACCGTCGTGACGCTTAGAAATCCTTGCGCAAGAAAAGTATGCTTCTACTCCCGGAATTTGCTGAGTGGGGGGAGAATGGCGGTAGCAAGTGGTGTGGGTGAGATGGAAAAAGCAAAGAACTCGGTTGCCATTTTCTCGGTCACCAATCAATGCTCTTATCGCGAACTGTCTTTGACAGCATCCCAGCACCAGGAATTTCCTCTTTCCGTGGGGCGCAAGAGTTTTGGGCAAGGGTGATCCGTGTACCCGTTTTTTTTTAGCAAAACAAATAAAAATTCTGGGTGCTCGAAACAACAACGTTTTAGGTTTGGGTCGGCGCTAGTGCTGACGGACAGAAATGACTCATTCGCGTCGATAACTCCAAGGGATATGCTAGATCGGGTGGTGTATTTATACTGGATAATTATCAATATCGTTGTCGCTAAAAGGTTGTTATTACTCTTCCATGGACTTTTCTCTCAAGAACTCCTTCCACGTCTAGACCAATTTTTCTTGTAAATATCCTATCGGCAAGTGTGTTCCTGTGTTTTATTTTTCGTTCTGTCCACCTTCGGTTGTCCTGTTCGGCAAGAGACATTTTATTGCGTCACCAAGCTTGGGCTGGCGGATGCTCAATCCGTGTATAGTTTGTGGCCGTAGGGACCAATTACGATGGGTCGAAAGTAAATTTCCCAGGCAATGAATAATGCCAAATTCCGCGAATAATGACAACAGCTTGGGCAAAAAACAACAAACAGGTAGGTGATGTCCAGGTAACTATTGTTATCGACATTTAGCTGTTAGCGAACGTCTTCGTGCCGTTACAGATTCAGGCATCGAGTATATTATGGAACGTGATGAGATTGATCCTCCACACCGGTATCCCGCATAAAATATCCTCAAAATCCGTTTCAAGAGCGCGCCTGTATCAACTGTTCAGTCTAATCGAAAAGGAATTCGACCAGATTTATGCGGAAAATTGCGAACGTAAATCGACCGGGACTTAATAAAAATATATGGTTTAGTACATGCAAAAATCGCTTTATTGACAGAAAAATATGGCGAAGCAGCTGTGCTAGCTTCAGTTCCGAATTCTGAAAGCGCTGTACAAGGTGGATTTGAGTTTGGTGCATCCAAAGGGTCAGCACGGAAAGGTGAGAAAACAATTCCTTATAGTTATGTGGCTTTTAGCCATGCAAATGGGACAAAAGCTCCGGACAGCTCTGCGTGGGCCACCGGGGCGTTTGGTTTTTAAAGTTGGTGCGGACGGGCGCAACTTCAGGTTTGGCGCTATAATTTTTGGATATAAGAAATTCATTATCATCTTTTCAACAGGATGACACAAAGATTCGCCGGGCATAAAGATGGCGTCTGGCACGTTACGGCAAATGATTCGGCTAAAATTGTAGCAAGCGCCGGGGCTGGTATTGTTGTTTGCTTTAAGAGAATAAGCATTTATTTCAGACCAAACGGCCAGGGTCTTTTCACTGGACTCCGGTCACGGTATTGCGACGTATGTGGGACATACGGGGTAGTCATTTTTGGATAATATAAGATGCTATATTTACACAACAGGTCTGTAAATTGTGTGTCGCTATGTCCCGTCGAGCAACAAGGTGACTCTTTGCTTTTCTGTTCGGCTAGCGGGGATGAGACGACCCATATCTGGCGATCACCAACTGTACAAGGTATACATGTTATTTTTAGCAATGTTTATTCATACAGAGGCTCGAAATTTGAACCCAGTCAGCAGCGAGGATGAAACAACGGAGGGCGCTGACGCTGAAGACGTTGAAAATCACGATCTTACAGAGGAGCCAGAATCAGAACAAAACATGGAAGGGATCAAAATCAAAAGCACTCAATTGAAGCTGACTGGTCATAAGGGACCTGTAATCGCATGCGAATGGCTGGCGGGAGGACAACAGGTATCCTGGAAGTCATATGATGAATGCCTATTCGTTGAGATCATTACTGCTAGTTGGGATCGAACAGCGAATATCTATGATACAGAACGTGGCGACATTATAAATGTCCTAACAGGTGAAAACATTGTTGGTTTCTGGCTGGCATGAGTTAAACAAGTATTTTAGGCCACGAGCAGGAATTAAATCATTGTTCAGCACATAATACGCAAAAATTAGTGGTGACGGCTAGCAAGGTATCAACAAAGGCTCGATGATCAGAGCTTTCCAGGACTATACCTTTCGACTTTGGGACTTCCGAGAGCCAATCCATAGTGTGGCTGTATTTCAGGGTCACAATGAGTAAGTTTTGGATGGTGCTCGACATACCTACAATTTCAGTTCGGTTACCTCAGTGGCTTTCTCCGCAAATGATCGACTTGTGTCTGGAAGTGACGACCGGACGGTCAAGGTGGGAATTAATTAAGCCCTCGGCTAAGGTTTACTTTACCCGCCATCCCCAGCTCGACCACTCCCAAAGATTTCGAAACCTTCACCATTTTTGGTGGTTCACCATTCACGTCATTCTAAGGAGTGTGGAAAACATACCAAGTGTTTTGATTTCAGCCGAAAATAATAGAGAATAAATAAGGGGTTTACAAAAAACAAGCCAAATACGGTTGACCTTTTTAGCGAAAATTTGATGTTAGTAATTTTAAGATTTTCGTTATGTTATTCGCGGCCGGTTACCAAGACCCTTATCAACAATTTGGTTAGAAAATTTGCATAGGTATGGGATCTACGAAATATGCGATGCGCCTTGACCACAATACGTTTATCATCGGCTGTCAATAGGCTGGCGATCAGCCAAAACCATGCTGGTAATTTTTTACCACAATTACCGCAACCGGAATAGTGATCGCGATCCCGCACGATAATCGACATGTACGTATCTATGATTTAAATGGCATTCGTGTGCCAAGGATTCCCAACCGACGGGTGAGCGACATAGCAACACCGGGAAAAAATATTTTAGTGCCATCATCGAATAGTGTCAGCCGTTGCTTGGGCGGACGATCATCCTACAAATAATCTAATCACATGCGGGTTTGATAGACAGGTGATTTAGGCAATCAATACCCTCTGACGCTTCTTTTAGGTGATTGGTTGGAAAGTGCCGATTGGACGTGAAGCCAAGGAGTAACTGTGGCTCACGACGATACTATGGAATTTGATCTCAAATAATTTATTTACTAATAAAGGATATCTTTCGGGCATATCAATTAACATGTACAGCAGACAAGGTTGAAAAGTTCGCCTGGTGGTCGTTCAATTACGACTGGCCGACAACATTCACAACTGGCTGCCCGTCGAAGCCATCCCTAAAATCGAAAAGGATTTCTTTGCGGCCTTACACAAAGAAGACTTAGTCAGTTGGCGGGTTTTTAGTAGTATTTACCGGTTTAGGACAGCATCTTTTCAATAAAGCTCGGAAACTCGGACACCCACAAGGGCAACACGTCAGCAGAAATGACAAGTCTAAAAAAGTTATGGAAAATCTCAATAGGCGAAACTAGCCCGCAAATGCCGGAAACGCTGGCAATGTGAATAACTGCTGACGTTGCTTGAATAGCGAAGGCTAAACAGAACATAAAGCGTTAGGGTCTTTTTTAGGCACCTACCCAGTTCCAAACAATTATCGCATAGGCGATCCCGACAAGAACTACGTAAATCAAGAGGAATGACAGCACTAGGATCGGTGCCAAAACCGAATCCTCTTCGAACATTTTGTTGAAATGGTTACGCGAGCCAATTCGGGTTGCGTGGATTCTGTCAATGGTTACTATGGTAACGATCGATGGATAAAAATCCGCAGTTCGCCCAGAACGATGTATATTGCGCTTGGTTTGACATGTCAATTTGTCAAGATCGGAAAGCTAAACAAAACCTGGTCGGACCCGCATAAAATTTCAAGAGCTGAAAAATTCTAGGCCAGCCTAGTTTCGATTAACCAGAAACAGCCATCGGTTGGTTAGCATTGTGAGATATAATTTTTGGCACACAACCCGAGCGAAAGTCTATTTTCAGAAAGGGCTGAAGTCTCAGGTGCCGGCAATTAACCAGGGGCAGTCGACCGCCAAAGGATACGGAAACGGTGTCAAATGGTCGGCAGGCGGGCCTAAGCCCAATAATTAGCTGTGATTACCTGAAAGCGGCAACAGCATGCACGATTCGCGGCCCAGCGGCCCCCTAAATTTTGGCCAAGCTAGCCTTGCCTTCACTAACGAGCCAAGCATCCCCATTTGGGCGTCTACAGCTCTTTCCTAAACTAGGTTTTGACTCACGTATTTATGCCTTACGCTGAAGGACTTTCGTGGCTCTATCGAAAGTGCGCGACTTGACCTGTGGCCAATGGTGCCCTCGCGAAGATGGATGACCCTTCGAAATTGGCACCGCTTTCCGAGCACCGTGCCCTCTCCCAACTAATCCTTTGTAATCAACCGCTCACCCAAACTTTTGCCTCAACCCGCTCCGCCTAAGGCATATATAGCAGCTCGAGTCTGCTGGAGGCCCACTTTTTTTATAATACTAGCGCCAAAGTAAAAATTCGTTGCGAACACAGCTCCCGATTCGGATATCTCGGCATAACGCGATATTTTCTTTGTGCGGCTGACGGCCGTGCTCCAATTCAGTTTGAAAAGGACATCCGGGTTGCCGCAAAAAGCGTCAGTAATTTCGCCAAGGCTTGTTCAAAAAGCGTTGGCTCCCGTACGCCCGTTCTATTCACGCCTCAAATTCCAGTCCTTGCAGATATTATCTTTGTGTCAGGCTCTTATGGGACCTACGGCCTGGGACTACCGTCTACGTTCCGGTCGAGACTTTCCGTAGACCGAGCAAATATACAGCTCAGGGGCCGGGAAGCCGCTTACCCAGCGCAATTTGGGCTGTTCACGGACCAGGCGATAGAGGGGCCCCCACTTTTTGAGCATACGATGTTTCATGCTGACCCATTTGACATTGACCAGGCAATGGGGCCTCTAGAGGGCCCCCTCGACCTTCCCGAATTGTTGCCAACCCCACAAGAGGATGCATTGTGTGTGTGGCGTCAAGTGGGTAGCTGAGCCAAAGCAAAGCCTCATTTTACTGCCCCCGCTATACCCGCTCATATCGAGGTCAGCGCGTAGGCACCGTTGAAGAGGAAACGAGATACAACGAGTTCGTTTCTTGGCTTTATCCTCACTCCCTGTTAGGATTTCTTTAAAGAGATTAGGAAGGAATTAGGAAAATAATCAGCACCAGGGTTGAAAAGCCGCTTCGCGGCTTTTCAACCCTCGCCCCGTCTTGAACAACATGCTGTTCTACTCTTTGCATAATTGCGCTGAATTCAGATAACAAAAAATGAAAATGATTCGCTTGTGAACCTTTATATAGGAGGCTCCCCACTTCCGGTCAATGCTACTTTTTCCTAGCAAAGAGGGTTTTACAAAAATTTAAATTTAATATTCGAAAATGGCTGATTTTTATAAACCTAATATGTGTGCAGTCATCCCTGGACCATTACGCACCTAATGACATATCGTACCCACCCCTAACTTCTCCCCTATGGAGATATTACTGGAACAACGATACGGAAGTGGATGCAAAGTGGCATAGACACACAGACACTATTTTTTATATATAATAGGATGAACAGTGATAACAAAACTGCAGCCGTTAATCGCTATGATATCTCCCTTGTAGAAGCCCTAGGCTCGTATTTTTCCGTTGTAACGCCATTCGCTTGGCGCCAGAGGTTATATGTTTCGAGGGTGAGCTGCTGAATTTATGGCTGAATTGGATCGCCGATTCTCAACTACCTTATGCTCAAATTTGGGACGGGATCCCTCATCGAGGCATGCGTTCGATGGGAGATGAGGGCCCCAAGTTCATCATTGTCGTTACCGGCTGTCGTCAATTGAAGCGGCCACTTGTGTGCATCCGGGATCCACTTGACCACCGAATCACCATCCCAATTATCGTCCCATCTACGATACCGCACGGCCCCGCGCCAAGCTTATCTCCTGTAATTCCGTATTCCGCAAAGGAGTATTTCCGGTCACCGATCAATTGGGAGGTCTATTAATTTTCAGATGTTGTTAATTATTGATTTATTGCAAACTTTATCTATGGGGTTCATTTAGTGGGAAACGGCAACAAGCTGAATACATTTTTAAGGTTATCACTTCAATTTGGAGGTTCTACTTATTTCCAGCTAGCGCTACCTTAATCGTAAGGCAAGACGTCTAAATGGTCAGGCAGGCGGGCCATGTTGAATCCATTTGGGATGATTATCATAGCTAGTAGCTCATCAAGTCCTCATGATTCAAGTACAAATACCATTTATCTCAGCTCTCATCCCTGATAATTTTGCATTTCGAATACGAACAGCCTAAAACGGTCGTTCGAAAGACTAGCTGATTGGGGGGATCCATGTGGGGATGGGGCCACGCTCCACTTGACTGGCCATGTCCCATCAAACCTCATTACTCGAGTAATTGCCCGCATCCGTCCCTTCTCCGTCACTCATCTCCCCAAATCTTCTGCCGACAGCTCTGAGACCCATCCTCAGCGCTTCCCACAGGCATTTATAACGAAGAAGCCTCTCACTGCATGACCCTTGTCTCGGCCCAGCTACGGTAGCTAATAACAGCTATCCTTCACCGGCCCCGATTTAATTTGGCCTTTTGCCCCTCGAAAGGTCGGATTTCGCATGGTTATTCTTACCCTATTAGTTTTATAATGGAACACCCTCGCGAAGAACTTTACAGCGACGGCAAAGTGCCGGAAAAGCATTGGCGATAATCCGCGCATCGAGGGTCTGCCAAGTATCAATTTCCCACTGGGTGGGCCCTAGCTTGGCCACGTGCAATTTGACTCCTAAGCAGTTGGGTGGGCCCAGCCGTCCTCCATTGCCGTCCTAAAAAGCGCGAATTCCGCTTTGCCCTTCCCTAAAACGCATCGCAGCCATCCGGCGGCTAGCATCGGGTTTTTCAAGCTAGGGGTGGCTGTTTTTTTGCGAGGGTCCAATCCGAGCGGAATGCGCATGCCGCATGCAACCATCAGCCATTCACCCGACGAAAAATTGACAGCCGCACCTGCTCGCGTTTAAAACAGTAATCTGTCGTTTCACTTGGCCCACTAGCTGTCTCATTTGGTGTGGGGTGGTGGCCGTTAATTGGCCGGAAGCCGACCGAATTTATGGGGTTAGGTGTAAAGGGGTATGGGATCGGCTGTCCCCTCTCGACCGCAAAACACACCTCCTCTCCACATCTGTCATCAATTTTACACCGCTTTTTCGGCACCTGCATGATTGGGTTTGTCGGGTCGGAAAGCCATGGATGTGGCAGATTTTGCCAATCCAAAAATTTCCCCGGCCATGCCTTCTTTTCACCAAAGCAAATCAGTTTGTTGAACTTTCTTTTTTTTCTCAGTGAATGTTTCTCTGATCCTCCATTTTCGCTTAATCAGAAAACCCGAACGGAAAATTGCCTGGAACATACCAACGGCTAGTTGCATTTTTCAATAGGGCAAAGGGTTCAGTTGATTGGACGACTAGGCTGGCCGGGCTCTCGAGACGAAATATTGGAGCGAAGGGCGGGGAGGGGGAGCCTACTTAAAACAGGCAACACGGGCCATGGCTCATTTGTATTGGTGTGGAGGGGGCCGGGAGTGCATTCATTTGCATGCCATCCTGGTTGCGCCATCCCTTCTCCCTTTTGGGCAAGCTCTAGATGCGATGCAACAAATCTTCCCGCATACTCTAGCCCTCAATTCGTGCCATAAGCAGATCTAATCAATTCTTCGCTAAATTCTTGAGATTATGAATTGAACGAAACGTAAAAACCCAAGACAAGTCTTAGTAGAACAATTGGGCATTACATTAACATTTCCTCGTTCCTTAAAATCAATCCTTTTGGTTCCAAGAATGATGGTCACAAAAATCTAAGCATTTACTGGCGCCGTCGACTCCATTCAGTCGACAAGTGCGTGTTTGTAGCAAAGTGTCTGCACGCTACACTTGGAGGGATCACGATGAGCCCGGCCAACCGCATTTCCGTTTCGAATTTGTGCAGAGCTCGTCGTAGGCCCCTAGGACCCATTTCTCCCCGGCTTATCTGTGATCCTTTCCTACTATTGAGGCTAAAACACTATAGCAGCTTTCATTTGACGCCCATAGTTAGCCAGATCGAGGCAAATATTTGCCGACGGCTTCTTTCCCCTTACTAGCTCGCCCATAGCGAACGGAAATCAAGCTAGCCCTCTTTTCTTCAGCGGTCTTTAGCCTTTTCCGTTTCGTCCTTTACACAGAGTGATGAATAATTCATATATGAAAATATACGATATGTTCATTGTCCTTTGTTGAGAGATGGCTGAGATGCACATTAGCTAGATTAGCCGCGTGCTGGGATTAGCATACTCACATACTTCACATCATGCCGAACATCCATTCCCGCCCTAGGCCACTACATGGGTGCGCAACAAAATATTTTTTGCTTCTTTCTACGTGGGGTTTCGGAGTGGCCCGGGGCTGACGGAAATCTAATGGATCTCTCGAAAGCCCTCTGCTGACCGGACCCGAATACAAAATGCAAACAGACTGATCGAGGGTCCGACAGTCAGTGTGGCTCCAACACTTCTTCCCGCTACCCATCTTCCCGACACCGCCTCTTTCTCTATTATTTGTTGGGCAACTACTGCGGATTTTTCTTGATTGAGAGTGCTTAGATTTCTATCAGCGATGTGAACATCCTTTTGTGATGCAGATAAGATGCTGGACACTGGAGCTTTTGCTCGCCACTACGGTATGGCCTTTTGCATCCGGTTACCACGTTTTTAGGTGGTTTCTCTATGCCCCGACACTCAACAATGTATTGATAGAATCCGTGAGCTCGCATCAGGTCCAAGAACATTCTGGTTTGGGGAGCACCGACGGGCGCTTTGCCATCATCGGTAAGTTTCGTCCATTAATATTATGTAGAGTTTATAGGCATGCCAATCCCGTTGAATGCTTTTCTCCACCACAATTAGCTTCTTTTCATTCATTGGGGAGTCGACTTTTTCGCGTTCGGACCTACCATTCCGAATACTTGCGAAACTTGGAGATATTTCCGCGGATAACCTACCGTGCGGCACCTGGTAAAGCCAACGTTCGTCTTCAGTTAGTAGCTTTTATTATAGGCGAGTACCGAGCCTGCGAACATGATTTCCGTATCCGCAATGCTTCCGTTATTGAAGCCGATCCGGACATGAATGCTGTCGCTCCGTTCTTGTAAGGACACTCCCATTCGCCTGCAATTCAAAATCTTAGAATTCGGAAACGCCCTGAAATTACATGGCATGGCTTGGACTTTGATGGAGATTTCGTGCTTTTAATGACTGATGTTGGATTTGGCACCTTAAATTATCTGGTCACCGACTTCCCTCGAAAACCAACGGTAAGTAAACTACTAGCGAGCCTCAAATCCTGCTTAGGTTCTGAAAGAATATGAGGGCTGTGATAATTTCCGCCCACAGCCGAATCCAATGGCGCTCGTCGTTTTTAGAAAACCAAAAAGGGTCTGTAATAAATTTGCTTGGGCTTATGGTATTTTTTTAGTCACTGCTGATGCCTAAAGCCGAAAACTTTAATCTTGGCGACTTCATGTTAGAAAACGAGCTTACCGATGGTACTGTTGGTTAGAGTAATTTAATTATGTTAATAGATTTGGTCGGTTTGTCCGTGGTAATTGTGGGAGCAGATCCGTACGCCATCGAACGTCAACGAATGCGAGGACTTGCCGACAATTGTCATTCATTGATTAAGAAAAGTGAGTTCATTTAGTTCTTTTAAAACAACGATAATTTCTAGAAGTAGTACGCTCTCCTCCATCCAAACTACTATCACGATTACCGATCGAAGAAGTCACTAGTTGGCTGAGTGTCGCTTATGAGCAAAAGCCTCTCGATGCAAGCGTATGCTGTCAAAGAGTTCATATTAGGTGTGGTATCATCACGAGCTTCTATTTGGCTCTTATGAATAAAACTTATAACGAAAGCTATCTACTAGCGTATTGAATTATATAGAGAAATTTAGCCACGAACTTGTGCATCTTGATCCTCTTGGCGACTCAATCGTTTCCGCCACGGCAACATTTCACCCGCCAAGAGTATCTTCCCTAAAGGTTTATTGAACCAAATATTTCACCCCTATGTTGTTTAGGTTTCGAATAACGCTTATTCAAATTATCATCGCAGCGCCCGGACCTTTGTTGGTAAGCCAACAACATATTGTAGTCCTCTAATGTGCACTTTAGCTCTGATGGATGAGTTATACACCGTTCTTCTACTTGATGCGCACACCGGTAAATTGCATTGGATGGTAGTGGATGTTTCGGCTGCCGATTTGACCGATGATGCTTCTACAAAAGGACATACTGTATGTCTCATTCGTAAATGATCATCTAGGGACGACCTAGCTAAGGGCTATAGGTTTATCTGATTTTAGCTGGCTTCATACATCCATCCGGCTCCAGCAGATCCGGCTCATTGTTGGCCATTTGCATTTTTGGTTCTCGCTCAACCCCGAACGCTCGCCCACAACATCAAATTGTTCTGCTCCTCAGATTGTGAGGAGAGGGACCGTTTCAAGTAATATAATTAGTGACCACCACACCTGATTTTTTTTAGTTTCGAAGAGTTTAAGCAGCTCAACGGACTGCGTCTCTTTGCATTTTCTTGGATGAATAGTTGCTACGACCTCTCTTTTGCTCATCATGTGAGTACCTCTTCCCCTTAACCCCTTATTCCGTTGTCAGGTATTATCGCAAATTGCCTCATCGATCTCAAACGAAACGCTCAACAACGAAAAGATCCGGTAAGAATACTACAATAAAAAATATTTTTGCTGCAGTCGTTCAACGATGACGAAGGCGCTCCAAGGAGAATCTAAGAAGATCTGCACAGCGTTTGGTGTTTCCAGTTCACAGAAATGTTCGGTGACTTCAAATTCCAGCACCGGGGCCGTTTCAATTCATGCAAAGATACTGTTGCTGGTTATTCTGCCTTTACTATCGCTTTTTAGATAAATATTTATCGGTTTTGAAAGTGGGCCGAGCACCCGTGGGGAATCGAGATCATAGAATGGCACGAAATATGCATACACGCGTTTTTGTTAATGAATCAAAGGGACGTGATTAATAATTATTGATTAGTAATAATTACAACTAATACAGTGTCGTTTTTTTTAAGAAATTTAGCATAATGACAAAAAGCGAATTATGCCTTTGGGGTCGGGCAACTTGATTGTGTCTCGGGGTATAGTCGGTTCATTCGCTGTTTGAACACTTGAAGAGCTCGCCAAAAGCTAAGAAAGCAAGTAATCTTATTCCACGTATGGTACTCACCGTTTTCCATTGATCCGTTGTACTTGCTTCGCGTAGTTTTGGGTAGCCGAGCCGGCCCTTTTAATACCGTGGTGATACATGAAATGTTCGGATATCAGGGCAAACTTGTATCCAGCTCGACAAAGCTCCCATCGCTAGATAAAATATGGGGCTATTATAATGGGTTTTCTTACCAAACAAGTGTTGTCGCGAATCTGATATGGGAACAATTCATCGTGCAACGGTATCGATGCTAACGACACAAACTGTGGTTCCCAGTTATAACGGTTATAGCTGAGAGGCGATTGGCAGTTAAAAACAGACTCGATACCTCATTTGTTTTTGTGAAATCCCGCCTAGCTGATTTTCTACCAGCCACTCATTCAGACCCGCGATAGCATGGGCTCCACTATAATATGCCGAGTGAAAAACTATTGCTTCCTGAATTGTGGGTTAGTATGTAATAAGTTTTCATTACACACTTTACCTTTCTATTAAGCATTTCACTCAAAACCGTGCGATTTTGTGGAGCACTAAAGACGGTATCCGGCAATCATACAAAAATTACCTAGTCGCATTCTCATTAACCTCAAAAATTCTATAAACAAGCAATTGTTTGGGATCGGCTGATAAAACCGTTTCTGCTACCTCAAAACAATGTCTCACATGGGTTTCTCTCGAACTAACCTTCCGAACTCCTTGTTCAAAGCCATCCGAAAACATGTGCTCATAATCCGCAATTAGAATAAATTTTGTTTCAGAAAACTAAAATTAATTGATCGGAGTGATGTTCAAGCATTCTGATTACCATCCGGGCAATGTTTCGCATCGCATTAACTGGGTAAGCGGCTGTCACTTCAGGCATTTTTTTCTTATTTTTCTTGGCAGCGCAATGGATTGTTTGATCCCAAAATGAATATTCGGGCACCTTTATAAAAGTTTTTTTTCAAGTTACGACCGCTTACGTTGCACGTTCCGTCCTCTTGTACATTATATACCACATGAATTCGTAGTTGTTTTTTCATTTCTTCGCTGCCCTTTGCGATGCGATGAATCTAAACATTAATTTCAGCCATTTGGGCTAGGACAGACAAATCTCTGAAAGCATGTATACTCATGATATGGATCATCAAGGAAAACCGATAGGGATACAGGTGCCGCCCAATTTTCCACCTATAATTTGTGCTTGCATTTTACAAATTAACGACTGACCTGTCGGACTAGTTTTTCATCCAAATAATCGACACTTGTGTGTAGAATCAACCCAATTCGATCGAACTCGGAAACGCGATTCCTGAGGTCACGGTGATGCTATGAAGTCATGTCCTACCTCAAAACATTCGGTCTCACACAATAATTTTTATATCGAATAACCGGTAGACTAGCTTCTGGTGCCCTATGAAAAGTAGCTAAAGGAAATAATGTAGTTACTACCTCATTATACTAAATGGATCTTTGCTTTGATATTCGATGCAAATGAGTAATCCGAGCATCACATATAGCAGGAGAAGGCCCATCTGAAAGGCATTTTCAAAACACAATATGTCAATAATTGGATACATAGCTTGAGCTATAATTAGAAACATACCTTGATTCGTCGGCGCCATCCATGCATGATTTCGGGTTGTATTGCTAAACATGGGGATCAGTGATGGAGCTGAGGGCCCGTATTGTGGGGAGGCAGACCAAAGAGAGACTTCTCCCTCTTTTTTTTTAATGAATTCAGAGCATGGGCACTCCTCCATGGCGACCGTATCTGCAGCCCGCACCTTCCATGCATTTCCCTCCCCCTCCTCAATCTATCCCTTCCCCTCCTTCTCCCCCAGCCAGGACGGCAAATGGCCACTTCAGACTGGTAAGAAAAACAGTGGGCCGGGATCGGAAAATCTGATGGACAAGCTTATATACGAAAGTAAAGACTTTAGGGCTGGATATTGTTACCATACTCAGATGGCTGAAATATGCTGCGCATGAAGAACGAACGCAGTTTCAATCATGTGCTTTTTGACACCCTTGTTGAAAATTTATAGACATTTTTGAATAAATAGAAAAATTTCGATTCTTTTGATGATTTTGGGGACAAGCCTGAGTTCACTACCAGATACTTGCTAATGAGAGCCTCCGGGGTTGGTAATAAGCGCTTGAGAGATGCAGATTTTCGCTTTTGGTTCGACAAACTGCTTTTTGGGCCGGGAATGCCAATATTGGCACGGCGCGAATTGGCAAGGCTTTCTAAGGCTAGCAACATAAGCACTTGGAGGGTGTTATTTATTCAATGGTAAAGATAACCAATCGGAGAAACAGGGCGTCCATAAGGCGCTTCGCAAAATTGGGGCTTTTCGGATTAATGTGTGCTTTTGACTCCATGAGAGCTGCGAACGATAGTTGTCCGGGAATAGACCGTATGATGCTTTGATATAAGAATTTATGGAACTTGTGCAAAAAGGCCAAAATTTTTGTGAAACGCAATTAGTTAATTTCGATCATGTTTGATGATGTGAAGGTAATCAAAAATGAGGATGACCGGACCGCTGAGAAGGGAATGCGTCAGATGTTCGCATTGCAACTGGTCGCAAAAAGGCCTCATCTTGATTTCATCAACTTGTCCGATAACTCATCAAAAGCGCCAAATTTAAAAGTTTCAAGATTTTCAAAGCAAAACAACACCGTGGTTTTCGATTTAAGACTTCTAACAAGTGGGGGGGAGGCAAAATTTTGCGTGGAGAGATATCGGCCGAAAGCCCGCATTTGCCTGGGCCAGCCTGTAGGAACACATTATTTGACGACCCTCATTCAGGCGGCATTTTCCCCGTCAATATGCTTTTGTGCTGCGCATATGACTGACGATAGAATTTTCCAACTCTTATCAATACATCTATACAAACCGTTTTTACTACGTCGCCAATTCGTCCGGAAAAACAAAGTGGTAGCGAACCAAATTCTCCATTGGAACAAAACGGGGGAAATGCTGGTATGTAGAAGAATGAAAAGACGGTGAGTGAAAGATTTGTAGTCCCGGAGGCGCGATACTGGTTAATCAGAAAGCGTTAATTCAAAGCCACGCCACGCCCCCCTCGGGGGAATATCCTTTTTTTCCACTTTCTCGGCCCCATGCGCCTCCGAAGATATTTTCGGCGAGCGCTAATTGTGGCCCGATGGGATGCTGCTCTTTTCTAGGAAGTTACCTGTCTTTTCGCCATATCCGCCTCCCCTTGACATCAACCGGAATCTGCAACCAAAAATTGGTGACGCCGCCGCGAACCGGGGAACAATAAATGGGAATGTGTCTGGTTATAAACAGCATTGTTTTGCGTACAATGCAGTGTCGATAAAGGCCGGAAATGGAAGGAATGGGGGGAGCAGAGGAGCGGACGTTGGGTCAACGGGGGTTTGTGTGAATCAATGAAAGACGGATCAGATGAAAGGATTCAATTGCCTATCTATGCTAGCTCGCCACATAAAAGCGCGTCGTTGGTGTATTTTTATGGCGGCCTATGATGAGTCTGCCTGGGGAGAGCCATTTCGGCTCTAAGGAGATGGGAAAGTTTGAGCAAAAGCTTGGCTATATTGGCTTGGCAAACCCGGCCTTCAGTCCTTGGCCTCAGTCATAGTTAGGGCTACAATATAAAAAAGTGTTTGTGTGTGTGCCAATTTGCATGCACCTTCCGTCAGGGTGTCAAGAGAATTCTCGATCGCGACGAAGTTTCAGGTTTAAATAATACGTGATAGGGCGGGTAATGGTCCTGAGATGAATGCACACTGACTGCCAGTTTTTTCAAAAGTTTTCTGTTTTAGACGTTGAATTTAAGTCTTCGCAGAAAAAAAATGGAGATGCTCTTTGTTAGCATGGGGTTAAGACGGGGGCTAGGGTTCAAAAGCCAAGAAGCGGCTTTTCAACCCTGGTTTAGGGTTTCTCAGACAAATTCCGTCGAAATTGTCTAAAAGTAATGCGCCCCTGATAGGTATAGTGCATTTCTTTCCAAGAATTAGGAAAGTTGACTGAAAAAAGCGAGCAGGTTATCGACGGGAAACATGTAAAACTGGTTGCGGGCGCTGTGCAACTAGTGTTATTCTAAAGTAAGGCGGGAGGCTTCGGTGGGCGATACAAGGCAGGGAATCAGGACCGGGCCTGATTGAGACGAGAGACGCCATGTTCAACAGCATTGAAACAGCTAGGTCTCGACTGGTAGAGCGCGAGAGGGACGTGGTGTACAGAGTGGACACACTCTTGCCGTCCCTTCAATCAGTCTTGAGAAGACTGGTTTCCGCACCTCGGCACCTCAATTGCTGCTATTTCAGGGTCGAGTCCCGGCACCAAGACTTTTGCCAAATTTGTCGCGGCTGCGGTACAAGGTAGTAGCTAGTAGGTGCTTTATAAAAAACATTAAGAATTGGGGAGACTCAGGCTCTCTTAGCCGTTCTTCATTCAATAAGCCTCGCTAACGTAAATTGGCCAAATCATCGATTCAGCTCTGCCAACGGCTACCAACTCGTGCAAAGCAGAGACTGAGCGGACCCAGAATAATAGAATTATACATGTCTGAAGGAATAAATACTGAGGTGAATTATTTGAATAGCGCCTAATATGAGAATGTTTATACAGAATCGTTTATCGATGTATAAGATAAAAACTTTTACGGGCGTTAGAGATTTTTGGTTGAGGCGCAAAGGGGTTTGTGTGGAGATTTGTAAACAAACCAAACGGCCATCATGCTCTTGTCGGGATCGATGTGCATGCTGTGCTTTGCATGTCCTTTTTCCGTCATAGAAAAGCCTTTTTGCAGAAAACTCACATAATTGCGGCTTATATCGGTTTATTGTTTATTGTACAAATATTGACTGATGATATCAATGGTTCGATTGCAATTGGATCACAGTTTCTCGGTTTTTCGTGTTTGTAGCGTAATATTATCAAGGCCGGGCTGTTCAGTAAATTCGCAATACAATGATTGCTAATAAGGAAAATAAATTTGCAAACGAATAAGAGGCCGATTTGGTACTGTCGTCGAATGCAGTCGGAACAGTTGATGTTACATATTCTTCCTCGACGATCCCTAGAGATATTCATACTTTAAAGACTGTAATTTAGGAAAAGATGTCAAGGAAGCATTTGGATTAAAAGAGCAAACGATAAAGCATTGGCCGAAACTAATTCGTCATTTCTGATTTCAAATGGCGCTGTGATACTATCCTTTAAGTTCAAACCGAAGCGCATCGAAAAGAAGGGAAGTCATAAAACCCTAGTGATTGTAGGAAATATAAAGTGCAGCGCATGCCTGTGCCATCCTAAGCTTCGATACCGATGACTCCACAAGCCAAACGGCTTCCAGCATCTCCAGTGGTTTTCGAGAGGTCACTCTGGCCTTTTCCCAGATCATCGGCTTTTTCGTGTACAACCACGGCGCGGCCCAGGATGGAGAATTGGCCTAAATGCTTTTTCTGTTTTGGAAATTTTGAAGTAGAAAGCTCTCGCTAAAGTAAGAATAAGGGACTGAGTCTGATTGTGCAATTGAATAATGGTTTCATTGGGGTCGTTGGTTATCTAGGTCGGACCCATCCTAAACCCCGTATCCTTTTCCACCTAATTGGACAATCTCCCACGTAACCCATTTCCCACGAAAGCTACCCACATAAAGAACCGAATGGGGGATCGGTGTGGTAGGGATTGATTTATTCCCAAGAAGAGCTTTGCTATCCGAATCTCTAAAATAGCTAAGATGGCCCCACCGTTCAGAGATGCCAGCGTGTCGGCGACGCGTATGTCAAGGTTTCCACTGGCCTGAAAAAGGGACATTTAAACGACAGTTGGTCACCAACCGGCGCATTAATGTTGCCTAGGTCGCCGATATGGCGATTGCTATCGGTTGGGGCTCCGTGCGTCATTTTGTGTGGATTGTAGTGAGCACCAGTGGCCAGGCAACCGTCTCCGAGATCACCCTAGGCACGGCTTGAGGAAACCAGTCTCAGGACTAACCTTTTCATGAATATGGAAGCCATGGAGACCCGGCGCTAGACCAAGCGCTGCTTCGATTGTCCCGTTTAACTGAAATGGATCCTTTCCATGGAAAGGATAAAAACAAAGTACAAAGAAGAAATTGTATGGAATATCTGCCAATTGTAATCTGGTTTTCCTGTATGAAAAATGAGCAGGATATAAATAACGCAACTTGCTAGGCGAGCCCGAATAAACCCGGGCTTATAGTTGTCTTAAAGTGTACAACCAGATAGAATCGACCATGCTGGTCATCACCTCGTTTTCCTAGGTTGCTACTGGCACTAAACTCGAGATATGCCACTTTTAAAGTTATCGTTTAGTTAATCGTCGAACTTCGACCTCGATTATTTTCATCTTTCCGGCCGATTTTCCAAAAATAACGATCGGGAGCGTATGCGGAAAATTTTTCTCTTTCGAATGAGCCCTCTCACTCAAGATTTTCGAAAATCGACAAAGCTGTATGGATTCTCATTTTGTATGGAAAATAGTGAAAAGCAGTCTACTTCAAACAGCTATAGAACGCGGTCTAGGGGGAAGCCTGCTTTAATGAAGTATTCCATTTGAATCAGAAAAATATATCTATCAAAACTTGGCGATGATCAGCGTGGTTGATTCTATATCTGTGTGCACATTTTCAGCCAATTCTGAGTCCGGGTTTATAACACTCCTTGGGTTAGATAAATAAGGTACATCGACGATTTGTTCCATTTACGGCAGTAACCTACCGATAAAGAGTTTCCATTTTGGATGAAATCAATGACTCCGACACTTTGGTTCGGTGCCCCGCCTTTGACCGCTTTAAACAGGTAGGCACGTGCGCGGGTGACTGAAACGATAGGTTCATTGTGAAGCCTGGCAGAGACAGAGGGTCTGGTCGATTGTTTCCTGTATCTAGCTCTCCCCTCCACACTCATATAACCGCCGGATAGATAGGTGATGCTAAACATTAGCCTGTCATATCAGCCCAATTGACAGGGCCGATCTATCTGCCAAATCAACTGGTTTTCGGTCAACAAAACGGCTCAACGGAACTGAGAACTGACATTAAAGAACCACGATGCAATATAGCAGAAAATGTCCCAATGTTTGCCGAGTAAATAGAAAAGTGTCTTTTCTAGGTTCACGTGGAACGGGTGACTCTCAAAGATTGACTGTAAGCGCTTTGTATTTTGGAATTAGTGATGCCATTTTTGTAGCTATCAGTCTAGAATAGCCTACACGATTAGGCGCGAATACGCCATCTATTGTAGCTGAATGGCGATACCAATTGAGTTTTAAAGTCAAACTTTCAGATCACTACTTACCAAAAACCAAAAAGAAAAAATTTATCAAGTTTGCTGACTTGCCCTCTAACTCAAGAAAAGTATCGTGCGTATGGTTGTCGTATGGTGCGTATTCGCCCTATCAGATCAGGGGATTCGTACGAAATCACTCTCACGCTGATTACGATGTTGCGAGGAACAAACCTTCGGTTGCTGTTTGAGCCAGGGTAAAGCAGCATGCAATGATCAATATGAACAGCTTCATTTTAAAGGAATTTAATGAACGCGTGCGCAGAGATGGGTGTGGGTGAATGTCAAAAGAGGGGACAGCAACAGGAGAGGTTGTTGGGGCGGGCATTCGGTGAGAGAGGCGGGCCGGCGCTCGACAACACTTTCTCTACCACAACAAGTTTCGAAATGATTAATCACCATTTTGTGCGCGCCCCCATAATATCAAATGGTCAATGGAATCGAAATAGACAGGAGACAGATCGAACCTGTTTCTTCGTTAAAATTTGTTTCTTGTTTTTATGCATATTTGCATACAAGTTCTCGGTTGTGTCGATAGGATATCGGGCTAGGGGGACGGTATTCAAGCCATGCATGTGCGAAAAAAAAACATTTTTTGATGTGCGACACGACAACGAAATGATGAAAATTGGTGGTTGTTGATTACGGAGCTGCCGAATCGGATGGTTGAACAATTCCTGCTAAAACGACGAGTATGGATACAATCGGATTACATACGCAGCACTTTTCCTTTTTCGGCTTTCGAATAGATATATTGGGATGCATAGTGGTAGCGCTCATATTTCGGGCATTGGTTATACCAAAGTCTATCGAAAAACGTTATTACCGCTCTACTAGATTACCTGCAGGTATTCAGGAATAATGGAAGTGGTGGAGGGTTGCAGAATCTATAGAACCATGAGATGATAAAAAGAACAATCGATTTCTGGCTCGGGATGCTCTAGATACCTCTGGACCCTGGGATAATCATAGTCACATTTGCAACTCTGCGTACAATGTGGAAATATTCGTTCGTCGCAATTTGCGCTGCACGGCTGATGACGTGCCATCTGGAATATTGAGCCATAAGCCATTCTTAATTTACGTAATGGGTGAACAACATCCTCCGATCATCTGAATAAAAGCTGTCAACAATTGCAGGTAGTAAGAAGGTAACGAGCTGCAGGAGTCGTCCGAAAACGATCATGTTGTAAATGATTTTCACAGTATCCTCCAACCTGATCTTTTCTCAAAGTAGTTGATTTGTTTCTCTTCACTGGATCTCCCTTTTTGTTTCTGCAATCCCAGGACGGTTATCAGACATAGTTCGTAGTCTGGGCGTCTTATCAATCAGGTGGCGGGAAACCTACACAGCACTTTATTAGAGGAGAACAGGCTTTTTTGCAAATCACTCGTCAAAAACTATCTTTTTTTTGGGATGGAATTCCCGGTTATCATATTACAAAATGGAGTGTTGTTTCCGGAGGGAACGATGAAGATACCGGTCCGGAACAAATCGAGGTGAGAAATCGCATTCATCTTAACGTGGTATTTTTAGTATTGCATTGCTTGATAGATACGTCGTAAATAACTCTGTGTCCAGAGGGCGTACTCTGATTTTAATCGGCTACCGTAACCCCGACGACGTGGTAAGCGGTCGAATGATTTCTGAAAATCTTTTAAACTTCCAGAATATCCACTCAATTGGAACATTGGCATTGGTGGAGCAAGTTACAGGATGGCAGTACAATTCGCAAACGCAATATTCACTACATGTGCTAGGAATTGCTAGGGCGCGATTAGAGAATTGCACTCCACCCACCAGCCAAGCCCATCCTTTATCGGATATTCACGGTGCAATCATTTTGCGAAATTAGCAAATTATTACATTAGGTGTAAACAAGTGCAATTGTGTATTTTCAGGCAACCTTGATGATAAGCTGGAATCGGATTTTTACGAAAACCTAAGAAAATTTCATCGCTTTCTTCTGTCCGAGAACACCGAGGCCGCCTATCGACTTCAAAAGCTTCTTAGAGACCGGCGCATGGGTGGGATAATCACTGATTCTGGATCACAAGAATATTTAGACGCCATTACTGACATGATTGCTCCCCACATCAAGGGAATGAAACAGGAAATAATGCTGAAGTTGCTCTCAACTCTCGAGGTACCCGAAAGGGTTACGATCCTCAATGAAGAGCTGAATAAGATGTTCCAGGTACAAGATTAATTAGAAGCAAATCAGAAACACCTCAAAAACAATGATCCTTTCTAGGACATTCCAATCGGCTTAAAAACGAATGACCTGGTCCCGATTCGTGGAATCAAGCGGATCGTCCCCAATATCAAGGTTAGTCGGTTTTTATAGCTTAATTTTTTGTTCAGCCCGATAGCCGCCTGCAGAAAAACAGCGATGATCTGGAGCAGAAGCTAGAGTCAGCGCAGCTCCCTGAACTAGTCAAAGACCGTGTTTTTCAAGATTTAGATAAACTAAAGGTATCGATTTTCATCAGTTCTTGATTGATTTGCGTAATATTTAACAAGATTTCTGTTTCAATTTTAGAAAATGGGAAACTTTGGAGGGAACGAAGCTTCAATGCTGCGGGGTTATTTAGAATTTGTCGCTTCGCTACCCTGGAATGTGACGACTTCGGATGACATGGATCTATCTAAGGTACGTGCTGAAAGCATTCTGCTGCATTTTCTGCGGAATAGATTAAAAGCCAATTATAATGTTTAGGCTCGCGCTTACCTGAATTCGTCCCATGATGGCATGAAAACACTAAAAATACGTGTATTGGAATATCTCGCTGTCAGAAAACTTAGCTCAGACCTTAGTGGGTTGCCATTTCAATTTTTGATCAATTGAGACGTAGGCGGACCGGTTCTCTGCTTTTCGGGCCCACCGGGCATTGGGAAAACCAGCGTTGCAAAGGCTATTGCTGGAGCGCTTGGCAGAAAATTTGAAAGGTATCTGTTGCTCATGTTTTCTATATCAGAAAATTCAGAATATCATTGGGGGGCACTCGCGATGAAGCAGATATTAGAGGGCATAGACGGACCTATGTCGGTGCAATGCATGGAAGGATACTCCAGGCCGTTCGTGTAAGTAATCAATCAACGGCCCTATGGCAAGCCACAATTTTATAGCACGCAGGCACAAAGAATCCGGTAATATTATTAGATGAAGTGGACAAACTGGTAGGTCGCTGTGTGGGAATAATATCCGCACTTAGTACTCCGGGGCACAAGGCAGCCCAGCCGCTGCTCTGCTTGAAGTCCTTGATCCCGAACAGAATTCTGCCTTCACGGACCAGTAAATATCTTTTAGCTAGCACGTAAAATTGGTTTCAGCTTTTTAAACCTGCCGTTTGACCTTTCAAATGTCATCTTCATTGCGACGGCAAATGATACCTCAAAGATTGATCGACCATTGCTGGATCGAATGGAATTGGTCGAAATGACTGGGTATATCCACCATTCATCAACCATTAGTTCTCACTTTAGTTATTCAAATGCTGAAAAAGTTCGGATCGCCGAAAATCACGTGATCCCCAGGCAACTCCCCAAGCATGGTCTATCTTCAGATTGTCTGCAGTTTCCAACTGCAGCCCTAGAATACTTGGGTAAGAAATCCTAAACAAAATTCTTCTATCGACTCTTTAGCGGATGCATACACTCAAGAGGCTGGGGTTCGTCAGCTGGAACGATGCGTAGCAGCAATTTGCCGCCACGCAGCACTACGGTAGATCAAGGATTAAGATCCCCTCAAAAACACATTTATAGTGTCGCTGAAGCCATGAATTCTGACTGTACTTCGGATGTAATTGAAGACTTGGAACTTCCTGTGATTGCCGATGCCGCCCTAATTGAGAAAGTCCTCGGGGTATGGTGCACCTTCACAGGCACCTGGTTTTAGCGGCCCAAATATTCCAGATATGATTTGGTTTCAAAGATGAAGGCATTCCGCCCGGGAGTCTGTTTCGGGATGTCATGGACCCCATCTGGTGGCGAGTTAATGCTTATTGAGACAAGTGCTATTCGAGGCTAGTATCTGTTTCATCCTTTATTTTATTTCATTGTAGGAAAAGGCGAAGTGGTGATGACCGGAAAACTTGGGAATGTTTTGAAAGAGAGTGTTCGTGTCGCAAAAACATGGCTCCGCGCGAATGCCGAGAGGTAATTTAGCTCTATTTAAGCATTATTTTCAGGGTGCAACTGACAATCCCAAGCGATATCGATATCCATGTGCATCTACCGGCCGGAGCTATTTCAAAGGTCAATTACCGAGTATTTATTTAATTAATCACATCCACAGGACGGTCCATCTGCCGGCTGTGCCATCATTCTGGCTCTTTATTCTCTTCTCGCGCAAACAAATGTGAGAAACGATGCTGCGGTGACAGGAGAGATCAGTCTGTCCGGGAATATATTACCAGTAGTGTTCGGATTATCTTTTTATAAGTCTGTCTAGGTGGGCGGGATTAAAGAAAAAGTCATCGGAATACATCGGGCTGGATTGCGCAGAGTGACCCTACCGGATTCAAATCGTGTCGATTACGAGGAGATCGATGACTCGATTCGAGTAATTTTTCTCTATGTCCTTAATATTCCATTTTTGCCATTTTTTTATTTGGTTGGCTTTCAGAATGAAATGGAAGTGGATTTTGTCGAGACAATCGACGAATTACTGGAAGCGATGATTGCGAAGAGCTACATTAGTCCGATGTCAAAGCTATAGACGGAGCTAATATGTATAAATCGTACAATTGCATCATTGAACGATTCATCACTCGATGGCGCCCCTTCTAAAATCTTTAGACCCCAAGCATTGTTCAGACAGTTTTTCTAGGAGTAGTGACTGGGACAAAAGTGAAAGGGCTCCAGCATCTGTATAGTTGGAATTAAGCGGTATTCAGTGGCCGTGTGAAAGACGTGCTTTTTCTCTGACCTCAAGATGCTACGGTGGTTCTTTTCTCATTTCTTCAATAGACGCGCATTACATGTTCCCGCCTATGCATCACTGATTTCAAGCTGTATCTGATCAGGCAGCCAGGTGGAATTTGCCTTCCCCGCGTGCAGCCATGAAAGGTAGCACAAATCCTTGTCTTTCGCTATCGAAATAAAACGCATCTCTTGTGTAACGTCCGCATTTTTCTTAGGAGTTGTTTGGGTTTTTTAATAGTTTGATTTTGGTTATTTTATGTCGGATCAATAGATTTACAGCGGCGTCGCTGTTTGGATAAAATGATTGCCCTTATTCTCTCAAACTCTGACGGGGCATTGGTTATTGGCATGTGTTGCTGATATCTATGGCAAAATGTGGGGGGGGGAGCCAGCCGCTGGGTTGGCTGCAGATCGAGCGATGCAGGCGTGTACGACTAGTCGCATTGGTAGCCAGTGGTTTGGGGGTAGGGGGGAGCGGCAAAATGGGAGACCGATGTGGGTGGAGAGGGAGAGAGAAAGAGAGCTAGAGAGCGCGAGAGCGGGAGAGACGCAAGAAGAAAGGGAGATGCCTAAAAGAGAGGAATCGACGGAAAATGGGGAGTGTGTAAGCAAGAGTTAGAGGGCAACCGACAGCCATAGCACAACGCCACCATCACAGCGAGTGGACGGAGAACCTAGAGGGAAAAGACGAAATGGGCACGGGGAATTCGAAGGCTTCTCCCTTCCCCTTTCCCCCAGCATTCCCGCCCCACAGCATTACTTTTTCGGTCAAACGATCTGAGGATCACCTCCGGTTGCATACTCAATCAATGAATATTTTTAACCTTTTTGCTTCCAATTTTGCGGCCAGAAAATAGCAATTGCTCGAGAGATACGGGCTAGCTTGGCCTATTTCTGCATTGCAGATATTCCCCCTCAATATTGTTGTTTTCACAGACACTAGAATGAATTAGCTGTTTTTCAGTTTACAGGGAGGAATGGGTCGGCTTGCTAAAGGGGCGGGAGAAATGGGAATGGATAGTAGTGTGGCTAGGGGGTTCGATCCTGGGTGGCGACCGGTGGAGGAGCCTGGTGTATTCTCGTGCTAGGATGACGGACGTAGACACCGGGACAGTTACTCGCGCACGCACACATCGATCTCCCCTTTGTCTTCTTTCCCCCGCCTCATCCCGATCCGCTTTTCGTCATAGTATTCGCATTTCAACTATTACATTCATTTCCAATTTCGTTCAACCCGCACGACTAATGAATTTGCCCAAAACAAGTCTACTGCAGAGGGGTGGGCGCGGTGGCAGCGCGCTTGTTGATATTTACTGCCTATGCCCCCCAGAACCCTTCTCCACGTTCGCAGCATCTTGTTATTTATTCCCACCCATAATAGGCGCCCCGGCTACAGGTATTTCCCTTATTTTGGCCGAAGCCACCCAGCAGCTGCCTTCAAAAAAGATATGTTTTTGTGACTTACCAGAACAATTTTTTAGGATTTCCTTGCAAAAGGCCTTTTCGATTTGCGCGGAGATCGTATCCCTTCCGCTCTTACGTATATCGGTCTTAATCCTAAGCGCACATTCTCATTCACCAGACTTCCTGCGTAATGCCGGGTTGAGTACACGCTTAAAAGGTTGATACGCATCAATAGTGCCATTGCAAGCCACAAATATAAGAAGCACGTTTTATAGCATCCGCGCCTGATGGCACTCGTTAGAAGCGAAAATGCTCTCGTTTGTGCTTAATGCTTATAACGTCTTACTCAGCTGGCTGGCCCAGAAGAAGTGCTACCCGGGTCCAAAGTTTCGCAGGGTACCAAATCAGTTTGCAGCATTCTGTTCACCCGATCCCTTAGATGGCCAAGGGGCCAGTTGTTCTGTGCCAAATGTTTTGACGGGGGATGGTCGCGGGCGTGAAGGCGTTGGCCCCTCATTTGGGCGTCGAACTGTCGGCTAGACGGTCGATTTGAAAGACGGCTCATAATAGCCAGCGAGCCGCAGGGGGCGTGGGGGCGACACCGTTTCGAGGCAAGAACGTCCGGATCCTTCCTTTTGCTCCACTGTCCCCCCCCGCATTCGGCCAGCAAACTTGAACGTTTTCACTTTCAACCCCTAGAGGCCTCTCCCTGGCTGCTCCTCTCCCTCCCTTTCCGTCGATCCGACATCCTGTTACCAAACAGCCCCGCTAAAGCCCCCATACGACTCTCCCCGGGGCCCAACTTTATTACCAATTTTAGCGCCTCTTACCGACGTAATGGATTTCCTGCCCAAATAGTTTCCAGTTTTTTCCTTGCCAGTTTTTGTTTCTCTTTCAAGAAAAAAAACTTTGGTAACAATTGGGTCAGCGGTCCTTCGTTCCAGCCTAGTTCCGCAAAATTTCGCCCCGTTGTTGTTTTGAAACGTTTATATGATTTGCTTCACTTTCATAGCTCTTTACAAAGGTAATTCGACGTTCAATTTAGCTTCTGACATTAAACAAATCATTTTTATGTGGATTTATCGACAGCCTTGTTATTTTTTCATATAAAACAGTATTCGTGAATTTCCGACATAAATAGTTCGGTTACGGAAAGAGGATTCACGGAGGCGAGACCAGAGGGGGACATCATTCTTCCGGCAGCATTCGGGCCGCTGTGGGCCATTTCGGCCCTCTTTCCTTTCCACTGGCGCGAGAAAGGCCACACCACGAACGAATAGCCGAATCGTTGTGAAGCGGGTAGCAAAAAAAAACATTGTTTTTCACGGCTATCGATGATCCCAATCCAAAATCCTAAAAATTTTTACACATTGATATTCAAACTCATGCTCTCTTGATCTCATGAACAAACCTAAGATCGGGTGTTTTAGGGTGGCTCGCTGGCTCTGCGTTCCGCTACGGTGGACAGGTAGTGACGCTGGAGGACTATAACGGAAAGCTGGGCGGCGCCAACAACTTTGGCGGTACGGCTTTCAAAAAAATTCGCGTCACGCGATGCATTTTGCTCTATCTCGACTCTATTTTAGGCGCCCCTGACGGTGGTGATGTTCCTCCCCACGTCCCTCCTTCCACATATTACAGTCAGCTGCATCGTCTACCTCCGCAGTTGACCCAACAACGAACGACCAGTGCAGGTTGGGCTTCGTCTCCTCCCCCATCAAACGTCTATTCTATTGCGATAATTGTTCCTTTGCATGATGCATCTTAATAGGTGCGAATGTGCCTTCCTCGTAGTCAGAGAATTCGTTCTCCGCCTAAATGGGCAAGAAGTCTGTTCCACTACCCCCCTTAGCGTTGATTCAAGTCAAATAGCCAGAGGTAAGTAGTATATATTGCGACAGACCCGCAATATATACTACTGATGTAACCGCGACCCGACCACGCCACAGGTTTTTTTCGCTATTTGGATGTGTAATGCGTTAATTTGAAGGTTCTGAAGGGTCATTTTAATCAGCTTGGGTTTCCAATTTGAAAACTCGCCCAGGAATCAAAAAGATCGAGGCATGATCGCCTTACAAGGCATTACGACGTATAATTCATGCAGGCACAAGTAAAGTTGGCTCCCCAAAAATTTCGGTAATATTTTGAGTTTTGCGCAACAAGAGCAATTTATCGATACTTTTAGGCAGTATCCTTTTTCACAAATAGGTTCGATTCCCGTACAGCCTCTGTATGTTTTTGTCTTAGGCGTTAGGTGCAGTGAGGTGCAGTCCCTCGTAGTTAGACATCAGCTGGGTATTGTAGGACAGGAGGGGGAAGAATCGGGAGGAAAGCCCTCGAGGCTTCTATTTCGGGACACATTGTTCCCCTATCCTGCACAAACACACGCCACAACACCTCCAGCGCGGTTCGCAGGCAATGTGTATTTGTTTCCCTAGCATGTTACTTGTACTTTCTTTGATGGAAAAAACTGGTTTTCCATACTGGTTGTCACTTTGGACATTCCGGCTTTCCGGGCCTCCCGGTCCTTCCGTGTATTTTTGTTCTACATTCTCCTCTTTTTCTTTTTTTTTACACGAACCAAAAAAGTTAATGTATGCGCTTTTTGCTAAGGAAGACCTGCGTAGATCCAGCGTATTTTACAACTCGCAGAAAGTGATCTGGAAAAGGCTTGAGGAGAGAGCGGGCCGTTTACGGCTAATTTAAGAAAGCCGATTTTATGTTAACTAGATCCTGATACTGATCCCATTAACCTCCGTTTGCAAAATTTTTCAGCAATATTCTTAGCTTCAGATAACAGAACCTCAATGAATTTACTTTCAACCGTACTAAAACATTTGGAGGGGCTGCCACGATCGTGCGCTGCGACAAACTTCTGAATTTCTACCTTGTGAGGTGGACAATGCCTGAAATTTCCCCATTTCCTCCGTTGCGGCCGCTTCAGACAACCCCCACCCCCATTGCCAATCGATCGATTGGTCTTCCGCGTTCCGGGACCGGAAGGCGGAAGGGCTGCCCCCCCCCTTGCTTCCCCGCCGTCGGGGGGGTTTCTATTTCGGAAGGGAGGCCTTCCCGATCGGTGTCGTGACCGGCGTGTTTGTGTGCTCAGTCTTCTGCGCGCTCTCTTACCCTCACTGGGCGTACCCGGAGGCCGTTCAGCAATTTTTGGAACGCTCCTCCAGAAGCGGCTCGTTGAGCTGGTCAGGACGGTCCACTCAGCTGGATTCGCCGCTCCTATTTCTATTCTATGTATCATCAACCGTCCACGCAATTATTACTTAGATTTTGTTATAGTTCCGTGACTTGGGTCTCAAACGTGTGGCATTTTAGCACTAACCAAGGTTAAAAAAACCGCTTAGAGACTTTTCAATCACGGCCTTTTACTCTATGATAGTCACAGCCTTGCAAAGTCTTTTCGAATCTACAACAAAAAAAATGCGAAGCCGCAGTAATGCAGGTGTAGACTGGCAGGTACACAGATCGAGAACTGAGAACTAGTTTTTTCTAAATCAAGACAGCGATCCAGTTGAAAAAGTTTAAAATCTAAAAGACATTTGAAAAACATTTCAAGGTGTCAGCTGAGCGGGGCTGAAAGAACATAATTGAAGGGAAGCAGAGGGTGAGTCTGAGTCTCAGGTCCGGTTCCAGTACGCGACCGGCTCTACCCCGCGTAGTCCTCTCCCACTCAAGCCTTCGTGAGCTGACGCTCCATATCCTCTGTTGCATTTCGTCGTGCCCTCCAATGTCAGCGGCATTCCATTTGTTACGTAAGCATGTCGGTTCCAACCGGCTGCAGAATCTATGTTGGCTGCTTGGTTTAGGTCTCGAAATGTAAGGTCAAGCTAACTAACATGAAGTCCAAGTAATTTTTAACATTAATAGCTTCAGTCAGCAATAGTGAGTTAGTAACTCAAAGAAGTCCAGACATGGTTTTTTTGAATACTAGTCGATTCTGAATAATCTGCGTTTAGCATCCGACTGATCTGGGGATGATCAATCTGAAAATTGCTTCATTAAATTCTAGGAACTTTGGACCGCCTATTGTGCCGTATTCTAAATGCAGTGCCGCGCGTCTGTATATTTGGATGAGACGCTTTGCCCTACTTGGCTTTGCCATCCAGGTATCTTTAGAGAGCCTCTTGAGGTGGCTCTGTGCTGGGGGGTGGCCGGCCGGGGTGACCTCCGCATTATCCGGTGCTATTGTGTGACCTTAGAGATTGGTACAGCCTGTCTCTTTGTGCGCGATTCGAGGGACACACCGACACGAGCACACACCACCTCCGCTCCCAGATTTCGACACCCCAATTGGATTCCTATTCGAGAAGCTCCGCTTCGTTTCATCGGTTGTCTTGAATAATTTCTAGAGGCGTCGCGATGGTAGTTGGCATTACTTTAATGGTCGAACTTTACTTTACCTCACCCTTAGTCGGAAGTTCCCAAATTTTCCCACTATAACTTTTTGATTTTACATTATTTTCGGCTGTAATGGAACTTTCATATTTTTTGATTCCCTATCGAATGACATAGCCGAAATCCCGATAAACAAGCAAAAATGTCGAAAAATTTTGGTAACTTTTGGCCGGGGGTTGGGGGGGGGTAAATAATGTCTAGCCATCTTGAGATATTATGCGTTATTTTGTGAATGGGATATTCCCTGAGGCATGCGCTTATTGCAATTCTGCCGATTTTAAGGTATGTGTCATTGGGACACTTTAAACCGATACTCGACAGAGTCAATATATAGTCAGTTCGAATCCGCTTCACGTTTTCCGCCCAGGCGTTCCTATTTTGCGTTGGCTTGGATCTTGTTATTTTACATTTGCCACTAGGAAAATACTATACTACTTCTTCGTCGAGGAATATCCCTGGCTTTTGTCTTTCCTTCCCAAAAACAGACAAAGTGCGCGTTGTTGCACTTGGGCGCGCAAGGGCCGAGGCTGGCGTACCAGTCAGCGCTCAGCCGATCCCGGGACCACCCAGGGCGGACTGCGGGTCAGCCCGTGCCGCTTACCCCGCGCTCCGTGTCCCGGACTATTGCTTCTCAGCTTTAGCGACTCATCCTCTTTCACTTCTGCCTCGCTCTATTTTTTTATTATAGTACATCCGTCATTTTATCAATATTCTCACCCACTAACTAAGATTCCCGGCTGGCTGTCGGCTTATTTGCTGAATCTTTTTCCGAAAAATTCGTCAGCGTGTTCAATTTTGTAAATGGCTGGCCAGTTAGATAGCTACATCAATACTGTACAAATCAAGCAGCAGTTCGCCCCGGCTATGCGCGCGGACATTGTCTAATCATTTATTCCCATGGGTTTGTCCATAATTCAGCCAAGTCTTTCTCCTGTTTCACAGCAAGCTTTTCTGCTCGTTTCGCGGATCGATGACAATAGTAACCCCGGGGTGGGTTAGTAAGAAGCTAGGATAGAGCATAGTCGCTGTTAGAAGGTGTTTGGGCAGCAATCGGGTGTGAGGAGGTGTCGGCGTGTGCGACTCGCCACCAAGGCCGTACGGCTCCCGCCCCTGGGGCGTCCCCGCCCATTTTCATCCTCCTCTTCTACTGAAGAAATTCGAACCGACTCACAAACTGCGCAAACATCCACTCTAGCAAGCGTTACCTACGGAGCCTTCACTAGTCATTAATTCTGCCACTAAACACAGATTTTAAGCCGAATAAAAGAAGCTTATGCGTACTTACGCATCTTCTAGCTATCTGAGTTCAGCTTTTCGTGTCTTTTTGGATTTTCAGCGCAGAGAAGCAAATTTGGACAGAAGCCAAATTTTCTGACATCTTGCTTGATATTGTTCCTTTTGCGCTCTAGCTTGCCGCTCAATTCCCTCACTTCCTAGCACTGTGCTTTTTCTAAACAAAAATGTTTCGGGAAAAGCCTTCAAGCAGTCCTCCTCCGTCTTTTTCCTTGATAGCCGCCCTCATGACTCGATTAATTGATGCTCGACTCTACCTTTTAACACTTCTCGGGGCCAAATTCTCTTACGGTATTGATGAGAATGGGCTTTTCTATTATTTTTTTTGGTGATTAGCATGGGTGTGATCAGGAATGATCAATGTGGGTTGATGGGTGAAGGATTGCGGGTCATCCCTTCAAGGCGTTTGGGGGGGGGGGGTAAGAGCGAAGAGGAGGATGTCTGTGCTGTGCTCTGCCTGGGTTGACCTCACCTGCGCGTCTCGGTGGCTGGTACGGCCCGCGTGACCCTCAGTCTCTCTCTATCTCTACCATTGGGGTGTCTTGCCACCCATCCATCCCGCCTAGAAGCATTTTAACAGCATACCTATCCGATATCCCGACATACCTTTTCCATACGCCACACTTTTAATTGATTGCAGCCAGGCTTCGCCCCCTCCGCCCACCCACACTCCGGGAAATTTGTCGAAGAATGGATTTAAATCGATCTCGGAGGGCTTCCCGCCTTATGACTGAGAACTTCTACCACCCTCGTAGTTAGAGAAATTCAACACTCCCGCATTACTGTCCTCTAATTTATGTAGGCATATTTCATTAGTTTTCGTTGGTGGTTTACAAAACACTGCAAAACAAGACTGAATCTGTGCAACCATTGCGGTCCTGTGAATGCCACTTTTCATCCCAAAGTGCATACCTTAACAAAAATTCTTTTCAACATCGTTGCTAGATCACCGGTTCCATGTCGATCCCTTTGACGCTGCTTGACGATACTCGGGGATGGCGCTGTTGGGAAAAGCCGGTTTTCTCTCACTACTCCGGCCATCCACCATCGCCATTCGATGCACAACCACCCGATCGGCAGTTTCTTGTTAGATCACTCGAAGCAACGTCAGCTTTTGCTATTGACTTTGCTCGATTCGCACCTCTATTAAAATTTGGCCTTTGATAGAATAGTGAATTTATTTCTTCATTCCCCCTTCCCCATTATATTCAACCAACGCACGAGCGCCGTCTCGTTCTGTGTTTGTGTAAGGCGTGTTCGTCTGTACGAGCTCTTGCTCCGATCCTATTATGACGAGGAGACGGTGCGACGGGACGGGACTCGTGCTCGTCTTCTTTTTGCGCTCGAATGGCACCGACCGGTTCCCTCGGCATCGTGCCCTCGTTGCCCACATGCCCACGACTTACCCCGCCAGCGTACCCTCCTCACCCACGCCTCTATACTATCTCCTTTTTATTTTGAGAGCTTGTTATGTTGTAATTCTGTTCTCAAGCACTGCGCTAAATAGGTCTGAGGGTTCGAATCTGAGGGTTGCTACTTCCGCCGTTTCTCGAACCAATCATATTTCAATTTTTTTCCTAGCAATCTCAGTACAAATTTACTTTTTGTTGTAATCCAATAGTTCGTTAAAATAGATTTTTGCTACAGCGGTGCCCATTGCAAATTAGTTGGGGGATTAGGTTGCAAGTTCCGACGGGACGGTTGACTTGTTGCAGGTATTAGCAGCTACTAGCGCGCAGCGATTCGACATCCCCGTCTCATGACATTGGTGTGTATCCGAACATAGCGACAGTGAGATGACAAAACGGCTGAACGTTAGTGTCCCTGTAATAGGTTGGCAATGGTTCAAGTTTCAGGAGCAACCCCATGAAAGGGGACAGCCAGATGTGGGAACGGGGGCTGGTGGGTGGAGTAGTGAATCAGGGCGTGCTATGGTGCCTGGTGGAGACCGGGACGAAGGAGAGGCTCCTCTTGGGGCTCCCCGCACATTGGGACGGGGAGATACGACAATGATTCCTTCCAAGGTCCGCGCCTCCCCGCAGCTGCTCCTATACCCGTTTTCGTACCTGTTTCGCAAGGCCTGCTCAACAGTTTTTTTGTTATAGAATTTAACGCGGGGCCCTTTTAAAAGCGACAGTATAGGAACAGGACGGCCTGAAGGCCTCCGGCAGATTGCACAAGTCTAAGCAACCGAAGGAAAGCCCGCGGAGCTAGTCGATGAGTGGCACAACGATTTTATAACTGCCTATTCGATTTAATAATTATTACTACAGGTTTAAATGGCGTAAAAACTCAGCTTCCACCTCATCTGCAACACGTAACATTGAAACCGAGAAACCACCGCGATTAGCGGTGGAGACTCCGAAAAGATTTTCCGGTGCTTTATACTGCACAGTCGGAGTTCGGGTGTACTATCTGAAGTTCGAGCGCTTCCGCGCAATCTGCAAATTTATCATCGGATGTAAGTCGCAAATCAGCGGTTTTCTGGTATCATGGGGGTAGGAGCTCGGACAGACGAACCAACGTATCGAACGGCGATCAGCTGGTATGGCAGACGGGGGGAAGCTTTCAGTGGGGGGAGCAGTCGACTTGTGGGAATTGATCGCCGGGTGGGATAGAGGGTGTCCTCGTGCACCCATGCACCCTATAGCCTCGGGGGGCCAGACGTCCCTAAATGCTCTCCCCTATGTCGATACCCGGAGGCTCGACCATTGCACCCACAACGTCCCCCCAAATGCTGCAAAATTGCAACCAAGCAAGATTTCTCGCTAATCTTTTGAGCTGTGGCTTTAGCTTACTCTTGTTAGTGGTTCTCAATTTCACCTGATTACCATTTAACTCGTCACATATCCGTCAATTCCCTAGCATCACGGAACTAAATTACTGGCCGCGTGCCTAAACTACAGCTAGACTTAAAGTCCAATTGCCGACACCCCGGCAGTGAGTCCAAAAGCAACGCCCTTTTCTGGAACTACGATCAGCTTGGGGCGGTTGTTGACCTATGGGCGCATGCGGGGTTGCCCTTTTGCTGCAGTTGTTTTCAGCAGAGCAGCCAAACTCTCGTTCCATGCACTTGTGTTTATCGAAACCGTGGTTAATCCGAATGGCTGGGCCTGCGTGCGGTCCCCTATAATTTTTGGTCGCGCTTTGTCCTCAGTCGCTTCCTAGATGAGGGCTGTGCCCTGGCGTTTGGGTATGTGTGTGCATGCACTCTTGTGTCCAGTCGGATCTCCTTGGTTCGGATGTTCCGGGCCTTCGCAAAGGGCACTAGGTATTCCTTTATCCGAGGCACAACCGCTCGTTTTTGAACTCTTGTTGGTTACTCCCAGCTAGTCTTACTGGTCTCAATAGCTAGCGACACAATTTTATCTGGTTCATCGAATCGAACGTTTCCGTATCGCAATACATTCTAATTGGTGACCTATTGATTTCTTGTTGGTCTCCTGATGAACGTCTGTTTGTGTGTGTTTTTTTTAATTTGTTGTCAGATGGCGGCAAGGCACTGTCATACCTGCGTCACGAGAGCGCGTATATCTCGATGCGCGTATCTCGCTGCTTGCCGCGTTGCGCGCAGTATGTCGATCACCACGTTTGCTACCCACACAGAACCTTTTCCTCTGGGATCATCTCTAAGTATTTCTCTGATTTTGATCCAATTGTTGTGGGTGCTTTGCTGGCATTAATAGCCATAGTTTTCTTAAGGAGCTTGCCTACCATTAGCAAATTTAACTGGGGGTCCGTCCTTAAAGTATTTCCGGATAATCGATTTGATATTTCAGTCCGGAAAGAGGTTTCGATCTTATTCGTTCATGCCCATACCTATTAGCTGCCAACCCCTTCCTCTCCCTAAATCTCCTAATTGATGTCTTCCGCCATCGGGCAGGCACCCTGCCTTTCCCCACCTTTCCTTCCCGCTGTTTCGCGTCCTTTTGCTTTTACTAATGGACTCCCTCTAGGCAGTTCGTCCTCTTCTGGCTGCTCATCCACTAATTGCTGTGACTTGCTGGATCTTGCTGCAGCCGCCCAGCAGCAAGCCGCCTTCTTCGCCCAACAACGCCAGTTTCAAGGTTGGTCCGTAACTGTGCTATAGAAGCTGACGCGCTTCAAGTTCGCTTAAATAGTCTCTGCCAGCCGGGCAGTTTTTTCATGAAACGTGGAAAAAAATTTGCATGCGCGTACGATTAAAGTGCATTTCTCGAGGAGGAGCACCCCCGCCTGCAAATTTTTCCAAGATTGCTGAAAAAACGCCCTGTTGCTAAAGCCCGGTTAATGTATCTACGAATTCATTGCTTAATGTTATTTTTCTAGCAGCTGCCGCCGGTGTGGTGCCAGTGTCTGCGGTCCTATCAGCGGCAGAATTAGTCCAACTGGCGCAGGCAGGTTGCGGAGCCGGACACGCACTGCTGCCCCATTCGTCCCACCCTCACCGTTCCACCACGGGGCTCACAGGTTTGTTCAAAGCACCACTTCCAATTGATGCAATAGGCTAATTCGGTATGTCCACGAATGGCTCATCGATCCAAATTCCTAAACGGGTTATCATTGTTGTTCGACGTCTGGCCCTGCCAGCTCGTCTCCAGCGCCGAGTTGTTTACGATAACAGGGTCCTTTTTGGATCTCCCCCCTCGAGTCTGCTCCCTTTTCACCCAACCAACCCGCGTCTCTCTTTCTTGTTCCAGGCACCGGCTAACCCCGGTTCACAAGTTTTCCATTCACTTTTTTGGACCTCTCAGCTGAGTTTGGACATCACGCCTAGTTCAGGACGCTCTTAGCTCCTTTCCCAAATTGTGCAAATTATTCTGAATCGCCTAAACAAAATCTTAGCTCTTGGATTGCTTTATATGCTAAAAATTTCAGGTGATATGGCAGCGGTGTCTATGCCGCACCATCCAGGAGTATCTGGAGGTCCCCCAATGCCTATGAAATCCCAAAAAAACGCTACAGCCGTCCAAATGATTCAACAAAACCCCCAGGTGAGACCATGTCATTTTGTCTGCTATAACTAATTCTTCGTGTCGTTTCCCATTCCCAGCGGAAAATCGAACTAGGGACATGGGGATTAGCGCCCCTTTGGTTTGAACTCTTCCTGGAACGGCTGTAAGAGGAAGGGGGCGGGGTACGCCGTATTTTTCGCCGCCGTCCTATTGACGTCTCCGATATGCACTTCCCCATTCCACCCGACGAATTCTGGCCTCAATTCCGGGAGGCGTGGCTAGTTTTGACCATGCAGACCACCTTCCCTAAACCAATCAGACTTCCATATATCCCACGCTTTTGACGCAGACTAAAATGGTTGTTGCCATGTTAGACCTACAGGTTGGTAATTCTCTCTAAATTTTATGCCATTGATAGCGATTTTGAAACGACTTTTATATAAGTAAAATAGCATTAGTTTCCATTAGGTGACGAGTCATTGATGACCCTTTATCACTCGATATGTTCTCCTTGGGGTCATCTCAGGCTTGGCACGGCGTGCAAATAAGCGAGTGTAAAAGCGTTTCCCCAGGGTGGTACCACCGCTCCGATTAGCAGCTGACCGCACGAAATCCGTGGAGTTCCCCCCGTGACGTCTCTTTTTCCGCTACTCGCGGAAACATCCTAATTTCGGCTGGCGGGGATTGAACGGAGTAGGAGCCCTCTCATTTAATTAGCCTAAGCAACCGGTGTTATCATAGTCATTCTCTTAGGCCATTAATTTTCCGCTTTCAATCAATCCAAAAGGATATAGTGGTGTGATCGGCTGGGAGGGTGGGAAAGCCTAGGTAGACACGAATCACGCGGTCTGGCCCTTTTCATTTCTGCCCTGTCTCCCTCTCCCCTCACTGCTGGGGGCTCCTCCTCCGTTCCCTCGCCGTCACGTGGCGGCCAAAAAGATTCGCTATCGAAACCTGCTCACTTCCTAGCCTTCCCTTAAACCGGTCATGCTCTAGCGAAAGACAGCCATGCTTCTCGTAGTCCTCATTGAGGCATTTATCGAGTATTTGGAAAATGTTCTGGTGAGCATAGATCAAGTTCTGCGAATATTCCTGTATTTTCATTCCTTACCGAAATTTTCTCCAAAATTTCAGGCTTCCGCTTCACAATTCTCGAATGCCATTCTCACTGCAGCCCAGCCTTTTTATAATCAGCCAGTGGCCGTGGCTCAACCGGTCGAAGCGGATCGCCCAATTGGCTATGGAGCTTTTGGCGTTGTTTGGTATGTTGTCACATTTGCTTCATGCAATTTATTTTTTAGGGCCGTGACCGATCCGCGTACCAACCGTCGCTTAGCTCTCAAGAAGATGCCCAATGTCTTCCAAAATCTTGCCTCGTGCAAGCGGGTTTTCCGCGAGATTAAAATGCTTTCCACCTTCAAGCATGACAACGTATGGGAGCCTTTTATGCTTGAAAACCAATTGATTTTCAGGTTCTGTCCATGTGTGATATTCTACAGCCAGCCCAGCGCGAGTTCTTTCAAGAGCTGTACGTTTTTCGTCTCAGGGGCCACGTGAGCTGTCTGGCAATTGGGCTTCCCCCAAATGCCACCGCGTCTCTTTCTTTCTTTCCATGTTTATCCCTTTCCACTCTCTGCTAGTCCGTGCCTTCTCAACCGCTCTTCTCCTTCCATCGCTTTCCGTGTTTATCATGAGGGGAGCGTGGCATTGGGCGCGGGCCAACTTTGTCCCAAGCGAGAATATTCCTAATAACCTCAAGGAACCATGAAATGCACTCCGAGTCTCATCATCTTTTTATAGATACGTCCTCACCGAGTTGATGCAAAGCGATCTACATAAGATTATTGTTTCTCCTCAACCGCTGACCACCGATCATGTCAAAGTTTTCGTCTACCAGATCCTGAGAGGTACCATTATGGCTCCATTATAATATTCCAGTTTTAGGGCTCAAATATCTCCATTCGGCAAACATCTTGCATCGCGATATCAAGCCTGGGAACCTCCTAGTCAACTCGAACTGCATCCTGAAGATCTGTGATTTTGGCCTTGCCCGCATTTGGGATTCCCGGGAGCGACAGAATATGACGCACGAGGCAAGTAGATCTTAAGAATATCAATTAAACGTTTGATAGGTGGTAACTCAATACTATCGAGCTCCGGAGCTGTTAATGGGGGCTCGCCGCTACACTGGGGCTATTGACGTATGGTCCGTTGGATGCATTTTCGCCGAATTGCTCCAGAGGAGAATTCTATTCCAAGCTCACGGGCCTATCGAACAGGTAATTAATTATTTCTATGTAAAATCTATATTTTGCTTAATTTAGTTGACGCTTATCATTGATTTGTTGGGGACACCTTCACTGGATGAGATGCGGTATGCATGCGATTCGGCGCGAAACCACGTGATGCGTCTCCCCCAACGGAGTTCTCAACATATTCCGCGGTTCTACAGCCTCAACGCTGGGATGACCGACGATGCCGTCGAGCTGTTGCACCACATGCTCGTATTCGACCCAGTAAGTCACCAGCAACCACATCGAAAACAAATCTATAAAATTATCCGAAGCTGTTCAACTCTATATAACATATCAGCGAACATATCCTTCTAGGATCAGCGAATGACCGTTGATGAGGCGCTGAACCATCGATATCTTGAAGAGGGACGATTACGTTTCCATTCCTGCATGTGCACCTGCTGTTATACCGACCCGCAAGGTCGTCGGATCCAGACGCCCGTTCCGGATCCGGTGCAAGAACAACCATTCGATCCAAAATGGGAAAAAGAAATTGCCCGTTGTTCGATGTTTGAGCTCCGGGATCGTATTTACAAGGTATAAACGATCGGAACACGTTGAACCTTTTTTAAGTTTGTCACCAGTCGGCCACCACTTGGTGACATCCCGTTGTGCATCAACCCACACTCAGCCGCATACAGGAATTTCACCAAGTAGGTTGCGTTTTTATTCCGGTGCCCATCACTCGATGCTCATCATTTGATAAATTAATCGCAAGTTTTCAGTTCGCAAGTGGCGCAAGCATCCGAGCTTCCCCCCGAGCCGGCAAACTGGGAGTGATAACCACCTGGAAGTTTTATCTACTATTTATTAAGCTGCTGTGTGATCGGTTTTTGTTATGTGCATCATATTTCGCGCCGAAACCGCTACTCCAGTCGAAAAACCCATTGTGATGACCCGGGCAAACCAAAAAGCCCACGTCTTTCTCCATACACCCTCTAATTGAATAGCGCGTCTCTATGTCGGTACTGTTTCTCCAGGTGAATGCCCTCGTACGATTTCGAGTACCGCCAAAGATGCCGTTTTGCCCTAATCACCTACCCAGCCTTCTTTCGCACCAACCCTGTAAATTCTTTGTGTGCTTTCCAATGAGCTATTGCACATTGTACTGAATGTCTTTCAGTCGGCTGGCTTCTCGTTTTGTCACATTTGGGGCCTTGATGGCCAGTGACAACGGATCCAGTTCGACCTCCAACTGATCGCCTCGATTTCGACCCACATCTTTCCAAGCCCGCTACAATTTCATATAAACAATGGTTCTACCTTTACCCCCCTGCCCATCCAGGATTTTACCTTAACCCCCGTCGATACCGGCCGCTTCCGTTTTTCTGATCCCCGACGAATGGTGCCCTTTATACCCGAATCGCTTACCAAAAGCCAACCCTGGACTCTGGCCGGATGGCATTTTTTGGATTATCTTGGTAAATTTCTGTGCTACATCGGCTTTTCTACCCATCCCCCCACCCCTTGGTTGAACGTGTACATAACAGCTCTTTCAAGCATCCGTCACGCCTCCATCTGGGCCATTGCCAACCCTTCTCTTCCGTATCTTAATAAGCATTTCCCCCCCCCACCCAGTAAAGTTGAGATGCACTGCATATTTTTGGGTAAAGGTTTGTTGTCTTAGTTGCGCAAAGCTGTACACTGTGTTATTTGGACTATCCCGATCCCAAAGACAGTGCCTGCTTTTTGCAATTCATTTCATTAGTCTGCAGCTAGATCTATGATACCGGAATAGCATAGCCTTTCATTTTAATGTCCCCCAACACTTATCTGAATCGTGTTCCCCACTTCGAGTGACGAAGAAACCCCTGGCTGGGCCTCTTTCGCTCCTCGCTCCCACTTTATAAAGGCTTTTTCAAAAAATTTTGTGATTCAATTCAGTGGTCGAGTTTTCATGATGAATAAATTTTTTGAACATAGAAAGTTATTGAAAGAAATAAACAACACTTCATTTTACCACATATTAATTAATAACATAAAACTGCCATGATCAACCACATAGGTACGTTAAAAAAATGAGCCCTGGCTTGGATGGGAAGCCATATGGGATCATGATGAATTGGCCCCGGGCAGGAGTTGCAAGAAGAGTCCGGATGGCCATTAGCCAGTGTCGCATCGTCCTTTCCCTGCGGGCATATGAGAGCTTTTCTTCCCCAACGGGTCCCAAGCTAAGCCCTATTAATCCTTCGGCCAGCCAAAGCTATTTGTCGGAGTCATCCCTACGAATTAGCGTTTTAGCTTCTAGATATATGACTGTCTATAGTCAACTGCAAGAATTTAAAAATTACCACATGGAAATAGAATATTTATTGTTCGCTCGCTCTTTGGCTTGCATAAGAGTTGTTTGAAGAATCTCGCATAGTCCGAATGCACCTAAACTTTTATTTTCCTTTATTGGTACATGACACAATACCAGTGCTTTGCTAGAAGGGATTCGAACTCCTCAGTGGCCAGGGCAATCAGGACGTTGGGGGCTAGGCGAGGCTTTCTTTTCTTTTTCTTTTTCTTCATCCATTTCTGGGGACTGCTATCTCAGGTGGAGCCGACCGCAGCTCGAGTTTCATCGGCCCATTTTCTGAAGGGCTAGATGTGGACTGGGAATGTCGTTTCAAAGCCAGTTTCTTATAAATATGTCATGTGCTTACGTTGTTTGCATTCAGCTCCCTGATTATCTTGATTGCTGCCAGATAAAGTAATGAAAATATAGTCGACCGTCATAAAGCTGAATTCGGCTGAATCCGAATGATGTCCATTCTTTTGGCTTCTTTAGTTGAACCAGGACGGAATTGACAACGAAAAGCGATTCCGATGAAAGAAAAGAGTATTGTGAATGCCAATCACGGCCTCCTTTTAATTAACCATGTGGAATGGACCTCAGGACCTTTTGGACACTAATTTAGTTTCTGCTACGGATTAATTATTTCCGAAAATACTACTGCGAATTCCGTATTTTTGCTACTTTAGACACGAGGTGAATTGATTGCGCGTGTATTAGGATCAGGGTTGTTCGCGGACGGACGTGGACGCGTCCCCGTCGGCTCATTTACATAAATTTTTGCGGACGGACGGGGACGCGTCCCGGACGGACGGGACGGACGGCGGACGCCGGAAGTAACTGCGTCCGCGATGCAAATGAGCAAACCGGATTCAAATCATAATGAAGCGCCTGGTTTTTCATTGTTGGGCGTAAAACCTTTGGTAGGGTCTGGTTTTTAGCATGTCTACTTGTACATGGCACGTTTGGCACCTACTGTCCAATAAAATCAAATTCACCGCAAAACCTGCAAAACTATTGCGAATTTCCTGGTTTTCATTTGAAGATTACCATGAATTAATTTGCATCTCGGACGCGTGGACGCTCCCCGTCCCCCGTCCGCCATGCGTCCGTCCCGTCCGTCCGGGACGCGTCCGCGTCCGTCCGCAAAATTTTATGCTAATGAGACGGACGGGACGCGTCCGGTCTCGGACGCGGACCGGACGCAAAATGAACAACCCTGATTAGGATAAATAAATTCATGTGCTCCTAGGCATCAACCAAGCGCGTTCAAGATTGTTTTAAATTTTCAATTCGGCTGCGGGCCTTCCATAATAAATAGCTGATTAACATCTAATTAACACCTGCAGTCGGCAAGAGCACTGCCTTCGAAATATAGCGCGCGTTCTCTCTGAAATAAATCAGCTGTGGGTGCTCCCAGGCCTTATTTCATCATTTCCGATTTAAGCTAAAGGTTGATTCGATGGAATAGCACTATTCTAATGAGTTGGATGGGTAGCTTTATAGTGCCACAATAGCTAATGGTAAGCCTTATTAAATCCCCGGTCATATGCGTTGGGCTCAGTAGCGTAGAATTTTAGGGGGCTTTCACCGGAATTCCCAGCCATGGGGGGGGGGCGCTTGAATTTTTTAGCACCATACGAACCTCGGGAGAACCCTTCTTCCCCAATCTCTTCAGCTTTGCTTTTTTACCGAGGTAGGGCCAAGTGTTGGGAGAGGGGGAAAAGGAGGGAGCACGACCAGGTGAATGGACGAAAGATTGGCAGTGGCTGGTTGAGTCTCGTGTTGCGTTATGAATGCATGGCTTCCCTTCTGGACCTCGGCTCCCTTCACCGGGTGCCAGCCATGTTATGCAGCCGGAACAAGCAGCAGCTTCGCCCAGACCCGGTCCGACCTCAGCACAATGACTCCATTCGAATGCCAATTATCCTCTGCATCGATTCTGACTATTTAGCTTCTCCCCTCTTCTCTACTCTTCCTCCTCCCACACATGCTTCGCCTATACCCCCCCCCCCCCCCCCTTTTTCTCTTCCCCCCCCCCCCTGGGTTTTCAAACCGACCCCCCAACCCTCCCTCCCCCTCTCCCCCCCCCCTCCCCCCCCAAACATTACATTTTTTTTTTTCTTTTTAAATTTATTTCCTTTTTTTTTTTTTTCCCCCTGTTTTTCCCCGAATTTTTCCCTTTTTCTTTTTTTCCAAATTTAATTTCCTTTTTTTTTTCTTCTTTTTTTTTTTTTTTTTTTTTTTTTTTTTTTTTATTTTTTTTTTTTCCTTTTTTTTTTTTCTTTTTTTTTTTTTCCCTTTTTTTTTTGTTTTTTTTTTTAATCCTTTTTTTTTTTTTTTCTTTTTTTTTTTTCTTCCCCCTTTCTTTTTTTTCGAATTTTTTGTTAAAAATTTTTTTTTTTTTTTCCTCCTTTTTTTTCTTTCCCTTATCCTTCAAACTTTTTTTTAAATTTTTTTTTTTTCTTCCCCTTCCCCTTTCCCCCCCCTCCGCTCACCTTTTTTTTATTTTTAATCCTCCTCCCGCCCCCTTTTTTTTTCGACACCCTGTATATTTTCATTTTTGTGCACATCGCAATTATTGAACCCGAGAAAAGCTTTCATCGGCGCGAAAATTCAGGCCTAGCCATTAGTTGATATTTAAAGCATAATGGCTTTCCCCGATTACCAGCAAGTGCGCTTTCCTACGCGATCCTCTGTTGCCTACTGGAAAATCCTAAAAGATGGCTAGAAAGACCGTTTATTCTCATAACATTTCCCTTTTGCGCAGGAAATCAGTGGTTATAGAGAGGCCTTTAATTTTGCGTTCCCATAATCGTCCGGCAATCCGGACAGGGGAGGGGAAGGGGACTGGGCAGGGTGCCCATTTAGCCTGATTCAGTTCATTCCGTCGGGACAATGTTGGGGTTTTTATTGATTGCTCCCATGCAATATTTTATTTGCTTACACAATATCATTTTTGTTGTTTTCGAATTGCGTAGCGGAGGTCAAACCTTTGGTGGAGTGGATAAGCTGAACGGGCGCCCCGCTGGATTTCCGGGGGGATGAGCGGCCGTGAAGTGAGGCCTTTCACGAAAAAGGCAGGCATCCGGAAAAGCTTTCACCGTTTTCTTTCTATCTCTCGAATTGCAGATGCGGTCACAGCAATCCCTCGACTCCTCATCATTATATACAAAACTCAAGCGACTGCAGTGGATCCGAAATGTGCTCAGGGAGGAATCTAGGTTAGTCGGTCTCTTAATTGCAAAGAGGTTAGATGCGACAAAGCGCATTGGGATCAATCAGTGCTACTCCGAACATTCCAAAAGCGCTTTTTAAACAAAATTTTCGATATATGTAGTTTGCGCTGAATGCATTGCTCCATGATAGCGGCTAAAAATAGAAGAAGCGGGGTTGTCTCTTTAGAAAATCATGGACTGAGATCTCGGACTTCAGAAAACGGCTCGACGCGAGTCGATGGGGTGGTGGCACAGAGAAATTGGATTGAGAGCCGAGCGCTGCCACTTCGTTGGCCACATTTTCGGCCATCTTCTATTTCGAAATCCACGTCTGGGGCTAAGGCCGGATGTATTCACCGGATCCTTCCGGGTGTTATTCGGGGAAAGGCTACCTCTGAGAATCGTATGAATGGATTCACGGCTGCGCGAGCGCATCAACCGATATTCCCTGACCATTCAAACAATTCCTGAGCACGTCACTTCAACGTTGCGACAATGGAATGAGTTTTGGTGTGCTCGTTAAATGAGAGAAATTTTTGAATTGTCCACCGACGCTTTGGTTTCAGTGACCGACTTTTTTGAAGGCGATTTAGGGCAAAAACGATATACCAAATGTTCCACCAAATCTCAAAAAAAACAAACAATTTATGCCTATGGTTAAGTGTCAGCTCTCTTTAACAAAGTACCAGTTTCTGTTTGTGGGATGGGTTTGGTGAGTGAAAAACTGAGAATCTGTCAGGAAGTGGCGGTTGATGGCAGAAACCTAGCTGCCCCAGCCCTCCATGCCATGAATATCATAGACGGAGGGCCAATACGAAGGGGCGAAGGGGGGGAATGCGAAGATGAATGCCAGCCACACGCCACACGAGCTCTCCTTTCCTTCCAGTCTTTTCAGCCGATCAAACCAGCCGACCAATTAGCGGCTTAGCCCCCAATGCCGAGCGGGGATGAGGAAATTTAGGTGGGCGCCTTCCGGACTAAAGGTATCCAGGGGCAACCCTTCATGGCATCAACCTGTACGACCAAACCGCCGGCGCGACAAAATAAATTCATTATCGGATGTTTCATTATTATACCCCAAATTAACCTCGCTTCTTTTCCCGCCTTTCTCAATCTCATTGGGCCTCGAAAAAGGTCCAAATTTAGGCGATTGTTTTCTCGTTGTTACAGTTGGAATCGTTGAAATGCATCAGTTGCCAATGTAGCTTCATTAGGGATGAGGGTCCTTTTGAATATATGGATGCTTTTTTCGTTTGCCCGCCACGTGACGCCCACGTTTGGCCCTTTTCTAAAGCCTTCACCCATGTTTGAGGGACACTGTATAGAACACATAGGCCCATTTCCATTCGATCCTTTGATATTCAAGATCAACCTGCCATCTATGCCGTTTGGCCCTAGGCCACAAATCTGGGGTCGTATTAGACCCGTCGCGCTCGTTCCGTTGCCTCCATTTGGGTTGTGCCCCCACTTTAATCCCCCACCAAATATAGCACGTCTATCTCAGCCCCGGATTTATCTGTTGACATAACCAGACGGCGAATTCCCAGTGTTTTCGTAGATATCAGAATCTACGTATCACTTTGGAAATTTTCATCTGCCTAAGCTACGTCTTGAGGTCATTACTTTATCTGGGTTTGATGACTTAACGATATTTTGGTTGCTATGACTGGGCTTAGATATTAGCACTCGAAATAATCATGGATTTAGAATAAGTTCTGTCCTCAAAGGTCTACTTGACCAACCTAGGCTTTATTCATTAATAAAAATCCGCGAACAAAGCTAATTGATAAAAAATTAGCATTTTTGCTATAGTGTGTGGCACCTTTTTCCATTGGGTATGGCTCTAGCGGTAGAATTGGGTAATCGACGGAAATGAGCGTTGGGATGGGTTTTGGCTTCGGGGTTAGTGGGGGCGGTTGAAGCGCGGCGGGCCGTGACTCGGAAATGATCCTCGGTCATTTGGAATGGTGCTCCCCCGCATCGATCCGCCCCTCGAAATTCGTCTGCTAAACGGCAATTTGGACGAGAAGAGCCGGGCCAAGCATTCGTGGCCCTTCCACAATTTGCGCGTCTTCAACTCGTCCCTTGGTTTTCCCTAGGGGGAGAGTCGGCTTGGTCCCCCAACGGGGGACCTCTTCGCAAATTCATCTTCGCCCATGTTTTGACCAGCCCACTCCGCCATCTCCCCCCTCACTACATATACCCAATAGACTAGAAAAGGCCCGGATGCCTGGAAACCCATTTTTCTATTCCGGCGTTGAACGCTGCTTTTGACGGGGCTTTAAAGGCCATCCCGACCCACAATCTCCCTTACATTATTCACCCCCTGAAATTTGTGCTAAAGTGAGAGCCCTGGCTGGACAAGCGTGGGTTCTTGAATATTTTCTATTCTGGCACTACAAGAACAAGGGATTCTCATTCTTTAGAAATGTTGGTACTTAATTGCCCCAAGATACCGCCTAGGATCCTACCTTCCAAAAAAATGTTTTCCCCCTAGTCGTAAGCCGGATTAAAAGCTTGCAGCGTGAATTTCAAGCGCATTGGCTGCACCGTTTCATGGGTTCCTTAGACCTATTAGTAGTAATGGGGACCCGCGGGCTTTTCCATTTTCGCCCATTTATCGGCTAACCAGCCGTCGCCGCGTAATGCTGTTAGTCGGTGTATCGTGCACAGCCAGCATCGACGGCTAGTAAGCGGTAACAAGGGCTCTCGACCTATTAGTCCATTTGAAACATTCGATCTCGGAGTCATTCGTCTCGTCCCCATATACGGGATTACGAATCAATGTGGCTAAAAACGGCAAAATATTTTCGGAGCCCAGGTGGCGTCAAACAGTTGTTCTCTCTGCGCAAGGCCCATCGTTGCCCATTGTTTTTGCCCCGATTCCACGGGAACTAGTCAGACATTGTGGTCTCGTTAGAAAGAAGCCATAGAACCTATCGTCGATTTATCGCTTTTGGTCATTCTTAACAATTGATGACCCTTTTTCTCAATCTACTGCGATATACATCGATCAATTTCGCGTCTTAATTGTAGGTAAAAAATTTCAAGATGGGGGAAGGTATTTAATTTAGTTTAGGTTGTCAAATTGAGATCCATATGCAATATATTAATTTGTATTTTGTTTAAGGATGGGCGATGAGGCCGGCCCTTCGGATCGCGGAGGGCCTTCACAAAGAGCCGCCGGCTTCCTGACGGCCGCCGCCATGGTTGGTTTTCAACATTAAATCAGGTTAAATATATTCGTGTGGTATTGGTCTAACCAATGTCAATCCTACTACATAAAAAAGTGTTTGTGTGAGCGTGCCCCTTTGCATGCAACCTTCGTCCGGGTGTTCGGAGGACATCTCGTTGGACAGGAGTTTTAAAGGGATGCAGACGGCATAGACAATCGGTTACGCGCGGAAAAGAAAATGTCTCTGCGCCTCTCCCCTGGGCGCGCTCTCTCCCCTGTTGGCTACTTGCCAATTTGTTGATGGGGGATCGACACATGCCGTCCGCAGCCCTTTAAGCTACGCATTATATGCCATTAGGTGCATAATGGCCCTAAGATGGCTGCACACATACCAGATTTTATAAAATCAGCTATTTTCGATATTGAATTGAAGTTTTTGCGGAAATCGGGAAGACTCTTTGTTAGGAAACAATTAGCATACACCGTGAATTGTGGTAGCCTATTTAAAAAGACAGAAGGAGCGTGATTCATTTTTCTCAATGAGATTTGTCTAGAAATAAGCAAAGTGTATAAGAACATATATCCTAAACGCAGCATTTGTTGAACCAACCCTGAGATCATTTCCAAATATCTTCCGTGGCATTAATAGCTCGGCTGACTAAACAATACCGGCCAGCCTGTTGTTGCTTTGCCGTTTGTGAGCTATAGCAGGGCTCAAATTTAGCTGTGGGCGGCCCTCCGTCAAATTTCTCAGCGGCAAGCCATTTTTTTAGGTGCGGCAACAAAGTGACACGACTACAAACCGGCGCCTCACACGGGATCGCGCTGTCGACGAATGCGAGCGGCCACAGACAAGCTACCAACCGGAGGTAGACACTTTGCCATGTTTTTTTGGTTTCCAATGTCCGTTGGCTGCATGGGATGGGGGACACTGGGCATGGTCATGATGGGGATGATGTGCCTCCCTGTTGTCCCCGGGGACCCTCACATCCTTGCACATGCTCAACCCTTTCAGCCTACCCTTTCCAAAACTCCATAGCCATCCTACCGCCTTCAGCCATAGTTTTACACAAATTTACGCCCGGGCTCGGGATAACTAGATTTCGCGAACTAACCGCTTTCACTCTCGGATTTTACTAGGCAACCGGGACCTTGATTTACCGTGACAGCCATATGCCCCAAAACCCGGAACAGCGGGCAGGTAGTAGCCTGAATTGGATATTATTTTTGGGCGTGTTGCACAAAGCTTTTTGAATTGTAAACCCCACAAAATGATATAATTTCGGCGTCTAGCAGTTTCGCTAGTCGGTTTCTGGTGATTTCTTTGTAAATTTTTGCATTTTCTAAAACCTAAACGCAATTTTTGAAAATCTTTAATACATCAGCTAAAATTTATTGGAATCCATCAGAAAGCTCATTGACAGCGTGCGGATGATGACCATTTGCAAGGAGACATTTCAATCAGCAATCCACCTCCCAAAGAGGGCTCTCCAACCGAGGCTACCCCTCTAGACCCCCCCCCCCCTCAATATACCATTCCAGAAGAACACGCATTTCTCTCCATTTCATCCCTCCCGGCTCTCACGAGAAGCCCCCTTCTCGTGTCCAATCGTAAATTTCAACCAAATATCCTGCAAATTAGCGTTAATGTGCGCATCCGAGAGTGTTGAGGGTTGTTGAGGGTTCATATAGAAACGAACGCCGGGCAGATAGCAATTTCAGGCCGCCTCTTATCTTTCTTGAAATGTTGTGTTGCCCTTGAGGTAAACGGAATCAACCGATCCCGCTTCCCTTCCGCGTCATTCTATGTATTTTCACAAAATTCACCGACTGGCTGATCCAACGCTTTTCAATATCCAGATTATTGTGCGTCACATCTAGAAACGAATATTTTTCATCATGAACGTATCTCCTTTCCACATCGGCTGCATTTAGTTCGTCACTCGTTTGAATATATCATAGCATTAAATAGATTTTATAACAAGATTTCGTATAGTGAGTGCTTCTTTAAATTTGTTAATCTATCCACCACGACACAAGACGAATGTTTGAATGAAAGTCATCTTGATTTATTCGTATCTGTAATCCAAATATTGATTTCCCCTACTTTTGACCCATCCCTTGGTAGCGGCTGTCAGAACGCGTATAATCAATGGCTGGAAAATCATACTAATCAAAAAAATTATTTTCAGCCAAACTCGATGTCCCCGATGTTGTGTCGACCGACGCGAACTGTCGGTGTTGTGCAGAAAGGCAAAAGCGACTCATACATGCAGCTGAACCAATACCGGCTAATGGAGGAGATTGGCCAGGTTAGTGTTTTTCATTAAAAAGCGCAGCTACTTGTTTGGCAGTTGTTGTCCGTAGGAGGACTGGAGCCTTGTTCCAGAGCCATCCGCATGTCATTATTCCACGGCGCCCATTTCGCTCCAAATTGAAATTCGGCCCCAGTCACACCCCTCCGGAAATGTCAGTATGTCTCGCGTTAGTCAAGGGTCTTTCGGGACGTGCTGATAAAAGTTATGTTTTGGGGGTTAGATTCTGAGAAGCTGTCATGCACAGGCTTTATTCGGGAAACAATGCGTGGGCCTATCCAGTGAATTAAAATATCGGAAGCCGTTTCTAGAGTCGAGTGCAGTCGGCAAAGGAAAAGGCTTCTAATTTGTGTATGCTAATGCGAGTGGACACGAGTTGTCGATCCGGCGAAGGGGGAGGGAGAAGCGGAGGGTAGAGAGAAGGTCGGCGGGGGATCTCCTCATTTTCGCTGATTAATAAATAAATGGAGTTGGCCTGGGGAGGGAGAGCACTGGGGCTGAGATTGGGCGGCGCCTCAGGGGTCTCGTCAGCGCCCGCCCCTCCCATGCCTTGAAAAGTGGCTCCACACCTGCCAGGAGGCCCTCCCTCTCTTCATTTATTTAAACTGCCTTAAAATTGTGTATTGTGGCCAATGACTCCAACTTTTATTATCCCTAACTTGGAAATCGAACTACCCTATATGGATGATGACGAAGAAGAAGAAGAAGAGTTGACCGGGCTACTCCATCCAACTATTCACACCAATATTCAACCGCTCGGTCTGCAACCACCCCGTGCAAAGACCCCGCTTCATCATTCCACTTCCGACTATAGCCCACCCAGGCTCGAAATCCAGAGGCCCCATTCAGCTTGTTCCGTCATCCCGCATACTTCCTATTTTTGGTTGGATCGAGAAAATATATTGGCAAAGGTTGGTAGAGGCCGTTTTAGCAACTTTCCAGCCTTATCAAGGATAATTACTTTTCGTTAATGTTCGCTAGGGGCTAGGCAACATTGGAGGATGGATCCGAGCATCCACATCGAAATTGGTATCTCGTACTTACGGGCGGCTTTTACTGGATGGCCCTTGCCGGGTGAAGAAGAGAAGGAAACCCCCAGAAGAGCGGAAATTTCGGGGAGCATCCCATAGCATTTTCATTTCGCAAAAAGGTGCTGCCATCGATTTTTCCCCCAAAGGAGAATGGGCAGCTGATTCACACGCTGAAGAAAATGACTCTTTGTATTTGCAGCGTTGTTCATGCGAACCTATTTTCAGACAAAAATTCCTCCAAATTTTTGCACGAAGAATCCTTGAAAACGCCCGCACGAAAAGTAGGATTAGTGTCGTCTAATCGTTTGAGGGCGCTTGGTGAATGGGCAAAACGTTTGTCATCATTTCCTTTCCAAAAGAATGACTTTTTGGAGAAAGATTTTGATCAATTGTGAGATCTCTCCGTTGGCTCATTTCAATGTTTCCGCCTTGTTAGAGGACGGGGGCAAGGGCTCTGAAATATGCATTAACCCGGGGGGCTCCGACGAAGCCTGAGAACGAAAATGTGCACGAGGCTTTCCGACAAATCTCAAATGCAATGTTTTCAGGGTTCATATGGCATCGTAAAGCTGGCGTATAATGAGCAAGACAAGAACCTCTACGCCATGAAGGTGCTCGACAAGATCAAGTTGCTCAAAAATTTTGCGTGTTTTCGTAGGTCAATTATCCGTTTTGGATCTCGATTTTAAGGCCAACCGCCAAAACGGCAACGCTCATCAACGGCGCAGATGAAAAACCCCCTCCAGCTCGTTCAGCGCGAAATAGCAATATTAAAGAAGCTGGCGCATCCAAATGTGGTCAAATTGGTTGAGGTTCGTTGGCGAATTTAAAGTGGGTAATTTAAAGTCGCTTAAAATATCACCTTCATTATTCCTCAATTGCAGGTGTTGGATGACCCTAGCGACAATTACCTTTACATGGTTTTCGAGTATGTGGAACGGGGGTCGATCCTTGAAATTCCTACAGAACGACCACTGGATGAAGATACGGCCTGGAAGTATTTTCGAGACACCCTCAAAGGGCTGGAATACCGTAAGAAAGTTTTAAAGTCGTGTTTGCAATAGTTTTTCATTTTAGTTCATTATCAAAAAATTGTACATCGTGACATTAAACCATCGAATCTTCTGTTGAGTGAGACTGGGCATGTGAAGGTTTGTTCAGCTTTACTTCCATACTTTTCAAAAACACAGATTGCCGACTTTGGAGTGTCGTGCGAATTCGAAGGAATCGATGCTTTCTTGTCTGGTACCGCTGGGACACCGGCATTTATGGCTCCAGAAGCACTTACCGGTCAGAAAGACCCAAAACAATCTGGAAAGAAACATTTTTTAGAAGGAGCAAACCATTTCTACAGTGGGAGGGCCCAAGATGTTTGGTCACTTGGGGTCACACTTTACGCTTTTGTAATCGGACAGGTGCATCTCGCGAAGATATAATTTTTTAGTTATTTAGGTACCATTTTGGGATCCATATGTAATCGCTCTGCACCGGAAAATCAAAAACGACCCAGTCATATTTCCAGACTTGTAAGAAACATTTTATTTTTCACTCGTTGCCGATTTAGGCCTTTTATCAGTGATCTTTTAAAAGATTTAATTGTCTGCATGTTGAAGAAAGATCCTGGCCTCCGGTTGATGCTAAATGAAATCAAGGTGTGTATTTTAATGCATTTTTACTTTCGATTTTAGGTTCACCCTTGGGTGACCCGCTTTAGCACTGTGCCAATGCAAAATGAAGCTGAAAATTGCAAATTGGTCACAGTTACAGGTGAGACCGCGGTCGACCTAGGTAATGGCTTAATCGATTTTCAGAAGAAGAAATTGAAAACTGCGTGCGTGTCATCCCACGGTTGGATACGCTGATCCTTGTTAAAGCTATGGGCCATCGAAGACGATTTGGAAACCCATTCAGGTTCATAATTCGGTATCTCGCTTTTACCACTGCATCCGTTTAGACAAAACAGCCTCAATCAAAGTGCCGGTCACTTCAGAGAACGAAGAAAATCAAGCTCCGTCAAGGATGCTAAGTATGTGCCTGTAGAAAACGGTTATTAGATGTTCAACGCGTTTCCTTTGAGTCGATGGTCAGACTGTTTATTCGGGCTTGCACTCACATATATATAGCCACGTAGGAGGGGGAAAAGATGTAGAGTGCGGAGAGGGTCAGAGGGGAGGCCATTAGTGGCCGAGATGGAGGAAAATGTAGGGGAAAAGGTGACTGTCCGGGGGAGAAGGAGATGAGGGGGCGAATCATCTTTACGAAAATATTAGTATAAAATTCTATTTTCGACACTCCACTAGGGAAAAAAGGGGATAGGGACGGCAAGACGTCGGTGGGTAGAATGCTCTTACTAGAAAATAGGGTGCCACGCGGGACTTATCAAACAAGAAAAAGATGGACAAACGAAAAGCATGGGAGAAGGGTCAAAACGCGTAATTTTACTCAAAAAACGATATTTGTCGGTTTAGCTTTTTCCTTGTGGTCGTTGTCCATTTGCCGTTGAGCCCAAGAGGAGAGGAGCCACATCAGGCGGCAACGAGTCGTCAGGCGGGCGGCAGAGGGCGACGATTGAGTTGGACGGGCCATCTGTGGCGTCGGCAGCAGCAGAGCGAATCGATCGCCTACGTCCGTAGGCGAACCCTCCCGGTCGGAGAAATGAAGGCGGATATAGAGCGAGGGGAGCAACGGGGTCGGGATTGCTGGAGAACAGGCGTCTCGACAGCTCGACAGCGGAAGATACGCGACCATGACGGCGGGCGGGCCCAATGGGACGAAGGCTGTGTGGAGCACGACGTCGCTTCAGACGCTGAGAGGACCGTGGCCTCAACAGCGGAGGTTGGGCGTCCGTGACGGCAGGCCCAATGGGACGAAGGCTGTGTGGAGCACGACGTCGCTTCAGACGCTGAGAGGACCGTGGCCTCAACAGCGGAGGTTGGGCGTCCGTGACGGCAGGCCCAATGGGACGAAGGCTGTGTGGAGCACGACGTCGCTTCAGACGCTGAGAGGACCGTGGCCTCAACAGCGGAGGTTGGGCGTCCGTGACGGCAGGCCCAATGGGACGAAGGCTGTGTGGAGCACGACGTCGCTTCAGACGCTGAGAGGACCGTGGCCTCAACAGCGGAGGTTGGGCGTCCGTGACGGCAGGCCCAATGGGACGAAGGCTGTGTGGAGCACGACGTCGCTTCAGACGCTGAGAGGACCGTGGCCTCAACAGCGGAGGGTGGCCGTCCGTAACGGCGGGCCCAAGGGGACGAAGGCTTCGTGGAGCACGACGTCGCTTCAGACGCTGAGAGGACCGTGGCCTCAACAGCGGAGGTTGGGCGTCCGTGACGGCAGGCCCAATGGGACGAAGGCTGTGTGGAGCACGACGTCGCTTCAGACGCTGAGAGGACCGTGGCCTCAACAGCGGAGGTTGGGCGTCCGTGACGGCAGGCCCAATGGGACGAAGGCTGTGTGGAGCACGACGTCGCTTCAGACGCTGAGAGGACCGTGGCCTCAACAGCGGAGGTTGGGCGTCCGTGACGGCAGGCCCAATGGGACGAAGGCTGTGTGGAGCACGACGTCGCTTCAGACGCTGAGAGGACCGTGGCCTCAACAGCGGAGGTGTGGGGGCCCTGGGGAAGGCCGTCAGGCAGATGAGGGCGGCGTCATCGGAGGGCGCGACATCGGTCTGGGCCTGGACGATAGGCCCGGCAGCCGTATCGATCAACCAGTAGCCCTTTAAGCGGTGATCTTCGTGGCGAGCACGGACGACACGCCAAAGGCGGGGCCGCCCAACAGGAGGCTGGGCTGGACGGTCTTGGGGACCAACGAGCTGAGCCGGGGCGGATGATTCGGTCGCAAGACTCGCGTAAAGATGGGTGCCACGATGATTGGCGTGCACAAGGTTTCCACGTCCAGAAGGCCATCATCGAGGACGACGGTCAGAGAAATGGTCCCATAAGTCCGCTGCAGGGTTTGGCCGCCAAAGGTGTTGACGGCAATGGCGCAGGGGGGAGATTCGGTCAGCCCCAGACTGGTTTTCAGCTGATTCGTGGCATAGCAGCGGTTGGCCCCGGAATCCAAAATGGCCCAAACGGTAACTTGTTGACCGGTGAGGGGATTTCGCACAGGGACTTGAACGAGCAGCAGCGACGTGGGAGCTTGCGCTGCAGGCTGAGAAGCGACGGCGGTGGTCGCTTCCGGGATGATTTCTTCGGCATTCGCCACGGGAGCAGCACAAGGGCGAGGGCTGGACGGCACGGGCGGGGAACGGGGCCTCAGCGGAGTCCCCGTAGCACACCAAGTCATGGTGGGTGCCTTGGCAACGGTTGCACCGTCGGGAGCACGAGCAAGGGGGCTGACCCGGTTTGCGACGACGAAGACAGCGATGACAACGGTCCAGGCGTTTCAAACAGGCTAGGCGGGCTGCGGGAGTCGTGACGACGGGGCAATCCCGAACCCGATGGAGTTGGGGGTCCTCAGGGGTGGAGCAAAGGAAGCATGGAAGCTGCGGGGTCGGACGGTTCGGGCCCTTGGTGGGTGTCCCCCCGACATTTTCCACATGCGAACTGAGGGTCGTCGTCGCCGAAACGGGCGGGCGGCCCAGTGCCACTGGCTTGGCCGGGGCGAGTTCCACCAGTCGGGGCAAATGAGCCATGAGGGCATCCGTGTTCCAAAGAGCCGCGGCGAGACGAGCGCTGAAGAGGTAGGGCTTCATCCAGGAGGGCAACGCCTTCTCGATGGCTTGCTGGATGGCCCGCTGATTTTGATCGAGCCCGACTCGCTTAGCTTGGGCGAGGAGTCCAACGACTTGGTTTAGGAAGCGGGAAACGTCCCTGGGGTCGTCATCGGGGCAGCGGAGGCCCACCAGGCGATCGTAGATGGCGACCTTGCGGAGTTCTGGGGAGCCGAATTTCTCGCAGACATATTGCCACGCTCCGTCGAAGGCTTCATTAGAAAGGTCGAAGCCATCGATGGTGCCGGCAGCATTGCCGATCAGGGAGGAGCGAAGATGGGCCATCTTGGCCAAGCCGGGCAGGGGGGAGAGGACTACGGCCGCGGAGAAACATTGCTCGAAGGCGACCCATTCGAGAGGGTCACCGGAGAACTTCGGGATGGACATTTTCGGCAAGTTCAGAAACAGATGCCGGCCGCCTGGATCACCTGGGGCGTCTGGGTTCAGCCACTGCCAAGGCCTCGGTCCCGGCGCGGCGGCGGGGTGGACCAAGGGCTGGCGGGAAGGGCGGAGGTGAGGCGGGAGGACGCCGGAGAACCGCATCTTCGCGAGGTTCAGCTCGAGCGTCGGCGCCGGAGGCAGAGCCGGCGACGGGCAGGGTAAGCGGCGACTCGAGGCGGGGCGGTTCTGGCCGAGGAGCGGAGCCCGTCGACCGAGTATCATCAAGTTTGCGCCTCTCTTGGAACGCTTGGTTGAGGATTTGTTGCACCTTGTCGCACGTCTCACCCGCATCCAGGAAGGCCTCTTCGGGGCCATCCGCGGCGAGCATATAGGCGGCCAACTTAGCATCTTCGGGTTCCAACCGTTCGGCGGGGAACTGGGCAATCAGAGCGCCCCAGCGTTGCTCATAGACCTGATGGCGGGAGCGGTACTGACGGGCGTGCTGAAGCATGTCCTCGAAAAAAGCATGGGCGCCAGTTTGGGTGTCCGCAGCGGCGCTGAGCAATTGGGCTCTTCGCTCCTCCAACACGGTATTCGCCTGCTCGTTGAAAGACCACCACCCAACAACCGCCTTGGTCCAGGCACCTTGGATACCCGACGTCATGGGGCAAAGAGGACGGCAGCCCGGCGCAGCGTATCGGCTCGGGGGCGACGAATAGGTCGGGAGTGGCGACCTTTTCCTGTGCCCTGGGGGAAGCGAAAAGCTTCAGAGGGTCCCACCGCCGAGCACCACGAGAGGGGCTGGGGCGGGAGAGGGCTCGGGGCACGAGGCCGAGCGCGGGGCGAAGGCCGACGAAGCAGGGCTGAGCTGGCGAGCCGCTTTGGAACGACGATCGATTAGGATCAGGGCCGGAGCAGAGACGCCGGGGGCCCGAGGATGATAACGACGATTCGGTCGGCCGATTCAAGCGAGGATTATAGCGCGACTCGGTAGATGAAGGCGACGAACGGCGCATCCGTTGGTCAAAGCACCCAAGGGTACCTTAAGACTCGGGCTGGGGGCTTATAACCGCCGGGGCGGGAGCACCGCACACGCAACTGCAAGAAAAAAGGCTCCGCGAGGGAACAAATCGAAAAGGGGGTCGGGCACGGGAAAGAGCCGACGCGGGTGAGGAAGGCGACGAACGGCGCCTCGGTTGGTCCGAAATCACCCAAGGAAGACCCTAAGACTCGGAGCTGGAGGGGGCTTATAACCGCCGGGGCGGGGCACCACACACAACTGCAAGAAAAAGGCTCCCCGAGGGATCAAATCGGAAAAGGGGTCGGGTACGAGAAATAGCCGACGCACCAATGTAGAAAACGGTTATTAGATGTTCAACGCGTTTCCTTTGAGTCGATGGTCAGACTGTTTATTCGGGCTTGCACTCACATATATATAGCCACGTAGGAGGGGGAAAAGATGTAGAGTGCGGAGAGGGTCAGAGGGGAGGCCATTAGTGGCCGAGATGGAGGAAAATGTAGGGGAAAAGGTGACTGTCCGGGGGAGAAGGAGATGAGGGGGCGAATCATCTTTACGAAAATATTAGTATAAAATTCTATTTTCGACAGTGCCGCCGGTCGCTGTGGGCGAGATTGAAAAAGCGGCCGACAAGTTGGTTTTACATATAAGCCATAATAATTCTTTGTAGTGGCATTGCCGAGCTCAACGGTGAGCTGACCGGTCTAACAATTAATGGGCTACTGCCGAACGGCAATTCATCGCGAAGTGCCAAAGCTGCTACAGCTCGACAATGAAAATTTGAAATCTATATATCATCACTCGTGGCCTTTTGAACATATGCCCCGCGAACAATTAATTTTATTTGTTTGTTATCCTCACTATCAACGACTTGTGCCAACACTGCTTGCCTTAATTCTGCCCGGTGATTAGGAATATTAGATTTTTGTACCGTTTCGTTCCGTTGCGATGCCGACGAAACCAAATAGATAGCTTTTTCTCAAACTTCCTGAGGATTATCGGTTGCTATATAATGAATTACGCCTATTCCTGCTCCTGAAAGCCCGGGTAAATGGGGATCAATACTTCCCCGCTCGATTTTATGCATTCCGTAATTGCCGTGTACCCCAACCACCCGAGATCTCTGCGCTGTACATAGTACAAAATCCCCTTTCCACGAAAGACCTTGTATCCCCCGCCATAGCGCCTTTGACGATCTCCCATTTCCGTTGCCAAAATAAAGAGATTATGCCCGCTGAGGTATTTATTCAACATGAGATTATTTAAAAAAGCGCATGAAAAAAGATTGATCGCCACTAGTTAGTCTTGAAAGATTTGATTAGTAAATGCATCATGAATTTGTTAAGAGTTAGTCGGAAGTGGTAAACAAATATCAAATAGTAAACTAACACGTATAGAAAATGCTCAATGGTAATCGAAGCACTTTGCGTTTCATCAAACATTTTCTATCGGTTAGAACGAGCCCGTATTAATAATTGTAGGTAGGGTAAAATTTTGGAGTTGCAGGGGGCCTGAGTTGTAAATGAGGGGTTGGGATATTGATGATACCGCGAGAAGCTCACTGACTAGCAAAATCTTTCACTATTTTCTATTATATTAAGTGTTGTTTAAGATATATACAAGCAATAGCCGCTGCGCTTAAGAGAACCATCCGGTTTCTTCCCGGACAAAAATGCTTTTGGCTGCGGCGCAGGCGCTCCAGAATACGGCGACGACCGGATCCACGCCTGCCAGGAAAATACGGATGAGGAAGTGGTAAACTAGAATCGATATGACAATATACAATTCAACCCACCTCCAGCTAAAAAGTCGACTAGGAAACTGAGATTATCGGTCATATTGTCCCACAACTCATATAGCCCGTCGTACAGCTTAATATTTTTGTTTTGGGTTTAACCTAATCAAAATACCGCTCCAAAAAGATGATCGCTGATGGCAAGAGCTAAGCGCACCATCACGGTAAGCCCCTTAATGATGTCGGCAAGCACGGAGGTGATGCCTAGTTTTCGATTATCTCACATTTGAAATTAGGACCTGTGCGTATCTCTCCAAGCAATGCTGTTGCCTCGTGCTGAGCTTCTGCATAGACGTCATCGTGAAAAGTGGCGCAAAGCGTTGGTCCTAGTGAAGTGCCCAAGACGGAGTCCACCGATGTAAGACCCCTAATATTTGATATACATAACGCATCGGGATAATGCCTACCGGCAGATATAGGTATCTTCAATCGCGTAAAAGGTCTTTCCCACCCGATAAGCGATGACGAATGAAAAAAGGGCTGAGACGGCTAAGACGATCGCGACTGTCTTGACCATCATATCTCTAAAATTCGGAAGGTTTACGCATCGCTTTGACCAGTAAACACCGAAATTTCAAAAGCAGTTGGGAATCAATGGCATGCCAATGAAACAGCCACTTCAACTCACTTCAGAAAGGCTTCATTGCATTTGATGTAACTTCGAACGTCAGCGAATCTTTCACTGGCAGTGGCAACCAGCTTTTTCGACTCATCTCGAATAAATAACGGCAGGTTCAAAATGAAATTGCGCAATAAGCGCAATTGGCTGACGACATCGACCTGCAAGTAAATGTTATGGTAATGCACCCTATCGTCTATCGTCTCGCGAAAAATATTTTGTAATCTACCTCCGGCACTTTCTCCAATGGTGTACCTCCATTCACGAGCACATGCCCGTGCTTGTCGACATAGCCATTTACCTCGACTTCTGGAAAGCGGCCACTTAAAAGTAATGCCCAGCCAACTGACCGGTTAGGGATTGTCTGTCAACATCAACATTTGTCTCCAAAACTACCTCTTGAACGGTTGTTTGAGACATTGCGTCCTCTGAAAGCCAATTGAACATAAAACGTGGATATTTAATCATTGAAGATTTTGTGAAGCAGGCTGTTCGGATGCAGTATTGAAGTACGCATTCTGTTAAGCCGCAAATAGAGCGATGAGGGATGTGTGGGGGAAAGGGCACTCAAGAGCCTCAATGCAATCCGAAGAAAAACAAAGCGCACACACATCGATTCGGCTACGAGGCCAGCTCGCAAAAGTTATTCGTTTAATTAAAAATTTATTGTAGGAAATTAAACTAGAGTTAATCAATGTCATAAACATCAAAGTCAAAAACAAGAATGCATCAGTATTTTTGCAGGTTAACAAAAGTGCAAGGTATGCTATTAAGGTACGCACCGCTCTTTTTTCGCCTAATGGCCGAGGTCTCATTTTCCGAATCAGAATCCGGGTCATTGAAACCGTCCGACTTTTCGTCCTCGCTATAGTCATTAATGCGAATTCGACGATAGGCCGAAAAATCGTGGCGACCCTTTTGCAGTGGATAGGAAGACATTGAATGGCTTATTTCGAGAAAGTGGAGCAAGGTGAAGAAGCGAGAATAGATTGTGAATAGAGCATACACACAGGTGGTAAGCATTGCCAACCCGTGTCCGCAGCAGCTGAGAGCCATGCAAATAGACGTCCTCCCAGCGGCTTAGGACCCGTTTTTTCGTGTCGTCACTGAGTTCGGAGAAGAAAAGGAGCCAATGCAAAGTCGTTGGGAGCAATACAGGGAGAGTCAGGATAGGAACGCTAGTTGGGGGGAGGGGTTCGGATTGCCGAGCCAACTGACACCCTAGGTCCAAGAGCGACTGAGTGAAGAGTCTTTTGCAACTAGCGCTTCCCCTATAACACATTTCTCTCACCCCCCCGCCCCCCAACTGCAGAAAAAAGCATACAAGGCAAAAGCTGCCCTATACTGAGCGCAGAAAAATTTCGGTATTATGCGTCTTGCAGGAGTTTTGTTTATTCTGTAACGTCCACCAGCCTTAAGGCATTGTCAAACCCTTGGCGAGAAGTTTAAGGCACTTAGGGTCAGGTCTGGAAATGAGATTCGCGTGCCCATCATCAGTTTTGAGAACGAAATAATAAGGAGAATCTTGTGAACATGGCGGTGTTGGACCAATCGGGCTTTTGTTAGGCCATGTTTGAACGGATTGTGAAGCGAAGGCCGAACAGCTGTCACATGGACGACAGGCCTATTATGCCGGGTCAGTGCCTACAACCCATTCGCGCACTACCCTCAATTTCCAAGTGGTAACCATTGTTATACGGAGATTCTACGTACGAGAATAAATGAAATCTGGATGAAGATTTCTGCCATTTTTATTTTTATAACAGCTCAGGTTATTTTTAGATTATGATAAATGGGAAACGCAATGTGGAAAGCATAATCCTGCAGCCTATGCAGAATAGAAAACTGGCCTTTGTCCGCATTTACATCTCGACTTTACGTCCGTAGGATACCTTGGCATAGCAGAAACTTAGCTACTGTTGATACGTCAATACATGCGTAATGGTTCTGCGAGGACTGCTCGAGAAATAGAATTGACAAAATCTTTCATTTCCTTGATCAAATTTTAGTCTTGTAAAAGTGGGGGGGGGGGGTGGGTAGCGTATGTAAACTTACATATGGAGTATTTTTATATTTTTGCGGATGAGTCTTCTAAGAGCATTAATGATGCAAATGTATTATTTGCTAGTCAGAAAGGGAGAGACGGCCGTAGGAGCAGATGCGAGCGGATGCAAAGATGGGAGAAGGCGCGGCCGATGCACATGCAGTGGCTGGGCTGGATGGATGGATGGGGAGTCACGTGGTTTGGGAAGGGAAGCCGACAAAGGCCTTCTCCTGCTCAGAAACACGAGACCCGTCAGAACATACATACAAATACGCCCACCCTACCAGTCCACAACTTTACGTACCGTTAGTATCGTACCAGCTGTTCACCAATGACAGCTCCATCATGAAACGAACTAAAGATTTGCTGAGAACAGTATGTTTAGTGCCGATCTCGGCGTCCGAAGAGAAAATAGCCTCCTAGCGGTTCGGTGGAAGCCCAGATTAAGACCCGCTCAAAAAGCACGAATCACAAAATTGTCCCAAAAAAATTTCAATTTTTCAAAATCTTTGTCTGTCCCCAGATGTTAAAAGTTTTCCTTAAAGTTTATTGTTCCCGGAAATTAACAGTGGTTTGATTCAAATAACACAGCACTATGGCTCTCATCAAATGCCGCAAAGCGCGCCCGCACTCAATGGGCATTGTTGCTTGGTCTATCAATACACATGCTAATTAGGGCCCTGGGTTAGCGCCACCCCCGGCACAGTGGCCATAAGTCCCTGGCTGGCCGTAATTAAGGCCCTCGATGGCACCATGACGGATTGATGGTCGGCTCACGAGGCGCCTAATCCAAATAAAATCGGGCACGGAGTAATGATGCAGGCTGAAAAGTCGATAACCACAAAGACGGCTTGCTCTTAAGGACTAACTCGTACTAAAAGCCCCGCTTCGCCGCTTTTTTGAGACCTATTAGAATCTTCAATTTGGATGATTTTCCCAAACGCTATCAAGAAAAATACCCTCTCTCGGTCTAAGCTAATTTTTCCGAAAACAACTATGACTTTTAAAGTAAATCTACTTTAAGCGTGAAAATTAGGGGTCTGCAAGGATCTGTCGGGGGTTTTTTTTGTCAAAAAACTCCGGTTAATCGACCTAAGCGCCATCCCAACTGTCTTTTCGCAAATGGCTTCAAAAAGCTGCGATTGGACTGTTGCAAAAAGCGCGAAAATTAATGATTTGGTATTTTGTAAGAAATATTTTCATCGGAGCAGCATCAGAGATTCGGCTTCAACTTTCTTCAGGCTCTAGGTGCGAAACAGCCTAACCGACACACAAATATTCACTATTCTTTATATGTAAGTAAGCACTAATAGCTGGTTGTTAAACTTGAAGATAGTAAACTACCTCGAATGTTCCAAGGGGAAGCGACTTGTTGACAAATCTTCAGATGGTGTGTGCCTAAAGTTGGAGGGCCCCTAGAGGCATCGAATAAACATATCAAGTGTTGCGATCTCTTTCCACCCATTTCCAACACCAAGGCCCAACCCACCACCAGTCTTCATGCCGGATTCATGCCTCCACTTTATGCTACGGTTTATTCGGTAAAATTCTCGTTAACCCTAGGAGTATAACGTCTAGACATTGGGATCACGGCTAATAGAAAAAGTTACTAAATATGTGTGTGGAAATAGACGTCAGCCCGTCATTGAGGAAAGCCAAAAATGCTTTCGGCTATGATCAGTTAAGAGCGAAAACTGAAATTACAAAATTAACCTGACAATTACAAGAATTCATGAACAAGGAGATTGATAATGGACTAGAATATTTTCAGAGGTTGTTGTTGTTTGCTGAGATCAAGGAAATTCATGGATTATCGAAAGATCGTGTAAATCAGAGCATTACATCATTGTTACTCGCCATCCGTCCGATTGGTGTATACTCATGCTGCGTCGATCTTTTTCGATATGGGCGCAACGAATAAGCAAATTTCTGAAAAAGATAAGCTCCCAAAATTTTCTGCTTGCCTCGGAGAAAGTTCGGCCCTTCGAAGTGCAGAGTTTGAAGATACCGACCGTTGGTATGGCAGCAGCTAAATCCCGAGTTTTTCCAAGTAAGTAAATTGATTATTTCCAAAAACTTTATGGGTTACAAGAGGTTTTTTAGGTTGAAGATAATGATAGCGTACCGGCTGACAAAGCAAAAAATATTCCCGCCAGATTGGCAGTGTCAGAAAACTGGTAATCCTGATAAACCAATGGCCCATAGTTGATAAATGATGAGAGAATCATCAGCTAAAAATCTATTGAATTGCCATCGGAAAACCGAACCAAAAGGAAGAGTGGAGCACCGATGACCCAGCAGAGTTTCCAATACATTCCGGGGCTAAATCCGAGCATTTCCTGAAACCTTTGTCTAAAAACATCAAAAGCATCTGACCTTTAGATCCAAAACAAATTGCCGGCAGCCGTAGAAATAGGACACAACCACAACTTCGCAGAAAACGGCAATTAGTAAGCCCCAGGTTGTTCCATATACGATCAGCCACTCCATAATCAGAATTCCGCCCTAAGTTCGTCACTATATCTTGTCTTCTACATCACTAACCTGTGTACAGATGAAATAACCAATGAGCATGTAGAAACCAAAAAGGAGGCCGATAAAGATTTCACGATGTTTTTTGATCCACAAGAATTCATCACTCAAGGCTGTGATGATTGCTTCTGTACCTCCGAACTATAATTCATTTGTTTTCTGAATTTCAGAAAAACGAACCGAGCTGTCAAGCCCAAGGGTGATCAACATTAGGAAGAATAGCACAGACCAACCAGGGGCCCACGGCATTGTGGCAAGCGCTTCAGGGTAGACAACAAAAACCAGTCCAGGCCCTAAATGTAGATTTTTTTATGCGTAATTTTGCTGTCTCGAAAATTAATAAATGACAAAAAAAAAGATTTTCGAGCGCTGGCAAGCAAAATTTCAGTCCCGGAATAATACGAACCTTCAAGGGCAACTTCCTCAATCGGTTTTCCAGATGCGCACGACATATAACCCAACACCTAAAACGCTTGCGCTTTTGCTCAAGACGACAAACCGAAAAAATGACAAATCCCGAGAGGAAGCTAGTTAGGCAATTAATGGAACTCGTCACCAATGCATCGCTGTAACAATTTTGATGGTTTTTCTGATGATTGAACTCACAAATAGACATTGTTGTTGAACTTGTTGTACGATGAATAAGCCATCAGTACGCCAAATCCGGGGCCTAACGAGAAGAAGACTTGTGTCGCCGCATCCTGCCAGACCCCAGGGTCCTAAACAAGAGCTAGATGCTCCATTCGCAGGGTACCGAGACTTTTTTAATGCAATTCAAATGGAGTTTTTTCTCAATTAAATCAAGTCAATCCTACTATATATAAAAAAATAGTGTCTGTGTGTGTGTGTATGTGTGTGCATTTGCATGCAACTTCCGTCAGCGTGTTCCAGCAGTATCTCAATAAAGGGGGCATTTAGGGGTATGTATTACACCTCATTAGGTGCGTAATGGCCGTGGGATGACTGCACACTCATAAAATTTTCAAAAATTCCGTGTTTTCGGTGTTAAAATTGAGTTTTTTGTTGAAAAATCGAGAACCCTCTTTGTTAGGAAACAATTAGCATACGCCGGAAGTTGCGGTAGCCTATATAAGAGAAGAGAGGTCCCGTTTCTCATTTTTTTTGTCATCGAAAATCGCGTGAGTTATGCAACGGGACGAATATCATGGGATCCGACGGGGCCAGGGTTGAAAAGTCGCGAAGCGGCTTTTCAACCCTGGTTTAAATTAAAAGCGTATGAGAGACACGTGTGTGCTAATATTAGCTATGTCTTTAAAGACGGGTAAGTCGCTAATTTTGGCAAAACTCAATCATCTCGGCTGGCCTTCAGCCTGGAGAAGCGCAAATTGTAGGCAAACGTCTGTCTTGACCTGTATTTTCGTATACTCTTGAGCCCTCCTGGAACATTGAGAGTCAATTGACGGTAGCTGGGGGTTCAACTGGAGTTTCCTTTTTTGGCTTGATGTAAAATTAAAATGAGGGTCAGAAGAGTGTAGCAAATATTTACCTCGGTATCTAGAGTAATCTTCACACGCTAGTGGAGCTTTTTTATCGGGATTTAGCTTATTCGGGTGTTCTGGGGGTAGCCTCCCATAGCCCTACCGCTGCCGACAATCATGGTGGTCCGAAACCAACTGGGTGGTCTTCGGCTCAGCTCCCCATTTGGGTAGTATACCACACAAGGCTCACCTTCAGTTTCCCAATATTCGGTTTCAGATAAAACTCGATTCCCATTTCCGCTCCCGGCAGGGTAATTCCCCGTACGAATAATACTCCCAACACCACGTAGGGGAACAGCGCTGTAAACCACACAACCTAAATAAAGACATAATCAAGATAAAAAACAATTCTTGTAAGCTATTGAGCTCTAGCTAGAATGATAAGCTCACCTTCCCGCTCATTCCAATTCCCTTCCAAAGCGAGAAATAGCAAATGATGTAGACAACAAAGAGCGAAACGAAAATATGCCTGATAAATGTAGATGAAAATGGTTGGCCTGATTGATTCACCAGTTGAGGTCTCCGAAATCTGACATGGATCGAATGACATGTGAGTTGGGAGCACCACTTTCATGCAATCCCAATAGCCCTTTGCTGAAAATTCAAACATTTCGAATAGGTATTGTCGCTAACTAGAAATATTCCTCTGCGGCGGAAATTTTTGCTTGACTGTTGTTGATCCTGGGTGCGCATTTTGATGAACTTGAATGCAATGCCCCATATCTAAATTTCGCGTCAGTAGACGAAGGAAATGCCAAACATTGGCTCATAGCACGCCTTGCTGTTGTACGTGTTGTTGCAACTCGCCCACGGCAAATTTGTTTGAAAGGAAGTGTAGAGGAAGTGTAATCCCCAGGCGATGACCTACAACGTATTAATTAGGCCCCTTCAACGTGACAAAAAAGAGATACAACTCTCCTGCTTACCACATTATAGAAAAAATCCGTGTAGAATGCAATCATAATCACGCAATAGCCAATGCCTTAAATGAAAAGTTAGTTAATTTAGAAAGCAAGACCGAGCCTGTGGAAATGAAGATCACAAAAAGTCTTACCTTTGAACAATGGACAAATCCGGCCCCATGTCGTGATGGCGCCTTTGCGATAATATTGACCAAGTGCGAGCTCCATGTAAAATAGTGGCACTCCCGTTACAAGAACGATGATCGTGTAGGGGATTAAGAAAACACCTTAATAGATTTTATGAATGAATCAATTTTTTGAAGTCTTGCGCACGTATCTCATTTTTCCAATCTGTAATGTCCGGAAAATCTACCTCCCCCATTCTTGAAGCACAAATAGGGAAAACGCCAGATGTTTCCTAAATCTACGGCAAAGCCGACGACCGACATTAAGAAGTCAATCTAAATCGTTGGAATGATTGGGGTCGGAAACGCCAGCAACCTTGCTTGTCCACTGTTCCCTCGGTTCGCTCTTGACGAGTCGAGTTCGCTCATCTGTTGCAGCTGATGAAGACGAGAATGTGGTCATTGTCACCCCAGATGCTGGATGATTCCCGTTTCGCACACATCCGGTGACACGCATTTCACACTCTTCCCCTGCAACAAAGATATCTGAGGGACACGACAGAAGAAATCTCTAACTACTTCCGATCGATATTTGAGACTTTATAAACGCATTGTCGAGGAATTTCGGGAATGGCGATCGTCCCAAAATGGCTTAATAGCTTTTTCCGGCTTTCTCCCGACGGGAAATTAGGACGGCATACGCGGGTTTGGGAACGCAGATTACTGCTATTCTTATACATCATTAGGAAATATGTGAGGTCTGAAGTACATACCATCAGCAACCAGACCCTTCAGCTCGGCGACATTCTGGTGGCTAGACAGGTTTGATGAAGAGGTGTCGTGCCTCGGCATGTCGTGAGGTGGGTCGGTGGGGTCCACGGAAAAGCTAAAATTGCATCCGGTTCTGAACCGTCGCTCGTAGTTTTTAATCTACTAATGTCTTTGGCATCTCTTTAAAACAAAAGATTGACATCAATACCCCGCCACGGTAAGTTGGAAGGTTTCCATACCGTATGATTTTGGAAAGTTCCCGTTTTAAAAATTGTTTTTAAATTGATGAAATGCGAGACACGCTTGCTGAGCTGTTTAAAGGAAAGACGCATATCCAAATTATATAAAATAGGTCCGCGCTATAGGGCCCTTCAGTATTTTTTAGACTTTAGACTTCTAGACATATTTTAGACGTATTTAAAAAAAATTGGGAAGTGAATAAGGTTTTAAGCGGTGGGAATCGCTAAAAACGATGTAATCGCTCAAGGTAGAGCCATTTAATCGCCGAAAAAAGTAAACCTTGTTTTATTGTTATTCTAAGTCCCCTCCGTTTAATAAGACTATGCAATTTTAGAGTTATTGAAAAAATCTAACCCCGGGTTTGTATTAAAGCCGCGACGGTATCGCTAAGCCCCAATGAAAACACTTGCATGCTCAAATGATTGTAAAAAGCGTGCCTGTGGCGGGCATGCGCCGTCGGACGCTTCAGCTTGGCGGATAACGGGTGTATAGGACGGATAGATGTGCTGTGGAGACGTCGTTGGATGGACCGAAGCAGAAGTGTGCTGCACACCAGGCCAACCAAGGGGGACTCTCCAAGACTTACCCAGGGCAAGGCTAAACGCCGGAAGACGATTAGAGGAAACGATATGTCGCCACTGGAAGGAGGTCTCTTCTACCTGGCCTCACCCCCATCATACCTCCTCCTTATTCCTTCTTACCTTTATTTTCCACAACTACCCTCTCTCCCTATCAGAACACTCTCCACCCTCCCCCATCCAATGCACACGCTCCACCATGTCGAACACAACTTTTATTCGGCCGTTGCCGATGAATGCAAAAAACCGGTCGCAGCCGGCGAGATACGAACGTGATTGAGAACAGAATGAGGTCAAATTCAGTAGAAGTCTAATGAAAGTATCCAGTGTTGCACAGGTATCATGAGAATGTACAATGGCAGAATAGCAATGGCGAGCCACTTATTTCGGAAGATATGAAAGGGGGTTTGTGTGGTTCATTCGATGCCATAGTTCATTGTAGCCCGCATACGTTTTCATCCGGACACGGTCTAGCATGGCTTCTGGGCAAGTGAAAGAGTACTGTGGCAGGTCACCGCTGAAAAAAATGCTTGTAAGTAATTTTTTTGGCGAATATGGCTATCTTCGCTATTTAAGAACAATCTCTGTGCATGCGTATGGCCATTTTTGCGATCAACAGGCTTCGAGCAGCAGCCTCGGACCTTGCCCACTAACCAGTGTTTCTTTTCGAAACGCTTGCGGGCTGACAAAGGATTGGTCCAGGGATAATAGACTGGATAGCGCTCCCTCAAAGGATAATGATTTCCTGCCAGCCCTGGTGCCCCAAAACGGGGGTCTACTCCCCCAATAAATGGAGCAGATGAAGGGAATGGAGGGACCTACATGGATCCCTGAATCTCTATCCCGTCCTCAAGTTGCATTAGAATAGCCCGTCCTCCGTGTACACTACTTAGCAGGCGTTGAGGCACCAAGATCTTCTTATCTTCTTCCGAACAAATGTACTAGAATAATAAGCTGTTTTGCAGTTGAAACTTACACGAAAGGCCTTCGGGTATTTGGCAAACAGCTTTGAGGTATTGGGTAGCCCAAGGTTTTCGGCGAGTTTTGATGCGAAGATAAAACTGGTCTTATGGGTCAGCCTTCCGATTGCCCATTTTTCGAGATCATAGGTGTCTATTTTACAATGCATTGGGATGACCGCTTCATCATCCTAAAAGAAAATTTGAACATTAAAAAAATACAATATTCTGCACCTTTCTCGGGCGGCCGCGCTTTGGCTTACGGTCGGTAGATCTTTGCGAAATTGCAGAGATATCCGAATCGTCCGACTCATAACCCCGAATTTTATACTGAAAGAGCAATCAGAAGCTGCCTTTACCCTACCACTTCTTGGGCTAAAACAGGTTGCGGGTGCACAGGTACAAAAATACTTTTCGCTCCATCTAGCATACCGCGTGCCAACTCATTTAGATCTTCTTCTGCGACGCCCTGAAAAAAATGTAAGATGTAGCTCAAAATTTTTGATGAACTTATATAAAAGGTAACATACATGGCCATTGCGCTTCAAGTTCTCGATTGCCGGCTGGAATGTGGTTCGTAAATGCCGATCAATTATTTGTCGTATTTCTTCATTTATCTGTGGCTGGAAGACCTGAAATCAACACAGTTGCTTTGTTAAGCATGCTTTAACATAAAGTTCAATCGGTAACACCCACTTGGCGCATAAGGTCTAGCGATCGGGAAGCATCGGTGGCCATATCCGTTTTATTTCTAGAGATTACTTGTCGAAGACAATTTGCCTAATTGTCATAGAATTATTACCATCTGGAAAATAATACCTTAGCCGTTGTTCCATCCCCAGCAATTACACATAACAAACCCTCAAAATTGTTGAGGCGCAAATTCATTTTATTGCCATTGCCGTTACCGGTTGACTGGCCATCTTCATAGACCATCTCAAAAATCATTTTTTACACGGTAAATGAAAATAAACATGAAGGGTATTCAGGTTTTTGAAAAATTGATTTGCAAAAAAGTAAAATCATGTGAGCGACGGTTTAAAGCTTGATAATTGTTTATTTGAATGGCCGAATAAAATTTATGAATGATACACCCAGCTGGAAACAAAAAAAACCGCAGGCAATTTTGCTTGTTTGTGTGTGCCGACAAAGAGGAGAAAAAGAGGTCTGCACCACATACGCAACGCGACGAAAAATGCCTCTGTCCCCTCCGATTTTTGGTGTTCTCTCTGTCCGTTACCCTCCACCCTCTCAGCCATTACACATACATGCCAGCTGGTCCATTCTCACATATCCATTACGCCTTTCAAGCACTTTTTGCATGTCGGTACATTATGGAAGAAATATTTATCAGCATCTCACGATGAATATACATGAGAACAAAGAAATATTTTGACATTTAGATATACAATTAACGATATATAATACCGATCTTTAAAAACGAACGTAGGAATGTCAATTGAAGTTCCAGCGAACTGAAGGAACTACCTCGTAACGTGCTGTAAAGGTTTTCCTTTTCAAAACAAGTAATTCTGAAAATCATGGTTGTTTTTTCTTTCTGGTGCCTCAACCGGAAGCGTTTTGACTGCGGACGAGAGGGTTCACATATAAACACATAGCCCAGGATGATTGAAAACAACCGGAATGACAAGGTGATGAGGAATCATTGAGGTTAAGCTCATCTAGACGATTGTAGTGTCACCAAAGAATCGATCGGGTCCATCTCGGCTCACCGGAAACTTCGGGCTCTTTGAAAATGACCGCCGTAGCTGTGAACCGCGGCGCAACACTAGTGCTCGGATACTGTCCACCTGGAAAAGCCTTCAATGGTGCGCATATAATTTGACAGCGCTTATAAATGGGGGTATTTCGAGGGTTTCGGGTGACTATATTTAACATGCCAAATGTTGCATGGGATTGCTAAGTAAAGGCTCGTGCAAGTGTGCAAATCCAAGCCATAGTACAAACCCTAGCTAACAGGAATGGGGTGGCTTTAAAAAACTATAAATACAGCTTCAACTATAAATGCCCTGGTTAAGAATTGCAAATACTTGGAAGGGCATAAAAGTGTAGCTTTTTTCTAATGGTGCACATGTTACCCATGGAAATCCGTGAGCGGAGGGCCGATAGGCTTCTGAATTTTGTCAACCGTTTAAAGGGGGGGAATTAAACGTTGTAAGTGAGATGGACGGTGATTGTTAGTGGGATACCCTGTGTGCGGCAGCCAGCACTCCCCTCGGTCGTTCATCTCCTTTCAGGTTACCGCAGCATCGAAACGCGCAGACACAGCCTGCAAAAACATTAACATCCTCAGCTAATGGTTTGACATGCCATTTACATTAAATTTTCTGGGGATATTGTTGAATGTTAGAGATATGTGCTGCTTATAAGGCTCAATATCATTTGTGTGGCAACAATTCCCCGGTTTCCCCCGTGACCCAAGGGCTTCATTCCATCAGTGAGGCACCTGCTGTTTGCTGGAAAACACAAAACATCGGTTCTCCGGCCGACTGTCTTGGCCCAACACAATCCCTTGGGGCTAAGGTCCGCTGCTACTGATTAGCGATCGATCAGTGTTACTAGGCCGATTTCCACTGGCAAAGTTAGTTGCAGAAACATTCAGATCCCAGTTTTATAAGGTTTTACTATTTGTAGGCGAAGGCATCGTTCGGCTTGCTAGAACGTGCCCTCGGGAGACGCCGGTCATACGCCGGGGGCTCGATGCACTAATGACAGTTTGATCTGCCCACTGCCGAGAAATTGAGCGAGAAAAGTATCTTTAGCGTACTGAAGGTTCAATCAACCTTTCGCGAGCCGTTCTAGAAAACTTCCCGGCGCTAAAATATGGACAGGTTTTTTAATTGGGAGAATAATAGGGCTTTAGGTGGTTTCTTTATTTAGAAACAGATACTCCGGAGAAACTCGAAAAACTGCGGAATTTAGGATTTACCTTGCGGTTTTAGTGTCTTCACATAAAAAAAACCCTGGGGAAGTATTTACTTCAGGCATCCCCTTTTTACGCCGATGTTGGCCGATAGTTAGGAGCTGAAGAATGGAATGAGGAAGAGGGATATGAGGAACGCGAGAGCCGTCCCCCCATCAAGCACAATATGAGCCCTTTGGCCGCGATTTATGGGCCCTTGGGAAACGGGAGGGGAGATAATGGGTCGGAAGGTCTCTAGACAACCCACAGGTAATCAGCATCGTCAGCAAAACGGCCACAGCCACCGATAGAATCAAGGCTAGTGTCCCGGTGTCTAGCTTCTGTTCCGGTTGCCCGTGCAGCTCCTTTCCGATTTCGGCTGGAATTGTAGGTGTAAGCCCGACTCGGCAAATAAGAAGTCCACATAACTGCTTAGAAAGAGTTATTTATAGGTGTTTTCGAGGTTTTGCGATGTGACATGGCACATTCGATAGGGTTTGAAAATCTGAACAAATCCCTACTTTCAAAACCTGCCGAACTACTACTACATTTTTCTCGGAAGCCGTTAGCGCTGAGCAGGTGTTGAAGAAATATGATTTGTATGGAATTCCAAGTTCTATCGAAAATGTCGAAAACTTAATTGCAACCAAAAACCGGAACATTGTAGTAAAAGGATGGATCTCATAGGATATTTACTTCCCGATGGATTCTGACCAGAGATTCGGAAACTCCATCTACAGCTGTGGTCCTCCGTTCCGTTTTTCCTGAATCCAGAGACGCACATACCAATGAGCTGAGAAAGTGCCTCGTGCCATTTGTCGCCTTGGACCAGGTCGTTCACGCGAGTCAACATATGCCGCCTCTCATCATAGCTTACATATTTTTCAGCTAAACGGGCCGGCCAGATTACGATCTAGAAAAAACATTCTGACGTTAAAAAAGACACCAAGTGGACATTCATTCCCTTTTACACCATGTTCAGATATTTTGATAGCTCCACTTCCCGTGGCCTTTTCTCCAACTCTTGTTTATTTTCATTAAACTCGAGAACAGCAAACGTGCAAGCCTTGCCCCTCGCTAGCCATGCATGGACCTCTAGTGCCTCTATTGTTTGCGAATGGAAGAGGAAGTTGGTAGCTATGAAGAGCAACGAGGGGCCTTATGTGGCCCAAAGGGACGTCCTAGGATTAAAGGCCTAGTGAAGGCAGCCCACCTTCTTGTAATGCTCCCAAACAAAAATGATGACCGAGTTGCCACAGTCGCCAAGGGCCCATCGACCCTCCAATGCCTTCGTAAAACTCTCAGCCCGCTCCGTCAACTGGCTAAAATGTGGGTTAGCTCATAGAAAGCGAAAGCTCACGCTTCACTTGGCGAATGGATTGTCATCTGAAGGTTGCTTACGATAGCAATTGAAACGACAAACCCGTGAGAGGCCTCTTGCAATCCGTTTCCTAAAAAGAACAGATATTGCCGATAAACAACGAGTGTACATACTTGTGATACATTGGGATATTCGTTGACAATGACAGGTAGTACCAATCGACAATTCATGAAGCTGCCGATTAAGCGCTAGAGCTGAAAGCCAATTTCGTTTACACTTCTTTAACGCACAATACATCTATGGCAATTTGCAATCTACAAATTTACTAAGCAGCAAGCAAAGCACGCTGCGACAGCCGTTGTTTTGCGGGCCGTCATGCGAAAAATGCCTCCCCCGGTCTGGATATGTATGTGACGGCTAAGGTGACAGAAAGACGAGCCGTCGCCGCCTCAAGATGCCTTCGAAAGATGTTACCTTGACTCGTATTCAAAATATTATCCGGATCGCAAATGTATAGAAGTTGGCCATGTGGCATAGCCCGGACGCATTGGTCAACGCTAGCCCCTCTGAGTAAAATTAAAAAAAAATCAGAGGTGGTCATTACCGTAGGTCCGGAAATTGTGATGAGGTCCAGCTGGCGGTAATTACAAGATGTGGAAGTAGAAAAAGATGGCAGCAGATAAACAGTAGCCTTAGCATGAGCATTCAAGAAAAATGAGGGGAGAGCAAGCCCTGTGGGGAGGGCAGGCAACTGACTGGGCCCTTTTCCTCTAGGGCCCAATCGACTGATCAATGCTTATGGGCGGCCCCTTGAGGAGGAGGAGGAGGAGGAGGAGGAGGGGCACGCCTCCTTCATTCTTGAAATAAGGGAGGGTGGAGCTCCAATGATGCTCCCTCTCACTCCCTCTCTTTGCATGCACCTAGAAATAGAAAGAGCGAGCTTCATCCCGTACAGCAAATATCTGCCTGCAAAGATAGCCGGGTACGACTAACAGGACAAACTAAAACCAAAAAAGTTAAGCAGAGACGATTCGTTGGGGAGCTATTACGTTTCCTAAGACCTTCATTTTTGTACGTCATTTACCGTACGCAATTTTTTGGCCTGAAATTCAGGCATACATATTTCGCATAAACGAGCCTTTATTTCAAAATTACAGATTGTTAAAGTTTAGCAAGTAAGATGCCCGTTTTGTCGCGACGTTGTGTAGTTCTGGTGAAATAAATTGCTAAAAGTCGCATTATTTATGCACATCAGCAAACCTGTAGCTAGCAGCCTCGACGCAGGAAGCTCCAAAACCACTCATCAGAGTCTTATTGCCGCTGCAAACTTACAAAGCCGATGATGCAATGAATATATATTATTATCGTTATAACACCTAAAGAGAGACCTTTTTGAGACCTAACTAGGGAAGTCCAAGATACCCGCAACACGATCGGGCTGAAATTTGCACAGTTTAGAACCGACTGCTGTTCGCCTCGTTTTCCGATTTGCTACCGAGCTTAATAATTAGATATTAAACTTTTAAATGGGCCAAAACCCGCTACCTGACCCTGGCTCACTAGGCGGGTGGGGTTCAAGGCTTGGAGCCCCCTTTCAGGCTTCGGTAGTCAACTGGTCAGCGCCTCGCTCCCAGGTGGGGGCTCGGACCCGGTCGGTTTTCTTTGCTTTTGCTAATTTTGCGCCCATGTGGTTTATGTAAAAAATTGTTAAAAACGGTATTCCGTAATTCGACGGCGTAGCAACCGGCCCATCTGCGTGCAGTAACACAATCTGGACCGCGCCACATGTGCGGCGCAAAATTAGCAAAAGCAAAGAAAATCCGCGGACCGGGTCCGAGCCCGGACCCTCCACCTGGGAAGCGAGGCGCTTACCAGTTGACTACCGAAGCTCTGGAAAGTGGGCTTCCCAAAGGCCTCTTGAACCCCACCCGCTCTAGTGAGCCAGGGTCAGGGTAGCGGGTTTTTGGCCCATTTTAAGTTTAATTCTTTTTTTAAGCTCGGTGCAAATTCGGAAAACGAGGCGTAATCAGCTGGTCGGTTCTATAACGTGCAATTTTCAGCCCGATTTGTGTTGCGGGTATCTTGGACTTAGATAACTAGACCTGGACTTAGACGCTAATTAGATAACTCTTATTGCCTTCAAGGACGCTGCCATACTTGCAACGACCGGAAGCTTTTGAGAAACTGTGTTTCCTCATTATGTTTGCTTGACAAAAAAAAACCTGTAACAAACGCTGAATAAAGCTGAATACAACAATTATAAAGCTAAATAAAACCTATTTAAAACCTCGACTGAACTAGGATCAACCGTCCTGGATTGACTTTTACTTTTCAGATAAAAACTCCGCCTCATTCGCTTCAACTTCCATTCATGCCCCAAAAACGCCAACCAGATTTTCATAGAATCTTTTTTGTTTGTGGCGAGGGACGATGGCTGGGTGTGTCCCAAGTTTCAACCATGAAGAGTATTGTCGCGTAGCCGATGGATGGCTGAGAGGGTGGGTTAGAGCGCAGACACTGAGGGACACCCGCACAACGAAACACCACACCCATATACACACATACTACAGTTATGACTTATTAGCTACTAGATAGGTAGCAATATGTGCCCTCATATCAAGACTAATTTAATTGTTAATATTCATAATTTGTTGCTTTAAATTAATTAAACTGTTTTCCTGGAAGCCGGCTATTTATTATTCATTAATTGGCGTCGATTTTAGCGGGGAGCCTATGGCGGCTGCCAGCAGCCAGGCATCACAGCCAGAAGAGCTGTGCCTTGTATGCAATGATATTTCGACGGGATATCACTATGGTGTCCCATCCTGCAATGGCTGGTATGTTTGAACTTTCATAACACCTTTTAGAAAAATCTTTTTTACGTTACCAAATTTCACCTAGATTTCCACTTTTATCATAATTTTAGTAAGACGTTCTTTCGGCGGACGATAATGAAGAAGCAAACATTTGTATGCCAATATGAGGGGAAATGCCCTGTTGACAAAAGTATGTTGCATTTTCGTCGACAATCTTGTTGAAGGTATTCGTTGTGCATGCCGGCATTGTCGATTCGAAAAATGTCTGCAAGTCGGGATGGATCGTAATGGTAAGTATCTTATGAAAAACCTTTAATGAATTTTGTCAGCCATTCAACAAAACCGCGACCCGATTGGATATACTAAACGTACGCGCCGCTACCCGCCTGTGAAGAAGCTATCATCTTCTGAAGAACAGTCACCACTACTGAATAAAACGGTAAGAGAGTCATGTAATCATACGAAATAATTATTAGCCTGATCCCGTCGAGGCTGCAGAAGATATGGCACTTGCTAGATTAGCTGCCCTCGAAGACCAATGTCGAAAATTGCGGGCTAGCCACTTCGACGCGGTAGGAGAATTTTTCCAATTTTTAGTGCCAATTTAGTTTGATACTACCCTTACGCAAGCAGTCATGGCACCATGCCGATTGTTGGATGCCGATTTTATGGCCCGAAACTCCGTCCCGGTGAGTGTCTTTCTAAAAGTTGACGTATAAATTCATCTTCCTGTTGGATTTCATATATAATCCAAAATATTATCTTAAAATCATTACAGTCTCACTTGCCAAACGCCCTCCGCCCTGCCACACAGGAAGATTATGCATACTGGCATGACAGGCAAAATATTTTTTATTTTTAACGCATTTTTAGGGATTGGCGTGTGATGATCGAATGGGCAAAAACGTTACCTGCCTACCAGCAATTGCCTATAAACGATCGAATTGCTCTTCTACGACATTCAGCCATTACCTATCCATCCTTAGTCTGGTGCTTCTATTCTCCAGATCAAGGCCCCGAAACAATAGTTTTTCCAAATGGCGCTTATTTCAATAAGTCTCCAGAGGTGGGTGAGCAAGGAGAATTCCTAACACCGAAATCTTTAGCCACAACGGCCGGGAGGATTTATTCGCCGTAAGCACCAGATGCTCGACCAATTATTGCAGCCGGTTCGTCAAATGGAAATTGACTCCACGGAATTCTCGGCATTCAAAACGATCTTCTTTCTAAATCCTGGTAAGGTGCTTCTAATCTTGCGATTATAAGTCTAGATGCCGATGATCTCAATCCGGCTTCGAAGCCCATCCTTTCCGAAGGCAGAAGCGCGACAACAAATGCACTCTATCGATATATGGTGAAGAGAAGAGGAGCAGAAGATGCTGGTGACCGGTGGGTTAGATAGATCTGCTCATTTGTGCCTCTTCTTATGTTTTTATCATCTTTAAAGCAAATGCCCCCAAACAGTTTCCATAAAAACCAACTTTTTTAGGTTTGGACGCATTCTCTTGCTTGGCACTGTTCTTGCTACCATGGCCGTTGAAATGAGAGAAGCCGTCGTCGTTGCTGACTTCTTTGACCAAATCAAATTTTCTCCCTTCGCCAAGCAGCTATTATTTGGTGTGAAAAATGAAGAAATGTCGTGATTGACTCGATCACTTATATTCTTTTAAAGAGTCACCGCTAGGAAGGTTCCCGATTTTCAGGAACCAATTTAGTCTTGAAGATTTCAGTCATAGCCAGCGCTTTAAACGTCCCGTCCGCTTGCCCTATTGATTATTAGCGGGACCAAACTACGTATGTTATGTTAGATACCATTAGATTTAAACCTCTATCTCTCTCTCTCCCATTCCTCAAGAATTTTTTTTTTGCTTCTCTCAAACATTTGCCCAATCATAGGGACATTGTGATAGCCGCACTGCAGTGTTGTGATTTTAGTTACCATATCTATGATTTGACAAGATTTCCCTCCTCAGCTAGTCCTCCGGCAAACACAATCTAATGTACATTTGTGATCAGTTTTGTGTCTAACCACTCTCCTCGCTCTTTCAATAAATCTTCTTGTGAATAAATTTATTCTTGAACAATGCGCAGGGATCGTTACAAAAGAGGTTTGAATAGAGATCACTGCATGGCAGTGTAAATCAAGACACACACATGGAATTTAGAAGCATTTGCGGTGGACGATGGCGGGTCCTGATTCATCGTATTCTTGCTTGGAGATCCACATTTGTTGGAAAGTGGACAATGAAGCCAGAATTGATCCTCCGATCCACACTGAATATTTACGCTCTGGTGGGGCAATGATCTTGATCTTCATCGTGCTCGGGGCCAAGTGTTGAATTTCCTTTTGCATGCGGTCAGCAATTCCAGGGAACATTGAGGTCCCACCAGAAAGAACAGTGTTCGCATACAGATCCTAATAATTATTGCATTAAAGACGTTAAAAATTATCGATTTACCTTGCGAATATCGACATCGCATTTCATGATGGAATAATAAGTTGTTTCGTGAATTCCACTCCCTTCCATGCCAATAAAAGCTGGTTGGAAGAGAACTTCGGGGCAACGGAATCGCTCATTTCCGATAGTAATCACCTAATAACGATCCCATTTGATAAAATGAAGAATAAAATGAAATACCTGTCCATCAGGCAATTCGTAGCTCTTTTCAAGAGATGATGAAGAAGAAGCAGTGGCCAATTCTTGTTCAAAGTCCAGAGCAACATAGCACAATTTCTCCTTGATATCACGAACAATCTCTCGTTCAGCGGTCGTTGTGAATGTATAACCGCGTTCCGTGAGGATTTTCATCAGATAATCCGTCAGATCACGGCCAGCCAGATCCAAACTAGAGTGGCGCTTATTCAAATCAAATCGGCTTCAAATTGATTTGATTTGAATTAGCAAATTTGAGTGCGAAAAAAATCAACTTCAAATCAAATCGATTTGATTTGAATTAGGGGCTGGCCAACTCAAATCAAATCGATTTGATTTGGAATTTGAACAACAGGCTTATCAAGGATGCAAATTGAAAATCGGGGGTTCAGAGGGCTTTTGGTAGCGCCGTTTCTGCACATTTAGGTGTCCTTTAGAATAATTCATGGGACGTTTTGATGACCTTTATATAAAATTGAGCCAGACGGTTTTATTTGTCAGATTTAGCCTGCGCTATGGTTTTTTTTTTTGGAAAAGCCATGGGGTAAAAACAATAGGAAATGTATAAGGAATCGTTAACTGGGACGCTGGAATAATACTAAGGGATTATAGGGAAAGAGCGGTGCACGAATTACGAGTTGCGTTGCGTTCATTTCGATGAGATCTTATTCAAATTATTCAAATCGGCTGGATTTGATTTGAACTGGTGGAACTCAAATCAAATCGATTTGATTTGATTTGATCGGCTCCAATTCAAATCAAATCGGCTTGATTTGAATAATTTGAATCTTATTCAAATCTGATTTGAATAAGCGCCACTCTAATCCAAACTAAATATATTCAAATACATTTAATGTTATTTTATGAATGACTAACCGTTGAATGGCATGAGGCAAGGCATATCCCTCATAGATTGGGACAGTATGGGTCACACCATCTCCAGTATCAAGGACAATACCTAAACGAGAATCTCTCTCTCTCTCTCCTCTCTCTCTCTCTCTCTCTCTCTCTCTCTCTCTCTCTCTTGGAGCCTATTTGCATCAATACATACCAGTGGTACGTCCAGAAGCGTAGAGCGACAGAACAGCTTGAATGTTGACATACATGGCTGGTGTATTGAACGTCTCGAACATGATTTGAGTCATTTTCTCGCGATTATTCTTTGGGTTTAGTGGGGCTTCAGTGAGAAGAACGGGATGTTCTTCTGGAGCAATGCGTAGCTCATTGTAGAATGTATGATGCCAGATCTTTTCCATATCATCCCAGTTGGTGACGATGCCTTTAAACAATTCTTATTTATTGCAGATAATCACTTGCGTACCGTGCTCAATTGGATACTTGAGGGTGAGAATACCGCGCTTCGATTGAGCCTCATCTCCAACATACGAATCCTTTTGCCCCATTCCTACCATCACTCCCTAGATATGAGTTGCTGTTTTAATGATTACTTGCATAAACTGACCTGATGACGAGGACGACCCACAATTGAGGGGAAGACGGCGCGAGGAGCATCATCTCCGGCAAAGCCAGCCTATAAAATACGCTTATTTATTAAATTCAGGCTTTTGCTTTACCTTGCACATTCCCGAACCATTGTCAATCACGAGGGCAGCGATCTCGTCCTCCATTTCCTGAAAAGAGAGCAAGTTTAGAACGAAGTTAGTCTTGAGCATAAATATTTTATGCGTTGAAAAACCGAGGCCAAAAAATGGCCCCTCGGCTCGACTAGCTGTTGCGAGTGTACGAGTGCGGCGTAAAACGTTATCAAAAAAGGCCACGTATGCGTGAGGCAGAGCCGCCTTCCTCACTATTAAATAGACCCCGCCATTGATAAGAGGGCCGCCTTCTTAGAATCGGGCAACGGTCCCGGTTTTCTGGGAACTGGAGGGTAATTCTGCGTCATGCAGTCACAAACCGACTAGGTTGATGGGGGACCATGGCTGGCAAAATTAAAAAGGCCGGCATTCAAACTGCATCTGAAGTTTGGCGTGGAGATGGGAGCTTAGGAAAGGAAACTCGATTTGACCAGGCTCCGGCGGACGTTTGCATGGGTTGAACGGCAAGTAACGGTAACAAGACGAATTTAAGGGTGGGCGAAGTACTAAGATTTGCGTGGGATAAACTAAGTGTCATAATATAAAACCTCATCAAGCTTATCGCCACGACTCAGCACCGCTAAGATAAATTTCTGATTCAGCATTGGCTGTAGAAAGCGAGGATAGCTCTAACTCGCGAGTTTCTACCGATCTATATTAGATGATCCCGTCAATTTTAAAGGATAAATGACCCTACTAGGGCCTTGGTATAGTCGTGACATTGCCACATATATAGTACTCAACTCCCTCTGTTTCCCTTCCCTCTCCCTCGTCAGCATCTCAATTAGCTATTTGGCATGCAACTACGCCCTGATATATAGGGAGGCGGAGCTCTAGTACGTTTCCGCGGCCAGTGATAGGCTTCTAGGAGCCATTCATCGGAAACGGGCCAATCACCGCTCGGTTTCGAAGGCTTCGATTCTAGGAATTGGGAGCCCGATATCACTTCTTTGTTGCTCTCCGCCTACATGGCAGTGCGTACGCGATAAGAAACCTGAGGGCTAACGCAACTCATGGGGGATCTCATTTTGTTGTCAGCACCAGGTGCTTGATGAGCCATCTTTGGCGAGACTGCAATTGGGACAATTTTTAGACCCGGATAAAATTGAACTTCACCCCCAAATGTTCAAGAAATCTGCATTACATATAAGCTGGCGATGAGTTAGTATTCATTACTTGCTTTACGAAGACTTATGCTACTTTAATTTACTACTAAGCCGAAGCATCTTTCTTGTTGCCGCAGGTTAAGTCAACTGTCGTACTAAAAAAATTTAAGAGCTTTGTCAAGAGGCGTTAATTTACAATCAAGGTATCCACGAATGCTGGGTTGCATTTCTAGACTTGAACTCTACTGTGATAACCCGAATCCCGGTCTTTTGGTCTATGGCTTTTTCCAAAAAAATGTATATTATCCATTAGCCGGTTTCCACAGACGCCCCGTTCGAAGTCGCAAATGTGCGATTCCTCATTTCTCTCCCCCGATCGCGCCACCTTATCACAATCCAAGTACTATCTATCACGTGGTGGGGGACCCCCAAATCCCTGGCAGGGCTTCCTTCCAGACTAGCTGCTACTTGTTATATTCATGCTCGAGGCTCATTCACTACGAAAGCCCGCCCCAGAAAATAGACAGCGACTATTCCTCCTAATAGCCCAATGGACGACCAGCCTAATAGCCTCGCAATGTTTTTTATTTATTCGGGCAATTCACGCCATTATTTCTAGACTAGCACTATGCATTAATGGGTTCACACAGAGCCACGTCGAAGGAAATATCTTAGATCCCTTAAACAAAGAGAAAAGGATTGTACCCCCGACCCCGACCACAAACGCCGCAGCTCCCGAAAAGCTTATTTATTTATTAGCGGAGACATTGCAGAGTGTTGGGACTTGTTTGGAAATTCAGGTGGCTTTCCCAATCGTTTCTTTATATCATTTATGTCTCAACACCATTCAAATAATATTGCCCCGTTTTCAGGAAATGGAGGACGAGATCGCTGCCCTCGTGATTGACAATGGTTCGGGAATGTGCAAGGTAAAGCAAAAGCCTGAATTTAATAAATAAGCGTATTTTATAGGCTGGCTTTGCCGGAGATGATGCTCCTCGCGCCGTCTTCCCCTCAATTGTGGGTCGTCCTCGTCATCAGGTCAGTTTATGCAAGTAATCATTAAAACAGCAACTCATATCTAGGGAGTGATGGTAGGAATGGGGCAAAAGGATTCGTATGTTGGAGATGAGGCTCAATCGAAGCGCGGTATTCTCACCCTCAAGTATCCAATTGAGCACGGTACGCAAGTGATTATCTGCAATAAATAAGAATTGTTTAAAGGCATCGTCACCAACTGGGATGATATGGAAAAGATCTGGCATCATACATTCTACAATGAGCTACGCATTGCTCCAGAAGAACATCCCGTTCTTCTCACTGAAGCCCCACTAAACCCAAAGAATAATCGCGAGAAAATGACTCAAATCATGTTCGAAACGTTCAATACACCAGCCATGTATGTCAACATTCAAGCTGTTCTGTCGCTCTACGCTTCTGGACGTACCACTGGTATGTATTGATGCAAATAGGCTTCAAGAGAGAGAGAGAGAGAGAGAGAGAGAGAGCGAGAGAGAGAGAGAGAGAGAGATTCTCGTTTAGGTATTGTCCTTGATACTGGAGATGGTGTGACCCATACTGTCCCAATCTATGAGGGATATGCCTTGCCTCATGCCATTCAACGGTTAGTCATTCATAAAAATAACATTAAATGTATTTGAATATATTTAGTTTGGATCTGGCTGGCCGTGATCTGACGGATTATCTGATGAAAATCCTCACGGAACGCGGTTATACATTCACAACGACCGCTGAACGAGAGATTGTTCGTGATATCAAGGAGAAATTGTGCTATGTTGCTCTGGACTTTGAACAAGAATTGGCCACTGCTTCTTCTTCATCATCTCTTGAAAAGAGCTACGAATTGCCTGATGGACAGGTATTTCATTTTATTCTTCATTTTATCAAATGGGATCGTTATTAGGTGATTACTATCGGAAATGAGCGATTCCGTTGCCCCGAAGTTCTCTTCCAACCAGCTTTTATTGGCATGGAAGGGAGTGGAATTCACGAAACAACTTATTATTCCATCATGAAATGCGATGTCGATATTCGCAAGGTAAATCGATATTTTTTTAACCTCTTTAATGCAATAATTATTAGGATCTGTATGCGAACACTGTTCTTTCTGGTGGGACCTCAATGTTCCCTGGAATTGCTGACCGTATGCAAAAGGAAATTCAACACTTGGCCCCGAGCACGATGAAGATCAAGATCATTGCCCCACCAGAGCGTAAATATTCAGTGTGGATCGGAGGATCAATTCTGGCTTCATTGTCCACTTTCCAACAAATGTGGATCTCCAAGCAAGAATACGATGAATCAGGACCCGCCATCGTCCACCGCAAATGCTTCTAAATTCCATGTGTGTGTCTTGATTTGCACTGCCATGCAGTGATCTCGGCCTGTTAGGCGATATGCTTTATTATTATGCTGGCTTTACCGGTTCAGGATAAATATTTATGTATTTTTGCATAAATGAAGGTTACTCGTAGCTGCGATTCAAAGACTGTCATGTACGCAGTAGCTTTCGCATTGTTCTTTTGTCAGGAAATTATTCGCAGTCGACGGTCTGGCCGGGTTCCAGCTGAAATAATGCAGTGGAACAAACGTTTCTAGATAAATACCTAAGTTCATGGCATCCATTGCCATCCCAGGCCCAACGATTCAATATACCGTCTTCATGTTCGAAGATTGGCTGTGAACAGGAGGTTTCTGAAAGGATCTGGGGATGAAAAAACATTGTAATGCTTCTTGTAATTTTTTTCCGTATGACATTAAATACCTTGATTTGGACAGCATACTCCATCGAGAGGTAATGGAATTCCGTGGCCAGGAATACATTCATACCCATGTGGACACGCCGATGTGCTTCCATTGTTTTGGCTCTTAGCCGTTTGTCTTGAAGCACAATATACGGGTCTCGAGCCTTCTCTTCTTATCACACCGTATCCAGCCCCGAAAGGCAATGGACAGGTCAAGGCGCTCCCAATTTGTCCAGTCGCTAAATTAATCGACTTTAAAAAATTTTTCCGAATTTTGCGATATTTTATCTCAACGTATCCAGACGCACGCAATAGCCGGACTGCCATTGCATAACATTGTGGAAAATTACGATGGACGGAGAATGTTTTGACTCGGTGCGTTGTGAAATTACGGTAAGAGCCTTTTCGCTTGTTGCTAGACATATACTAAATCTAAAAATTCTAGTTAGCACCTCCTCCCTTTGTTATATCGTCAATTCCGTTGAAAAACTGCACATTGGTAACTTACATGCATCAAGTACAGCTAGACAAATCCATCCTCTTGATGGGCTGGTTTTTCTCACAGTATCAGCAGGGCATTTACACCGCCCTCGTACACAAAATGCCTCTGGCCATCTTGCACTACAATCTTCATTTCCTGTGCACTGCAAAAAAGAAAATTTCTTCAAGAAAACCGTTACTTCAAACCGTTCAAAACCGTCATCCAATGTCTATTGCCTACGTTTTTCTAGACTCAATCCTTCCCCATTTGTTCTTCTTTATATACAACTTTCTAAGCTAATTGAGTGATAATTTAGGACTGATTTTCCCAACGGCAATCCGAAACGGAAATTGGGTCAACCCGCCCCCGGCAAAGAGGAAATCCATTCCGTTTCCGGCCCCCCTTCCCTCCAATCGCTTACCTCTAATGCAAGAGCTAGGTGAAGGTAGTAAATAAGGAAAAAAGGGAAGTAGCACTGCGTTCATAGTTACATAAAGGAAGTGCGCGGGAGGGTGCGAGTTGTGATATGATCGATCCGTTGAGGCACCCGGTACAGACAATGGACAGATAGCAAAGAAGCCCGACCGGTCCTTCAGCGCCTCGAGGGAACATGCACAAATAGGGTTGTTTATTTTTCACGTCATCTTCTTTCCTCTGGGTGCGCTTTATCCCTTGCGCCTGAAAAATTCCGTAGCCACAATCAGACCTGTATTCTCAACGGAACGCCAAGGATTTTACACTGTTGCTTTATTTTTGCACGGAACCCGGCGAAAAGCCTGATCATCGATTGGGATTGCGGGCAGTTGTTGTGGGTCAGATGATTCGTTGGGCGAACGAGAGTGCAACTGGGGTGTCTTGACGGCTATTCGGTGGCCAAACTACCGTATTTTCCAAGTGGGAGGCCACATGCCGGCAGAGGGGCGGGTACACGGGAAGAAGGGCCGTGTGAGTGTCTGCCTTCCATTCCCCCTCCTTCTGTCTGACGGCATTTTTCGCGCATATGTCTCCCCCTCTCTCCCTTTCCCTCTCTTTCTTTTTGTCTCACTTAGACACATTGCTCTTCTTCTTCTTCTTCTTCCTTCACACTCACACTTTCCCTTCAATCGGCACCCTCATTAGGCCCTTGACCCGAACTGGGACATCTGTCCCTCACACGAATATTTTCTGCCCTTGACTGCTTCTCCACTGCTCTTTTCCATACATTCGGCGATTATTACCCAACAATTATCGATCGTGATTTGCAGTTGCGTTGCGAAATTAGATGCGCGCAATCGAATGGCCAACATGTTTGGTATTGAATTAAACGGGCGCATCGAAGGCGGGGAGCATGACAACATTTTACATGAGCAACATTCATTTATGGAAGAAGACTTTGACAACAACACCTATCGCGATGTCGCTGACGTAAGTTACAAACCTTCCAACAAGACTTTTTCATTTTATCATTACTAGTTTATATTTATATAATTTTGCAAGTCTTCTGCCGACTTAAATAAACATTATATTTGCAGGGACAAATCACTGCTCCTCCGCCAAGCTCTTCCTATATGTAAGTCATGCTGTCTGAAATCAATGCCCTGGGAAACTGAAACTAATTCTCGCATTTTCAGGGAGGCACCGAATATGGAGGCCATTGACATCGGATCCGTCACATCATCTGTGAATCCTGGTGGAGTCCGAGTCGGGCCACAGGATTTTGAGCTACTGAAAGTCCTTGGCAAAGGCGGCTATGGAAAGGTGATAGCCAATCGATTGTCACAAGATTCTTTTTAGGTGTTCCAAGTGCGCAAGTTGACCGGCACGGATAAGACCAAAATCTTTGCGATGAAGGTTTTGAAGAAGGCGACTATCATCCGCAACCAGAAAGATACAGCCCATACAAAGGCTGAGCGCAATATTTTGGAGGCCGTGAAGAGCCCGTTCATTTGTGATCTACATTACGCGTTTCAAACAAACGGAAAGCTTTATCTGATCCTTGAATATCTGAGCGGCGGCGAACTCTTTATGCACCTTGAGCGTGAAGGTGAGAAATTTCAAGCTAATGTACCATAAGAAAAATATTTTTCGACTTTCTGTTGTCTTGCTCTGCTCGCTTGCTATTTGCTATTTGTATTTCTATATGCTACTATTTCATTGTAGCAATTCATTTTATAGGAATTTTCATGGAAGAGACAGCTGCTTTCTATCTGTCCGAAATCATCGTAGCCCTCGACCATCTTCATCAACAAGGAATCATTTACCGCGATCTCAAACCGGAAAACATCATGCTTGATGGAAATGGTATTGGCTATTTTGTACGTTTCATTTGTTCCATTTAGGTCACGTCAAACTAACCGACTTTGGACTATGCAAAGAGTCAATCGAAGGAGATGCCAAGACACACACCTTCTGCGGCACAATTGGTAGGTAGTTGTAATGTTGGTGTTGAGTTCAGCGATTCTAGAGGTTAATTTAATTGAACATTGAAAAGCACATTACGCAGTCATTACCCTTCAACTCAAGCTGCACGCACTTCAATAGCATGCAATCGGGCAAATTGTCAAACATCTTTTGGTGTCACTTGAATGGGGAGAATTTGGTGTCAAAAGGGCGCTAGAAATTTCGAAACACGACTTTTATTACGGACTATTTTAGAATATATGGCTCCGGAGATTCTGATGCGTTGCGGTCACGGGAAAGCCGTTGACTGGTGGAGTCTGGGAGCACTGATGTTTGACATGCTTACCGGAGGACCACCATTTACGGCCGAGAATCGAAAGCGTACCATCGACAAAATTCTGAAGGTGCGTCGCTTTGAATTGGCTCAAGAAATATTTGCAGGGGCGCTTGACACTCCCGGCGTATCTCAGTTCCGAAGCTAGAGATTTGATTAAGCGCCTATTGAAGCGTCACGTGGAAACACGTCTTGGTAAGTTTTGGAAGCTGATCAAAAAGGTCTAACCGAACTTTAGGCGCTGGCCCCGAAGATGCAGAGGAGATCAAACGCCATGAGTTTTTCCGGCACATCGATTGGCACCAAGTTATGACTCGTCAGGTAGACATGGCTAGTCGCAAAAGTAGCGCTAAGTGGTCCTAAATAGAACAAGTTTAGCCATAAGAACCTTTAATTACGGTTTCTTTCAAACTTATCGTTTGACGGCATTAGCCGATTACCGATAAGATATAAAGAGAGGGAAACCCGATAAACGCGGCCGCTATTCACTCCATTGCTGTGTCTGCATTTTTTTCGACTGTAAATAAAATCCGTGGCAAAAGAAAAACAAGCTAGCGCAGAAAAAAGAAGCAGAAAAACAATGTCGCATTTGCAGATGGAACCGCCATTCACGCCGGAGATTCGCGATGAAACGGACGTCTCGCTGTTTGATACAAAATTCACAAAAATGACACCGGTATGCAAATCTTGGCAGGGAATTAAAACCAATTCGTTTAGGTGGACTCGCCATGTGATCAGACCTTTTCCATTCCCAGCGGAGAGAACCCGTTCGTTGGATTTACCTATGTGGCGCCAAATCTGCTCCAGGAAATGGAGCAACCACACAGCAGCTACAGGTACTCCCCTTGGCACCTGCGTTTCACATATTGTTTTTGCAGGCCGCGACGTCGACATGTCAATCAACCCCACAACATTCCGCATGCAATGGGCAGCTTGTGAGTCACTATTATGCTATTAGAAAATATCTTATCGAGCTGTCCGAAAATTTGCAAACCAATCGATTGTCCATTCTAGCCAGCCGTCGCTGCGTAACTTGCCGGTACTTGAGGAGAGCATGGACACAAGCGGGACCATTTTCGGATCTCCTTCACAACCAATGTCCATTAATATGCCCCATCGCACTTTCCATTAATTTTATCACAAGGCAATCCGAAGAACCGACATGTATCGTTTGACATGAAGCCTTTGCGCTAATTCATTCAACCCAGCTCCACGCCCGATTGGACTGGCGTCTACAATCCGTTCCCTACGATGTGATTATAGAAAAATCCCACCATTCTCGAATGTCCAATCACCCATTACAGTATTCCATGAACAGCAAGCCCTCATATTTTGCAGTCGTTCCGGCCTTGGATGAATCCCACAGCTCACCTTTTGTGGCCATTATTTGGCAGCTCAAATAGTGTCCACCTTTTTGTTTTGTGGAACAATCCAGGATGGTCGTCAATCGACTGTATGACTTCCCCCCTAGACTGTGCCACTTTGCTTCGATCTTTCGGCTTCTCCCCCATGTTCTCAGACTGGCCGAGCGAGGTAATTAAGCAAACGCACCAGGGTCCCGAGCCTAGTTTTTTCAGGGGGATGCCCCCACAACGGGCCCTCACACTTTCTTTTTTGCTCCATTTTTGTTATAATTTTTTGTTGTTGAATTTTATCGAGATATGATGTTGATATTCTATGTCTGCGATGGACAATGTTTCTTCTTCCCAATCCCTCTCGACTGTCCGGTCAGCGCCCACAGTGCCTTCACTGCTAGGATTTTACCTAGAATTTTGGTCCCTCCTCCCAGACGTGTGCCCCCTCGATAGGATCCGGTTCCAAAATTTTACACATGAAATATATTCAACATGCCGTTCATTCATTCATCCAATTCTACTGCTGCTTAACTATTTGCAGAATAACGATTCGAAAAGGTCTTTGATGGGCTGGCGGTCAACCTTACATCAATTTTGACCAAATCTCATAGTCTCCCAACCTCTAGTCTTTTCAGCAAACCTACACCCGCGCAGTTTGTCATTAGGCACAAAGTTCATAAATTCTGCCTGAAATTAATTCGGCAATCCTTATTGGTTGACCACCCAGTTCTTTGACCGCAATAAGGGCCTGCACCTTTTTTTAAGCCCCCCAATTTACTTGGCGAAAATAAACCGTCTTCATCCCACCAGCGCAAATTTTCCTCGACCCGCTTGCTCATCGTATCTGTCTCTCCTCCCTGACGTGCTCGAATAAATACTACAATTTTTTTATACGGCGGTGTTATAGGGAAATGTGGGGTTGCGATCTGTGGATTTTTGGTCTTCACTGGAAGCGGGTAGAAATGATGCGGCCTGAAATAGGCATTCATCGCTGTTCAGCATCGACTGCTCGGACCTTCTGCTTTCTGAGAGCATCATGCGATTGTGTCCCTGGCTGAGCGACTGCTCCGCCTTTGATTGATAGTCTCAATTGTGATGAGAGTGCCGATTTCAGATTCTTCTGAATGAGTTTACTGCTAAAATGAAAGTATAGCTACCGCAAATGATGAAGTCAACGAAGGAGCATTGTTTTTACGAGCTTCTATTCGAGATCTATAGAGGAATTCCCCTAATGCCGCAACCTATACAATTAGAGTAAAAAACGGAACAGGGTGACGAATTTACCATAGAAGCGACCATGCCACCCATCAAGATGTAAAATATCCCGGCGACTTTCGACAAATTTAGCGATGCGGATGATCCATCCTAAAGGGACATAGATTCCACAAATTTCCTGATCATAAAAGCGTTAGTAAAGAGGGCAAAAGCTTTGGGACACTCATTACCGAATCCTCAAACGCGTACCTCCTGAAAGGAATAAACATAAAAATGACAAATCGCCTACCATCGGGATCCCAGCATCGCACTGCCCAAGGTCGTACCACCATTTGTTTTCAAGTTTTTTGAGTTCGCCTTTCTCTTGTAGTGCCAAGATTGCGAGATTAATGTGGTCCCTAAATTTAAGGTTTCTTACTCGAATTAAAGTTACTTCCAATCAGATCCAAAAGGTGTGGCGACACCATATCCAATACTATTCAAATTGGCGCCTAAACTCAATCAAATGCAATGCATCATATCCTACCAACTTTCATCGTGTCACAAGGCTTTCTAGTGTTTTCATATTCGTTCGCCGTTGCCTCCAATAAAAACGCATATCGTCCTGAAAGAAAAAAACGCGTTTTTGTAGGAGCCTAGCCATCGGGGCAACCTTTGCTTGTCCGCACCCTTTCGATTCCCTCAGCATAACTGGAAACAAACACCGAAGGCACCTGGAAAACACTGACAACTGGCGAACATTTCTTTACTTGTGACTCCATATAGCGCCACATTTTTTGGTAAATCTGAACTGAGCTGTGCTTGAAAAACTGAGCAGTGGAGCCGCCTGAAATAAGGATGCATTGAGCACAAGGGGATAGATCATTCACCGGCTTGGATTCCATATTTAATCTTTGACTGCTTGGCTAGATCATCGACACTCTCAATGGGGGCCTGAGAACAGATGCTAAATTAAAGCCAATGTTACCTGCATTTTCTCCAGCGTCAGAAAAGCCGCTAGGTTAGCGGTATAAGAAGACACAATGATCATCGTGAAAAACCACCACGCCGAAGATGCTATTCTCCCAGAAATCGAACTAACGCGAAATAAACGTCGCGGAAAAAACTTGCCGTGGCAAAATGTCAGTTCCCTGTTGCATGAAGGCAGCTAGTGTGAACCACAAACAATTATATACCGAGAAATCATTGGAAATTGTGAAACTGAATTTAGATAAAGATTGGCAGTAGAATTACGAATTACCCTCCCCTGGCCGTTTCTTCAACGCGCCATTCGTATGGCGAGAACCGTGAGACCAGGAAAATGACAACAGAAACCTGAAAAAGTGAAATACCTGACAAATATGCTTACCCCAACATAGGCAAAAATAATATACATCCAAATTTCCGAAGAAAGCGGTTGCATGAAGGAGAAAACAGATAGTTCCTGAGACCGTTGTGCATCTCCAAATAATTAGAACACACCTGCTTGTCGGGTTTTTTAATCATAATCGAGATGCCAGTCGTCATAAAAGGTTTTGAAAAGTCAAGCACTCGTTCTCGATCCTATATTGGGCTTAATTGCCACCAAAACGGTTCAGACCTGATTAATTGTGAGTGATGCAACGGCGACGTCGGCTCGACCATCTAGCAATTCACCAACTAATCCATCCCATGAACCGTCCGGCTTTTTTGAACCAGTCTTATCAGTTAGTCTTATTTCATAATGGAAATCTTGGATTCGTTCGATTAGTAACTGAAATTCAATAGATCAATTAAGGAAAACACCTTACGTCTAGTAAATCAATACAATAACCCTCGAATCGATTGTTTCCGAGGCATTCAGTACGGTTGTTTCCATCGCGACAATCTTCTTTCAGCATGACAAAGGGATGTACCTATAGAAACTGAGATTGTTGATAGATGAATGATTACCAGGGTTGTTGCCACCCTAACCACTCGATCAGATCTTCCTTCTAACTGTTTTCTGCTGTGGTCAGCCATAGCTTTATCCACAATGAAACCGTGTCCTTGCCTCCATACCATCACCTTAAGAATCGATTCTTTTCCCCCTCATGCACTTTTTTACCTCTTTCATGTTGAATGCACTTTTAATGTTTGATACTAGGTCGATCACTTTGCTCTCATACCGTATCCTCTGTCCTTTCATATCGAATTCGATATGTCCAGTAAGGGTCCCTTCGGCGGCCCCAAGCCGTAGCTATAAATTTTGTAAGCGCTTTGCTGCGGTGATTTACTCCACGCATCGCTCGTATAATGGTGAGCCCGTGCTCAAATGAGGCAAATGGTCGACCGGGATGGCCTCTGTCTGCTGACGGGTCGCAATAAATTCCTGTAATGGTTTCCGAGTGAAAATGGAACGCGGGACAAACCTTCATATCCGCGATTGTAGAACTTGCCATGACGAAAAGTCCCATGAAATAATGAATCATTTTGTAGCAGGGCACGTGAGAATCCCCACCAAGCCACCATCATCGCGTCGTGCGCGAACCCCACATGAGCCTTCAAAAAATTTCCGCAAAATTTGCAAACCTACCGGGGCGTCGTCATAATTATCAATTTTGTCTCGCTGTAGTTCTTTCCGTAAATACCTGTTGAAGATCTCAATAAATAAATTGGATAAGGATAGCTTACCGCTTCAGATGAAATAACGACCTTTGATCCCGATCGATAATTTGGAAACCGGTCACGTTTATGTTGCCATGTTGAAATAGTTCGATATCGTACGGCAAGAAGTCCTGAATGATATTATAGCGCATCGAAGCTCATTACTTACAAAATTTGCGACGACATAGTGGTAATTGGCTTGGTTGAACTGGGCCGCTCGGATTGCCATCAAGAACTTTTTCAAACGACTGATTGAGGTAGAATCAATTAAGATCCTATAAAACTGACTTTAGAAAAGCTTCGGCCCTTACCTATTTGCACTAGCGCTCCTTCTCAAGTTAAATTCTCTGAGGAAATTATCAAAAGTTTCCTCGTCGGCTGGCATCTCCACCAATTGTGCCGATACTGAGGCGTTTGATTTAATGTGAAGCCAGTGCCAAAGCAATGGTAATGATACTCCTTCTATAAATACATTATATATATCTCCTAGAACCACGAACGATGTTTCATATCAGAAATCAAAACAACATTCGTCCACCCTTTGAGAACAATCAAATCAGCAAGGAGTTCACAAGGAGAGGGTCGTATGGCCAGCTCAAAACTATAAAAAAACGATGAATTTGAAACTACTGTCACCCTATTGCGCCGAGTTCAGGCTGAGCAGCATATGGAGTGGCAGTAATCAGTGGCAATTCTAACGTATCTGCCAGACCGCTAAAGGACTTCTTGATAAATTAAACAATTGACTTGCCGAAGAGCTTCTACCGAACGACCACCATCAACACTAATCAAGCCCATTGAACCATCTTTTAATGCCTCACATACTAAAGTTGCAATGTTTACATCAAAGTTTCGGTTCATGATGAACAATACCGTTTTCTACAACGCGCCATGCTTCATTCGGGCCGCCTTCCACGACGTGTTGATCATGTGATAGCCTTTAAATGCAACATGCAAAAGGCGCAAGGACCTTCCTACCTGAATGGATTTTCCTCCCGACCATTGATCTCTTCCTCAGCGTATTGTAGAGCACGTACTGTATCTTCGGTGTTTTCACTCCTCGTTGTGAAGGATTCTCCAACCGATTTTTATAAGAGTTCCCGAAAACACTCACTTATTATAATCTTCGACGGATAGCCAAGCGAATAGTGAAGTAATATAAAAGCAGCTAATTGAGTGAGCGGATATGCCATATAGGATAGGTAGGGGAAAGGAAATAGAGCGGTTGTTGGTGGAGATGAGGATGGGCCTTTCTGAGTCAAGGGGGCGCGACGACGACCCAATCCAATTTGGAAGCTCAATCAGCCAGGAGGACCCCAGAGGGCACCCACTCTTTTCGGTGGCCACTACCTGAAGAGTAGCCCCCCGAATATGGGTCTGGTTGGGCACTTCGGACTCCTCCCGGGGAAACCCTCGTTTTCAACAAAACATTGGCCAGACCTAGCCGAGACCACAAATCAAATCAGAAAATCGCAAACCCCGAAAGCCTCCCTTTAGCATCCCTACAACAATTGAGTAGAAGACACAAGTATTAGAAGCAAATTCCATACTTGAAGCGATAGCAAAGTCCAAAATCAAGTTTATTAAACATCTTATGTCGCCGAAATCCAACGAGCACGACTTCACCGCCTTGTATCGAGGTAGCGAGGAGGCTGTACTTTAAGTGTTAGTAAACTTTCGGATGCTTTTACTGTGCCATGCCTAAAACGCCCTTGCCACTGAGATTTCGATGATTGATCAACACCTAGTCCCTCGCCTCGGTCGACTCGGATTTTAACAACTACTTACTACGTGGATATAATTGACTTTCTATAGCTACCGGCAGATGTCTGTCCGTTCTTACTGCGTGCTCCACTCACAGTAGCCAATGAGAAAGTCCCCGAGAGAAGAAAGAAAGGAAGAGGGATGGGAGGTACCACGGCCAGAACAACTTGATAAGAAGAAACAAGCTTTGCCTGCCTCTCATCCTTTGTCCCTCATTCCCGTCCTTCAAAATTATGACTAAGGTTTGTTTTTACCACCTTTCTCGTCGTAACAAATCAAAATAGTGTAATTTAATATATTTTGTTGTTTAGACACTGGTTTTCGAGATGGCGATGACTTGTGAGGGTTGCGCGAACGCTGCACGTCGGGTCCTTGGAAAACTAGGCGGTATTTTATATTACCGATTGATTTATTTATGTTCTTAAGTATATTTTTGGAACCATGGCATATTGGGTTGTTTCAGAAGGTTATTTAAAAACAAAATTAATAATGCAAGCAATTTTACATGTCTTCTAGCGACGCGATTGCATATGTGGTTGATCTGGATACAAGTAGAACTTAAAGCTAACTAAAAAATCCGAACTATACTTGTCAAAAAGAGTAGTTGACATTGTATACTTCACGATTGCTTTTATTTAGAAGAAAAAGTAAAAGTTCTTGACGTGGATGTAGCGACGAAAAAGGTGACTGTCGCTTCCGAAATTCCTGCAGCAGAAATCCAAGCGGCTCTCGAAAAGACCGGAAAAGCTATTAAATTGATCAGCGAACAATGATATCAATGATGATAATATGACATGCATCTGTGATCCTTTCCACGGCTTTCCTGTACAGTATTCGTTGTTCATATTTGTTGTAAATTATGCTTAATGTTTCCCCGCACTTTTTCTAGACTTTTTCATCTTTTCTCTATTGTGCGCATCGGTCTCTCTTGTTCACTTGCTGCCCCATACTTTCCGGTGTCATGGGATAAATGTCTTTGTGTGGAGCAGACAAGAAGCGGGGAAACTCATTGTATCGTAGTTTCGGTTGGGAATCTCTCGCATAAAGATAGAGTTCGTCGATTATAGCGCAAAGGGCACAGGTTTTGAATTATCAAAGGGCTCTCAGCAATTTTCGGATAATTAACGATTAATAAAAAAAATCTTTTTAGGTGCTTTTGTAGTTTTACGGTGGAACATCGGTTAAAGAGAAAAAGTTTTTCGAAGTCTACTTTTTGTTAAGCGCGGACGAAAAACGGGCATTTTTCAAAAACCTCCAAACACTCCAAAATTTTGTCTAAATGTCCAGAATTTCAGGCACTATCGAATGAGGTATTACATTTTGAATAACACGAACGTAACCTAAAATTGTCATTGTAAGTCTAACGACATCTTTTCAACATTGTTGGCGTACGAAACCGGCGTCGAAACATCAAGAATCTCGCTACGATAGCATTATAAGGCGAAGCCATACGTGGCCCATATTCGTGCTGGCATGCAAATCGGATATGAGGCGGAACGGGAACGGCAAAAACCAAAATCCCCCTCTCCTTCCATTGGCCCCTTTTATGGCCGATTTGGCCGAACCGATGAATTACGGGCGGCGATTCTGAAGGGTGCGCGATTTTTCGGCCTCGATGGCCCACCTAGCTGCTTTCTCTAAACGGCCAGCCACTTGGTCGTGCTAAATCATCATCTGAAGCTACTTTTCTGGTTTTTAGCTGCACTAATACCGGATTCTTGCTTATTTATCATGGAAAGCATGTAGGCTAAGAGTTCGCGACTCAAACTGGCAGGGCATTCATGACACCATATTTTTCTATGCACAAGGCTACGGAACCATATACCGATTAGGTATGTAGGAAAAATCTTATGTGTATATATTTGCATCCTTGCTTGCATGACCCTGCTCGAAAAACTAGAACGTCGGTGAAGCCGTTTTTATTCAGGAAAGAAACGCGATGAGGGCAAATAGCCCGGTATCCGTTACCAACATCCGATTTTTACAAAAATATGATTTTCGCCGCTCAAATTAGGCCCGAGACTTGGCAAAAATCGTAGCCAGCTACGTTTTGTTGGGAATTTATCCAATTTCTGCGTATTTATTTCGGACCGGACCGAAGCGATGCTTCGGAAACGCAAACTTGGTACGCTAATCAAGAAGCGGGATACCATCGTCTCCCTCAATATCCCGCACCTCTGCCACCTTCGTTCTCGTCTTTGCCCGGCCCTCCAAATTCCCTTGGGTCCCCCCCACCGCACTTTATAGGTCTTTTATTAGTGGATACTCATTCTTGTCCACGGGCCATTATTAAGCGTTGAGGGGCTTCCGAAGTGGCCTACACGAGCCAGGGGAAGAGCCCCAGTTGGGTGGGTGCTTTCCTCCTTCTTCCCCATCCAATTGCTCCATCTTTTCAATCTAATCATATTGAGCGCCCTCCAGCAGACGACGAAAGGTATTTGAAAGGCCCTCACCCCCCTACACACACTTGCAAGTTTCGTTTTGAAAATTTGGCTGGGCCCTAGCCATTACCGCACTTGGATAATGTATTCAGACGATGCGGCCGGTCTGCCTGGTTGGATCCTTCGACGACCGAACTGCCTGTGATGACTTCATTAATTAGGCGCACTAAACGCGAGGACAAGCCGCTTTGCGCACAAGTGCAAATTTCCCTAATGAATGGTGCGGTCCGTGGGGTGGGGGAGGGGTGAAATGTTACTGGTTGGACGAGGGGAAAGAGTCGGAGCCGGAAGGCCGTACTCCTCGAAGAGCCCCCTCGAACTCGACGAAATTCAATATCCCGTGTGCGCGGCCCCCTCGCCCCATGTGTTACTGGCTGATGAAACTCGAGACATCCTTCACGATTTTCATAAAACAATCAAGTGCTGCGAGGTCCATCTTCTTTCCAGCAAGACGGCCTATTTAACCGATCGCATTTTTCATTGCCGCCTAAATATTATGCGATCTTATTTACAAGGCACTAGGCCGCATAAAGTATAACGGAGGATTCAGATAAGGGCTTGTCGTCAGTGAGGATCATCATTCCCCTTAGACATCATTTACTTTTCCGATTTGTGGGTGGGGTATATTTGCACCTGCGTACCTCCGAAAAAGGGTACAGAGCGCTGGCGTCGTTTTGGTGCCAGCTGCTCACCCTCTTTTTTGAGCTCTTTGACCGAGCCGCCCGATTTATTCTAGAAGAAGACATGGTGTGGCCAGTTATGGTAGTGATGGGCTTGGCTTGGGCCAGGTTTCTTAAAGGGCGTAAGAAGACCGACGCCAAGCACCATCAAAAGAGTTTCAGGTCTAACTAGTATAAATTTGCATGCATGTGCCTTTTCGCATAGTTTTTAGGCGAATTGTAGATGAGGCCTGATCCCGTTAAATATATTTACATCGGCAAAGTGTAGATGATAGGGTTGGTTAGGGGGGTTAGCTAGTGGGCCGAGTGAAGCGTAGGGTGGATTAAATGAGTCCCATATGCGCCGGTGTTCGGGAGGTCATAAAGTGTGGCGGCGAATGGGGGAAAGTACACGGAGATGATAGGCGAGTCAGCAGCCCTCATGTCCACCATTCTCCTCAAAAACACCCCATTGGCTTAGGCGCGAACCAGATGCCCACGCAGCGAATGGCCTACACGGTGGTCTTGGCTGTCTTTTCTAAACGACCTCGGGTCTATACTTTTTAATCGAAGGTAATCAATCTTTACGCGGACGCGTCCATTGGGATGCTACTTCTGTTCTGAAGCCGTTCATCTATAAATCCCTGGATCGTTGACGGGTTTATTGCGATGTTTTCCCCCTATTAATTCTTGAACTGTTGGTTACTAGAAGGAATTTACTGCAACTTCCGAATCCACCTGCTACTTACGCACACATTTTTATGCGGGCGTTGACCATAGACCACCTGCCTTGTCAATATACCTTTTTCTAGCACTTCCTTAACTTCAAAAACAACCAACGTAATTTTCAACATTACAATGCTAAATTCCCAGAGCCATCCGACCACCATTAATCACCTAGCGGCACTGATTCCCAACTAACAAAATGCTGGATATGGAACGTGAAATGAGGGATGTATGCTTTGTAATTTTTGGAGTTTTATTAAAACGACTTTCCATTCCCACCTGAGAATTGGATATGGGCAACGGATAGAATTTCGACGAAAAGGCAGCCGTGACATCTTTCATCGGGTGCCCCTTCGCATCAACTATTCAACCATTCGGTAATGCCAGTCTTCTAAATTGGACTTGAGACTAGCCGCGCCCTTTTTCGGGTTCATTCATGCTGTAAAAGTGCTTGGAAGCAGGTATATATAACACTTTTTCACTTCACCTCGCTGTTTTGGGGAATATAAGGCTAAAACCTCTTTGAGCCCCGTTAGTCGGTTATCAAATCAAAAAAAACAAACCAAATCATTGGTTAGATTACTTGTCAAGCAGCCGGTTCGGATGGAGCTGACCCTGGCGATGCAATAAACTCAAACGAAAAAGGTTTGATGAAATGCCGCTTCGCCCATTCGAATTATGAGCTTTTTCCCGGGATTGGTACCGCCAAAATATTAGTGGCCGGCTCGCCGAAAATGGCCCTAAACAAAAAACGATTCTCTACGCGCAGCCCTGCAATATGGTCAACATTTTCTGAGCGCATTTCGAATGTTGTGGATTTTTCTATAAATCAACGGCTTTCTTCGTCAATTTGGAAGAATTCCTGTGGGGCGCCATTTCTTTCCTCGCAAATTATAAACAATGGACTGGGGTGGCCACTATACACTCTATTCGTAGTTTCTTTGTGCGCATTTCTTGCGCTATATTGACCTGATCTGGCAATCAGCCTGTCAACCATTTCTATAATTATCTAACGCTCTTCTAATTTTTACTTCGCCTCTGCACTTCGGCTTTCCCGCGCTCACCTCAAGATACGGTACCTAGGAGTAGTTGGACAAAGCGCCGACAATCTTGCAAAAACACTAGCATAGTGCGAGTCTTTTTTTGAATGGTGCTCGGAATACGGTAACGTGGCTGCCTCGAATACCCGATCGGACAACTCTTTCTCTAATGTCTGCCCCAGACTTAGCCGTTGCGCGCTTTTTATCGTGGGAATGGACTGGGAGGGACCCATCCACCATTGTATCACCATCTTTTTCGGATCGGGCGAGTACCTTTTTTGGATGGGAAAATCATGGGTTGCGTTCTCGATAGAGCTACGCTGTGGTACGGTGACTTTTGAATAGTTCTCGGTTCTCGAATGATGTCGCTCGAAAAACTTTACAGGACCTGCCCACGTTTAGACATAAGTTTTTAGTTGTTTAAAAATTCTGGCCTCGCAAAACAGGGACAAGCAATAAGGTTATGTTCAAGATTGTTATGCTAATGAGCACCCGATTTTATGTTTACTTCTGCAATTAGCATAAGTCGGTTGGCCGAACATCAGATTTTACTGCCCGAAATGAATTGACTTGAACTCAAAATTGTATATAACTTGAATCTTACAGGACATTCCTAACGATCCATTCGATGGATGACTTAGTATGTATGACACAGAAACACCCTCATCGAATACAGGCCACTCCCCTCCACCTCGTCAGCCCCCGGCGAACAACAACACCCATTTAGAACCCATCTGTCACGAGCCGCCCCCCCCCTTCCCGAAAACAGTCCCTCGAAAAAACCCAAGGGCCTATCAGAAGCTGGAAGGGGGGGGGGGAGGAGGGGTGAAGGGCTTGGCGGAATTGGACACTCTTGGTCCGTCCCTCCCCCCTGGGGTGGGTCCCGTCCCGATCGGTGTCTCTG